TTTAGGATATCTGATAAGAAAATGATGAAATCGCTGCAGGTCACTCGAATTCTTCAGAGCTAGTGGAATGGTAACATTTCATACAAGTCCATTGTAGCAAATTTCCATAAAACCAACATTACAAGTTGAAGGTGTGGGATGTGTAGCCTGCTGGGCGTGGGCCACAACATGCATGCTCCCCTGTGCAGATATCCAAGTGGAACGCAATAGGGGGGCCAGAGAAGAGTCCGTTGAGCCCTAGTCATCTACATTGATTCCCAAGTACTAGAAATGATTACACCTTAGCCGTGATTTCTGATCCATTCCCGGCAGACACGTGTACCCTATTCGCGCTTTGGGCTTGGGCCCAGCGCGGATGTGCTTTACCAGGCGTTCAGGTGTGAGCATTTCTCTGGGAGCGTCTTGTGCGGCCTATTCAATTGAAGGCCGTCGGGCGGTGGGGACAAGGCGAGCACAAGCAAGGCGGCGCCGCCCGTGCACTGGGGGGGGGGGGCACACGAAAGTATATAGTAACATCCCGAAGTGTTGCGTCGTCAAGACAAATAGATACCACCGCAAATGCAGGCATCAATTAAGCTTTCCCACAGCCCGCTAGCCGCAGGCTGCATAGGCCCGACTACTTTAGCGTAGAAAGGTAGCAGGCAGAGCTGACGTCGGCCCTTCGTTACATCGAGCAGAGGCGAGAGCCGCCGGCTTTCCGCTTCGACACATAACCGCAACTCCGGGTCTCCGTGCGCGGGGCAGTCTTGGGTATTGATGGCTGGCGCCCGCACGCCACCGGCCCGCTTTGGTTCCCGGCCCTGCCGGCGGGAGAACTGGACCCGAGCACGAGAGCGAGGGGAGCAAAAAAACAAAATCTGCCCCAGTATCCCTCCCACCCACAATCCCGTGATATTCCCGCAGCCGCAGTGTCCCCATTTCCATCATTCCAGCCATTTCATCAATCTAGGCCCCCACAAAAAGCAGGAAAAAGAGCGAGAATGTGTAAGCAGGGGTTTCCCTTGCCCGGACCCTCGCACCAGGGGGAGAGAGAGAGAAAAGACGACTCGGATGCGACGCAAAGCCGCGACCGCAAGAAAGAATTCGGTGTCCCCGCCGTGCGCTTGGGAGAGATGCGACCAAAAAAGCATTATCCGGCGATGGAAGCTATGCGCGCTACCGCACTCCCGCCCCAGTAGTGGTCAATGCAGACCGAAAGGTGCCGGTGTAGGCCCGGGATGGGCGTCCATGCAGGTAGGTGTGTGTGTATGTGTGCGCACATGCGTCCAGGCATTTTTCTCGGTGATTTTTCAGCATGGTTTTGGTCGAGGTGGGTTGCGCTGCGGGAATTGGGGTGATGCGTGGGATGATACTGGGGAGGTGGGATGGAGCCGCATTTCCGTTGCGACCATCAACCCCACGCTCGACTCATGCTAGAGCCGGATCTACTTGGACCCAGTTGTCGAGGCCGAGCTGATGGAATCGGCGGAGCTCGTCCGGGTTGACTTGACGCGCTCGCTAGAGGTGCTGGTCAGCATTTGTTTTCTGGGGGGGGGAGGCTTGGCGACATCTCTTGGCTTGCATTGTTGCGAACCCGAGGCAGAGCGCCATGGGAAGGTAGCAATATCCACTAGTGCTGGACGACTTACTATGATGAGCGATCAGTGTGAACCTGGGCGATGTATGAAGCGCCTCCGGTCTTGAACTTGAACTTGAGGGGCTTGTTATCAAGCACGGACTTGATGTCCTTGGCAGCAGCGGGAGCAGAACCGGCCATTGTGAGGTTTGTGTGTGGGATGGAGAAGATGGGGTTTGTTTGACAGCGAAGTTGGTGTTTTACTGGGTTTGGAAGAACACTGAGATAGGATGAAGCGCCAAGAGCAGATAGGACAGGGCAGAGACGAAGGAGCAGATGAAGGCGGACGAGAAGGCAAATAAATATTTGAGCGTCGAGGTACGTCTCTCGTGGGGACGGATAGTCCAGAGAACCGCCGTGGACGCGGTCACCGAAGACCGAGATGAGATTGTGCAAGTGCACGTTACGGATACGCGGTACGGGGTACGGGTACCTTGAACGAGGGAGTACTCCGTGACCCATACCCATACTCGTCTGTGTCACTGAGCGATTTTGCAACAGCCGCAGCCGCAGGCCCGACGGGTCCAGCCCACCCCACAAAAGGCTTTTCCTGCCCGTTGCTGATTGATGAAGCATTGTCATTACCACACTCTCGGGCAGTCCTTGGTCTGGTGTGGGAAGCTCGGACCGGGGGATCGAGGGCAGCAGAGGCGACCCCATCCTGGGACCACCAGGGTCCAGGGAAGCTCGTGCGCTTGTGTGTGTTGCTCACCTGAATTCCGCCCACTCCCCTTGCCCCCCAATTCGGCGCCGAAACGGTCATGTTGTGGAGCAGCCGAGGGCGAGCCTATGAGGTGCATACGTGTGCGCTGAGTGATGGCGCACACGTGTGTGGTTGCCCTTCAGGGCTTGAAGGAATCTGACGCGCTTGCAACTTCTGCTCTGGTGTGGAGGGGCACGCACGGAACTGGCGGCAACGACGGAGCCTGCGCTGCACGAGCACGAACAACAACCTCACCACTTGGACGAGGCTGGTTTTTCCGAGCATGGCCTGAGCTACGCGTGTGTGCGTGTACTGCATGTTGCAGCCAGTGCAGTGCAGCACGAAAAGTGTGGGATAGGCTACTGTGGTGTAAGGCCTGCTCCATGCCAGCATGATTGGTGTCATCCGGTGCTACTCGAGCCGAGGGTGTGATTTGGTGCTTCTAGAAGGACGCTTGCATGATGGAACGTCTTTTCGGATAATTTGTCGACCTTGGCTTGCATTCCTGCCATCCTGGACCCATCTCCGAGCCGAGGAGACACACCGGCTGGCGGGAGTCGAAGTCGAAACGACGATCAACCACGCCTCGTGAGGATAATGCTATAGGTACGCAGTACGCAGTAATGTTGGTGCATCTCCCAGGACGGTCGTGCCTCACCGCCGATGAGAGATCGTCCAGCGTGACAGCTCCTGACAACTTAGAGTACCCAGGTACGTGTGACCCGCCATTGCCGAGCCAGTGGAGGAAGGGGGATTCTCACTGCATGCTGTCCGTCTGTCTGGGTATTGTTTGTCAAACAGGTTTCACACCTCATGCTGCGTCGACGAGACTGGTGCGTCCGGGATGCTCCCTCCTGCCCGCCTCACTCCTCAAAGCAAGCCCAGCGACGCAGATTACAGCAGTGGGCTCTCGCCGAGGAGCCCCTCAAGTTGGCCAGGTTGGTTGGCATTCCTGTGGTCTTGTGGTGCGTCCTGTGGAGCTTGCTTGACTTGGCCCAGTACATGCCTAGGCAGTGTAGTACAAGCCATCCAGTGCCCCACGATGCCCCCGTGGGATAGCGGCGCATCATCATTTCCCCAGGCTAGCGATGTGGGCGGCACGGGATGTGCCCCCTCGCGAATCGCAGTGCGTCTCCAGCTGCTGGTTCCAATGTTTCCGCGATCGGGGTGCTCGCCCTGCCGATGGCTTTACGACTCATGGGGCGGCGATCGACCCGCCGTCGTTGGTGGTCGTGTCCTCTCTGTCTGTCCCGGGGGGGCGTGTTTGTTGCTCAACAGGGCTGCAGTGCCCCAGAGCTTGCATCTGGTGAACGACTTGGCAGGCACAATGCAGCCCGAGCTCCTGCCCATTGGACGAACCCCTCTTGGCAAGTCACGAGGTTTCATACATGACCTCAACCTTTCGTTCAGTCGGTCAACTTCGCATCAGACGCCCTCAACGTTTCCCTCGATGCACACAGGACTTCAACAATGCGCCGGCGCATGCGGTGACTGCATCAGAAAGTCCCCTCTCGGGTAACACGAGACGGAAGCGTCAAAGCTGCAGCAGCATCCTTCGAGCTGCACCCCGTGTCTCGCTTTGCGAGAGAGACATGCCGAGTCGTCGTCTTTCGTTTTCCTGATTCGCCCACCCCCCCCCCGAAACTTTGCATGCCCGAACGCCCAATGCCGTGCTGTTTGACGATGAGTGGCGGCTGCTGCCGATGAATCCCGCCGGCCGCCATTCAAGCGCGCCTGGCTTTGCCCGCTGGCGATGGCCACATGATGAGTTGTCCTGCGTGTGTTCGGCGTGGTCTTGGTACGAGGCGTGCTTCGAAACGCGGACGACGTGGGGGTGGTGGTCACTGACAGTTGTTTGCTTAGGCAGAGTGGCAACCCATCTGTCTCGACATGTCAATGCCTTTCGACCCCAGTCCTCGATGCGCAGATGGAACAGCACACTGCCAACGAGCTTCAGCTTCGCCAATGACCCCCGCAACTCTCAGTCAACGTTCTCGTGCCCGCGGAACAATTTCTCCTTTAGGCCCTCAGGGAATTCCTCGTCCTGGTCAATACTGAGTCGATCAGCCTCGTTCCAGGTGCGCCCGTCGCAACAAGCACCAGTTGACAAGAACAGGGTGGCAGGCCCCTTTAAAGCTTCTTGGCTCCACACAACAAATGCCAGTTCCAGTTCAGGTGATTCTGCATCCGATTTACATGTCCATCTTACAGATCCCGTGACCTTGATCCCTCGGGGAGCGGGCTCGAATGAAAAGCACCCTGTCTAGCCTAGTGGAGACAATAAATTGCACCATGCCCCTGACTCCCATTTTAACGGGCCTCCTTCTCCAGCTGCCCTACCCTAACTTCTTGTTAATATTCCATACGATGAGAACTGAATACAATCCTTTTTCTTCGTCATCGTTCAGCTTAAGTCGATTTAAATTTGCGATGACACTTGTCCCAAAGTTCGATCGAGACCTAGGTGTCTGTATTGGGTATAGAACCGCCTCAGACTCGAGGCATTCGAAATGCTAAGTCGAACACCAATATTTTCAGGAACGCGTTATGGCGGTGCGCAATGCTCAGAGGATGTCCAACGTGTGTCGCGTCCACCCAAAATCTAACCTGGCCTTGATTGGCAGAGACACGCGCATGTAAGGACATTCCCAGATCAGGCCATAATGCCTGATTCGAATCAGATTAGTGCGAAACAAACCTCATCATACTCAGGATAGCAGGATCCAGCTTGCCACATGTTAGTCCACGATAAATAATGTTATACAGGAAGCAGCATGACCCAGATGAGTCGTTCAGACTCGATGCCAATCGGCTCCTGAATAGTATCAGGAAATCAACAAGCGACTCGTCTTGCTGAAAATGGCGGTCTGTTCTTGGTGATTTGGACTCGACAATGGTTTTCCTACAAGTGCTCAAATTCTCGCAATTGAATTGCTGTCCTTGTAAGAAGCTTACCATTCTGACGTACACTTTATATTAACCCGAGGTATCCGCCTTCACAGCAACAGTTTGCAGCTCAGAATTGTGATATACCAAGAAGAAGTAATAAAACTCACGCTATAAAAGCATGCCTCGTCCGAAATCATTTGCAGTCTTCCCCACAATCAGAATTCTTGATGATGCAGCTCCAGCCCTCCCAACTCCGAAAGAGAGACTGAGGGACGTCCCACTTCTGGTTCAGCCAAGACTCAGTGTCAGACCCGAAATCTCGTCTTAACTTTTCTAAATCCTCCATCGATGAGCCAGTTCTGTTCTTGCGCAAGTTGTAAATTCTCTGAAATTGGTCCGCATGTTTCGGAAACCAAAAGTCGGTGATGTCCTTCAATGAAAGTGACCAACTATGACATTCGGCCAGCTCGAGGATTCCGCGATGATCTTCGTGGACATATATTGGCGAGTAGACTTGACGTTTTTCAGCACCCCATTGACCCGTAACTGCGACCAATTGGCCTCTTTTATCAACTTTACTGAAGTTGCAAGACCGCTCAAAACTGAGTGTGAAATCTTGATCGGCCCCATGCAGGAGGAATAGCAACCACACCAGCACAGGGGATGCCCTCGGATTTGATAATATCATGCTGCTCCACATCAGATTCTGCCAAACTGTAACAGGTACACGGTTTTCATCGACTCGGACGAGCAAATTTGGAGATGTTCCATCTGCGAGGCACTTTGCCAGGCTCCGGAGCAAGCTGTCGAAAGTTGGATTGGGAATCTTAGAACACCAGTTTCTGTCAGTCCCAAAAATTCATCAGGGACTCCTCTATTTCATGCAGTGCGATCTCGCGAAGCCCTCTGTCGAGGCTTTCTGTTGACCAAAACTCGTGTAGGCCGTATTTTAACGCTTCCAACACAAGCATGGCTGCTGAGGGACAATCAACCTGGTCAGAGCCATGGTACAATCTGCTGCCAGCGATGTGGCCGTTCGTCCATGCATATGCGTGTCCCATGAGCAATCGCGAAGTCGGCTTTGCCTCAACCTTCGCGAACTGCATGAGCTGCTCCAGAGTCAAGACAAGCTTTGCCGTATCTGAAGTCTGGCTGGCATGGTAAAGGGCGATAAGGCGTATCACGTCACTGAGAAACCAGGGCCGTCCTCGGGATTCAGAAAATTCGGCCGGTAGTGGAAAGTAATTATCCCTCCGGATTTTTGTATGTAGAAAGGATGTCGCCGAATATTTATATGAGGACAGCTCAACTGATCACTTACAAATTAGTAACAACCCTTAAACATAGGATGTTTCTCTCGAGCATATGTTGCAACAGGCGAGGTGACATACTTTGGCCAGGAGCCCAGGATTTCAACTCCGCAATTAGCGACTCACAGTAGAAGTGCAGCTTGTTAAAACCTTACGAGTGCTCGTCAATGCACACTTAAACTTCTAGGATCTTAAAGAACTCGATCAGGGAACGGTGCGCTAGTGTGACACTTTCTATCCTAAAACGATCATTCGGGGATTCATGGGCCATCCGACCGCGAGGTATTACGCTAAGCAGTCCTCTACAGACACCAGTGAGTTGCTTCTGACATCGAGACAAGCGCGCATCAATATCTATCTAACTAAGGTGACAGCTAATATGACTTGCGAAATTTGGATCATGGTCGTAGTCGTCCATAAACGATAGATGTGTCAAATATAGCATAGCGCTACATGCGTCCATTTCACGCTCATCCACGGCAAGTGAAAGAATCCTCATAGCTTTTCGACGCTTAGCGGGATCAGGTTCTGTCTTGATGGAGTCGAAAATAACTCGAAACAGTTCCTCGAGTTCAGTGGGAAGCGTGTTGATGGAACGCTTGAGGTCTTGAATGTCATCTTCCAGCACAAGTCCTCGCTCCACGAGCCTCAGCGCTAAAGAGACCCATAGGAAAACGCCTTCAGCTCTCAGAACAAGAATCTCAATAATTTCGAACATATCTAGCGGGTTCGACATCGACTAAATATCTTCGTTATGTCGCAAGTGGTCGTAGACAAAAATGAACATGTCATGACGGGTGACGCTATGTAGTCGGAACTTGGGGCACCTTGAGAACCGTTGCTGAAATATAGGTAGTTCGCGGCTAGAAACGCAAATCTTGACGTTTTCGTCACCCGAAGAAGCCCACTCAAACAAAGTTTTGATGAGTGTATCGTCGTGCCCTTGGAACTCGTCCAGTCCGTCGACAAAGAACGCGAATTTGTGTTTGAGATAAACCTGAGGTGTCTTCATGAGGCCGAGAAATGCCTTCTAGATGTCAGAATGGCGGAACTGTAACGGCTTAGCAGGATTGCTGGTTGCTGTCTCCCATTGCGTAGGAAAAACCATTTGTGCGAGATCTGGGTGTTGATCCAGGACGGAGTGTAGGAGGGATCGTAGCAGCCCCTAAAGAGACTTTTGAAATTCCGTCCCATGTCTCCAAAAGAAAAATGAAGCAAAAATGAGCTCCTTTTCACCTAACCAGATATTCAAATACTTTCTAACCTCGTCACTCTCTACGAGAAACTTCATCAAAGTTGATTTGCCTGCGCCTGGCTTTCCGGAGATGTGGAAGATCCCCTTCCCGTCTGACAACCAGCCGGTGAAGCTTTTCTGTATGCACCGTCGAGAGAGATCATCTGCCTTGAAATAGCCAAGCATGCTAGTAGACTCAAGATCTTGCATATCCACAGTCGGTGTTGTCAAAGAGCTCGGCATCCCCTCTTCCAGTAGCCATTTGAAGGTTCTCACATGGGCCTCTGTAATATCGTAGAAACGGCTCTCCATCTTCTCGAATCGTAGAGCTTCCAGTATCCTGTTCTGCAAGACTTTGGAGACAGCCATATCAGACAGCTCGAGAACGATGCGTGCCTCATCTTGAAGCTTAGAGTGTGACTTCATGCCTGTAACAGTATCTTTAAGTACTGCGACTTGCCGATTGAGAGACCTCAATTCTTCCTCGTGGCATCTGCCATTCTGAGCTATTTCGCTCAATCGACCGAGGCTTTCGAGTCTGAAGCACAATCCGGGTGAGTCAACTGTACGAGGCAACCACATGCTCCTGGAGAGTTCCAACACGTACCTCGTTGAGTGGGAGAGCTGTAAGTGTAGCTGCTGGCGGCATTGGTCCAGTCTGGCTTCCAAGTCTTTTTTACGGTCCCTTTTTCCCAGACTTTGGAGAACAGCAAACATGATTTGCGTCTTAGTCTTTGGATCGCTCACTTTCAACTTGTCAATGAGCTTCTTCAGGTCACCCGAGAGTCCCAGGCACTTGTCAGCGAGCTCGACCAGCCGCAGTTTGTCTGCCGACATGCCTCCTGGATACGACTTCGCGGCTGCCAAGTCTGTCGCCAGAGCTTCCATGCGTATGTTGAGGAACTTGATGTGATCATTGGCTGCAGTTGTCCCAGAAGCCGACGCATGAACTTCTTTGGCAGCTGAGACAGCTTTATATCCAAAGTCGATGAATGTGATGACGCTCAAGACAAGTCCGACGGCAGTGAGCGGATCCATTGTGCACGTCAGAAAATCTTTCCCAGAGGTAAATTTCACGGAGATGACCGATTGGGTTGTTGCTGGTCTCTGGTAAAGAAAAACTAGGTGTCTGTCAGACTTTTGGGCCGTGTTGGTTTCAATACCGGTTAGAAATACGAAATGGACGAGAAGAATCACTGAAATGGCTCCAGGCAGAAGCCGGCCGCTCTGATAGGCTTGGGGCTGGATATGGGTGGTTGCACAACCTGCCCATCAGAGGGGCCAACCAGACACCGACACGCATCTTGTACACCTCGGCAGTGACTTTGTGCGATGCCTATGAAGGCCACTAGATGCTTTCCCGCAATCAGACGAGAATTATTTGCCATTTCATTGGAGGTAAGCGCGAGCAAACAGACGTTGTGAACCACGAGCAATATTTACTCACGCATTCCATGGTATGACCCGAGGCTGCCATCTCATCGAACAGGGTACACCACTAAATTCGGTTGATTCAAGTCCATAATTCTTTTTCTGCCAGGGTTCTCTTGTAAGCGTAACCGTGCAGCTGCGGCGTCATGATCCACTTGTCATACCCGCCCACCCGAGGAGGTATCGCGAGTACTTGCTCCTAACTATGCTTTAACCATGTGAAATTTTCACCGAATAGTCACGCGCCATCACTATAAGGGATGGAATGCATACAGAGCCTTTTCCTAAGTTATATAAGTACACTGCTTGAAATAATTTCGAAATACTTACGTAGACTGTGCGTGTTTCAATGCACGGCTTTCATTGATTGCCTCCAGGCTACTGATATAAATATGTCATAAAACAATTAACTCGTACTGGTTTTACCAGTGCTACGAAATGCCGATGAACAACGAGTGTTCGGCAGTCTCTGACATCCTCCGCCCGCTGCTGGTCTTTAAAACTACGGAACCGACACAGAACTTGAAGGATGGTGCATGCGGCCCACAATTCAGATAAGATAGATGTTTGAGTGACTTTTCCTACACAGGTAAGGTTCAGTCTAGCCCAAGTTTGCAGATTGATGTGGCCGGCGAGGACCAGCTGGATTTCATGAGGCGGTTCGCTGCGTGCGAAAACAGCTTCTTGGGTAGATTAACCGACGAAATAAATGAAGAAAATGACTGCTAATTCGTCCCAGATAGTTTATAAATTGATATGACTTGATGACATCCATGTGGTAGCAGTCTTAGGACGGGATTTATTGGCACAGCAGAGTTAGAAGGAGCCAAAAGTTTGGGCAAGGCTACTACTACCTCGGAGCATCCGGGGATACTGGAGCTGACATGGCGGAGGTCGACCCAAGCTTATTATGGCGAGGGACTTAAACATTCAAAGAGGGAAGCTAACATAGTAATGTATTCATTGCAAATGCCTGAAGTCTACAATCGACCACAAGAATCAGACACAGGTACATGGGTATATCCGAAATAATTCGTTCAGATCCCCTAATTAACTAATTTTGCAAACATTTACAATGGTTTTTTGTGTTTATGTGTACTTCTTCTGTCGATTACCTGCTTATATGAAGAGGTAAGGGTCTTCTCCAGACGTATTTCAATACGAATACAACTGCTTTAATGTCTCTCTGGTCATCCACTCCTGGTTCTCCGGAACGTATACCCTTCCAACCAGGATTACCGCGACCACAAGTAACAGCAATTGCAAGCCGGCCGTTACTCCCATAATTACCGCAAACGCAACCGGGTCCTGCAACTCCAAACGTACACCCTGGGCCGGGGGCCGGCCCGGGATAGCCATGCGCGGATTCGTCGACGCAGCAGCAGCCACGACGCCGATGGCGTACCGCGCGAGCTGGTCCGCCATGTCAGGGGCGCTGTTGTTGAAGGGCGTGCCGAAGGGGAGCTCCCAGTTGTAACTCCGACTGAGCGGCGCGTTGGGGTCAGCCGATGTGAGCCCGTTCAGCGCGATGGCCTGGGCCGCCGCCGCGGCAAGCATAGGCGCGAAGGTGAGGTCATCCAGGTCCGAGACGGGCGGCGGGTCGGAGGACACGGTGACGTTGCACTCGTAGTAGAAGAAGAAGGTCGTCGGGTTGTCGAAGGATCCCGGGACGGCCTCGCCACTCTTTGGCTCCAGCACATGCACGGTGCTGCACCCCGGCCCGCACTCGCCCGTGCTGCACCCGACCCGTGACCCGCAGACGTCGGTCCGGAGTTGCCTCAGGATGGGCACCGTGCCATATGTGTTGGACTCGAGGCCCTCCGCGATGGAGTCGAAAGTAAAGTCTCTCCCGCTTGTTTGGTTCACGATGATGAGCGATTGGGCTTGGTCAATGGTTGAGTTGTACTCTGGCGTTGCACACACGGCTGACGATGAGACTTTCCTGCCCGAGTAGATCGCCAAATAGTTCGTTCCAGCGGACACAGTGTCTAGCGCCGAGTTGAGATAGTGATATTCCCAGTGGTCGTCGGCCTTCCAGAACATGGCGGGGAATTTGCCGAGAGGTTCTCCCGCCAACGGCACAGACGGAAGCACTGAGTGGTTATAACTGCTTCCGATATCTCCTAGTATACTTGCTCCCAAGCTCTGTAGAGTGGAATCTAGATCGAATTGACGAGAGTCTTCAAAGCGCCCCGTGCCGCGCGCAAAGTTGCTCATATCAGGGACAAAGACTTGACCTTGCCCCGACAGGTACACATCGTCAACGTGGGGCTCAGCCTGGAATGTCAAGCTGATGACAGCTATAGCGGCTTGCATCCCCTAAATCAGTGCATGTTTTAGTCTCAAAAACATTTAAATCTTCCAACATTCTGGATCTGAGGCTTACAATATTCAATAAAAGCCACGTAAGACAGGTAGCCTTGGTGACACTTGAAGATGACCGCCATATCAACTTGGCAACATTGACCAAGCTGTCACTATGCAGAATGAGCACGACCTGAAATATCTTCGGTGTCAACATCTGAGAAAGCTAGGACGGGAGCAGCAAGAGGAAATTCACATACCTCAGACAGATCCCTTCTTTTGAGGCTGAGGAACCACCATCGCATGTGCTTCGCAATGTCCTTGAGGGCGCTCGCAATGTTGAGACCCACAACCAAACTCAGGGTGACGATAATGGACTCGAATATCGACTTGTCATTGTTACTGAGGACCCTTCCTTGGTAAAAATGCACAGCAAGGACGAATCCCATTAATAGCAGAGCTGTGATCAACCATCGAATGAGACCAGCGACTGCAAAGCGGCCGAGCTTTCTCTTGCCATCTGCTTCTGTAGACTTGTAGGCCATGGGCCGGCCATCAGGTCGGAGAACTTTCGAATTGCTTAGCCAGATATCAGCGATTTTCAGTTTCTGAATAAACTCATACCGGTTGCTTGCCTATTTCCACGTCCAGAGTCTTTCTCGGGTGTGAGACCGAACCTAAAGACAGAGTCTGGAGAAGTGATGGCTTTTGGATCCTCCTTGAAGTGACTGCGCTCCATAGCTAAGACGGGTCTCACCCGAGCATAAAAGCTCTTCCTGCTGACAATAGTGAGGACAAAGATCAAGCATGCGATCTCAGCTCTAAGCTGGGAAAGCTTTCAAATTATACAGGCTGCTAACACGCCACTTCAAACACACCCCTGACAAGCAGCCGCGCCACAACGGTCGTGAGCCAATGAGTTGACGCCGCGCGAAATCCTTCTACCGTAAGGTTCGGATTGGCACGAGGCTGCAACGGGCGTCTATAGGTTGAACCCCTGTAAGGATGCTGATACTCCGCCCATCCCCACTCACTGAGGCGCGAGCTGAAGAGAGCTGAAGTGAACATAAATCTGGCGACTCCACCATTCATGCAACAGACAGATGCAACCACGTCTGGTAACACAAGAAAAGAAAGAAAAACCAAGCCGGTTCCTAGTAATAGTATGGTGTCATGGAAAGGTATAAGGACACAATGTTGAAATGAGCTACAGAGGAATCACTGGGAAAGTGAAAGTGGACTGCATTAGGGCACAATGCGCGGTTTGCAGCATGTGTTATACTTATCATTATTTGTCCCAGCGTATTCATGGCCGGCCGCTTACACCGACTTCGCGGCTTGGCGTTGTGCAGGGCCCTGGCATTGTGGACTGTCAGCAAGGGCAGATTGCCTGCACGAATAGGAGGATTGCATACCCGGACCTCATCAGATGACAGATGTAAATTGGAAACCTGCACACATCCCCCTTGTCTGTTTTCTTTCAGTGCAAAGCAGTATATCGACCTCGAGGACTCAGTCATGTCTTCTCTACCCGATCCAAATAGACCTTCACCACCACTTGCAATGGGCAGCAACGCTGACCAGGCTATTGCAGCCATCATCGCCAGCTTCCCCTCAAATGAATCAACAGACATCTTCCTCGACTTCGCCTCGCAAGATGGCCTCCCCTACGGCATCACCTCCATGAAAAGTGCGTCCCATTTGACATCCCCACCAGACCTTCCCTCCAACTAATTACCGTCTCTCTAGCTCGCCTCGCCCTTAACCTCAAGGGCCATCCCTACACCACCCGCTTCCTCTTATACCCTCAGATCTGCCCTGTCCTCTCTTCTCCACCGCTTTCTCTCCCTCCTCGTCCTTCCCCTCCGTCCATTGCTCCGTACACCCTGCCCACCGCGCGTATTGCCGGGACCTGGATCACCGATTCGCTCTCCATTGCCCGTGCTCTCGAAGGTGCCTATCCAGATGCGCCGTCTTTGCGACTTGAATCCCAAGCGGACCTGATACAGACTGTGGAGTCCTTGGTTATGAAGATCGCAACCCCACTGGTGGCGATCTTCCTGCCCGCGGTGTGCAAGAAACTGCTCCCAGGACCGAGTGCAGAGTATGTCAGGCGCACGCGGGAACCAATGCTGGGCAAAGTGGAGGTTCTAGAGGAGAGGGCAAGACGGGAAGGCGAGGAGATGTGGAAGGCGGCGGGGGGCCCGGGGCGGGAGCTGGCGGGGTTGGTGAGGAGCGGGTGGAAGGGGGCAAAGGGGAAAGGGCCGTTCTTAGAGGGAGACGTGCCTGGGTATGCGGACTTGATTGTGGTGGGATTTCTTTGGTCTACAAAGCGGCACGGGGAGGAATACTTTGAACGGGTGGTGGAATGGGATCAGGAGGTCTTTGGCGGGCTGTGGGGAGCGTGCGAGAAATGGATGGAGAAGGTGGATTGAGATGAAGAAAGACGTCGTGATGCGTTTTCGACTGCATCGTGTCCGTTGGCGTCATGTTATCCAAGAGAGAACAGAACTACTAGATACAAAACGACTCCTTGCAACGAAAGATGGTCTGGTTGCATGTGTGAGTTTAAGCTCCTCGATCTAACCCCGAAGCTTCCATGCCTTCCAAATTGCAGGGCGACAGGCGGGCTCTGCGAAGCTAATCGACTTTTGTGTTATTACACAGATCAAATTGTCGTTATGAGTTTTGCTTGCGAGCTACAAGTTGGTGGAGTGAGCGCCGTGGGCCAGGGGAGGTCACAATAAGCTGTGGTCCGTGCCCATCCCCTGCGGCCTGTAGCTTCGCTGGACACTGGACAGCTCTAGCTAAGGACATGTGAAACATAATCAATGCAATCAACCACCATCCGGACCACGATTTGAAAACCACTCAAGCTTGGTGGCTGTCACTCGCCAGCAAGACGGCCGAACGCCCAGCCCACTATGGCCGACCTCGAAAGAACCGTGCTGGACTTCTACCAGCTGTCGGACCCGTATCCTGTCGAGTGGCCGGCCGAGAAGGACAACAGCGACGTATCGGAAGATGAGGAGGCCAAGAAGAAGATCAACCGGCGCAAGTCGAGATATCAGGCGCTGGAAAGGGCCGTCAGCAACAGAGTTAGCATGCTTCCCGGGCAAGAGAAGTCTGCGAATGGTGTGGGAAACATCGTTCAGAAGGACGAGCCGGACCCGTTGGGCACCACCGACAGCGTCGTCAGGACCTTGAAGCAGCTCGGCGTCCCCGTGCAGGAAGACCCGCGACTACGAAATCGATTCCTCATGTCCTCAACCACGTTCTCCCCTGCGCTGTTCCTCTCCCAAATGCATTCGACGGCGGACACGCAGTCCCTGCTGAATGGCCTGGACATTCTGTCCCAATCTATCGACCAGAAGAGCGCTTCCCTCAAGGTCCTCGTCGAATCCAACTTTGAGCGCTTCGTGCGCGCAAAAGCTACCATCGACAATGTCTACAAGGAGATGAAGTATCGCGGAGTAGACCCCACGCCCCCGACCGGCCGACCCCGCGCCCACTCGAGACATGCTAGTAGGAATAGCTTCCGGAGCAGCAGCGGATTGGGCCTGACGAGCCCCATGGTGCCGGACCCGAGGAAGAAGAACGCGCTTGTGAAAGAGAGCGAGTACGGAGTGTCGGGCATCAAGGGACCGCTGCTGGACGTGTCGGCAAAGGCAGAGGACGTATGGGGACCGGCTTTGGGCGGGCGAGACAAGGAGGAGAGGCTCAAGGACGTGGCTGCGAACCTGGAGAAGCATCGGGAATACGTCGAAGTCAGTGCGGCTATCGCCGAGAGCATCAAGCGGAAGGACCACGAGGCGTTGGTCGAAGAGTACAACAGGGCCAGGTCGTTCGCAGACGAAGCTCGGCTGCTTTCTCAGGGCGGAAGCAAGGAGGAGAAGTTGCCGGACCACCAATTATACCAGATCCTTCTGGCCGCCCGGATGTGGCACGATGTGCACGAGCAGATCGAGGCTTTCAAGCGGGACATGTGGAAGAAGCTGGTCAATCTCCACACTGCACCAAAATCAGAAACCGCTGGACGCCAGGACCAGCACATGGAAATCATAAGTCTGTTACTCGAGCTGGGCGTGGAAGAGAATCCCATATGGATCTGGCTTCTCAGTCGTTACGAGTACCTCAAGAGCAAGGCTACGTCGACCGCAGATAGGACCAAGGTCGAAATCGAGGTGGCAAGGCGGCGTATTGCGAGCGCTGAGAAGCCGGGGTCTCAAGCAATCGCAACGCATTTGAAGACTATCGCACGGCAGTCGATGGAGAGCAAGTCCCATTCCTTCGATTCAGCCGATATCATGGAGCTGTGGGAGAAGATCTACTCGTTCCTCAACACCATGATGTCTTCTCAGGGTATCATCGGAGAAGTAGTCGACTTCTGGCAGACTGTCCAAGGCTTTCTGGAAGGAAGAACCCAGACATCCATGCCGACTGGCTACAACGGCGAATCGCAGAAGCACCACGAGCTGACCCCAGGATGGGCAGCGGACCTACAAAAAGGCACCCTGGAACTTGTCGACATGATCCGTGAGCACGTCTACCTGTTCTTTATTGGCCCGCCACCCGAGGATCTTTCGATGCTCCTCTCCCCTATGCCCTCGGAGCCCAGCACGCCTTTATCCGCTGCTCTGGGCGGCGTAGCTCTCACGCCCAACACACTCAGAGACCCTCGGATGCACCTGGACCCAGGCAGCATCCCACCTCCATCTCCAAGGCGTGGAGAGCAATGGGAGAAGTATGCTTTCTGGCCGCCATGGTCGAACTCGGTCAGTGCCGTGCACTATCTAGCCAAGATACTCGCCGTGATAGGCTCAGGGTCATGCGACATGGCCAGCCTGGCGCCTGTTGCCCGGGGCGATGGTGCGGTTCTCGAAAAGCTGAGAACCCTTGTCGCATCCGTGAGAGAGCGGTGCGTGTCGGCTCTGTGCGCCGCGTGGAACAAGGACGCGGAGAACATCAAATACGTGGAAGACTGGAGCAGGTCTGCTGAGAGGAAAGATGTGACCAAGATGCCTGCCAGTTTCAAGGCATTCGAGAGCGCCCTCCTCACGGGTATGCAGCAGATACTGTACATTTCAGAAGCCATGTCGAAACCTGGCGCAGGCGATATCGTACAGCCGCCTCCTACGAAATTGCTACAGACAGTGCGCAGTCAGTACGTCACGACGCTCTACAAGGCTTTGAGTGGTATGGTGGAGAATGCAGAGCGTTCGCTTCGAAAGACGGATGATGAGTGGACGACTGAGGAGGGTTTCGTTGTTGTGAACGGAGGCGGGTCAAGGGTATCTAGCATGAGCGGTGCAACGATCAACGCTAGCGACAGGGTAAGCGGAAGCCTGCAGGCATCTCATACGGGTTACACACATGCTGACTACTTTATGCAGAACGTCCGCATGCTGCTGACCCTGAGCAACTTCCAATCACTTCGGGCAGAAGTCGTCCCAGGTCTAAACACACAGTTCGAGAATGCCTTCTCGGTCAAGCTCACCGACGAGACTTCGAAAATCAAGGACGTCCTCGCCCAGATCGACGCCCGCCTCTTCCAGTCGTATACGCGACCGTACATAGAATCCCTCCGGTCCGTGATCCGCACGGGCGTGACGGCGCCGGACTGGGCGCCCGCCTCCCCGAACGACAAGCCGCGCGAGGTCAAGCCGTACGTGTACGAGGCGCTGCTGAGCCTGGTGCTGGTGCACACGCAGGTCTCCACGACGGCGGCGACGCTGACGAGCCAGGTGCTGTCGTACCTGCTGGAGCTGTCGTCGCGGGAGCTGCTGGACGCGTTCCGGACCCGGCCCCGCTACGACCTGGCCGCGCTGATGCAGGCGACGCTGGACGTCGAGTTCGTGGCGCAGACGCTGTCGCAGTACATGACCGAGAAGGCGACCGAGCTGCAGACCACCATCTACCAGGAGCTGGACTCGCGCACCGACAACGACGCCCGCGCCCGCCTGCAGGCCGAGCTGCCCGAGATGCGCAGCGTGCTCAAGAGGCTGCGCGAGGCGAGCAAGAACGAGTTCGCGTGCTTCCGGAAGCCGAGGCGGAGGGACGGCGCCCCTGGTGCCGGCGGGAGGGGCGACACGAGCAGTGTCTCTACCACGATGTCCATGGCTGGGTCGATCTAGTGAGGTGGTGGGCTGGATCTTTGTTGCGAATGAGTTCAATAGCACCAGCGCGATTGGAGTTGTTAGATGGATGGCATTTATAATTGATGCATTGCTTTGCAGAGCCCTAACTACTTTACAGTCTACAGTTTCGTATCGTAGCCCCCCGGCAGCAACACCCTTCCCCACCCCCCTTGCATCCCCTTTTGTGCGCGATGTGTGTATTTGTATAATCATCCCGTTTCTGCTCCCCTCCCCGAGATTGATGAAAAAGGTGCCGACGAGGGCGGTGGTGTCTGTATGTAGTCGATATGCTGAACGAAGTATGCATGCCTCCCCTGTACTCCAACAGTGGCCCCCATCCAAGCCTCGGTCCTCATGTGAGCGGTAGGTAGGTGAGTGTGAAGATTTGTAGAACTGAAGAAAAGTTCTCGGTGGTGATTCGTGGTCGTCATGGTTGGCATCTAGGGACTGTGGCATGTCCCCCCGTGCGCGTGGAAATCTCATTCGAAAAGCTGACCTACTTTACAGCTTGGAGATGATGGCGGCGGCGTACTCGTTGGTCTTGGCCTTGCCGCCCAGGTCGCCGGTCAGGGCCTTGCCCTCGGCGAGGGTGGCGAAGGCGGCCTTCTCGATGCGGTCGGCGTAGTCGCCGAGGCCCATGTGGCGCAGCATCATCATGGAGGAGAGCAGCAGGGCGGTGGGGTTGGCGAGGCCCTTGCCGGCGATGTCGGGGGCGGAGCCGTGGACGGCCTCGAAGATGGAGCACTCGTCGCCGATGTTGCCCGAGGGGGTCAGGCCGAGGCCACCAATAAGGCCGGCGCACATGTCGGACAGGATGTCGCCGTAGAGGTTGGGCATGACGAGGACCTTGTCGTTGTAGGGGATGGGGTCGGTGGTCATCTTGAGGCAGGTGTTGTCGAGCAGCTCGTCGTCGAGCTCGATGCCGGGGAAGTCCTTGGCGACGTCGCGGGCGGTGGACAGGAACAGGCCGTCGGACAGCTTCATGATGGTGGCCTTGTGGACGACGCGGACCTTGTTGCGGCCGATCTCCTGGGCCTGCTGGAAGGCGAAGCGCAGCACGCGCTCCGAGGCCTCGCGGGTGATGAGCTTGATGCTCTGGACGACGCCGTCGACGACGGTGTGCTCGATGCCCGAGTACTCGCCCTCGGTGTTCTCGCGGATCAGGACGGTGTCGACGTTGTCGTAGGGGGTCTTGTAGCCGGCGACGGAGCGGCAGGGCCGCAGGTTGGCGAAGAGGTTGAAGGTGCGGCGCAGCGTCAGGTTGAGCGAGACGTGGCCCTTGCCGACGGGCGTGGCGAGCGGGCCCTTGAGGGCGACCTTGTTGCGCTCGATGCTCTCAATGGCCGAGTCCGGGATGGCAGTCTTGCCGTCCTTGAGGATGGGCGTGACGTCGACGGGCTCCCACGCGACGGGCGCCTTTGCGGCGGCGAAGATGTCCTTGACGGCCTGCGAGATCTCGGGCCCGATGCCGTCGCCCTCGATCAGGCTCACGGGGAAGTTGCCGTTCTTGTCCTTGACGCCATTGTACTTGGCCACCCTCTCGCCCGAGATCCACCTCCTCTGGCATTGTGTCTGGCTGAAGGCGACCGTGGCGCGGGGAGCTGCGCGGGCGAACTGGCGCCGCGCAGGGGCGGCCATGGAGCGGACGGCCAGCATTGTGGGCGTGTGTGAGGGAGAGAGAAGAAGAGCAGGTGGGTTAGGATATATGCCAATTCCCAATTCGGAGGGGTACCAGAATAGCAACAAGCACGGCAACAAATGAAAGTATGCCGGTGAGGGTTGATCACGGAGAAAGGAGTGCTTGAAGACTGAGGGGGGAGAGAGAAGAGGAGGTCGAGAGTAAAGTTGGAGTTGAAGTTGAGGTTGTCAAAGATCACACAGCAAAACGTCAACCCAGAGCCAAGCCTGGGCCGGAGCTCCTCTGCGGGTGCCATTGCCAGCCGCTAAAAAGATTCGCCCACAGGGATCCTGCGCCATTTTGCCTTTACTCCGACATGGCCGAACATACCCGACTCGGGTCGGCCCCAAGAATGCCATCTCGCCGAGCTGCTCGGCTCCGCTAAAATTTATTCTATCTGCTAGGCTTATCGCTGGTCTTGGCCATCAAGGTTCCACTCTAACGTTCTATTCTGCACCCAGCCATTTCCAACCCATCGCGACGCATCCAACGTACCTTCAACCGCAGCCTACCCCACCCACAACCAACAAACCAGTTCACGTCCTGCACAATGGGCTCAAAACGACCACACGACGAGGTCGAGGGCGAGGGAGGAGCCCCACCCGCAGCCCCAGAGGCAAAGAAGCGCAAGGGCTTCCGCGTCGGGCCCGACAACCTCCCGGACGGCGCATGGCGACGTAAGAACACCAAGATCAAGCACGAGCTGATCCACAAAGCGAAAGTCAAGAAGGACTACGCCAAGGTCAAGGCGGAGCTGCAGAAGGAGAGGGAAAGGCAGGAGAATCCGGCCCCGGGCACGGCAGCTGCAGAGGAGCCACAGATCCATCCGGACCGCCAGCAGCGCATGGACGATGAGCAGTTGGACAGGCAGCACGTCGACGGCGAGAGTGCACCACCACGGAGGCAGGCGAGGAGGAAAGAGCCGACATCCGGTGGCAACCAGCAAGAACTGGGACAACGGGGCGAGCACGAGGACGGCCCCACGCCACCGAAGCCCACATCCACAACGACGACGATACCATTCCCAGCAGAACCACCAACCTCAAAAGACCCCAAAGCCCGGCGCGAGAGGCGCAAGCGCCGCCCGGACTACTACGACAAGGCTCTGGAGGAGGGCAGCCGCAAGAAGGCCGAGGCGGAGGCGCGGGCGGCCGAGGCGGAGCGCCGGGAGCAGGAGCGGGCGCGCAGCATCGACGAGCGCGAGCGCACGCGGCGGGCGATGCTCAAGGCCAAGGGGTTCTCGGCGTCGGGCAAGCCGCGGGGCAGGCCCAAGCTCGGGCGCGAGAGCAAGGTCCTGCTGGACAAGGTGAAGAGGATGGTTGGCGCTTGAGCGTGTGGGGAGGGAGAATGGGGGGACCACGGAACAGCACCGGCACCAGGGTCGGGATCAGGAGCACGAGAATGAACAGATGATACCCACAGTGAGCATCCGGACCAAGTAAACCACTCACCCTGTTTGAGCTACGGCGGGAAGGTTGTGAGTTTGTTGCCATGCGATCGATCGTGCTGCGGGACGTTGTTACGCATCGCACGTGCAGTACTCACAGACGGTCGCCTTCTAGACAGAAGCAACAAATTATTCACTCAGCGAGGCAGACAGATGTATGCGGTGATCCGGCCAGGTCATTCGTCAGGTCATTCCAGCCGTCGTGTCAGGCTTCAAAACGCACGCCTGTCTTCCAGGGCATCCATGGAGTGCTCAAAGCCTCCTCTGCCTACCCATTCTATCACGCTCATCCTTCTTCGCGGAACACGAATCCATGTGGACGGGCATATTCTGTGTCTTCTAATTTGAAACCGTTGGGGTTTCTATCACTGCGGGCTATTTTAGGTATTTATCGCCAACGCCCAACACCCCCAGTACACAGCATTACAGGTGAATAGTCGTACAGTCATGTTGAAGAGTCTCGTAGAACCCTCCTCGTTCCGAATCTCACTCAAAATGGGAGCCTGAGCCGCAATATGCTACTCGTATTGCCGCGGGTAGCACGATAATCGCACCCGTAGCTGGCCGAGAGCCAGGCTTTCACTCATCTTTCGGAGTCTCTCGAATGGGGAGGGTGTGCGTGCCCTGTGTAACGCCGGTAGGTCTAGCCTCTTCAGAGACTGACTCTGACCGGGTCAAGCCTGAATGGTGTGCAGGCTCGTGTGTGACCGAAGCGTTGTTGCCGCCGGGAGTTATATCTGCAAGTTGTCGTTCTTTATGAAAGAACACGTCAGCGAACTGCCGGCCTGCATGTCACGCTTTACAGAAGTCGCACTCCCAGACTTACCTAGGTCTCGGATGCGATGTCGGAGCATCTGGTTCTCCCTGGTCAACATCTGAGTCTCGGCCTGGTAGAACGCGCTCTCGTCCCTTCCGCCCAGCGCGAATGGTTCCCCGCTATCCTGGCTGATGGACGTAGATCGAAGCCGTGGCGATGCACCGCGGCTGGGGGTTCGGGACCTGTGTCGTAGGTCGTTGCGGGCAAGATCGAAGGAGCTGCGAGGGAAGATGGGTGACCGAGGGAGTGAGCCAGAGGCTGAAATGTTGGGTGCTGCAGAAGTAGGATTGGAAGCTGTAGGGATAGGTTGTGCGCCAGGGGCTGGGGTGGTGACACCGGGCGACTCGTCGCCTGCGATCGCGGACGAAGACTGGTTCTGATGAGACTGGAGTTGTAGGATCTGAGCTTGTTGCTGGCGAATCTGAGACAGGAGGCGGTTCTGGAAGGAAAAGCAAGCATCAGCATATTTGAACAGGATCAAAGTTTAAACACGCCCGAGGTTGTGTCATACCACTTGAGCTTCCTGCTCGGCCTCCAACTCCTGGTGAAGCTCGCCCAAGCTGGGGGCTCGGTTGTGATGCGGATCAGCCATCAGCAAGGGCGAGCCGATGCTGGGCCCTGTTGGGCTCGTGAAGCTGCTCCTGTGGGTGTGACTATGGGTATGGGGGTGGGCGGCATCAGGAACCATCTCGCCGGGACCAGGAACAGAGGGGTCGTTGATCTGTAGGTTCATGAGGACTTGGGACCGTCTCCGTCCATTGCTGGGAGACGTGACTTGTCGCGAGAGGGAGCCAGAGGATCCTGCGCATAAGTATATGTCATGTCAGCAAGGTAGACAGCCGGTGATAGGGCGCTCGATTGGCCGGGGCTAGGGTCGGGACTGGGTAGCATCGTACGTCGCGAGTTAGAAGAGCGTTCATGCTGCAGACCAGCATTGACGGCGGCTGCGGCCTGCAAGGACGTAGACGCGGATCGGCTTGGGGAGGGCGAGCTGTTGGGACCGTGAGCCGGGACAGGCTCGCTGCCGTTGGCGTTGGCATTGGTCGACATTGCAGAGGCAGAGGCAGAGGCAGAGACTGAGCTAGAGGCTGCGACTGGGGATGAGGCTGAAACTGACGAGGAAAGCGGTGGTGGTAGGGCGGAGGGAGGGAGAGAGTTGATGTCTGGCATGCTGGAGTGAGTGAGTGGAGTGGTGGTTGCCGAAGAAGGCCCGTCGTTCTGGTTTTAAAGGACCATGTAATAATTTCCTGCCGTTCGGTCTTCGACAAGTCACTTCTGGTGAGTGCTAGGTAGGTAGCTAGATGATGGTAGATCAGGCAGGAACAATGCGGCTGGGGATGTTTGGTTCTCTCTCAATCCATGTAGGTACGGGCAACTGCTTCCTGGGGTTGGGTTGACTGAATGATGCGCGGGGCCAAGCATGGGGGAAGCTGTATGTACCGCAGCACTCGTAGCTACCGCAATGACAGGGACTTAAAAGTGGGGAGAACACGCTTGCTGTGCCTACCGGATGGGGGCGATAGCAGGTGAGATGGAGGGGCAACTGCGTCACAGGGCTGCGCCCACTCAAGAGTCACCCTCCACCGGGCAGGGGTCCGTTCATCTCATTCCACCAAGTCTACACAGTACAGTATATTACCTAGTCTAGGCACTCATCAGGCAAGAAGGGTCTTCCTCCACCGTTAGCAAAGGCCTGGCACTACACGCCATCCATTCATGCCATGCCATCCCACACCACCGACGGACTGACAGACAAACTGCCCGACTGACAGTCGGCCGCACAGGCAATTCTCATGTCGGCCTGGCAGCCCGTCATGCTGATCAGAGCCAGGTTTGGGCGGCCACCTGACCCTCTCGGAACAGGCAAATACGCTCGATCTCGATGTCCACCAGCACTGGAACTTGGAACACTGCAACCAATGCTTCTTGCCCTCGAGGCCGTTCCCCGGCCAGAAGTGAGAGCACTCAGTCAACACATCGCACCACTGACACGCACACGACCACAAACACCGTACGACTCTCTGGGCTTGTGGCTTGCTGTCGTCCCAAAACGGCGCTCGGTCATCTCTCTGCAACATTCCCAGTAGATGGCTCCTCTCGGCCATCATGATACTTCAATCTACGGTCTGCACCTCATGACCACCGGGTCTTAGACACAGCAAAATCTAGACCCTGAAGGTCTGCTCTTCCATTTCGGGCAGCCACGACCCCCGTGGGAAACTGGCGGGATGTATGGTGGGATGGTGAGCTGGTAAGGCTGGCTGCTAGACGGGGAGCCGGGGTGGCCAAGATCGGCCGGCTCGGTTCCTGACCCCGAAGTGGCTGAGATCACCGATGACTTTATACCTTCACCTGACAGCTTTCCTCGGCCCACTCCAGCAACGTCTGCGTGTCGAGGCTGTGGCTGTGGTCGTGAGCCCCGTCCTCGGTTGCACATGCCCTGATGCCATGCCCTCAGCTTGGACGCCAACAGCCGCATCTCAGACATTTTGCCTTAACAATGATGCCTCTGCAGGGGTGCTTCGAGTACCGGAGGTCAGACCAGACTAATCATTAACAAAGGTCGACTAAGTCTTCTCAACACGTGTGTGCTCCTTGCGATAGGCGGAACCACACGCCGGTCTCGAACAAAGACACTACCCTACCTAGGTACCCTCCATCTTGGCCTAGGGCTAGAACAAAAAGCCTCGAGACAGCAGAGAGACGGGCAGAACCGCACCAATGCTGTCGCCTCCGTCACGCGTCAGACAACGCGACACGGCTGGAGCTCAAGTAGGCGCCGCATCACGCGTCCGCGGCTCAGCCATTCAGTCGGTGCACTAAGTATCTACTTGAACGGACGTGGCAGCAGTCACAGCAGCTTGCGCTGCAAGGCAGCTAGCTCCTGGCTTGCTCGGTCACAGCCAGTGGAACATCACGCTTCAGTGATCATCTCTTCATGCAACCATGAGTTCCAAGTGGTCTCAAAGATTAAGAGAGAAAAAAGACGGGAGAAGCAAAAAACATAGTAGTGTTCTCTAGAAAATGAAAGGCCGTGTTAAAAGTTTACAAGCTATCACAATGTAATATATCATTATTGTCCAAGTGGAATATCAACAATAGATTTATCTGCTATACTTACCTATGCGGCCAAAGGGTCTCATGTCGTTACTACTCACCGTCGGAGGAACAGATCTCTCAAACGCTGCCATCGGCGCCTGCGAGCATGCTCATCACGAACCAACGCCTGGGCTCTCTCCGCAAGGTCCAGAACCCCCAGCAGCCCGCCCACGGCTGAGGCGTCGCCGCCTGCGAAGGCTGTCGCTGAGGCCAGGCCACGTGTGGAAGGGGACCAACGAGTCGACGGACAAGACGATGTGGCTGGATTTTGTTGCTCGGCACTGCTATTTTCAGACACTCGCTGCTCAGTAATGTCCCTTTCAGAGATTTGCTGCTCAGCACTGCCATTTTCAGAAACCTGCTGCTCGGCAATCTCCCTTTCAGAGAGCTGCTGCTCAGGGTGTACCACAGGGCTGCTCTCGCGCGTCTCACTCGAAGGGGGCGATGTGCTATGATCAGGGCTGGAGCCGCTCCTGTCACTATGGTCCGCCACGTACGCGGCGCCCTCGACTCCCAGCGATGCAAGCTCCGCCGTCGCGACTTCAATTGACTTTTCGTCAGCCAGATTGACAACCCTGACCAGTCCGACATCGAGATATTCCCGAAACTTGTTGCGAGCAACCCACTCGTTGTCGAAGACGCGAGGCTTTAGGTATCTCCGCCTCTGATCTTTCAGCAGATTTTCTCGTAGCCTATCGAGTGCCTGCTTGTCTGAAGCCATGTCCGCGTAAAGACGCTCTAGGGTCTTCGCGTCTTGGATCATTTGAGTAAGATCCTGGAGAGGGGGCCTCTCAGCTTCTGGCAGCTTACGGTCTTCGGTGTCCTGCTCAATCATGTCAGACATGTGTTTGAAGAGAGAGAATACAAGTGGGGTCTCTTCATCCTCCTCGTAGAATCCGTCCAGGAGCTCTCTCTTAACATTATATAGAAACTTGTCGACATCCCATTTCAGGCGCCAGGAACGGTTCTCGATCGTTCCCTCAGGCCCGTAGGCCAACGGCGGCGATGAATGCCCTGCCTTCTCGGAGGAGCTCATCCTCCGCCAGTCCCAGGCGGTGTGCTTGGGAGGGCCCTCTCCTGGAAGACGAGAGTACCCGAAGTCGCCAATCACAGCATCCGGGCACGACGCGCCGTCGGCTAGATGGAGGAAGACGTTGCCTACGTGCAGGTCCATGTGGCGCATATCAAGCTCGTTCAGATGCTGTATGCCCTCGAGGCCCTGGGCCACGATGCGACACACAAGGCTGAGCGGTGGCTTCGTGCGCGGGGGGATGTACTCACTCAGGTTCTGTATGCCACCGATGTTGTAGAACTCCCACCAGCTCGTCCGCCAGCCGCCAGCCATGTCCTGGGACGAGAGCAGCCTCGCGAAGCGGTCCGCCCTCTCCGAGGAGCCGAGCAGCCTGGCGACCCGCGCCTCGCGGTCCGGCCGCTCCATGCCCGCCTTGCTGTGCGCCTTCCTGCTCCACTTGAGGACCGAGAGCTTGTCGCCCGCGAGCTCGCGGCACAGGAGGACGGTGCCCTGGTACCCGGAGCCGAGGTACTCGACCATGAGCTGCCTCTCCCCGCTTGGGTTGAGGGCCATGAGTGCCCACTGGGCTGCCCCGGGTGTTGGATCTACGGACCGGGGGTCATCATCGGGTAAAGGCTCCATCAACTTGATGGACCTCGCGATGGCGGCGCGTGTGTGTTACTGGTGGTCTTACCTTTGCGCACTCTTGTTGTCCTTGCCTGCAAGTTCGTCGAGGAGTATCCCTAGGGAATCGAAGTATCTACCTGCACTGCAGGTCCAGAGACTTCGCTTGTTCACTTTGTTCTGTTGGTGTGAGCCGAGGTGGTTATTGCAGAGACCTTTTCTCGGGGGTAATACGGATCTGTTCTGAATGCTCAGATTCTTATGTTGGGTATGCCGCCATACCCACAATGCCCCCCATTGCGACGATAGACTTGATGACTCTGACAATGTGCCTTGTGCTACAACAATGCAGTCTATCAATGGCCTTGTAACCCACTTGAGAAGGGAAGACAAGAAAGGACTAGAGCATCAGGGACCAGCCAGCCGGTACAGTACCGTACACGCGGGACTACAACAGTAGAACAAACAGCTGCGGCTCTGGAATGCTACGAAATGAACCCAGCAGCGCCTTTGTCACGGAAGCAGGGGAATCAACCGGACAGACTAGGTCACGTAAAAAGAAGCAGATTGTCTCTCAAAATAGCGCCACGAGCCGCGCGTACCTTGTTAGCCTCTCCTTGTCTAATTTTCGTCTTTTCTTTTCTTTGCGTCCGTCCCAAGAAAATGTGGCGCCTCTCAAGACCTGCCGCGCTTGGTCCCCGAAGTGGGAACGCACTACTATGGAGGTGGGAAGACTATGGGACGAACTATTCTCCCGTCCCGCTCCGGAGGGATCGCGATCCTCAGACTAGCTAATCTTTTCTCTCTCTCAGGTTCTGTGAGAAGAGAAGAAAAGAAATTGGGTGCTGACGGAGGTCTCACTCACCGTGGAGGAGGTGTTCTCAGCGGAGGGGTGTGCCGGTCGTTTGGGTTCCCGCTGCTCACCACGGTTCGTCGGGGGGGGGGATGGTCAGCAGGGTGGCTGAACCGGTCAGGGAATGCCCGGCGAACGAGCGAGGGGTCCGGTCCATCCTGTGGTGCGGAGAGCCAGCCTTCTCTTGCGCCAGCTTGAAGTTGAGATTTCATGCGTGTAACTACGGGTGTGTGGATGTTGGCGTGTGTGTTGGTGGGTGTTCATCGGGGGTGGTGGCGAGAACTGATATTTTTTTCAGCCTACATCAGCACCATCTCTCGGGAGCTCCCTTCCCTCCCGCCCCCCTTCCCGCGACGCCCACTTTGGTGATCTACAGTTGCAACGGACGGGGCCCCCAGGAGGGTCCGGGCATTTTTGGGGGGAGGGGAGGGGGGTGGCGGCGTAAGGCAGAAGGTTGGCAGGCAGGCAGGCTGGCTGGCAGGTGGACCAAGATCAAAGATCTACCGGCAGAGTGGTGAGGTGAGGGTGCCTTGCAGTCAATAGTCTGGTCAGCTCGCATGCAGGGCCCGCGACACCACCAACTCCGCGGCGGCAGCGGAGGGGAGATTGGTTCGACGCGGCACGCGTCAGCTTGGGAGAGTTGATTTGTCGGAGGGGGAGGGCTGGCACATCTCGTCTCGTCTCATCATGCTCTTGTAAGGCTGTGGCGGGCTGACAGGAGGGGCCGGCTGGCACATCACCGCCCAGGTCCAGCTTGGGCGAGGCAGTCTTGCTTGCCAGGCTGCCCCCGTTGTCGCGTCAAGGCGATGAGGGCGGGCCGGCCGGCCTGGCTTTCTCGGCTGAGGGTGGGACGCCTCCGCTTGGCGGGTTGGGGGTGATGGCATGATGTTGGTGATTGAGGCGGGTGGCGAGTGGTGGGCGTTGCTGGGTGTCGCATGTCGCTGCGTCTCTTGGGTTTTGGCATGTGTGCATGTGTGTGCATGCTTACATACATATACACGCACATGTCCAGTGCAGCTCTTGGGAAGGACTGTGTGTGGCTCAAGGGGAGCCGGGGAGCATTGGATCGGGTGGCACGGCACATTCGACGCTCATCAAGCTTCGGGGTGAGTGTGAGCGGGATGTTGTGCTTGGTCGATGCGGATGAGAAGGTTTTCTGGGCATCGACTAGACAGACTATAGCCTCGATCCAGGGGACTTTCTCGCGCCGGATGAAGGTTTGCGCCGTGCCTATATCGTCGTCATCATTGTTGTCTAGACCTTCTCGGAAGATAAACACCCTCGGCTGCCTGAGACGAGAGACAGAAGCTTGTGAATACGAGATCCCAGCAGTATTGTCAGAAACATGTGGCAAGGCTCGACCATATCAAAAAGCATCGCAAACTTTTGCATTTAATGGCACTAGGCCAAATACTAGATGCTCAAATACTGCGCGATGGCGCTCGTTTCGAAACACAAGCCAAGGGTGATCTGCGGTCGAGATGCCGAACCTGGGAGAACTCAGGCAGGGTAGTACACTGCAGACGTCTGGCTGCAATAAGGTCTGGTAGGAAACAGACTACCGTGAGCAATGACCCCACATATACCGAACAATTCGATTCTGTGTGGGCAATCCATGGGACAGCCACCCACCCCAACCCTTTTTTTCCTTTTTGTGAACGGCGCTACTGCAGGTACGATACCAGTTTTACGAAGGGATCTGCGGTACGGCGCCGGGACGTGCATGCACACAACCACGGGGCACAATATGACGGGCGGGTGGGCTAGGACGGGACGCTTGTGAGGCCCAGAAGGCCATTGTTGCGATAGGCGGGCGGGCACAGAAAGAAAAGTTAGGCTAGAGAGTAGAGAGACACAGTGGGAGAGAGGGTAAGAGTGAGAGGTAGCCTGACGTCTGTGTGACACCGGGCCAATACGACCACATCGGGAGTCTGTCCCGAGTGAAATGGTACATCGGCTGGAGCTGTTTCTGCCGGCTGCTTCGTGAAACTCGGAGCATGTATGTAGGAGGACCAAGAGAATGAGAAATCGTGGTTGACAAATGATCCTTCCCGGAAAGTTCTTCGCGGCGGCACGATGCGGCGGGATGTGGTATGAGATCCGGAGGGTGTAGCAGCACGAGGGGGGTTTCGAGAGGGAAAATGATCCGGACGGAGGAGGAGGAGGAGGGGCCAAGACAGGCGCGGGCGCAGATACAGACCAACCGGTGCGCGTGTCCCCCATGAGGGGCGGCCCAGGGAGCCAGAGAGCGCGTAGCACAACCCGCAACCTTGAGTCGAACCAGCGGGATCTTGCAGTTGGAAATGGAATAGCTCGACGCGGTACGACGCGAGTAAGCGAGAGACATTCGAGAAGAGGGTGCGTGTCCAGCTGCTGTCTTGCGACCGAGAACATCGTGAGGGTCTCTTTGCCGCGCACGACCTCAAGAATATGCAAACGAGCCGGTCGCCGTCGGCCGGATACGTGGCCTTTGCCAGTTCATCTCGTGAAAACAAGTGGGCGGTAATTGCTCCTCTGCCCTCTTCCTTTTTTTTCTTTGCACACTGTCTCCTCGTCTTCTTTCCTTGGCCGCGCAGTAGTTAGGCCCTCACTCCCTGACTCCAAGGTCGGTCCCGACCAGCTGCTGCAGCCCCTGCTTATTCGCAGGCGAGGTGCATGCGACCACTGCAATACGACCCCAGCGACTACGCAATATCGCATCGCCCCAAGTGCTTACGAATGCTCATCAAGCAGCGACAAGCGACAGCGAGAGGTGCAGAATGAATGGGTGGTTTGAATTGCACATGAGCCGGATCGTACCCACCCTCACTCACTCGCTGCTTGTCTCGTCTCATCCCATGTCTGTCTGCAGCTATCGCTACAGTATATTCGTTCCTTCACGTCGCACGAACTGTTCCCCCGCCCCGGGCGGCGGGGTTCGGCGCGTCAGTGCGTGTATAAGCTGCCGAGACCTGTCAGTCGCAGGGACGAGACAGGGACTACGGACTGCTGATCTTGATCCTCTCTCTTCCTCTTCCGCGTTACGTGTGCGCCAGCTTGGTTATAGCGATGTGCCACTGCGTCGATGGGCAGAAACCGTGGAAGACAAGTGAAGTCGAACCCCCAGAAGAGGCTGAAAAGAGATTCCGCGGCCGTCTCAGCAAGAGCTCCGTGCGGCCCCTGTATTTCGTGGCAGACATGGGCCTAAGGGTGGGTGGACGAGTGGGTTCAGCGTAACGCCGGGACCGGATCCAGGTTTCTGTGACCCTCTCCTCCTCTTCCAGAGGTCCCTGGAATTACAGAAGACAAGGTACAGTACTCCTCGTCCCTGTCCTGAGCCCAAACCTTCCGACAATCCACAGCCCACATCCCACGATCGCCTGTGCGACGGTGTTTGGCTTTGATAGCCAGGGGCTGTGGCAGTCATTTAGTCAGTTTCTGCAGTCAAGTTAATTTGGGTCTGTCATTGATGAGGCGCATTCTTCAACTACCGCCGTGCGTCGTGCGTGCGCGCGTGTATGTTGCAAGGATCCCGCAAGGGGAAATAATATCGAGTCTGTCGGCAGGAGGCCCCGTTGACGGCCGCATCTGCAGACATCTGCGGGAAGGCCTGATTGAGTTTTGTTTTCCAAATTTCTGGGACCAGTGTCTGGCCCATATGGAGTTGGCTTGTCTGCCCACCTATGTGTGTGTGTGTGTGGGGATATGTGAGAGACAAGAAAATCCTTCGTGGGGAAAAAGCATGATAGATATGGGCAATCAATCGAGGCCCATTTCTCGTCGACGGCGCGAACTATGACAAAAGCAAACTCCACCACCAAGACCTGGCGAGCAGCAGGAGCACGAGTAGGAGACCCAGGTGCTATACTGTATGAGGAGATCTGACGGGTTGGGCAAGACCTGGACCTGGTCGACGGCCTGGCTGGCGTCTACTGTGTACAGCAAAGTAGATTACACAGTACTGGTGCAGAAGCACCGCACAGCCATGTCGCAGTGGGTACTGATGCGCTCTGGATTCTGGAACAACGGCAGAGCTCGAGATGGGCAGGGCAAAATGGGTCCTGGGTGCCACTGGGTGGGGTGTTTTACCATGTAGGATCTTGTTTCGACACCCGCGAAGGCTCCGGATCGGGAGCCGTCGGCAGGGCAGAGGGCGGGGTCAGTTCGTCGATTGTGACTCTTTTGTCAGAGCGAGAGAGTCAGCCTGCCTGTCAAAGTGTCAATCGGGTTGCGCTGCAATTACTGTCATGTCAAGTCAGCCGTCAAGTGGGAAAAAGACGCGAGATGGGTCATTGTTGAACTTCCAAAGCCACAGAAAATGGTGCTGCCAGCCTAGCAGTTGGCGTCGTCCAACGCCGAAACAGTTTGACGGCCACGATGTCTCCTTGCGTTTCTCCATCACCCACGGGTTCACCCATCCCGTTGCGCGGTCGTGGCCGTGGTCGCGACCATCGTCATGGGCCAGGGTTGGACAGGCGAAAACTTTTCCTGGGGAGCTAGGGTCCACGAACCAGAAGTTGGCTGTTGGACTTGGGGCGGCAGATTCCAGCAGCGTCAGCCCGTCAGCCCGCCCGCCCCCTCCCCCTGCCGTTTTGCTGCCTTGTGTGGCCGGATGTGCCAAGCTGGGCAAAGAAGACATGGCGTGGCGTGGCGTGGGCATGGCAGGCCCTCAGGACCACTCTGCTCTTCTCTTCTTGTCTCCTTTTGTGTCTTGTCTAGTTGGATCACTCGGACTTGTTGAGCTGCTGGATTTCTGTGAACCCACAAGAAACCGCAGTCTTATCCATACCGAGTCTGCTCTGTATGCAGTAAGCAATAGAAGGAATAGCTCGCGCCACTTGCAGCTCAAGCTCGAGCAAATAGGGTTTCGCGGTGCCTGGCAGGGCAGGACGCGCCTGGTGGTGGAAGAGGTGGTGGACGAGGACGGGAAGGAGGGCACACGCTCATCAAAAGCGCGTCGTGTCGTTCATGCAAGAGCGTGAGTGGTCGGACCCAAGATCGAAAAGTCAGATTTGCGAGATAGAATCGGCGGGCATCCTTGCAGAGTGGTGGTGCGGCGCGCGACGGGAGGAAGAGTATGAGATCATTGCTACTTCGCGCCGGTGTGGCCCTGGGAAGTACTGCAATGTTAAAAACCTGGCCAGGCACGCCAGGCTGGCGGCTCGACCCCAAGGATGGCTGTGCAGCCAACCAGCTAATAACACCAAGTAAATAAGCCCAGGAGCAGTTGCTGGGTTCTCGCGCTGGTCCTGCCGCCCGCCCGAGAGATGGCCAAGAGCAGATAAATTGTCTTGCAAGCAAGACCAGTGCTCAGATAAGTTTTGACAGATTCGTTCGCTCGCTCGCTCGCTCGCTCCACGGCCGTTGTAGGGGATCAAACCAGGTGTCACGGCCAGCTTGGGAAAAGCCCCAGCAGGATATGTTTACATCACATGTAGCTGTGTAGACTGGGCACCGTACTGTACAAGGGTGGTTGTCTACAGGGTGCACTTGGACCTGCCTGGACTGACTGTCTGCAGCACAGAGCATTAGCAGCACACACACACATTCGCACTCACACAGCACGCTCGGCGTACCAGACAGAACGGCTTCGTGGCCCCGAGCAGTCCCTGAGTATCACATCTCGATCACCATCACAACCTTATCCGACCACGACAGAGATTCACTCAACCGTTCCTGTCTTTCATCCCAAGTCTTGCTGTTCCTTCTTTCCCCCACACGCTCACAGCCACACCTGCAGTGCTCTACTCCGACCTGCCGTGATGTGATGCACTATTACTGTCCATGTATTCCTCGCGTAAATAGTAAATGCCATAGTATCATAGCAGATGCAATATTTGGGTCTTGGTGGTGCTACTGTCACTGTCACTGCGAATGGAGGGCGCTGAGGGGTCAGGGGTGTGTCGTGCCCTGGTCCCTGCATTGTTGGACCCCCGCCAACCTTACAGCACCTGCCCTGCCCAGTTACCAGGTACGGAGGTACTTTGGGGTACGTACCGCACCTGCCAACCCCGAGCCACCTCCACGCTTGTACACCCGTACCTATGTACCTCTGCTCTGCTGCAAGCTCCGGGTGGTACTTCGGTCAGCAACAGGAGCAGAGAGCACCACCACACCCCGGCCGGGACATCCCATCCAGCCCGCCAGCCTCGACCTTGGAGCCTGTGCCCATCTTCCCTCTCCCAGCGTCGACCCGGCCAATGTTTTTCTTTTCTCCCCCAGAGCTTCCATTCGATATTAATGTGGTCCTATGTGCTATATCATCGCCTGATAAACCCGTCTTCGATCCGCGCTGCGTTCTGGGCTGTGCCTTAGCTGTTGCAGCTGTTGCTGGCGCACAACCCTCTTACGCATGAGAGTTTGTTTTCCCCCTTGGGTTGTAACTCTCTCATATTACACACAAACCTTCCCTCTCAAGACCCCGACGACGACGCCTCCCCTTTCCTCCTCCTTTCATCACGCTCGTGAGACCGCTGCTGTTGGACTCTGCACCACTTGAGCATCACTTGAGCACCTACAGAGACACTCCACACGCCACCGACGGCCCTCCTGCACCGACTGATACGTCTCAGCCGGTGATGTTTACCTCCCCTCGTGTCTCTCGTGCCCCTCGTGTCTGAGCCCGCCTTTTTCCTGTCGCTCCCGCATCACGATACCTGTCTCATCCGTCCCTCAGACATCACACTCGCTTTCATGCCCACTTCGGTGTCTTTTCTGCTCTCCATCACCCCGCTTGTAACCAGGTGTCAACCTCCCACCGGATACCCTGTCTCAAAGTTTGCGTCATTCCTCGTTTGCATGAAGCTGTCACCTCGTGACCAAGCAACAATATACAAGCAGCCGCGCATCCTGTAACCATATCCCGGAGGCTACCTCTCTGGGCCATCGTTTCAACGGCACACTCACACACTCACAATCTGTCAACATGGCGGACTTCGACACAGCCAGCCCTGCCACCAGCAGCTCCTCAGCAACCTCAAGCGAGCCTCGGACTACACTCTCGCGGAGGCAGAGACCGCCGGACATTGACATCACGGCCGCCATGGAGAACAGGATCCCGCTGCGTGCTACCAAGGAAGCCAGGTCCAGCAAGAGGGAGTCGAGGCTGGGATTCAGGAGCATTTTCGCCAGGCACCGAGGGTCGGGTGAAGCTGATGAGATCAAGGCGGCTCGGAACGTCGCGAGGGCTGGGAAGCGGGAATCCATGACGGCGGACAAGGACGGCTGCCCACCTTATGCCTTGCGGCCGACAGCAGTGCAATCAGAGACACACCTCGCGCCGGTGTCAGGTGATGGGCCAATTCTCAGACCACGGACGTCAACGATCAAGTCGCCAACCTTCATGGCGCCGAGGTCACCTCTCGGGCCAACAACTAAGAGGCGGGGATCACTTGCCACTTGGGATCCTGTGCCTCTGTTCCAGGCGTACCCGCAGGCTGTTCGCACCGCAACCTTGCCAGCCTGTGTCCAAGCAGACAGCCTTCTCCGGGCGCACCAAAAGCGAGAATTGATCAACAACAGCAACATAAACCATCCAGACCTCGGTGACCAGAAGGCCTTGTTCGTGGACATTGCGCGCAAGAAGCACAGGCGCAACAGCTCATCTGTCAAGCTTGACTGGACCACCAAGCTTTACGTCCTGGTCACCTCGGGTTACTTGCTTCAGTACAGCGGCGATGGCACTCATGACCGCCTACCAGAGAAGGTCATCCAGCTGTGTAAAGACTCGGCCGCCTTCGCGAGCGACATCATCCCTGGAAAGCACTGGGTGCTTCAGGTGTCTTCAGTGTTTGAAGATGGTGCACTTATAAGCCAGGACACCAGGTCGCTGTTCGGGAAGTTTGGGATGCGCGAGAAGGAGAAGCGCCTGGCCTCCGACATCTTGATGGTCTTTGAAAACGTCGATGACATGGAGGATTGGATGTCATTCTTGCGGAGGGAAATCGAATCATTGGGGGGCAAACGGCCTGTGACAGAGACAGGGGCGCCGAAGGAGCCGGTGGAACACACCCAACTGAAATCTCAGCCAAGCCAAAGGGCACTGGTGGTGAGAGACCCTTACAGGTTTGTGCCGGCCATGACCAGCCCAGAGTCGCGATGGGATGCCTCGGTAGCCTTTGACGAGCCGGAGCTGCACCTTGACGCGACGCTCACGGAGCTGCTCCCGGATCGAAGTTTCGATGACAACTCCACAACCAACAGCTTCGTTTCCCAGGACGGCCGACAACTTGACGGCCTCCGAGACAGCTCCAACCGGTACTCCTTCACATCCGCAGCTAGGACTATTGTCACGTCCGACTCCTCGCCGTCCAACTCGCCAATCCGAGACAGTTTTGGGAGCCTGATCAGCAACTCTGACGAACCTACCCCACTGGCCGAGGAGACCGAGATTCGTCGCCGACCCAATGCCGCGGAGATCGAGGACCGACGTCAGTCCTACCGCACTTCCAACATGGTCCATGATATAAGCGCAGGCCAACCACCGCACAAGGCACACTCCTCCCTGTCTTCCATCCAGGAGCCGCCCAACTTCAGCCTCCCGTACTCGGGAACACGTCGCCGCTCTGCAACGCAAGACTCGGTCCATGTCCACAATGCCCACGGCGCATCAGGGCGGCCACCGCGGAGGATGAGGCGTCCCCCTCCCTCAGCGCTCGGCCTATCTAGGCCATTGTCGATTGTGGCAGACACGCCCTCCCCTTCGAAATTGTCGCCACCACCACGAAGCCCTCTCAAGACCGACGACAGCACCGGCATTTCAGAACGTCCAAATTCGCCATCGATGTTCACGGGCTGGACCGCAGGAAACGCCAAACCCGAGTATGATCTCTCGTCACGAGCATCCAGCCGTGGTTCGATGAGGACGAGCTACCAAGTGTCGGTACACAACAGCCCGCGCAAGTACGCGAGCATGCACACGCTCCGCCCTGCCGATGACTCGGTCTGGGGGGGCGAGACGCCAAAGTTCGACCTACCCATCCACGCCGCATTCAGCGGGTCTTCACTGCGCGACAGGGCAGAAGAGGCGGCAGAGATCCCCAGGAGCATGTCGTCGATGGACACGTACGAGACCTCGGGCAGGAGCCGCTCGCCCATCATCCGGGCCGCAGCCGCCCAGAAGAGGGCGAGTATGTGCAGCCTGCCCAGCGCCAAGGCGTCTGCGCGCCACCGCTCGATTTCGATGTTCCCCACGACCAGCCGACACCGGGCGACGGCGCAGTCGTCCCACCGCGACGAGCTCACTCCCGGGGGTCGGGCCACGTCGCCGTCGCCACACCGCGGGCCGCGCAGGGGGTCGGCCATGACGATCCCTGGGCATGGGCAGAAGCAGTCCGGGTCGTCCTCGCCGAGGAGCAGCAACAAGCTGAACAACAGGCGCAGCCTCCCGCAGATGCCGCACGCGCACACGCAGAACTCCCCGCTGCTTCCTCCTCCCGCCCCGCCGCCGACCAAGGCGCTGCCGCCAATCCCTCAGGCAAGGAAGAGGAGGTCAATCAGCATCCCGCCCAGGATGGGCATGAGGACTGCTGCGACTCTGGTCGGAGGGGATATTTGAACGAGCCGACAGACACTATATGTGTCTTTGCTTCTCTTTGTTTTCCTTTAAAGTAAGAATCATGAATTGAGACGGTGAGATGGGAATGAAGTATGAATTGGAACGGGTCCGAGATTGGAAGATCGGCTTCGTATATTATACAACGTCGTCATAGCACTACTGGGTGGTGCGCTTCACTTCGCTAACTGCAATTTTCCTTTGTCTGGCTTTTTAGGGACGGTGTTGGGCCGGTACGGAAAAAGGGAAAAGAGAACGGTGGGCAATTGGCGGAGCAAACGGATCCTGGACGGGCCAGGACCGACGGCGTCCCTTTGGAACGAGTGAGCGCTACCGTCTTTTTTGAGCCTTGTGTGTTTTTATTTGTAAGGACAAAGTGAAATGGACAGCTGGTGGGCGGGATATCAGAGGACGGGAGCATGTGCAGCATGATGAGAGGAAATGGTTCACGCCTGGGAGAAGGCCAACTGTGGTCACCGTCACATAAAGGGAATACAGCACAGCATTTGAGGTTTTGAGACAGAGAAAGCTAGCTAGCTGGGTGATGGACCACGGGCCACGCGCCGGCATTTGGTCGGAGCCTAGGTGTTTTTGTAAGCGAATATCTATCTGATTGAATATTCTTATTACTGAGTGGCAACACCACTTGTTGGATGTGTCGTGATCAAAGGTGCAACGGACCAGCGAACGAACGGGGCCTCTTGATGACTGAGACGACATGGCACTATGACGGTGGCACACTGCGCATTAGTTGGCCCTATCAAAGTAGCAAGATTGTGAGTCATATCATGGTCAGATGCATCGAAACGAGACGAGCGTGTAAGCTCTCGTAGTAGGCAGCGCGTTCCTCGAGTGTGATGGAAATTGGGCCGTTGCAATACCTATGAAGAGGGTGACTACCTAGGTAATTGGGGGTTTGGATGTTGGCCTAGAGGTGTTCGGTGGCACTGGACGTAAACCGGCCCTCAGGCACACAGCTTCGGGGTTCAGTGCAGTTCAGGTGGAGGTGGCCTGGCTGCCTGGGTGGCCATGGGTGGACGGGAGCTGACGGGCTTTGGTGTGGTCGCCTCTTGGCGCTAAGAGCAAAATGTGCCCCACAAAGAGCTTTGCCTTGTGCCTGCTGCCGCATACCAGAGTTCAGAATTTCGGCCATCACAATCCAACCCCACATCCAACGCCAACCGAACACTATCGCCAAATCAACCCCGTACCAGCCAGACAACCAGCCATCCGAACAATCCATCAGCCAGTCGGTCAGCAACAGACACGATCACATATCCAAGATGGCTGCTACCGCCACGAACAACCCAGCAAGGTAAGCTGTCCTGTGTGCTCGAATCGCTCATTTGGCGAGCCACGATCGGCGTCACAGCACCACACCCATGTGTCCACGAGAGCTTTCCCCCCTAACATGATGTGCGCAGGGACTGGGCCGATGACGACGACAACGAAGAGGTGCCAAGTACCGCCCTCCCCAGCGATGAGACCATCCAGAACCGCGACGGCACAAAGACGATCATCTCCTACCGCCTCAACGAGAACGGCCAGACCGTCAAGACCACCCGCCGCATCCGCCTCATCACCCACCGCGAGGTCGTCAACCCGCGCGTCGCCGAGCGCAAGAAGTGGTCCAAGTTCGGCCTGTCGGGCAGCGACCCCGCGGGCCCCGCGGCGGACACGACCTCTGTCGGCGAGAACATCATCTTCCGGCCCTCGGCCAACTGGAAGCAGGAGGCCAAGGACGAGAGCAAGGACCCCAACGCCCAGAGCATGAAGGACAAGCTCAAGGACAAGAAGGTCAAGTGCCGCATCTGCTCCCAGGAGCACTTCACTGCCCGCTGCCCCTACAAGGAGACCATGGCCCCCGTCGGCGAGGTCGTCAACGCCGACGTCGCCGCGGGCATGGGCGACGACCCCACGCCGGGCGCGGCCGCCGGTGGTGCCGGAGCGGGCAAGAAGGGATCGTACGTCCCGCCTGCGCTGCGGAACGGCGGCGCGCGTGGGGAGGGCGAGAGGATGGGCGGTGGCAAGTTTGGCGAGCGCGACGACTTTGCCACGCTGCGTGTCACGAACGTATGTTTTTTTCCTCTATTTCTATTCATCCACCATTTCTACTGCGCCCAGATCACACAAATGCTGACTCCTTTTTTCCAGGTCTCGGAGATGGCAGAGGAGCAGGAGCTGCGCGACATGTTCGAGCGCTTCGGCCGCGTCACGCGCGTGTTCCTGGCCAAGGACAGGGAGACGGGCCGCGCCAAGGGCTTCGCCTTCATCAGCTTCGCGGACCGGACCGACGCCGAGAGGGCCTGCGGGAAGATGGACGGCTTCGGTTTCAAGCACCTTATCCTCAAGGTCGAGTTTGCGAAGAAGGCTGCTTAGGTGGCTGGCCTTGGGTGATCCGGGGACGACGGGGGCGGGTAGATTGCATGAAGATATAGGGTCTTTGAAATGGATGATTTGACCGCTTCGTGCCGCGACTTTTGTTGATAATCGCGGCTTCTGTGGGCGGTCTTGGGTGACTACGTGGTGTCTGGTGAAAATTGACTGCGAGCTTGTGGAGGTCGCTACTCGAGCCAGCCACAGATGTGCACGAGATGAATCAGGGCCTCACATGGAGGCCTGGGGCAGTTACGGCTCGTCTGGCTACGATGACGAAAACAGTTGTGCAGGCCAAGCATGCGAGATTCTTAGACGTCAGACCTGGCTTGAACAGAGCGCTGAAAATGGATTCCGTGGGTTTCATAAATATGCGTGCATTTGTGCATATCATTTTAAATTCAATGATCAACCTTGTATCTGCCCCCTCGACTACTAGATATTATCGGTTTCATGACCTGCTGCTACCGTCCACTTGACCGCACATACTCTCTCTCTCTCTCTTTGTGTCTGTCTGTCCTCTTCCCTCTCCCACACCCTGATTGTAAACCTTGGATATCTCTGGAAAAACAAGCAAAAGTCCAACTCCTCCGAGTGACGTTGACATAGAAAAGATGGCCCTTCCATGAGGGCCATGTATAGATGTGGTGAGGCCCAGGTTCAGGAACCCGACCGACGACTTGACCAGTCCAAGCCCCTCTTTCTCTCCTTCTCCACCTTCTCTTCGATGTCGGATCTCAAAAGGTGATTGTGCTGGTCGTGATCGTTGCCTCGTGAAAGCCGTGATAACAGTGGGAATCAAAACGAAACAGAAAACAAAGGCAGGAAAGCAGACATGACTTGTAGGAAAAGAAAGAGTGGAGGGGGGTTCGTGTCCCGGAAAGACGTCAGTAAAACAAGACATAGGAAAAGCGCGCCGGTGATGGGGGATCGTCGAGGCATGTGTGTGTGTCCCAGCAATATCGTCGCTTCAGAGATCTCACATACGCACGCAAGTTCCATCCCCAACACGCAGAGCTGAAATCAACGTTCAGTCTCTCCCCATGTCATCCCACGCAACCCGTCTACGCCGCAGCAGCCTCCTCGCCCTCACCCTCCTTCTTCGCGGCGCCCTCGCCCTCACCCTCGGCGCCCTCAGCGCCCTCGCCCTTCTCAGCGAGCTCCTTCTCCCGCCTGAGCTTCTCCTCCAGCCTCCGCTGCTTGTCCGCGGCCCTCATCTTCCTCTTCTCCTCGGCCTCGGCCTTGAGCTTGTCGTTCTTGGCGCGGAAGAGGTACCCCACGGAGGAGACGACGCGCCACGTCAGGCGCGCGCCGTTCATGTTGTGGCTGAGGCCCTCGCGGAAGTGCTGCTTGGCCTGCGTCCAGTTGGCGCGGGCCTGCGAGCTGCGCTTCTTGGTCTTGTAGGCGCGCTCCTTGCGCTGCGCGTCGCGCAGGCGCACCGAGGCGCGCCGCCGGTTGTTGACGAGGAGCATCTCGGTCCCCGAGGTGCCCGGGCGCTGCGGCTCCGCCGATGTCGATGCTGCTGCCCCGCTCTCCGAGGCGTTGCTGTTGGCGCCGTCGCTCGAGCCTGACTTGGGGGTCTCGCGGGCCATTTCTGGTTTTGTCTTTGAGAAGAAACCCATGTGGGGTGGTTGTTTTCTTCCTGGTTCCGAGGGGTCTTTGAGGGGTTCTCTTATTGAACTTAGATGGTGTCCTCGATGATAGGGTGGTATTATGAGGTGGCAGGTCCCCGAGGATCTGGCCAGAGTTTGTGGCGGGCGGATCGGCGTCTCAGGAGGCGCTGGACATAGATTGTCTGCCTCGTTGGTCCTTGTTTGCGTACGAGGAAATTGATGAATAGGAAAGGCACGATGTTATACCGCTAGTGGTAGTATTGATTACTCTTGTTCCCTAGTCGAGCAACAAGAGCGCGTGTATGTGTATGTAAAACGACGGAAAGAGGAAGCTCGAGACTCGAGACGAGAAGGGAACCACGGAAACTTTTCTGCGGACAGGAGGGCATTACCCGCCTGATATCCGATCACCATCATGCTGCGATGGTATATTGTGACTCACCTATAGACCGCCCCTTCTGTCTTTCCTGCCCTCTCCATACGCGCTGGGGTCAGGGGCGGGCACGCGCTCTCCATGGAGGTGGGTGGGTCGCGACCGCGTTTGACTGAGAGGAGAGGGCAGAGCAGAAGAAGCCAGAAGAACATACTGGACCGTCCATCTTGGCCGGTGCTCGCTAATTCCCGAGTTCATGCGTGCGCTGCTGGGGGAGGGGGGATGGAAGGGACCACCTATAGCCCAGGGAAATTGGTGCTATGAGCCATCATCACAGCAGAGGAGACCCTTTTGGGTCGATGTGGGCCAGTCGAGTTTGTCTGCCAGTCTCCTTGTGCAGCCCATCCCTTCCCGTCATCCCATCATGCCCCCTGCCTGAGCCGCGATACCCTTGGCTCCACCATGTCGAGTCACGCTGTTCGCGGTACAACACTGCGCTGCTTGTGACTGTGGTTGTGGTGGAGCTTTTGTTGACATGGCAGCCCGAGTGGGAAAAGAGGAAGAGGGAGGGCATGAAGCTTTCCAATCAAACGCGTGCCACGTCGGGCGCTCGTAAACGGGAAGACCCTTGTCTGCCGTCCGCTATATCCGCCGTGCTAAGACCAAGGCCTGGCTTCTTGTCTGCAGTGGGCCCCCGTAAACGCTTACGCTTTCATGGGTACGGTATCTTTTCGTTTTTGAGTTTCACTGACAAGCAGGTCTGTGTTCCTCCTCTGCCAGTCGTTGAGTCTGTTTGCCGCCGGACTGAGACTGCAGCGCTGCAGCGCAGTGATGGGGTGATCCGGCCGTGGCCTGCAGGCGACGGCGAGATGCTTCTCAGTCTGGCCAGACTGTGCAGGCGTGTCTATGTTGTCACTGCCTCGGGCGCTCACTCACTGACGTTCATGTGCACGAGATGGACCGATAGAGCATTGCATCTGAGTGGAACCCATTTTTCTTGAAATGAGGTCGCCAAATCTCGATGCACCTCGGTCTCTGGTAAGATTGTGGTGCGAGCTCGACCAACTTGCCTTACTCGGCTCGATCTGGCATGGGAGTATATTTTTGTGGACCAGATCTAAGACGCCATCGAACATTCAGGACCCCGGAGATCGGCTTCTAGAAAGACTGGATTTTCTTTCTTCGTATAAGACGGGGCGGACGTCATCTCCGACAAGTGTTGGACCGAGAGCGGCCGCCCGTCCCGTGCTTGACCCGGCCGGGACGACCAAACCATGACGCAGCGGCACGGCCGAGTCAAGCTTCCCCCTGGTGCACCTCACTTGCTTAGCCCCGCTCCGGACGCTGCTCATTACCGTTCTCATGCACGGCGGTCTTCTTCGCCAGCATCACTGTCCACGCTCCGCCCGAGATGTCCGAGCAGCAGCCTCAGGTCAAGAGGCGCAGAGGCACCAAGCACGACCGCACCGGCTGCCTGACCTGCCGCGCGAGGCGCAAGAAGTGCGTCGAGAACACGCTCCCCAGGTGCGGGAGCTGTGTGCGCCTCAACCTCGAGTGCGTCCGTGAGCCCGTAAGGCGAGTGCCGGGGGCATCAAATGCTCCCAGGGAGGAGGCGACCATTGATGCCCGGCCGCCTCAAGATGGTCTTGTACCAGGGTCTGCCCGCGGCCGAAGCCCGTCTACGCGCGTTTTCATGAGATACTACGTGAACTTCCTCGCCTTGAAGCTAACAGCATGCGGCTACCAAAACTCGTTCCGCTCGGGTACGTCACCACATTCTGTGCCAGGCCGCCTTAACCCTCGACTAACCCAGCCATCACAGCTCTCTTGCCGATGGCGATGGAGTCACAGACACTCTTCGACTCGGTCGTCGCCCTCGCCTCAGGCAACCTGTCCAACTTCGACCCAACCTACCAGGTTGCGGCGATAGAAGCCCGGTCCCGCGCCCTGCGGGGCCTCGGCGCGGACGTGTCGAGGCCCTTCGCGGCCATCCACGACTACGAGACCGCCCTGGCGTCGTGCCTGCTCCTCTCCGCCTCCGAGGCCATCCTCGGCCTGCGGACCGGGTGGTCGGAGCACCTCGCGGGCACGCGGTCCGTCATCATGTCGGCCCGTCTGCGCGGCCCGGGCTCGGGAAAGCAGGAGCTCCGGGGCCCGGAAGCTTTTCGGGGCAGTACGGAGGGTGAGTGGCTGCTGCGCAACTTTGCGTAACCACGATATCCTGGGGAGTGTCACCTCTGGACGGCCGGCGCTGATCCCTGGGGAGTACCTGGAGGGCCTGGGTGATACTGTTGACTCGTACCTTGGTGTTCATTCCCAGCTGCTGGTATACATATCCCAGATCAGTGCATTGCATGCACCTGGGGACATGTTGGCCGCGGATGAACAACGGTCAGATGGGGACGAGACTGTTGATCGAATGGCGGCATTACATCGGATTTGAGCAAGAGCTCCGCTCGTGGCATCCGTTATCATCAGATCCAATCCTGGAAGCCACAGCATATGCCTACAAGAGCGCCGCGCTCATATACCTCTAGCAGCGGATGCGGCAGATAACTCCGATGACCGGGACCTCGGATTCGGTGGTTTCTGGTGAGGTCAAGACGGTCTTGGACAATATCGCCAAGATCCCAGAAGACGCTCATCCCGATGGCATCCTCCTATTCCCCCTTTTCATGGCCGGGGGAGAGACAGCCAGCCTTCAGGGCATGGAAATAATTCGCTCGAGGTTGCGTTCCATCGACACGATACGTGGGTTTCGCAACGTTCCACGTGCATGCGAAGTTCTGGAAGAAGTCTGGCGAACTCGGACCACCGCTACCGAGTGCAACAGTGTGGACTGGAAAGACATCCTTCTCAACCAAAAGGGAGGGCTCTTGCTGACGTGAAGATCCATTCAAAGCGATCACATGCTCGGAAAACCTCGAAACACCTCGTGCTGGCACCTCGCTCCGCCCACAACATTCCTCAAGGTATCCGGATGACCACCTTGCCAGTATGCGTGGCGGACCAAAGGTACTCGGGCGCCTCCACCAGCTGCTCGAACTCGAAAGCCCTGTTGATGGCCGGGTGGATATCATTCGCCTCGAAACACGCCAGCATGTCCTGCAGCTGCTCCCAGGGCCCGACCACCACGCCGCGGAGGACCGCATGCCGATCCAGCGCCAGGAACGCGGCGTCCGGCCCCTTAAGGCCCTTCCCCGCCCCGAGCGGGTCCGGGTTCGTGATGTGCCCGATGGCGTGGATCACCCCGTTGAACCCGATAGCGTCGAACGACGCCTGCAGCGTCAGCGTGCCGCCGACTTCAATGATATGGTCAGCTCCCACCCCGCCGGTGAGCTTCTTCACCTCGGCGGCCCAGTCGGGCGTCCTCGCGTAGTTGATCCCGTGCGAGGCGCCCATCGCCGCCGCGGCCTCGAGCTTCGCGCCCGACGAGGACGTGACGCTGGCCCTCGCGCCCGCCGCCGCCGCGATCTGCAGCCCGAACGTCGACACGCCGCCCGTGCCCTGCAGGACGACCGTCTGGCCCGGGCGGAGCGGCGCGAGGCCGTACAGGGCGTTCCAGGCCGTCAGCGCCGCGCACTGCAGCGGAAGGAGTCAGCTATCAAAGCCCCGAGAACTTATTTTTATTCGAATATAGGGATGACCAGGCCACAATTTGGCCATGGCTAGTTTCAAAACCTGCAGTCTGATAATGCCTTTGAGGTACAGGCTACAGATAGGAAACTGTTCCTCAGAGGGTTGAAATTGTATCCGGAAGCTGCTTAATTGGCAGGCACGACGCCTCCTCGAAGGTGAGGTAGTCCGGGATGCGCGCGATGCCCGTGCGCGGGAAGTTGAAGAACTCGCCCATCAGGCCCTGGGCCTCGCCGCCCAGCTGGGTGAGCGAGGTCGCGTACGTCAGGCGGCCGGCGACGTGGTCCTGCGTGAAGCTCGCGAGCACGCGGTCGCCGGCCTCGACTATCCCTGTTGGCGAGGAAGGTGTCAGCAGTAGGAAAATTTGTTTACTTTTTTTTTTTTTTTTTTTTTTTTTTTTTTCATCTGCTACGTACCGGCGCCATCACTGCCCGGGACGACGGCGTCTGGCCCGGGGAAGGGGTACGTCCCCAGGGCTAGAATGCAGTCCCGCCAGTTCAGCGAGACGGCTTTGATCCTGACGAGGACCTGTCCGAATTTGGGAGGCTCGAACGGGACATCTCGAAGGACCAGGCTTGGGAAGCCCTTCTTCTCGGGAAGCCAATATATGTTTGAATGTCTTTGGGGGCATTGTTGCTTTCGGCTTCTCAAGTGCGATTCTAAATAATGTAATTATATCGGATTCTCTCCCAGGAGATCCTTCTTTCTTCTGTGTGCAAACATTGTCCTATTTGTAGGATTTGGATCGCTGCTTTCTCATCGAGCAACATGGATGTTTAAGTCTATCTCACTTGGACGAATTGTGTCAGGGCGGTTTAGATACGCGGAAGAAGCCAAAGACGCCGTGCAGCCGGTGTGCCCCACTTTTACACTCGTCTTTCCACATAGGAATGTGTACTCTTCGATTCTACGCTATTTGATGACGCCTTTTTGTATAGGTCGTAAGTCAAATTTGCCAAACATGTCGTGATTGCATATTAGAAGGGTTAGGCAAATTATGCTTGTTCCCCTCCCCTCGCTGTATAAAACTATACGAGCTGTGCTATATCTCCAAGCCCGATGAACAGGATCATGTTAGGATCAAGAGGCTGAAGAGCTAATCATAGCTACCGATCCCAATGAGAGCCTGTGACGACTGGAGGCTCATCCATCACAGGCTGCCATTGATGATGCACAAAGACTGGTACTAGTATAGGTGGGCCGCAGCTTGAGCCGGTCAGCTCTGCTCACACATGGAAAAGCCGTTTTGTTTGGGAGATGGAAGCAAGCTGGTTATGTCCACCAAACTCATCTCCCAGGTGCTGGACGATAGCCTTGAGCGCATCGCTGACCAGTGGTGCTGGAGCTTGACTTACTCCCTTTCTCTTCGGGCAGGGCCGACTTCAAGCTGGACCACTCCTCCAATATTTCGTCAGCGTTTTTAGCCACAGCCTCAAAGTCTCCCAAAGATGATTTGGGAGGCCACTGAGACGGCCGGGCATCCCCCTTCCCCAGAAAAGTAGACGACCCCGTCACCGCCACATGCTGCGGGAAGCCAGAGCGGCCTTCGCCCCCCCCCCAAGGCTCCCGGCCCCCCGGCCGGGCTCAGATGGGCAGATAGGCCCCCGGGCTGCTTACATGGTATTTCTAGAAGACCTTTTCTTAGAGAACCCGATAGAAGCACCCTCCGCCTTTACAAGTCGTGTCACACTACAGCTCACCAATGAATGCTTCCTTCCATCGTAACACTGCACACACTGAGTTGCACAACTAAAGCTCAGCTCATTATACTTTCTTTGTGTCCGCCAATGTGTGAACTGTTTCTCTTCCAGCCCCCGCCCAATTCTCCCTCGGCTGTGATGATGGGGGCCAGAATCCTAATCAACTCATGGCAGGCAGAAAAGGGGCGCTTCTCTGATCTCGCTCCAAATCGTTGAATCCCCCATGCCACAACCTGCTTTTGCATGCTTTCCTTAACCTAAACAACTGTAGCAAAGTCCCTCCAGTTTTCTTTTGACTAGCTTACCCGCCCCCTCCCCACCTGCTCCGCGAGCCTTTTTGTTTTCCTTCCTTGCCTTTTCGTGTTTACTACCGCCGTAATGGCTCGGACTATTCCGCCGGGATGGACACAGAGTCCTGGGTGCTTGTCCACTGATGATCTATGGGGATGGCAAGTTGACGGGGGCCTCTACGGAGACATGCTCGGAGGGCCAACAGCGACAAGCAGTTGTTATCCTCCAGACTACCAGCCAATGACCACTATCATATATGCCACTAACACATGCCCGGACGCATTCACCCCAGCGTGCTCGACGCCAACATTGGGGAACTGGTGGTCTGTCTGCTGTCCAACGTGAGTCACAATGGACATCATAACACCAGCACCGCGACAGAATGAAACTCCTGACAACCCATACAAATCCTCTGGTTTGGTTGGCTGAGCCCAATTCCACAACTAACTATGTACCTTTGGCTTTTCAGTGCCTATCAGTTCACATGCGGTATCTCAAAAGAGCTGGGCCCCGCAACCATGTTCTGTAGGTCAGCCTGGCCGAGCGATGCCACATGGAGATGGGTTGTATCATCGTACACGAAGTTCGGCAAGGGGTTGCAGAGTCTCGAGACGTACACCGCGACAGTAAGGGTAAATGACCAGGGCACACAGTCGCTATTAGTGGTGACGACCTCCGGGCCGTTTCTCGCCTCTGACCTTCGCGGGTCTGGGACAGGCGCCTTGTGGGGAATGGCGGTTTTGATCACGTCCACGGTAAGCCTTTTCGTTATCCTCGGGCCAAATTTCATGAGAACGGTTCTCCAACCCTTCGTCTTGGACGCAATGCTTGTTGCTAACTCAGGTCGCTCCAGAGCTCCAGCAGCCTCGGGGACACAACAGCAACGGTCGAGCACAATGACAGCAATACTGGCCCTGCCGCAAGCAACACATCACAAGTCGCCAGCAGCCTCGTCACGAGCCCGGCCCCCACCGCGACAGCAGCGCTGCCGGGCGCCGGCCTCTCCACGGGGGCGGCAGTCGGCATCGGCGCGGGCGCGGGCGCGGCGGCGCTCCTGATGGCCCTAGGCGGCTGGCTGCTGTACCGCCGCGGGGTTGCCAAGGGCCGTATCACGTCCGGGGCAATCGGGCAGCAGCAGCGGAAGAGGGCCGAGGAGCCGACAGGGCATGGGGACATTACCACAGCGGCGGCGGCGGAGTGGTCGTCGCATTATCATCAATATCAGCAACCATACCATAGCTACAGCCATGACGTTGGCCGCCGGCCGTGTGAGTTGGAGCCGACGCCGCCTGCGCCGAGGGAGCTGGAATAGAAGAGGGAGCCGGGCAGCGTGCCGGATTTGCCTTTGAAGGGGTGCCGAGAGCAGCTATTGATACGGAATGTACATCTGAGACGACATATGACGTGACTTTTGTTGAATTCAATCAATCAAACCGGTGAAGCGTATAATTAAAAAAACAGTCCCGACTTAGGCCAATGTCACCTTCCAGAGACCCAACCCGGCTGGGACGTGTTGGGAGCAAAGTGAGGGAAGACTGCCTTGTTAGGTACCCAGGTACCTAGGTAGGGACAGGGCTTTTGGTACAGTACCTAGATTGACTGCCCCTCACTTACACCTCCAAATTGCTATGCCCCTTGTGGGCTGCCATTACACAGCCGGTCTGCAAATCTGCACCCGGTCAGCCGGCACGAGGTATAAGCTGCAGAGAAAGCTGGTTGAGTCTACTATGTGCATTACTACTGTACTGTTTGACTGGATGCATGAGCTGGCAATTGATGGTCGAGACGGACATGGGAGGGACGGGCCTATCATCTCGACGCGGTGGATCTCGTCGCTCTTCTCGCAGTGGTTGGTGCCAAACTCTCCGAAACATGACCGGGGATAGCATGGAGGGCGGGCAGATGCGAGCAGTGGGCTCTTTGGGATTTGTGTTGAGCATATGTACAAATATCGTATGACATTATGCTTCGCACGAAACCCCGGTCTTAAGCCTTACTAATAATGCCCGCCTGAAGGACATGATTGAGCGGCAGAGCCAGGCATGCAGTGGGAAGAGCCGCGCAGAGTCGACCTGTCACGGGAGTACTGCCGCTTGATTTGGCATTTTCCCGCCATACAGATGCCAGCCTGTGGGTCACGCTATCTGGGCTCTGTCCTGTGCCGCGGCTCTCGCTCATGGGCTCCAGTTCTAAGCTCGCCTGGTTTGGTTGGTCTGGATTTCCGGCCATGCCTTGTCGGGACGCACGTGTGGACGTGCCACAAACTACGATGGAGCAGCTGCACTTTGCTGCATTGAACGTATACTGCGCCTGTCATTTTATGCGTCCGCAACATGCAAGTTTTCCTCGGCAGGCTCTTTGATCCCGTACTCACTCTGTTGACTGTAGTCAGCCAGTTGCCACGGTACACGGACCACGAGTTCGTGGCAGGAAAACATGCTATGCCGCCAGCCTTTTCCCCGGCAACCTGGTCCACGAGTAGATGCCGACATGTCTTGCTTGCCGCACGGATGCATGGCCTCTGCTACTACTCTACCGGTATATGTGCTTCGGTATTGGCGTATGTAATGCAATCTAGGTTATATCCTCGCCGATGCCATCGCACGGCTGAGATAAGGTGGTCTCGCCTAATAAGCAGCAAAGAGGTGCCGTTTACGTCCAACATCCCTCCGAGCACACGACAATCAAGCCGCTGCAGCACGGTGAGTGCGTGCACGCGACAGTACTTTGACCACCAGCCTTGACCCTACTGCCGTTTGCAGTGGTCCGGTGCGAGAGTGCGAGAGAGGAGAGCATGACCTGGCCTGGTCTCATCTGATAGGATAGGGAAAGGAATAGATGAGAATCAAGCCAGGGAAGGAAAGAGAGAAGAAAAAAAAGGTGAGCAAAGATAGACCAACCGTTGCCAACCCTGTTTCACAGCGGGAAGGGGCGGGCCGTTCCCCCCAGCCCAGCCCAGGCCAGAGCGGGAAACCTTTTCCCTCCGTGGCCAGGTCGAGCTTTTGGAAGAGGAACAAGCCACCCGCACCTGCACCCACTACACCCACATCCAGGCGCTGATCACTTGCCCGGGTTGCTCTTCCACCTCGCAGCCCACTGCCCCAGACCTGCACCATTTTGGTCTGACCGGTGTACAGCATAGCATGTCTGGGTAGTACACATGTTCAATTTTCCCATCTTCTGCTGCCCAATCCGAGGAGCACCTGGAGCATCCCAATTGACCCCCGGAGACGAGGAAAAAGAAAAAGAAAAGTAGAGAAGAAAGACGAGAGGGAAGAGAAAACTCGGCGCTTCTCGCACTGCCAGGCACGGCTTACTCCTCTTTTTTTTGCCTGTCTCCTTCTCACCTGACCCCCGATTCTTCAACCACCACCCAGCCTTCCTTCCCTCCCTCCAACCCACGCACCTGCCCATCCACCGCGACTACCGGGTGCACCTGCCTGTTTTTGTTGCTGTCTGCCTTCCTTTCCCCCAGCCCGTCCTTGGCTGCGCGCGAACCACCAACCACACTCTCACGGCCAGCCGATGCCATAGCATAGCCCGCTCGTTTCCTCCCCCTTCCCCTCCTCCCCTCCTCTTCCTCCTGTCTCACGCCTCCGCCTACCTCACCCCCGTGCCATCTCCGGCCGTCCTGCTCGCTCCCCCTGACGCCCTGTCGCCTTGAGATGAGGGGCAACACCGTCGCGGACACTTGGGCGCGAATACCTGGCCTCTCGTCATACTGGTGTCTGCAGATCCAATGGCGCGTCGACGAAGACGTCGTCGCTGCTCTCACCGAGCCTCGCTACCCTGTTCCTGACGAGAGTCTCGACACCATCATCCTCGTGCAGACCATCTACCTTCTCCAGCTCTTCCTCCACCTTCACGAGTTCGACCCCTGCATCAAGGAAGGCGACCCGGACGAGGAGCTCCTCCGCCTGTTCCAGGACAATCTCGCCCGCGAGTTCAATGCCACCTACGGCACAGCCCACGCCCGCTTGGATCGAGGACCCTGTCCGGATGGCGAATCACTCGAGCGCGTCGTGCGCGGGCTCATGCTCGCACAGAGGGAGGCGGGTCAGCAACAGCCCGAGCGCTCCCGCTCCTCGCACTCCGACTCGCCTGACTCTACCAAGTCCAGACTGCAGCAGCTGCTCGTCCAGCTCGTGGCCGAGCTTAACAAGCCCGTCTACATGCACAAGTCTCGGTACGAGGAGACCCACGGCCCACGGACAGACGAGACGTGGGCTGCGCGCTTTGCAACGCGTGTCATTCAGTGGCGCTTCCATATGCGCAACCCATTGGTCCAGCCAGCCCTGAGGGACCAGATCATCCGCGTTGTCGAGGACGCCCACGCGCTGGACGAGGAGGGCTTGGAGGTGTATCGCATGCTGAGGACCGCGGCGCCCGGCTTCATCCACGTCGTCACGCCCTTGCAGCCCGACCTGCAGCCGACACTGCGGCAGCCGAACCCAGCCCACCACGTGCCACACTCGCATCAGCACCAGAGGTCCATAAGCAGCGGTGGCATGAAGATGCAGCACATCCTGGCCTCGCCATTGCCGCAGACACCGGACCAGACGCCGTCGGCATCTTCGGCCACGCCGCGCACGCCCTTATTCCCTCGACACGCCCAAGTCGCGGTGCCACCGCCACCATCATCATCACATCACCATGGCGACAACGCCAGCAACAAAAGGGCCTCAGCACACGACCTACCCTATCCGCCAGCGAAGCGACCACGATCAGCACATGCGCAAGACGCAATCGAGGCCGACGGCGCGCATCCCGAACCGAAGAGAGAGCCACCGACGGCAGACGACGGGAACCCCGCGGGCGAGATTCCGATACGGGGCGGGCAGGTGGGCGACTCTGCGGGGCCCCCACAGGCGGTGGGAGTCGAGGACGCGAACGTCCTCCAACGCATACTGGATGGTGTCACCGGGCTTCACCAGAGGATGGAGGGGCTGCACCGGGACCTGGGCCAGAGATTCGACGCGCTGGACGACCGACTGCAGCGGCTGGAGGACTGGATGACGGTGAGCCAAAGTTTTCCTTGCTCCCTTGGGCGTCCGCCCCTTTTAAAGAGCGGCGCCACGGCGAATCAGGGCGACCTAGCTGTTCTTTCTTCTAAGACATGTCTTTCGGCGCTAGTGCGCGAATCTAAAAAGATGCTAGTGTTTATGGGGAGTCCGACTAACTTTGGCAATCATTGGGGGAGAAAGGATCCCGTATAGTCCGCGGGACCGATCCCTGGCCACCGTCTTCACAGGGCCGCTGCGTCGAGGTCGAGCGAAAGGGGAGCCTCAGGTTCCACAGCACTGGGCTCCAATGAGAGATCATAGCTGTGTACTTTCGGCCCATGAGGGCCGTTCCGGCGTAGAGAGGGAAGGATCGGATAGTCAAAAACAATACTCGGCCTGGCTCTTCTTGTTGTGGGGGAGAAAGGGTCAGGATTAACGGGTGGGCGGCCGATAATACGGCTTAGAACGGCGGATTCTGGAGTTTGACAACCGGCCCGCTTCCAGCCCCCAGTGAGAGGGCGGACGGCGGAACGGACATCATTTATGGTAGAAGCCGGACTCGGCGGCCACAAGGCTTGTCCCAGCGCGCCCAGCGCGCCCCTTCGCCGGGGAGAAGACCGGCGTTGCGAAAATATGATAGCTATGTAAATGCCATTACATCAAGAACCAACCGCCTTTCGGCTGGCACATATATACACACGCCGACAGACCAGACAGATAGGCTGCCTCGGCCCTGACTAGGCTTCGGTGGCTTCGTCCGTCGCAGGGGCAGGAGTCAGATGCTTCTGGGGGACGGTCGTATTTTTGGTCGACGCGCCCAGGTTTTTCTTTTTTCGGTCCAGATCCCGAGAGAGGGAAAAAAAGGAAGGATAGGGCAAAAAAGAAAAGGAGATCGCGTGGGACCGAGATCGCGCCGAACGGGACCTGGCGAGCGCAGGGATTCCTTGGAATGGAATTTTGCTGCCACTATTATCGGTCTCGACTTTGCATATAGGACAAACAAACAAACGCCTACCTTGGACGGATCGATGTGGGATCTGGGTTCCCCCTCCCCCCTCTCCTGGGAAGGATCACACAGGAAGTGGGATCTCGCCTTGTTCCGACTGGGATAAGCCCTTGATGCGCCCAGGCGGTCCTGGCATGGCGGCCCTGTGTGGCTTGACAAGGAGTTTGCCGGGTCGTCAATCTCTTGGTGTGATGTAGGTGCGCGCTAGGAGGGGTGTTGGCTTTCCCATCTAGGCCTGGAATCACAATTGTGAACCTTTTCTAGTTCTCATGCGTCTGGCTTGCATGTTGACACAAGCCTCTGGAACCTCGCCCCCTGGTTGTCGGGCTGCAACATGCCGCGTGGTCCCTTAGCCCTGTTGGATACGCGGTGATGTCAGGCCAATCTGTCAAGATATTTGCGCGCAATATGGGCTCGGGTCGTAATGTTACCTCAAGCACGATTCGCAGAGCATGAATCGAAGTTAGAGATATGTTACGCACCAACTTAGCCCGAGTCGCGGCGTTACTGGCCATAGACGGCTTCTCAGCGATGAGTACACCGCTCAATCGGGGCGATAAAGCGAGAGACGTGATAATAGCATTCACAGTTGCATCATCTGGTCACCGTAATATTGCACTGGTTATGTGGCTGAAGGAATACGTTTCACGTTGCTGCTGTATCCGTAGGAGGTTCCCGAGCACTGTCGGATTTCACATTCCGATGGAGCTGTCTCCCACAGTTACACTCGATGGAAGGTCTGAGTTTCGCAGCTTGTGACTGACTAAATAGAACAATCATACTGCTGCCCTCGACCCTGGGCACAATACAGCGCAACGTCCCATCACTCCAACTGCTCGCACGAACTACCCAGGTACGACAAACGGGACCAGCGCGGCCTTGCATGAGTGATACGGCGCGTTCTTTTTCCAAGAATCCACACCACATCTGACTGGCTACATCTATAGCTTCTCGCAGTAAATATCCCGCCGTGGTCTATCCACTCCTCGCAAGGGGGACTGGAATCGAGTTTTCGGCGACAAGATAATGAAAAAGAGGCAGCTGATAATGAGTGCCTGTTCCCTGAAAGGCGGAAGAGAGACTATATTCAATCGCTTAACAAACAGGCTAATTGGAACTGATGGACTCCAGATGTCAGCATAGGACAAGATTCAACAGCGACAAGATGCTGAAGTCAACTGGACAACACAGAATTGTCTCTCTCAAATCGGTTACTCATGGCACAGGTATCACTCCCGCGGTCAGCTTCGCAGAGGATCAACTCACAATCCGTCTTATCAGATTACCTCAGTTGCAAGAAGAACAACCGCAGTCCAAGACCGGACATGATAACGAGGCAAGACCCCAGATAGGGCTGCGCAAAAAACGTAATATTCCCTCCGTCAACCTAATCAATACAGAATCGAAAGCAGAATCAAAACACAGAGCCGCACATAGAATGCATGAAACCAGCGATCCAACCCAGCCCTGAACATCACTCCAGCGAGTCGTCGACGTCGTCACCTCTGGCCCCTTCTCTCACCCCCGTGTCAAGGCTGCATCCTCACCAGATCGGTTGCTGAGCACTAGTACTTCCGCGGACCGGGGGCATTTGCTGTGGAGGGGGGGGGGCCAACGACAACCCACCACCACTAATTGAAAGATGGCCCATCATCCTCAAGAAACCGGATGAGTACGACCGGGCAGGGGTCGCAGAAAGCCACCACGGCTCCACCTGGGCCTGCGCGCGGGCCGCGCGGAGCCGTCGTCAGCGTCGTCGTCTTCACGGTCCCGCCTCCGCCTGCTCCATCTGTCAGGCGGCAGCGCCGAGCCGGGCGGTTGAGCAGGCTGCTGCTGCTGCTGCCGCGTACCGGGCGGGGGGTCGCCGTTGTCGCCATCATCATCATCATCATCGTCATCATCATCGGGAGGACTGTCACCAGCATTGATGATGTCGACGATGTTCTGCGCCGCCGCCTTCAGGGCGTCGCACGCGGAGCTGAGGCCGCCGGCCGCCTCCCTGATGGCCTCGAGCTTCCTGGCCTCGCGGCTCCTCCTGCGAGGGTGATTGCCGCCGGCCGTGCCATCCCCAGGCCCCATCTTGGATGTCGAAGGACCCGTTGTGGTGTGAAGTCCCAGCATGGACGGTCCGGGCATGGTGGCCCCCGTCGTGGAGGGCCCCGTCCCGGAGGCGCCTGGTGTGGGAGACCCCGTGGACGACGGCGAGCCCGGCGTTGGAAATCCAGGGAGTGGGAACCCTGTGATGGGGAACCCCGGGACAAAGAATCCAAGAGGCGGCCACCTCGGCGGCGCGGGCGGTCCCGAGCTCTCGGGCGGCGGCGTTGGAACGGCGCCACCGCCGCCGCCGTTACCCGGCGTGGGCGGCGCGATGATGTGCGGCTGGGCGACCGCGGGCTTCCTGCCCACCCAGTCGTACGAGCTGGCGAGGACGAGGTACCTGTTGTCGCGCATCCTCTCCAGGATGGGTATCTCCTCCATCTCCTCCGAGGACGAGGACCCGCCGGAGGAGGACGAGCCGCGCTTTTCTCCCCGCGTGCGCGGTGCCTTTGCCACGGGGCGGTACTTGTCGCCCTGGGTCATGCGGTAACTCGACCGCGGCAAGTCCGGGTGCTCGTCGTTCCACTTCTCTATCATGTCGTCGAACATGAAGTAGTCGTTGGTGTCGGCCTCGTCGATCTGGCGCTTCAGGTCCCACCTGAGCGCGCGGTCGAGGCGGATGTTGGGCACGGTCCACGAGGTGCTGAAGTCCATGATGCGGCTGTCGACGTAGTTCCTGTCCTGGATGTCGCGGTGGGTGATGCCGATGCTGTGCAGCTTGTTGATCCCCTGCGCCATGTCGTGCGCCTTGCCGATGTCCAGGGCGCCCAGCCTGCTCGCGTCCGGGATGAACTCCTTGACCAGCGCGTAGATGGGGAATACGGGCCTGTCGGCCACCTCGGCGTCCGTGGATATGGACTGGGAGAACCACTCCCTGCGCGGCAGCCCGATCCTGTCCCACACGACCGAGGCGTAGGTGGCCTCGTCCAGGGCGAGATAGCCGTAACACCGCCAGGCTATGTCCTCGTTGCCCGTCTCCTTTAGGCGGCCGTATGCTCGCGCCTCGCAGTTGAACGGCGTGAGCTGGTCGTTCAGCAGCTGCAGGTCGACGCCGAACCTCTCGAGCTTCTCAGCGCTGGCGGCATTCTCCTCCTCGGCCCTGATATGCCTGAACATCTTGAGCGCATACTTGTGGCCGTCGATCTTGACCTTCCAGACGTGGCTGTGGGCGCCGCTGCCGAGCCCTTTTACGAACCGGACAGTGCCGTGGTTTCCATCCTTGAACTTCCCTAGCTTCGGCCCCTATTGTATGAAAGTCAGAAATAGTCCTTGGGAGAGAAAAAAAAAAGACCTATCTTCTAGAATGCGGCTCGGCTTTTACGAGAACCCCAATGCACGTGTGCTTCGAAGACTTACAGGTGAATTGGGCAACATATCGTCTGCATTTGACACTATCCTGTTGGACGCCACTCGGGCCCGTCACTTGATGTTATACGCGGGATATGGTATATGTCCTCGATGAAACATTGGAGCTTACGTTCGAAATTTCTTCGATCATAGGAAATCATCGTTTCCCATGTCCCCACTCAATCGGAGACAAAGCGCCACAGTACTTTTGGCTGGAAATTTGCGGCATTGTTCTCAATATTGAGAAGAAATGACAAAAAATACTTCTGCCTTCCGGATTCGTCCATTCATACCACAATGACAAAGAGATTTTGATTTGCCTCGGGAGGGCAAGCAACTTGTGTCTCCCGGATTTGGGTGAACAGACGACCTTTGCAGCTAACAGCAACTTGTAAAACAATTATACCTAGGTAACCTCCGGGAGCCAAATTATTGACTTAAAAGGTCAAGGCTACAGAATTCGAACGACCTTGTGAGAGCAAAATCCCTAAACTGTAAAACTATTTGTATCTGTGAATGCTTTCTTCATGTGCACGCATAGTGGGCTTAATTCCGCAGAGACTCACTGCTTACGCTTCTGATGATCAATTCCCACATTGGTCCAATGACGACGTTTGATCTGTTAACATCTGCGTCTGGTCACCAAGGACACGTCACCTATTGCGAAGATAGGCCAACCGGTCAAGTCATCATGAAGCCGATCCTTGTACAGTATGGCTTCGGCTATGGCAGAAACAAATACTTGCAAGAGGGCTGTGCGTGTCTGCACTCGCGGTAGCCCTGGAGTATGCAACTGCACAATTTCCAATCACTAGGAATGCCTTAAAAGTCCTGCCATGGCCCGTCATGTTTCTTCCATGTCTTCCAAATCGAGGTCCTGAAATTGCAAGCTTCATTCTGAGACGGCGAATAGTAACGACGTTTCAGTAGGGCTTACGTGATCATATCAGGTTGTGTAGATCATATGTCAATTGCCGTCTTACAGATCTGCGAAACTCATTTTGTCCATCAAATTGGGCCAGCTGGACTGGCTTCTGTACAACACCCCGCACAGGCTTGCAGATGGTAAGCTTACTCAGTACGAAAATCCCGTTGGAGGTGGACCGTATTCAGACTTGTCGAACTGAATAAAAGCTTGACACATCCTTAGCAGAAGCTTGTTCAGCTTGGCGCACGATCATGGCCCAGTACGCAGCAAAGTAAAGCCCCACCTAACGCACTCAACAGCAAACGCAGCGACAAGATGTCCTCGCCGTTGTCCCTGGTCTACGGACCACGCTCTCCTCCTCTATGGAACAAGACACTGGCAGATCTGATCCATGAGCAGGAGTCCAAGTATGCGGATCGAGAAGCGGTTGTGGTGCCCTGGCAATCAACTCGTCTTACTTATAGCAGACTCGGGCAACGTAGCGCCTTGTTGGCCAAGGCTCTACTTGGCGGAGGCTTCAAGCGCGGTGACTGCGTGGGCATCATGGCTGGGAATTGTTACCAGTACATCGAGGTATTCCTTGGGGCCGGGCGCATCGGCTGTCCCGTCGCTGTCTTTAACAATACATTTTCGCCTCGAGAATTGAAGGCAATGATCGAGCGCACCGGTTCGTACCGGAACACCCAGATAATACGATGACACGTACTAATTCAAACCCGATAAAGGTTGCAAGATGATCTTCATGGCCCCAGAGGTTGGCAACAGAAGCCTGGAGGGCCACCTGCGGATGATTCTGGACGCCCCCCGAGGAGAGCTTCCGGTTCGTCTGTTGGTTCTTCTGGCAGACATTCTGCCTCCCGTGACAGTCGCCAAATGCCAGACATACAACGAGTATATGGCTTCCATAGAGGCTGGTTTTGTGAGCGACTCCATCTTGAGTCGGGCCGAGAGCAGGGTGGCGCCTTCGGACGTTGTGAACTTCTCGTTCACATCAGGTGAGGCTCCATTTCTCCTGATGCTGAGAATGAGCCCGAGAGTATTAACCCAAGCAAAAGGTACAACTGGACTCTCAAAAGCAGCCGCCCTGACCAACAAGTGCGTCCCTCTCTTTTTAAAATGAAAGTCTCTGTTGACCTAATATCGCATCACTTTCAAGCAACATCATCAATAATGGTCGCTACCTGGGCCTCGCGATGCAAATCACGGAAGACGACGTCTTGTGTTGCCCACCGCCGTTGTTCCATGCCTTCGGCCTCGTCATAGGCTTCCTGACATCATTCTGCAACGGTAGCAAGATTGTATTTCCAGCCCCGACATTCGACGCAGGCGCGGCTGTCAACGCCCTGGTTCAGGAAAAGACAACAGTACTGCTCGGCGTGCCGTCCATGCTCCTGGCTATGCTCGAGGAACTACAAAAGACACCCCAGAGGCGTGTCGAGACGGTTCGCACCGGGATGTGTGGGGGCTCGGCAGTCTCCCCGGTCCTGATACGCCGGCTGGAGCAGGAGATGGGCCTCCCGCACATGCTTTCCGCGTACGGCATGACCGAGACCGGGCCAGTAACCTTCGCCACCTCGGTTGAGGACACCCGCAACAATATCCTCGGCACGGTGGGCCAGGTGCTTCCGCACTTTGCCGCCAAAGTGGTGGATGGCGAGGATAACATCGTGCCGCGTGGGACGCGGGGCCATATCTGCACGAGCGGGTATGGGCTGCAGCGAGGCTATTGGAGGGACGAGGCCCAAACAGCACAGGCTATGAGGTCAGACGCGGACGGGGTAAGGTGGATGTATACCGGCGACGAAGGCTTTCTTGATCAGGCCGGATATATGCACATCACTGGCCGTATCAAGGACATAATCATTCGAGGTAGGCCCTCTTTGTCTCCCTTTAGAAGCCCCTCTCCGTATTCGTTAACCGTGGGTCTGGCGCCTTTTTGTAGGTGGTGAGAACATCTCACCTATCGAGATCGAGGACCGCCTGCTCGAACACCCCAGCGTCAGGGAATGCTGTGTGGTAGGCCTGGAGGATTCCCTGTACGGCGAAGTGGTGTCCTGCTTCCTGGGAGGTGCTGGGGGGATGCGGCCGGCTGACCAGGAGATACGATCCTGGGTCACGGCGGAAATGGACTACCACAAGGCTCCTCGTTACATCTTCTGGCTCGGAGAATCGGACGTTGGCGAGGAACTGCCCAAGACTGGCAGTGGCAAGTATCAGAAGCATTTGATACGCGCTAAGGGTAATGCGCTGGTGAAGAGTCGTAATGTCCGGCCGAAGCTATGAGTAGAGGTGGAGTACGTACAAGTCACAACAGATAGTCAAGATATACCTGGGAGCGAGAAGTGGACTGGTCAGTATGGAAAGCGCGGTTAGGTTCAGCTCAAGGGCTGCAGGTTGCAAAAGCGATACTGGGATACAGCGTCTATGTGGTGGTGGCTGCGCGGTGACCGGTCTCCTGGCCGTAAAGAAAAGCCGTTGAGACCAGTTGCAGATAGGTGACTCATTAAGCAGCACGGCGCAGCTATTTCGTTGCCATGGCGGCCCACTTTGGGACTTTGACCTCACCAACACACCATAAACCCTCTCTCCGCATCTTTGGCGCCCTCTTTCACCAGATCACTTACACTTCAATTTATCTTGTCCTCGCTGCCTGCCATTTCCTCATCATGTCCTCGACCGCTGAAACCAACGCAGGTTGCAGTGGCATTGAATCAGCAAATAACATGTCAACAAGCGGTGTGGAGGACGGACAAGTCGCAACTGGCCGTCGAATTGAGCCCAGCGAAGCGCAAACGACGTTGGAGGGTTTACCATCCGAGTTGCGCTCTCAAATCCTTTGCAGCATCGGAGACCTACCCACATTGAGGTCGCTCGTCCGTTCGTCTCCCACATACCACGAGCAATACAGATTGGACCGCGACAACATCCTGAAGCATTGTCTAGAATCCGACCTGGACGGCTTCTACATCGATGCTTTTGCTACACTTAGGTCTCGTGTCCGCAAGCTGGGTCAAAAAAGGACCAATGAGGTTGTCACCACCTTCTTGGGCTCCTACCGCCAGTGGTTATCAGGGCCTTGTGATTCACTGGCAGCTGCATCGAATGCAATGTCGATCAGTTGCTCAGACATCCACTGGCTTTGTTCGTTCCACCTGTCATTTATATTACCATTGGCCGAGTTCTTCTGCCACTGGGCCTATACAAATCTTACAAGGGCTGCTGCATCATCTGAGAATGTAATTCAGGACGAGCCAGCAGCAACACAGAAAATGGATCTATCTTTAATAAGCAACAGCGAACGAATCCGTATAATGTGAGCCCTGTATCGGTGTGAGACTTACTACCATATTTTTGGTCGAAATAAAGGCAACCGGTTCGGCGGGTTCCGCGACTTAGAAATCGCAGAAATATTCTTCAACATCTTTCAGCCTTGGGAAGCGGAGGAAATAGGATGTATTGATTTGTTTATCCAAACAAAGTACACCCATGTTTTCAATGAGGTCAAAGCAGACCTTCATCCAGATAGCCCCAGGTTTGATGATCAGAGGGGTGGGCGGGGGCCAGAACCTGACGGTTCCTATGAGCTGGATATATTTTGGGATGGTGAGCTCAAATTCTAACGCCCCAACGCCACTAGGCGATTCTGCATGTTCACGGTCACTAACGTAACTATGATCCGTTGCGTAATTGTAGATTATATGCGTGGGACCATGTCACGCGGTCTTGAAATGACAGCAAGAATCCTGAGCGTTGTCAACAACCATGACCAGCTCGTTGATGAGATGGCCCGTTGTCTAACTCCATTTCATCACCTAGATGCACAGATGAGCGAGGCCCTGAGTGCGATGGCGCAGTGCGACAGACGAGAAGATCTCAACTATACCCCCAAATGCTCAAGATGACGCCCAAGGGCGCGATTTTTTACCGTTCCAGGGGGATACAGTACCTCCTACGGGACCCCCTCTAGCCTGGGTTCTTTTATAGAGGGGAAGATATGTGAATATTTGTGGGGGCTACATTCCAGTGCCTTTGAAAGAGTATGGATGGGTTTTTTGGGATGAGTGTCGCCTGGATAGTATGGGTGTTAGGAAACTTATCGCTGAACAGTGGAACGCAGCACCAGATCTGGTCGAAGAGATTGAGACTGATTATCCCTGGTTGAGTTATGTTGGAGAAGATACTGACGCATCGGCCTGATGTGTCCTAGAATAGAATACCGAGTTATACAAGCACGCACTATCCAGTATGACGTGCAGGTATGCTTACGATATGAAACTCTCATTGTTACAAAGAATGGTTGTGAGGTACATATGCTGTTCGAAAAATAGATTTCTAAAGGCATACAGCAGACAACAGAGAGTTGTCTGAAGGAGGGAGTCAAATAGCTGAGGCAAGACTATGCTTCAGCCACTGGCATCCCGCTGATTCCAGTCTTGGCGTACAACCGCAGCACCGTTTCAAGATCGCTGTACAGGCAAAGTCAAGAAGCCGAACAAACATCAAACGAGATAACCAACCGACCTGGTCCCTGCTGAACACCCCCAAAATGTAACCATATGTCCGCAGCTGGTATCGCTATCACATCCTCGCCAAAGAGGCTGAAAACATCCCCTGCAACTGACAACCGGGATTGTTTCTGGTGTAAACCTAGGGTGCCGCGCGCTGGTCGAAGCATAAGGGGAGCCAGAGTACGCCCACCCAGCTTCCACAGTACGCCTACCTAGCTTCCAGCGTTAACCTACCTAATATAAGGAAATTGGCTATATGTGCTATAAAATAATATTATAAGGTTATTAATAAAGCATAATTATAATTATCTTAAAGAAGTTTTATAACTACCCCTTTATTTATAATTTAAAAGTTACTTTTACTCTTTGCCCTTTGCCCTTTACACCCTTTACCCTTTATACCCTTTGCACCCTTTGCGCCCTCTACACCCTCTAGCGCCCTTTACGCCCTCTTGCACGCTCTTATATGCTTCTAGGCCTTTTTAAGTTATTTATACCCTTTAAGCTTTTTAAGCTTATATTTTTAAAGTATTACTTAAATTAAAAAATAATTACCTTAGCTTCTTATGTATAAGGTAAACTTTATGCTTGTTTAAAAAAATACCTAATCTTATTAATATAATATTAAGAAAAGAAAGTACTAGGTAAGCACACGCTGGAAGCTAGGTGAGCGTATTATGAAAGCTAGGTAGGCGTACTCTGGCTTGCATAAGGGCAGTAGGCGAGTTTAATCTGGGTTTTAGCCCCAGAGTCGGCGCTATTGTTGAGAGGAAACTACTTCACGTCAGTTCACGACAAAACACCCCTTTCCAACGTTGCAACGACTGAATCCCAGTTCTTTGGGTCAACAAACTAGAGCACCGGAGGAGCAGCTGAGGAACCGCGTCTCGCAAACAACCTTTGTAGGGGTCGTCTGAACTCACCCAGTCACGGACAACCCGCAACTCTGCCAATTGGATGAAACGCTCCTCCCATTTACCGCATGTGAAATCTGCAGGTTGACCACCCGGCGCGCAAAACACTGTGGAGGTGTTGCTTTTTGGAAGCCCACAAATGTTGAGACCGGGCACTGCAATCCGGTCTTAAGAATACAGTCCACGGCCCTTGATCTCGCCCCTTGAAGTAGAGGCGCTTCGAATACCAAATTGAGCTCTGCTTAAGCTGACCTACAATGGCCCATATATAACATTCCTGCTTTCGTACACGTACTGTTTACTTCGACAATCACCATTGCCAGTCACATTTGGCGAATGTACAAAGTTCGAATTTCCAGGATCACTTCTTCGAGCTGAGCGGCTGTGCAGATTAAATTCGGCGGCACGCGGCCATGTTGCCCTCATTCTTCAGACGACGCTACGATTCAGACGAGGCCACTCGACGGCACGCGTATATTCCATTAGAAGATGTCGACGAAAGCAAGGAGTTCAAGTCCCTGGTCGACGAGGTAGAGGGAGATTCACACTTGCAGGGAGATGAGCAATCCTTTTCCAAAGGAACACACTGGCAGCGACAGGATGGGTTGAGGAGGGTGTTGGAAACTCTCGCCTTGCTGGTCCCAAGCTTCCTGGAACCAAAGCGGGCTGATGCAAAGCCGCTTCGCTCTACAGCCTGGCTAGGTAATGCAGATCATACCTGATTCTTTCGGTTGATGGGACTGACATGTTGTCACAGACGGTCTGCGCGGAATTGCAGCTTTATGTGTGGTATTCGTCCACGCCGGCCTGGTGTGGTTCTCATGGGACATCCAGTCGGCGTGGACACCAAACCCTCCCCGGCAGTGGTGGCTGTACCAACTGCCCATCCTGCGCCTCCTCGTCTCGGGGCTGGCTCCAGTCTGCGTCTTCTTCGTCGTGTCCGGCTATACCATATCGCACCGCTTCCTGACGCTGGCCCGCCAGGGCAGGTTCGAGGAGGCAGGCTCGGCCATGTCGTCGTCCATCTTCCGGCGCCACACGCGCCTCTTCCTGCCGGCCACCGTGGTCAGCTTCGTCACCGCCATGATGGCCTACCTCGAGTGGTTCCCAGACCAGGGGCTGCCCGGCGTGGCCGTCCCGACGAGACTGCCGCCGAGCTTCGACAGCCTGTGGGGCCAGCTCCGGCACTACGTCCTCGCCGAGGTCTTCACCACCGACCCCATCGGCCAGCCCCATCTTCGGGGCGATACCGTCGGCCGGCCGGACCCTCCATATGACCCCCACCTCTGGACACTGCCTATCGAGTTCACCAGCTCCATGGTGGTGTTCACGTTCCTGACGGCCTTCGCCAGGGTGCACAACAAAGTCAGGATGCTCTTTGCCCTCGGCCTGGCTCTCTATCTCCAGTGGGTCTTCGTGTACTGGGGCATGTTCCTATTCCTGGGCGGCATGTTCTTGTGCGACCTGCATTTCGAGCTCGAGGATAGCAGGATGTGGTGGTGGTCGACCCCACGGTCCGAGCTACAACACCAGGGCGCATCACCCTTGGGTGGCTTTGTGCCCCGGACCGCGAAACCAAGCGACACGGCTTATCGCGTCCTCGGGCGGGCTGTGGGGCTCGTGTCATTCGTGCTCTCGCTGTGGCTTCTCAGCATGCCAGAAGACGTGGAGGAGGCAGCGCAGGCACCCGGCTACGTGACCCTGGCATCCTGGGTTCCGCCGGGGTTCCAAGAGGCCCTTGTCATACCGGTCGGCGCAGTGCTGACAGTGCTCGTCGTTGACCAAGCTACATTTTTACAGGTTCTTTTTACGAACCGCTTCTCCCAGTACATGGGGAAGATCTCTTTCTCACTATACATGATTCATGGACCACTGCTTTATTCATTGGGCCTGGTCCTAGGTCGGTGGACTGTGGCTCTTGTCGGTGGTGGAGAGAGTGATACGTTCTACGTGTTTGGCATCTTCTTGGCATTTATCCTATGGGCGCCTGCGGCCATCTATGTTTCCGACCTCACCACCAGGTTTGTTGACCAAACGGCCATAGAGTTCTCCAAATGGGCGTATAAGATGCTATTGAGGAGGGAAGAATAGACAACCGCCGGAAACTCCTCATATCATCACCATGAGCCATGCGAGGAGGATTACATATTTAGAAGACTTAGATTAGAGACAACGAGTCATACATATAAGAAAGTAATGATTAAGCATTGCTTCACGAGCGGGAAATCATCAGATCTCTTTTCGGCTGAAGATTAGTAAAATGATGCAATTTAATAGTCTCTATACTGCATCTAAACAGATACAGGTTACCTGGCAGTATCGTAGTTACTTTAGGCAGTCTTCCCTGACTTTTCTACAGACATGTCCCAACTAGGTTACTTCGCAACCTAGCTTTCATTAGCCCACGCACGCTTAGTGACGTTGAGTGTATAAAGCACTTGGGCTACCACCCCCCGGCCTAAATCCATACCAGAGCCAGCTTGTTCTCATTCAAAATCGATTAGCTTTATGTGACCGTCATTATATATGAGGATCTGGGCACTGTATGAGGCCCAGTGTCTGGCAACCTCCGGCCTAATAACTGTCTGCTAGTCGCCCCGGCTGCTAGAATTGTCCAGATGCTGGCTTGATCTGATTCCCACCCGGGGCTTGCTGCTTTGATTCTGTACTTTAGTCGCAGCAGCTGGCACAATATCCAGGGCCCAAGAAAAGTGAAACTCAGAGATTGATTACCGTAAAGTCACACCTCGTCTGCCCTAGAGCAGGGCCTACTTAGACTTGTTCCAGGTTTGGAAATGTTCTTTGATCAGGTGTGCTTGTAGAGATATCAATACATCCGCCTGGGACCACTACTTCTCACTCTCATTCAACCACTTATATACCACCCTTGCATCCTTCCCCTGGTATCTCGAGTCTTTCATCGCCTCCCCAAACGCCCCCAAGGTCGGCTTGTCCAACACCGTGCGAGCCCCGACCATCTCAGCCAGCCGCGAGCCCATGGCCAGCACCTTTGCGCAGAGCTCGATGCGGAACCCGCCCTCGTAGCCGCGGCTGCTGGGCACGCCCGCCTGCACGCCCGGCACGGGGTTGCTCTTGCTCGTCACCCAGCACTGCCCGCCGCTCGCGTTGATCACCTCTGTCAGAAGCGCCGGGTCCAGCCCGGCCTTGACCCCGATGTTGAGCGCCTCGGACGCCGCCAGCGACGTGATGGCGCTCAGGTAATTGTTGATCACCTTGAACGCCGTCCCGGCACCCACCCCGCCGCACAGGAAGATCCCCTCCTCGCTGCCCATGTGCCGCAGGTGCGACTTGGCGGCCGGGAACGCGGCCGCGGACGCGGCCGGCTCGCAGCCCACCATGAAGGTCAGCGTGCCCGCGGCGGCGCCCATGGGCCCGCCCGACACGGGGGCGTCGACGAAGGTCAGCGGCGTGGAGGCGCTGCTGGACTCCTGGGCCGCCTTGGCTACTGCGTGGATGGTGTCCGTCTCGATCGTGCCGCACTCCATGATGAGCTTTCCTTCTGGTGCTGGTGCCGATGTTGCGCCGGCGAGAATGCCGGTTTCAGGGTCCAGGTAGACTGCCTTGACCACCTTGGAGTCCGGAAGCATCGTAATTACCGTGTTCTGCAGTGAAACTATGAGTAGCGATCCTCCATACTAAGTCTCGAGGCCCAATTGGCTGGCCTTGACGATGACGACTTACAGCTGCTTTTGCCGCTTCAAAGCCATTCTTGACGACCTCGACGGGCCCTTTGCCCACCGTCTCAGCTTGAAAGCGGTCTAGAGCTTCCTTGCTGACGTCGCAAATAAGTAGAGTCTTTGTAGGCTCCAGTCCCTCACGCAGGTTCTTTGCCATCGGGTATCCCATCACGCCGATGCCTGTGGCGAGGTTCTGGTCAGCAGGTTTGTCGTCAAATTCAGTTGGGCAAACTAGTAATAAGCCACACGAACCGATGAAGGCGACTGTGTCCTCCGGTAAGGAAGGCATATTTTCTCGTGTGTTATCACTGCTCAAATCAAGCTTGGTGTTTCTCGTATGTGGTTTCCAGAAGCGATTGAGGATGAGACGCCGCGCACTTGTCTTGGACGCGGGATCTAGATGTAGAGGCGCCTCTTTACTCCGCACACTTCATGGCTCCTGCAGGGTGACGCCGGCTTGTTCCACGCGCACAAGTGGAGTCAGCGTACGCCCACCCAGCTTTTACAGTACGCCCACCCAGCTTCCAGCGTTGGCCCACCTAGTACAAAGAAAATTGGCTGCATACGCTATAAAATGCTAGTACTGCGGGGTTATTAATAAAGCATAGCTATAGCTATTTTAAAGGAATCCCATAGCTACCTTAGAGGGGTTTTATAGCTACCCCTTTATTTGCAACTTAAAAGTTACTTCGGCCCTTTGCGCCCTCTTCAGCCCTCTGCGCCCTCTGCGGCCCTCTACGCCCTCTGCGCCCTCTTCGGCCCTCTGCGCCCTTTGCAGCCCTCTACGCCCTCTGCGCCCTCTTCAGCCCTCTACGCCCTTTGCAGCCCTCTACGCCCTCTGCGGCCTCTGCGCCCTCGCGGCCCTCTAGGCGCTCTGGGCGCTCTGGGGGCTTGGGGGCGCTCTAGGGGCTCTGGGGCGCTCTGGGCGCTCTGGGGGCTCGGGGGCGCTCTGGGGGCTCTGGGGCCCTTTAGGCTTTTTAGGCTTATATTTTTAAAGTATTGCTTAAATTGGAAAATAGCTACCCTAGCTTATTGGGAACCCCGCAATACTTGCATTTTAATGCGGATGCAGCTAATTTTCTTTGTACTGGGTGGGCCAACGCTGGAAGCTGGGTGGGCGTACTGTAGAAGCTGGGTGGGCGTACGCTGACTCGCACAAGTGCACTCATTGGATGCCGATCCGCATCAGTCCGAGAGGGGACGTCCCACGCACCAGGAGATGTGAATGCTCGTCCAGGTCCCCTTATTTGGATAATGCTGTCATTGTGCAGGAGATCAGTAGCGAGGCGGATAATGGGGCTCTCGAATGCCACCCTGTTTGGAGACGTCCTTACATATTTACAGCACTATTTTCAAATTTTTCACAATTTCGTTTCTATCATTACTGTGTCAGGTTGACAGTCATTGTTCGATATGAGATTTAAATACTTACTTCATACGCCATTTTTAATTTATTTTATATAATGTGACTATCAACTATAGCGATTTTGAGACATTGAAAAGATCCTGTAGGTAACTTGTATACTTTGTATTGGTAATTTACATTAGCACTCAGCTGTAGAAGTAGTACTCAATATGCCATGTGCGCAGGTCGTCTCAAATTGAATCCTGGTCGATGTTTCTGGACTCAAGACTTGTGCAACCAGCAGAGCCTGAGAAGCTTCGTTCAAAGAGGGAAGTTGCAGGTATCTTGCAAGTAGAATGAGATTGGCGATCGTATTCAAGACTTCTACCTAGATGCGGACAGAACCGTACCTTGGAAACACACAGATTATCAGTAATTAAGACTATGCCTAGGTACGATTGAAACCCATTTACTCCACCACCCGCGGCCTTTGCTTCCTCTGCCGCACCAAGGGGATATCGGTAGTGGCTAGAGTAGGAATTTACAAGCGTCTCCGAACATAAAATCTAGAGAATTCAATTGGTTCGCGAATAAAAATTGCCCTTTGAAAAGGAGACGCCACAGAGCGAACAGAAAACTTGTAATTGCCTAGGTAGGCATAGATTTGAACCCGAAGGGCGCGATGAGCGGCGGACGGACGCCTGTAAGCCTGGTGGCTCAGCGGCCATTGATGAGACTCCTGGTACGTGGAGATGACCAGATCAATCTGCTCATACCGCCAGCCCACGTACCACCTCGTACAGCCCTCGACATCGGGGTGCAGGCCCTGGTCTGAGCCGGGCATCCTCTCGTCGAAAGCGCCGTCAATCACCACGACCACCACGTTGGACTCGAGGTCCGTCCGCTCGAGCTCGCAGAAGCCCTCCGGCATCTTGGCCAGGGTTTCGAGGCTCTTGCGGTCCACGTAGAGGCAGTGCTTGAAGCGCGGCAGCCGTCCGGCCCTGTCCTTCGTGGCGCCGGGGCCGTCACGCTCCTCGCTGCGGCCTGCGCACCAGGACTTGAAGTGCGGCCGCACGTCGGCCTTGGACGCACCGTCGAGCTTGGCCCGGTCAGATATCACCGGCCCTAACTGTGGGATGTGTGTCAGACAATGTCTCGGTTTGAGTCTTCGGTTGCAAACTTGGCGGGTGCGTCCACCTACAGTCCATGTACTGCTCAAGAAGCACGTCGCGGCCCTGGTGCACGAGGGATCTGCGCGCGGTCACCTTGAGGACTTCGAGGTAGCGTTCCCACGCTGCGTCGTCGTCGTATGTTGTCCGGTAAACGGCAAACCCAAAGCGACGGAAGCCCGACTTCTTCATCCTAAAGGCGGTTATGGCCATCGGGTGCTCCCCCCATTCGGAAGCTTTGAGATCTTCTAGCGTGAAGCTGTACATCTTCCTGGAAAAGGCGGGTTGGCCGAGAGCTGACGGTGTTGGCCGCGCGTGAAAGACGGAGTGATGGTGATGGGTGGAATGCCAGAGTCTGCACGGTGAGAGCCGTTGGGCCAACGCTGTTCGCATAACTAGGTAGGGGTGACCAGGAGCAAACGATTCAAACCAACAGTTGTTGTACGAAGGTGCAGCAATGCAGACTAGCAGGTGTTTATGTAGTTGGTGGCGCTGTGCCGTGCGCAACGCGCCTGCTCCTGGTTCCGTACTGTAAGTAATGGGTATTGGCAGTGCCAATCCAAGCTTAGCCTTATTATACTCCAAGGCCCCAATTCAACTGAAGAATAGCCAGGCACCATCTTCATCAGCACTATCCTTGCATCTGTCACTATCTTTTCGACAAAGTCCTTCTCAACCTCTTGGTGGTGACAGATTTGGCAAGTAAAGCCTAACACTCGATCGTTCAAATCTGGCGGCGCTAACAACCAACACCCCATCTGTTATCGCCTTCTCCTTGACTGCTTGACGCCTCTTGTAGATCCATCTGACGATCCACTACCAAAGCCATGTAAACACCAGACAGTCGAGAGACTAGAGTGTGGCCCCATATGAACGCGGGTCTAGCACTGGTTCGATACATCTACGCGGATATTACACCATTCATCTAAGTCAGTGTCAGCAGAAACCCCAGGCTTGCTGTCTACTTTCCGTCAGGGGCACAGCTGCCAGAAAGCCAGGCACCATGAAAGGCTCGAGTGCTCCAGCTGTAAGCATATTCAGTTGCACTTGACCTGCAGCTTGGATGTATACTTGTTGCCTCCTGCCCACAGGAACCAGGCCGTTGCTGTTAGATATGCCGTAAAAGGCTGTAGACAATCACACTTTAAATTAGATTCACCGGGACAACTATATATTATATTACACTTGAGCTGTAGAGAAACAAACCTACCTTTAAAGCATCGTGAAGACGTTTATGATAATATAGGGCCTCCTAGACGGACGTTACGCCCAGACGAAAAGACAAATACGAGGAAAGGAGCGCGCCAGACTATGGTCAACCAGAGATATTTGCTGTGCCATCCACGCTAAGCATGGCCCAGGAAGGCAAACATGTAGTCCCAGTTACGTAAGAATGGGGCCATAGAAGCAAAGAGGCAGCGCTCGAAAATTCCGGGCATGAAGTTTGTTACTACTGGTGACCTAATGGACTGGGGACGTGTGAAGCCGGTGTAGAGGTACAAAACGCCTCAGCTGAAGGTGATGACGGGAGTGGCATTGAAACTTCATACCAAATAATGACCATCTACCTGACACAGGAATTATGGAAACGAAATTTCTAGCATTTCGAGAATAGTCCTGTGGATATGTTACGTCTCTGCCGCATCATGTCCGCGGATGGACACACTGGTCCCTGCTATCTCGCATGCTGCAGTGTGCACTTCCCGCGTCCAGCTGGAGCAGCGTCGCCGGGCCGGACGAAACTATGGGACTGTAGTTGAATTGATCATCCGAGTAAGCGTGCCCGTAGAGTGGTCATGGGGAGTTTGTTTTCACAATACTGGTATCGTTCACCTGCGGTTCTCGATGGCGCGCTGCACTTCAAGTTTACACTAACACAGATCATGCTTGACATCACGGAACGTATTTGCTTGTTTCTGTCCGTCACAAGATGACCCCTGTATCACGAGAAGAGAGCATTTGAGCGGATGGGTAAGTTACGCCATTCATACAGTGAGTGTGTTGAAGGCAAAGTTGATAATCTCCAGGTGGAAAGCAGCCCCTCTCAGGGCCGCTGCAGGGGTTTAATGATTTTGGTAGGAAAATTTCCTCCAGGCTGCTATTTGCGGCACACACGGTTATTTTGAAAGACGAGCACGACTGGTTGGACATGGGCTAGGTCGAGCCACATACGCAATTATCCGGCCGGTATAGGATGACGTCGAATGAGCCGCGATGACGGCTGCGTAAGTCGTCCGGAACTGCAAGCGAGTTGTTTCTGGCCTCGCACCCTGTCCAATGACCCGGGCTTCGCGCTGTTGACGAATTACCCATAAGATAATTTCCACTAGGCGGTCAAGAAATCCACGCGTCTCTACATGCAACGCGCCGGCACCCAACATCATAACCAGCAGGACCAATGTCCCCGGGCGATAGAAAAGAGGTGGCGACGCATTTTATGCCGATGACTTTGGCCCCGAAAACTCTGGGTTAGTGGGGGCAATTCCACCCGCAAGGCGATCGATGGCGAGCTGTTCGAGAGATTCAGCCTCGTGTGCTGCGAGGATGGTGACTGCCGTGATGAGCTGGATGCCCTGGGCATTGGATCTGAGCCCCCTGCATTCACAGCTTTTGCCCCGCCAGCGAACGTCCTGCCCACCTCGCTGGACAGTGTGCTGGTAGCTTCCTTCGAGGTGCCCCAGCAGACCGCGTCGTTGTTTACACCGGCTCTTGAACTTGACTACAATCACGAGCACGATGTTGTGAAATATATTGTGGACGTGGTGAAGCTGAGGGGCTAAGAGGCACATGGTGGAGTTTTGGTCGGCTGCCCGGATACAAATTTGCAGCCCGGCCGTTAACAATTGGGCCCTTGCATGCACGGACAGACGGAAGACTCCGTTTTGCCAGGTACAGGACGCCCCAACAAAACTGGTAGGAAAGCATGTGACACTGACGTGATGACGCTTGCTGTGCCGCAGTGCTGCATCACTGCATCACCCGTCTACTCCAACGGCCTTGACGCACACACAGAGAAAGTCAGAGGGAGACTGTAACTGGCAGACCCAGAGTCTGGGTATTTGTGTCACAGAAGTAATTATCTAAGACAAACCCCCATACCCCCACGGAGAGAGAACACGTCCACAGAAAAGAGTGCATTATGTGAGGGGTAGATTCGGCTCTAAACCCCAGTCTAATGTGATGCAACGGTATCGATGTACGTACATGCTGTACCTAGGACGGTCTACTGCGTATGCAGCAGGCCTCAAGCTGCATGGGGTGAGAAGCTTGCCCTGGCTGGAGTGACGAAATGGCCTGCTTTCTCTCTCTCTCTCTCTTTCTTTCCATCTTATTCCTTTGTTTTGGGCGGAGGGATCAGAGGGGAGAGGGTGGGGAGAGAAGGACAAGACGTGCGTGTGAGACAGTCATCCATCCTCTAATGCATATGCGGCCAAGCCGCATCCCAGGGAAGCCGCATCCAACCGTGTATTTTTACTGTCAACATGGGTACTTGCTTGCCTGGCAAGCTTGTTACGAATTGTGACAAGATGCAAGTGCAAGGAGCAAGGTGCAGGTGGACAGTCATGGAATGTCTTGGTAACAGGCAGTAGCACAAGCAAACGGGCCTCCTCGTGGGAACCCTCTATACGTACTGCATGTTATTACAAGCCGAACTAGCCACGAGTTCCTGCTTTAGCCTTCCCCTCCTGATCTTGTCGAGCCTGCCCACTCCTACTCCCGCTCCCACTCCCACCTCCACCTTCCCAACTTTCCCAACCATCCACTCGGTACTTCATCATACCAAAACCATCCCCCCTCGCATGGTCGCCCACGGGGAATAAATCCTCCCCTTTCTTCTGTTTCCTTCTTCAACGAACGAAACCTTTTGGCATTCCTTGATTTCAACCTCAAGGATGAGCTCTGCTGCGGACCTCCCTGCCGGCGACGGCTCCTTGCGCCAGCGAACTGGTGTGGCCTCACAACCCGTCCTCTCCGCCGAGCACTCGGCCTCTAACCACCCTCTTGAAAAGGAGCCGACCCGTCCCGACGCCAACCATGATGCTCAACAACCTGGCGAACATGACAAGCCCAGCAAGACCTACGGGCGGACTCCAGATGGGACCGGTATGCCATGCTATGCCATCCAGTGTCGTCCTCGTTAACTTCAGATAATCTCGGGCTAACCAATCTCCTTGCCTACCACAGTCTTCATCGTCCCCACCACCCACGACATGGTCAGCCAACTCTTTGACCCCCGAGAGCCCAAGAACCTCTCCGATGCTGTCGTCCTCGTGATTCTCGCCCTGCACATCCTGCTTGCCTATGCCCTGCCCACCGAGCTCAAGAAGCCGGTCGTGGCCGCCGTCTTCATCTTCTGGAGGGCATCGTACAACCTTGGCATCGGCGTCTTGCTCCAGGAACAGTCCAACGGTAAGCTGATGGTGACGTGGGCCAAACGCTGGAGGCTGTTTGTGAACCCCTCCACCGGACAGCAGCCCAGGCCATGGCTCTACAACATGCTCAAGAAGGAGCTGGAGGCAAAGATTCCCGAGGACTACAAGTTTGAGGACGCCCCGCTCGAGTACAATACCTGGCTCGTCTTCCGCCGCCTCGTCGATCTGATCCTGATGTGTGACTTTGTGTCCTACTGCCTCTTCGCTCTTGTCTGCGCCCACGTGCCCGAGGGTGAAACCCCCTTGGTCTTCCTGTGTCGCTGGGCTGTAGGCGTCGCGCTGTTCGTGTTCAACGTCTGGGTCAAGCTTGATGCCCACCGAGTAGTGAAGGACTACGCCTGGTACTGGGGTGACTTCTTCTACCTCGTCGACCAGGAGCTGACCTTTGACGGCGTCTTTGAGATGGCGCCTCATCCCATGTACAGCAGTAAGCAATCCCCAGCGCCCGCTCCGCCCTTCCAAGGGCACGCCCGGTCCCGGTCCCCTATTGCACGCCAGTGCGATACTATCTGTCTTTCCTGGTGGCCAGCGCCTTTGTCTGACCACTGCAATGCCGTAATCATCCACAAACATGTGGGGCATGCTCTTTTGAAATCGTGTGATGGCTAACTCCAGGTGGTACAGTTGGCTATGCCGGATACTATGGTATCTCTGCCATGGCTGCCAGCTATGAGGTCTTGTTCATCTCGATTGCGGCGCACCTGGCCCAGCTTGCCTTTCTGGTTGTGGTCGAAAACCCGCATATCGACAAGACTTACAACCCCCCGGCCCCAAGGTCCAAGTCAGATTCAGAGCAGGACATCCCGGCCGAGCCTGTTGATGAAGCGTCTAGAGAGGCACTGGCACCTGTGCACAACCTCCTTGGCCTCCGGAACATTGATCTCCTTCGCTCCACGGACTACTCCGTCATCCTGGCTTCCATGTATGTGGCGCTGCTGGCGATTATCACCCCCTCAACTCCATTCTACCAGGCGCTGTTCTTCCTGCACGCCCTCTTGTGGAAGCTGTGGTTCTGTGTTGGAATCGGCATCCTCTTGACTCTGCAATCAAAGGAGAGGATGATCACGCGTCACTTCGTCAAGTATGGAGAGAGCGCCGGAGAGGCTTGGCGCCAGTGGAAGGGTTTGTACCACTTCAGTATGACACTGTCCGTGGCGTCGTTTTGCGCAGTCTGCTGGAAGATATACAGCCTCCCAGAGGACTGGGCGCACGGCTGGGTTCTTTTGAGGCATGTCATCGGCGTCAGTCTCATCGCCTTGCAGATCTGGACGTTCGTCAGTGTCTATGACTCCCTGGGCGAGTTTGGCTGGTTCTACGGCGACTTCTTCTTTGACCACAAGGCGAAGTTGACCTACAACTCCATCTACCGGTTCCTGAACAACCCGGAGCGCATAATCGGACTGGCGGGTCTATGGGGCGCGGCGGTGATTACATGGAGCAGGTCCATTGCGTTGTTCGCGCTCCTAAGTCAAATCCTTACCATGGGCCACATCGAATTCGTCGAGAGACCACACATGCACAAGGTGTATGGGTCTGGGAATCTCCGAGAGGAGGCGGGTCTCACTAAGTTTATCAAGAACTCCCTTCCTCCTCCAGTCAAGGGCTGGTCTTCCAGCGTGGACAAAGTCCTGGACGAGACTAGGCACTTCGTCGACGATGTCATCACCACTGCAGGCCCGATGCTTGCGAGTGGCGTGTCTAGCATCGCTCGCGACACCACAGCGCTGTTCAACAAGTACCCAGCTCGGCTAACCATCACGCGGATCCCTCCTGACTTGGCTGGCCTCAATCCCAAGGACTACTCGCTAAGCCTCACTGGCACCTCCACCGTGTCCCCTGTCAGCGAGAGGGCAACCGGAAAAGAGAGTCTCACGGCCCGCGTGGACAAGGACTTCAAGACACATGTATTTGAGTATGGTGCTCCCATCCGCGTCAAGTGGACGGCGCCCGCGAACCACAGCAAGAAGGACTGGGTTGGGCTCTACATGGTCACCGACAATCGATCTCGGGAAAAGACTGAAGTACCGTCTTTGGGCCGCTGGATTCCGACAACCCCGGAATTCTACGGTGAGTCCTACAGCACCGGCGTGGTTAAATCGGACGAGCCAGTGCCCAACTCGGACATGGTCTCGGGAGAGATGGTGTTCGAAGGCGACAAGCTCTGGTGGACCCAAGGTGTGTTCGAGTTCCGCTACCACCACGATGGCTCGCACCAGGTCATGTCGGTCAGCGAGCCGTTCGAGGTAGGCATCGGCCGCTTCGAGGAGGAAGACGAGCAGGCGATCGAAGCGGCACTCCTCCCCGTCGTGCGCAACTGCTTGGACCGTGACAACGACATCGCGCCCAGCACGGTCGACGAGCGGTTCGGCAGCCACGTGGAGAGGGACAGCAAATATGCAAAGCGGGTGGTGTATGCGATCCGCAACATGTTCGGCATCGAGTTCGCGCCGGCGGTTGTGCCTGCGGATGGGAACGTGAGGAGGCTGGCCTGGCGGGTTTGTAATGCAAGGCAGGTTCTGGTACGTGTCATACCTCCCCGTTCTTCTTTTCTGAAACTGGGATAGAGTCGGGCCTTACTGACATTTTCTTGACAGGCACCTTACTCCATGTCTTCCCACTCCAACGGGCCATCCACGCCCACGACGGACAAGTTTCCTGAGGAGTAGTAGGGATGCAGAATCAGTATCAGTAGGGAGGAGAGAGGATGTGCGGTCAGGAATGTGCATGGTAACATGAGAAGCATTGGCGGTAGGAGAAGTTTTGCTTTTGAGATACCATTCTTTCCGCATATTCCGGCGCTGTTGGTCTTGTGTCTTGTTGATTGACGGAAGCAGATTGAGTGTACATGTGGGAAGTGAATAGAAAAGTCTCACTATACCTCGAAAAATAGAAGTGCGTTGTGTGCGTAGCTGTAAATCTTCTGTGTTGAATTCTTGCTCGCAGTGATATGCCGAAGCAGTGGTGCATAGATACCTACTGCCCGTTCCACCACTTACGAGGGCAGAGCAGGCTTCGACCAAGTAAGTGGTGAAGCCGTCCTTATCGGCCTCTCCGATCTCGCACATCTTTCCAACTATGGACCCTTCTTCTTCGAAAGTTGTATCAAGTCGATGTTTTATGGAAATTCCCTTCCTTACCTGAAAAGCTTTGCCTCTGGCGAAAAGCCTTCCAGTCCTGTTCCATCTCAACTCCCCCGTGTGGGTATTTTGCGATTGCGTCATCCACACTACTGTCAGGGGCCCTTGGGACCTGCACCAAGAAGACTCTGTCTGCGGATATCCTCACGGATTCGTGGCAGAATTCATAGTTAAGCTGGGGAGTGAGAGGCGGGGATTTCTCACTAGGGAAAGGGAGGGAAAAATTAAAAAGAAGGGAACATGTTTTCGAGCGTGGCGAGAAGGCAGATCGCAGCACGCCAACTGCTTGGGGGAGAGTGCAGCGGCAGCGCTGGGCATGGCCGGCTGTTCTCGACTACTGTCTCGAGACGGGCTGATTTCGCACATGTGGTGAGTGAGTTCAGTTATTTGGCTGAGCTATGAGGTTCGCCGTGGAGTTGAGGCGATGGTTGGAGCATCGGCCGGCTCAGCCCCCCCCCCCTCTTTCACCTCACACCGTCTATCTCATACCATCGCTTCCCCCTTAGAACCCAATGAGACCGGGAAACGGGACCTTACTACGCAAAACACCATGCTGACATTGCCCCCCAGGTGATCGGCGGCGGCGTGGTCGGCCTCGCGGTATCGCGGGCGCTGGCGCAGCGCAACCCGGCGACGCTCCTGCTGGAGCGCCACGCGCAGCCGGGCCAGGAGACGTCGTCGCGCAACAGCGAGGTGATCCACGCGGGCATCTACTACGGCGCCTCGACGCTCAAGACGTCCCTCTGCATCCGCGGCAAGCAGCTGCTGTACGAGTACTGCGCGGCCAACGCCGTGCCCCACCGCAACACGGGCAAGTTCATCGTCGCCCAGACCCCCGGGCAGCGCGGGGCCCTGCAGCGCGTCCACGACCACTGCGCCGGGGCGCTGGGCGGTGCGGTCCCCGTGCGCTGGGTCGGGCGGGAGGAGCTCGCGCGCAGGGAGCCGCATGTTCGTGCCGAGGCGGGGTGCCTCGAGAGCCCGACCACGGGCATCGTGGATAGTCATGGCCTCATGGTCGCGCTGCTGGGCCACCTCGAGGACGCGGGCGGGACGTTCAGCCCGGGCAGCCACGTCATTGGGGTCGCGCCCCTGGGACAGAGGGGGGAGGCAGGGTGGGAGGTGACGGTGCGGGACGCGCAGTCGGGCGAGGAGAGCACCATCTCTGCCGACACGCTCGTCAACGCGGCCGGGCTGGGCGCTTGCGACGTGCACAACATGGTCGTGCCCCGCGAGCGGCACGTGCGGACCTACTACGCCAAGGGGAACTACTTCTCGTACTCGGCGTCGCACCCCCGCGTCGGCACCCTCGTGTACCCGGCTCCCGAGCCGGGCGCCGGGGGTCTGGGCACGCACCTGACGCTCGACATGGGCGGGCGCGTGCGGTTCGGCCCGGACGTCGAGTGGGTCGACTCGGCGGAGGACCTGGCCGTCAGCGGGGCGCGCATGGCCGCCGCCACGGGGGAGATCAAGAAGTACCTCCCCGGCGTGGAGGTGGGCGCGCTCGCGCCCGACTACGCGGGGATCCGGCCCAAGCTGGCGGCGCGGCAGGCGGTCATGGAGGGGAAGGGGTTTAATGATTTCGTGATCCGCCGCGAGGAGGGGTATGAGGGGTGGGTGAACCTGCTGGGCATCGAGAGCCCTGGGCTGACGAGCTCGCTTGCTATTGGGGAGACGGTCGAGGGGCTGCTGTATAGATGAGTGGCGGCATACAAGTCTTGGTCAAGATGTCGTTGGCTGATCGTGGCAGTAGAGGTTGACAGATGTTCAGATGGGTGTCTCTTCAACAGCTACATGACGTTGGAGCCTGTCTGAGTGACGGCGATTCCAGGGATGGAGCGTTCTCGCCGCCGTAATTTGATATCGCAACAATAGATATAAGATCCCATAGCCCGAGACGAACGTAAGATCTCTGCCCGAGTCTCTTGCGAAGCAACCGTTTCGGCCTCACATTTGCAAGTCACCGCTATCACGTCGGAGGCAGTCCCAGATCCGAGGATGGACTGTCAAAGTCAATCCACTCTTTGGGGGCAATTATCAATCTGAACTATATAAGCCGCATGGTCTCCGGCACTTGACCATTATTTACTCGCACACGCACAAGACCGGAACAGGATGCGTCGTCCTGAGAATAGCAATGTACACATGTGCGGCCAAGGAAGCAAATAAGCAATAAGCACAATAGGACGACGAACTTTTTCTTTTTCTGTCAAGCCGATGCTCTCGATCGGGGGAAGTAATTAGACAAGACAACAACGGGGGCAGGACCAAGACAAGAGACCTCCGAGAGAGACGGGGGGAGGTTGACCAGGGTTTGAGCTGACTTTGATAACATGCAGGAAGGAGAGAAGAAAAAAAAAAGAGGAGAAACAAGAAACAAGACGCCTGTAGACACGAGGGATTTCCAAATGCCGTGCTGCTAGCATTACCCGTCCCAACGCCGATGCACCGCCAATGGTCGTTTGCAAAGCTCCAATCCTTATGAAAGTAACACAGTCCCCACGCCCCCGCAGTCAAGGAATATACACCAGGCACACACGCAAACTCGCAGGCCCTTTCGCCGTCTTACTGTCTCACTCACACACCCTCTCACCGCATCTCCACGCTGGGGAAGACCCGCCTGCTGAACAGGTCGACGTGGAACTCGTATATGCCGTCCACGGCACCGATGATTCTGAGATGTCCTTGTCAGTAGGTTGTTTCTGTTTTGTGTGGAACGGTGGTCACTCACAAGATACGGCCGTCCTCGCTCCATGCCAGCCCGGCAGTGTCGTCGTCCTCGCGGTCGACCCGGCCACCGGGGATGTTGACCAGACGGTCCAGGCGGGCCCGCCCGAGCCGGCTGGTCGGCTCGCCCTCGTTGTCCCTGTCCCTCAGCATGTTGCTCCACACGGAGAGGTAGTCCCTCGTCCTGTTCCCGGTCGACTCGCCCTGGCCCGGCTCGTAGGGCCCGTCCCCCGAGGCGGCCCCACCCTCGAACGCCGACTGGTACAGGGCCTCGAGGTCGGTGTACGAGTTGTTGATGTACACTTGGCGCGGCGACTCGCTGCTCTGAGGGAGCACGAGGGGCGCGCGCAGGGCCCGGATCGAGCCGCCAGACAGCCTGTGCCTCTCTGCCTCGTCGACTGCGAGGCGGCGCGCGCGTACTCGTTCTGACTGTTCGCGAAGACGGTCAGATTGGTCGCGGAGACGGTCGCGCTGGCTTTGGATGTCGCTCAATATGTCGCCTACTCGGCGGGAATTACTTGCCTCAGAGCGTAGTCTAGAGCTGGAGTCGTTCAGGGCCAGTGCAGTGGCATTCTCGCGCTGCTGCCGATTGTTGTGTAGGCGTTCCATCAACCTCGACATGTTGGAGCCGGATGTGGGATTGTTCCGAGCAGCAGCCTGCTCCCTGCGCCTACGGTGCTCCTGAAGCGCCTCTATCACCATGGTTTCCTCCGGGGTCAACGGAGGGTGGTAGTCGGTGGCTTGGCGCCGTGCTGCCCGTCGGTTCTCTGCAGTCGAGATACTTGAGTAGCTGAGTTCTCCGCTGTCGTTCCGTTCCAGCAGTCGCGGGTCGATTGAACCCCTCTCCGTGATCATGATCTGCTCGAACCCGTCGTGGTCGTTCAAATTTAGCATTTGACGCGAAACGTAATTGCTCCGAATATCCGCAACACCGACGCGACCACGGTGTTCTGTCCATGCCAACAGGTCGAATGGTCCCGGGCAGAAAGCCATATCACGAACGGCACCCACGTCATCTTTTGCTCTTGACGAAGTGAAAGCAGTGATCAGGGGATCGCTACCTGGCTCAACAAATGAGGCAGTGTCGAATACGGAGATAACGCCATACTGAGTCCCCACAGCGAGGAACCGTCCGGTATTCGAGAAGCAGGCGGCAAAACTACCTCGCTGGTCGGAGCGATCCTCTTTTCGCTGGCTTTTGAGGGGTATCTTTGCACACAGTCTCCACTCGAAATCCTCCTTGCGCGTGAACAGGCCGGGGCAAGTGTTCTGCCTTGCCACCCTCTCGTGAACATACAAGTAAGGGTCGTCGCAGACAGCGGCAAGCAGGCGGCCGTCTGGTGAAATTAGGGCGCGATTGACACAGTCTGGATAGGTCAGCTCGTCCACTGCGTCCTGATCCCGCAATCCCACCACTGTGACGTGCTTGTCGTTATTTGCAAGAACTGCCACTGGCGTAGAGTATGCTCCTTCGAAAAACCCAACCCTGGAAACCTGCGGAGTCCAAAGCGTGATGCAGTTCACGCGATCCCTGCCAAATGTCTTGGAACGAGCGTGCAGACTCTTGTCGGAACTCGGCTGCGTCCTAGGGCTGGTTGGGATCAGGGGTGGCATAGAGTCGTCACTGTCGTTGTGGGAGGCCGGATCGATGCCTAGGCGCAGTCGCTCGTCGGGTGAACCGGCTCGGACATGATCGTGGAAAGCATTGAGCCAGTGGTCTTGGTCTGAGGGGCCGTTGTTGGCGGAAGATCGACGGTATCTCGAAAATAGGTCTCTCTCGACGTTGTTGCGGCCTAGATCGCCCCCTTCACTTTCATCGTCCACCTGTACGGCCACGAACTCGCCGTTCTCACCACCGGCGCATATCCAACCATACTTGGCCACAAGGCATCGGGGGGCGAAGGTGAGGATCTTGATTGTTTCGCTTTCGTGGGATGCAGTGTCGAGTCGATGGATCTGGTTGTTCTCGTTCCCCCCGGGGTAGTAGATGTAGCGCGGCGAGGACAGGCCGATTTGGGAGCGCAGTTGCCAGTGTCTAAGACAAAGAGGTTAGACCATGACACCTGGGCGAAACAGCGCCGGGAACCAGAACATACTCGACGCGCAGACCGACGCGGTAGTGTCGCTTGGGCTTGCGGAGAATGAGGGCGTCCGTCGGATGATAGCTACATGCGGGCATCCGTTAGCCAAGCCGATCCCCACCACAGGGGGGTGAGCACAGCACAGTGAGCGTGTGCGAAAGGAAGAGAGTGCATGCGACATTGGCTGGAGGGCTGGAGGTGACTGATTACATTCTATCGTCCGTGACGGCCATGGTGCCGACTGCGAGGCTCAGACTGAAGGCTGCCGAGTCATGGGGGTGATGGAATGGATTGCAGATGAGCGGCTGAATGAGATTGACGAGGTGCTCCGAGATCGCGTTATTAGGTCGTCGTTGTCACAGAGGGGCGAGCGAGGTTCGGAGACGGATAACCGAATAGATAGGCAGGTCGTCTGGCCCAAAGCGAGGTGATGTGAGGCGAGGCGAGGCGAGGCAAGGTTGGATGACAAGGTTGAAAGCTGAGGAGTGATCTGCCCAGGCAAAGGGCGAGGCAAAGAGGAATCTGAATGACGTTCATTTGCCAGCAGCAGTCAATGAGGCGGCAACCTTCCGCTTCCCACATAAAGAATAGCTGCGACAGGGGCACAGAGAGGTACTTGCGGCTAATATGCCCACTTGGTGCAGATCCAAAGTATCACCTTTCTGTCCACCTTCTCCAAACCCTGTGGCGTGGATCTCGATTTTGCACGCATCTGACGGACCGTGACATTCACCACCGAGTGTCCAGCGTCCCATCATCGTCAGCCCGACTGCCTGGTGAGAGGCTCAATTGCTTGTGATAGTCCAGATATTTGTGCAACGGAACACTGTCTCTCACTCTGTCCCTTTGCCTTCCAATTACTTGCTTGCTCAGGCTCTGTCACCATACGTAGGTAATTTGCAGCATCGTTCCTCGAGGTGCATACCGTATCGAGACTAATAGATACTTACCGAGGTTCGTCCGCCTACTTGGTAGGCGAGGCAGCCAGCATCTGTCGTGAGTCGGCTCTATTGGCAATCAATTCCTACGCCTCTAGTTGGCTGGACAATGGACCCTCTTCTTCCTTTGAGCGGGTTTTCGCTGGGAGAGGTACTGGGGCGGTTGGATCTAGGGAGGTACGTACCCCAGAGCCTACGCCCGCCCGCGTTTCCGGGAAGCACGGGCCAGGCGTCGGCTGGGGTCGGGCAGGCCTGGCAGGCAAATCTTTCGGGAAGCTTCTCTCCCACAGGCTGGGGGGTCGGCGGCTCATCGAGCGAGCGTCATTACCTTGCTTGACCATTGGCAAATATTTTCTGAGCTTTTTTCACCTCTGCTTCGTCCATCCCCAACCACAAAGTCCACAGTCTCCCTTCCCTCAACCCTCAACCTCCATCAGAAGAAACGTCCTGTTTCTCTCCTTGTTGCAATCCTCACCTTCTACACCATACTTTGTATTGTAGAATATCTTTCTTTAATTAGATCAAGATGCTCGCCTCGCGCATGTCCAGAGCTGTAAGTCCACGCCCGCCTCCCGTGATCTAGTGCTCGCCACAGTCGTGATGATCTGGGACACTGACAATCTTTGCCATCACCACAGCTCCCCAGAGCATCGCGCTCTGCAGGTCTCCTGCGTAAAACCGCCACTCCCGCCCTGTCGCGGTTCCAGTCAACAGATGGCAAGGTTCAGGGCGCCGTGATCGGTATTGATCTCGGAACCACAAACTCTGCCGTGGCTATCATGGAGGGCAAGACCCCCAAGATTATCGAGAACTCAGAGGGTTAGTTTCCATTTACTTCTCAAACATTGCTGCTACTGTCACGTTCAAGTCGAAACGCGAACCCCGCTAACACCCACTTCTAGGTGCCCGCACAACGCCATCAGTGGTCGCTTTCGCTGAGGACGGTGAGCGTCTCGTCGGTGTCGCTGCCAAGCGTCAAGCCGTCGTTAACCCCGAGAACACCCTCTTTGCCACTAAGCGACTCATCGGCCGAAAGTTCTCCGACGCTGAGGTCCAGCGCGACATCAAGGAGGTGCCCTACAAGATTGTCCAGCACACCAACGGAGACGCCTGGGTGTCTTCCCGTGGCCAGAACTACTCGCCTTCGCAGATTGGTGGCTTTGTCCTGCAGAAGATGAAGGAGACTGCCGAGGCTTACCTTAGCAAGCCCATTAAGAATGCTGTCGTCACCCGTCCCCGCCTACTTCAACGACTCCCAGCGTCAAGCCACCAAGGATGCCGGTCAGATCTCTGGTCTGAACGTCCTCCGTGTCGTTAACGAGCCCACTGCTGCTGCCCTGGCCTATGGTCTGGAGAAGGAGGCTGACCGCGTTGTCGCTGTTTACGATCTCGGTGGTGGTACCTTCGATATCTCCGTGCTTGAGATCCAAAACGGCGTGTTCGAGGTCAAGTCTACCAACGGAGACACCCACCTCGGTGGTGAGGACTTTGACATCCAGCTTGTGCGACACATGGTTCAGGACTTCAAGAAGACCTCTGGAATCGACCTGTCTGGCGACCGCATGGCTATCCAGCGTATCCGCGAGGCCGCTGAGAAGGCCAAGATCGAGCTGTCTTCCTCTCTGCAGACCGACATCAACCTGCCTTTCATCACTGCCGACGCCTCTGGACCTAAGCACATCAACCTGAAGCTGACCCGCGCTCAGCTTGAGAAAATGGTCGACCCTCTCATCTCCAGGACTGTTGAGCCCGTCAAGAAGGCTCTCAAGGACGCCAACCTGCAGGCCAAGGACATCCAGGAGGTTATCCTGGTTGGTGGTATGACCCGTATGCCCAAGGTCACCGAGGTCACCAAGAGCATCTTCGGACGTGACCCCGCCAAGTCTGTGAACCCTGATGAGGCTGTCGCCATTGGTGCCGCCATCCAGGGTGCCGTGCTCTCCGGTGAGGTCAAGGACCTCCTGCTTCTGGACGTTACCCCTCTGTCCCTGGGTATCGAGACCCTCGGCGGAGTCTTCACCCGTCTCATCAACCGCAACACCACCATCCCTACCAAGAAGTCCCAGGTCTTCTCCACTGCCGCCGACTTCCAGACCGCTGTCGAGATTAAGGTGTACCAGGGTGAGCGTGAGCTTGTCCGCGACAACAAGATGCTCGGAAACTTCCAGCTCGTTGGCATTCCTCCTGCCCACCGTGGTGTTCCCCAGATCGAGGTCACTTTTGACATCGATGCCGACTCCATTGTTCACGTCCACGCCAAGGACAAGTCCACCAACAAGGACCAGTCCATCACCATTGCCTCCGGATCTGGCCTGTCTGAGAACGAGATCGAGCAGATGGTGCAGGATTCCGAGAAGTACGCCGAGGCTGACAAGGAGCGCAAGGCTTCCATTGAGGCTGCCAACCGCGCCGACAGCGTTGTGAACGACACGGAGAAGGCCCTGAACGAGTTCGCCGACCGTCTGGACAAGTCTGAGGCCGACCAGATCAAGGAGAAGATCACCTCCCTGCGCGAGTTCATCTCCAAGAGCCAGGCCGGCGAGGGTACCCTGACCGCTGCCGAGATCAAGGAGAAGACCGACGAGCTCCAGATGGCCAGCTTGAACCTCTTCGACAAGATGCACAAGGCCCGTGCCGAGTCCGGCGAGCAGCAGGCTCCCAACACTGAGGGTGCTGCTGAGGGCGAGAAGAAGGACGAGACCAAGTAAACCTAGTCTCGGAAAAACCGGATCAGCGACATTATTATACCCCTTTCACGCCAACTTTTGGCCATGTGTGTCTAAGCAGCGCGGGAGCATGATAGACCTCTTTTCTTCACCCCTGTATCCACTCTGTACTCATATACTCCGCACCCTTCCGGCAGCTTCACGGGCTGCCACAACACCTCATTTTACGCTACTTTATCCTGTGTCTAATCACCAAACTGGGCGGTGACGGCGTTCTGAGCATCAAAACAAACTTTTCTTTTGCGTTCGATTTTTTTGGGGCCAGGTCATTTGACGAAAGGGTTCTGGATGACACTACGACGGCATGGTTTTGGGGGGACAGAGGTCTCTCGAAATGTGTGTACAATTGTTAGATGTTGATGACAACGCAAGATAATACGACAACCCCCCTCAACCATCTTGGCTCAAATTATTACTGTGTCCTGCCATTTGTATAGTGAAGACATCGAATGCGCCGGGTGAAATGAACGCCATGAATGTTGCACCGCTAATGTTACCCCTGATCAAATCATACACCCTGGCCGGCTCTCTTGGGACAAAAGCTCTCCGAGCGCGCCCTCGTCTCCGTGTCCATCTCGCCCACAAGACGTTTAAGATCACCCGGCCGCTCCAAGAACGAAACCAGCATCCCGGCCTCGAGGTGCCACGCGACGTGGCAGTGCATGACCCAGATCCCCGGGTTGTCGGCCCTGAAGCGGATGACGACGTGGGACTCGGCGGGGACGGTGAAGGTGTCGCGGCGCAGCGGGTTGGCCAGGTTCCAGGTCGTCGTCGTCGACGATGAGGGAGAAGAGGAAGAAGGGTCGTACCGCCCGGGCCCCCAGCCCACGACCTGCACGCTGTGGCCGTGCATGTGGAAGGGGTGCTCCATGGCGTCGAGGCTGTTGATGGCCACCTGCGCGGCGCCGCTGCCGTCTGGCACCAGGAGGACCTGCTGGTCCAGGCGGAACCCCCAGTTGTGGTACACGCCGCCTGCGTCTGTGGTGAAGTCGTTGTCTCGCTCGTTGGCTGCGACTTGCCATAGGGTTGCGTCGTCTTGGTAGGGGCTCCAGGAGGTCTGTTGTTTGAATTTTGGTTCACGGTCAGCTTTGTCTGGTGCTGTACGGTATTTGGGATGACGGTGGGTTAGCGTGCTGATGTTGCTCACCTTGTTCAGGAAGATGCGATTGATCTCGCCGACCTGGCGGAACTGGAAGTCTACGATGTGGGTTGGGTCTCCCTCGCGTAGCTCATGTGCTTCCTTCTGCCGCACGGGCTTGGCATATCGAATGGCATGTCGCCGCAGCTCCACGGATTTTTCGTCTCTGCTTCTTCCTCCTCTTCCTTATCCGTGTCTTGTTCCTGCAATGCTTCTTCTCCCTCCGACTCTTCATCACGCTCATACCTCAGGATCCCTTTGGCCTGATACCCTATTGACTCTAATCCACTACTGATGTAGGTGCTATAAGGCAAGAAACACTCCTTTTCCAGCGCCGACCTGATGGTGTAGTCACCCACTTTCTCCGTCGCGGTGATGACCACGCTATACCTCTGCCCGATGTTGACGTGCACCCCCTGGCTGACGATGGGCTCGACCTCGACCCCGTCGATCTCCACGATGGTGAGCGGGTGCCTGTCGATGCTGAACCAGTATGAGAGGTACGAGGAATGGTTGATCAGCCGGAGCCGCATGGTGGTCCCGGGCCGGACACTCGTCGTATACACCTGCCCACCGGTGCACTCCGGCGCGTTCTTCTGCCGGAACGTCGAGTTGAAAGTGGTCGACGCCACGGAGCAGTCGAACGTGTTCTGCCCGTTAATCAGCAGGTTATCACTCAGGGGCTCGACGCCGGCCTCGGCGGGCTCCCAGGGCGACGAGGGCGCGAGGTAGTGGCCCGCAAGCTCCCCAGCGTAGGTATGATAATTCTCGCCTAGGAAGACGATCCTCTCAGCGTCGGTGGCGGGCACCATCTCCCCCTCCGGGTCCCGCACGACGATCGGGCCGTACAGCCCGTCCGTGTACTGCACGGCGGCGTGGGCGTGGTACCAGAACGTGCCCCTCTGGCCGGCGACGGTGAACTCGTACGTCCAGGACCCGCCGCGCGCCGGGATCCCGCACTGCGTCACGCCCGCGACGCCGTCCATCCAGGGGGTGCCCCGCTGGTCGACGCCGTGGAAGTGGACGCTCGTGCTGGCGTTGTTGGGGAGCATGTTCGTCACGCGCACGCGCACCGTGTCGCCCGTGGCCGCCTCGATCAGCGGGCCGGGCGACTGCCCGTTCACGAGCACCATGGGCTTCCAGACGCCGTCGGGCGCGGCGAGCCCCAGGGTGATGGTGAAGTCGTACTCCCTCACCTGCGGGAAGCCACGGAACGCGAAGCCCGTGTCGAGGTCCAGCTCCGTCCTGTTGGTCAGCTGGGCCCCGGAGATGATGGGGAGGTTGTCGGGTATCCCGCTGGGGTGGTCGGACGGCCGGCTGAAGACGTGCGAGAGCGAGGAGCCGCCGTAGTAGGGAATGCCAATGCCTAGCCCGCAGCCGACGCCGAAGACGAAGGAGAGTATGGTGAGGATGAGGCCTGTCAGGGAGGTGATGAAGGTGCGGAGCTGGAGTCTTTTCCATAGCCGGGTCTTGTCATCGTGGAGCACTATTTCTTCAAATTCATCAATGTCGTCTCTTGGTTTCTCGTCCGGCTCTGTGGTTTGTTTTCGTTGTTGTTGGGGAAACAGAAGGTTTTTGGTGTACTCGAACAATGATCGTGTTTTGGTGGGCTCCCTCCGTGTCTGCTGTTGATGGAGGAAGCCCTCGACTTCGCTTGCATCCTGCATTGTGTCTGAGTCTCATTGACGCATGAAGGAGTTGAAGTCAGAGTCCATTGAACTGTGCATACTAACTATAAGATGCAATCGAATGGTGGCACGATTCCTCGGATCCTCAGGAATGAGGATTCGCCTCCGCGCCAGGCAATCCCGCGCAATACACATCCACATTCCATAGGGCAGGGACTTCACGCAATAGGGGCGAAGAGATCGAACGAGCCAATTGCCCGCCTCGCTGACTTGATTAATTGATATTGCACGGCGCCTGGTTTAGCTATGGTCTTTGTCGTCATACATGTTTACCCCTCCACGCCTCGCGAAGACGACGAGGCATCGCCATGGAGTGGCATACAGTATATAAAGCCCCCGACCACAAAACGGGCCATTTGACAGGCTGGCCCTCGGCTCCGGCTCCCAATCTCCTGCCGCTGGAGAGCCTCCTAGCCCCTGCCGAATCCAAACCAGCCCTTCTTAGCAGGCTGTTTCTCAGGCTCTCCAGACTTGGCGTTCGTCTTGTCTTCGAGAGCGCCCGCTTTCGCTGCTTGCTTCTGGGGGTATTGGACGTGGTTCCACGCCACGTCCAGGAACAATGGCTTGATGGGAATAGGTTCCATCTTTGGAGGATAGGTGACAATGTTCTCGAGGTTAACTCCCTTGGAGGGGTACTGGCCGAGCTTGTCGATCAGGGGCCGTTGTGCCGCCTTGGAGTCTCCCTTGTCGGCCTGCTTCCGCAGGTTGGCAATTTCGACCAGCGCCCGGCAACGCTGCAGCTCTCCCTTCAGTAGGTTCTGAAGGAATTCAGCGTCTGATTTGACGACCTCGATGGTCTTCAGGCCAGTGTCCTTGCTTTCATTGTGCTTGACAATTACTGGCAAAGCAGCCTGGCTTTGGTCATGAGCGTGCTTGATGAGAGCGAGCGCATTCGCAGGATTACCGATCAGTGTGTGAGACCGAGCAATTGCAAGAGACCTAACTGCAGGTTAGCAAGAAGACATTTGAAACTACCAACCCGGCAGACACTTACTTCAACGCTGTGAAATATTTGGACACGGCGTCAATCTCTGCTGCAAGATGCTCGTCTGCCGCGACACCTGGAAGCTCCTTTGCCGCATCCAGGATCTGCAATGTCTTGCTATACACGTTTGCCTTCTTCTCCAGCTGCTTGACTTGCTGGCTGTCCTTGATTGCGGGCGCCTCGGTGTCTGCAGCGCTGCCCTTCTTCAAGCCTGGGCCGTCTTCTAGCACGGCGCCATCCTGCTGACCCAGCAGAACGCGGTTTCGCCCTATCTGCCAACTCAACAAATCGTAGTTAAGCTTAGTTCGCAGTATGGCCAGGTTCTGCATCCTTGGGTCGCCTTGAGGCACGCTCTGCTGTTTGAGCTCGTCAATGGCCTGAAGCGTCGCCTCAATCGCATAGTTGCTGATCTCAAGAACACTGTCGTAGGCCTCAGCCTTAACATTCGGCCGCAGGTCAGGGGAAGAACCCAGCTTTTGGGACAACTCGGAAGCAGCAGTCTCCAGGGCTGCCAATTTCGAGGCAATCTCAGCGTCTTCTACGGGAACCTCCCTAGTCCTCCATGTGACAGTTTTGAGGGGACCACCGTTGGCCATATCGGCATCTTCGTCCTGCTTGAGGAAGCCAGGGGCGACCTCCTCCACGCCGGAGACCAGAGCCTTGTCGGATTGCGGCAGATGCTGTTTCGCAAGAGACAGGAGGGACAGCGATGTTGGTATATTCTGCTGGCGCTGCGCAAACCGCAGAGGGGTATCCACAGACCCCGAGACATAGTCTCTGAAGGTATTTCCCTCCAGTTTGGACGACGGCAATGCGCTGTAGATGACCTTTGCAACACTGTAGTTGTTCAGGCACTCTTCCCACCTCTTGGCCCGGAATGACGAGTCGCCCTTCAGCACGGCGGCGTATGCCTTTGCGCTGAGAACATCTGAAGTTATCGCACCGCTTGCGCTGTCGGATAACGTGGCAACGAGGTTCTCGACAACCTTGACAGCTTTCACGAGCTTCGACACAATGTTGGAACGGGTGTCGCTATTGATGGTATCTCTTGAATGCCACGCCATGGACTTGGCCCAGCAGCGCTCGGCCTTGAGGAGAGGGACCTGGATGAACCTGTGCGTGGGAGTCAGCGCCTAGCTCCTCGTGCTGGTCGCGAAAGACAGGCCGGGGCGCACACTCACTCATGGTTTTGCGCCAACTGCGAGGGAGTTATGTCGACGTTCGATGGCTTGCCATGGCTCTTTCCCGGAATTCCCAGCCTCTTCTTGGTGCTTCGGAGGCGAGTGGTCAGCTTGGAGGCGTAGGTGGTGTAGTCATTTGCGTAGTCGAGCAGCTCCAGCCTCGTGTCGAGGATGATCTTTGTGGTGTCCATGATGGTCGCGCGTGCTTCTGAATCCTGTCAATCAAGATATCTATGATCTATGATTTATGCTGTCATGGGCGAGAGCAGACGCAGAGTGGAGGCCAACTGTGCTGGCCGAAGACTGCTCTCTGGGCTGGGAATAGGCGGTCTTGTGCAGTATGCGCCTTGGGGAACATGAAGTTGTGGAGGGGCTCCTGCTTCGATGTTCACTCAAGCATCCATCGCAAACCGTGCCCCGCAAAAATTGGCCCTTTGGGGGAGCTACGGAAGCTTGGGGTCGCGGTCAGTTGGCAGGTCCACTACCTAGGCAACGAACACATCCCTGCCAAAAACCGGACGCGGGCGGGCACGAGCTCCCTGCGGTCCCGGGCCGTTCTTTTTTTTTTCTCGTGTAGACCTTGCGCCACTGGCCGAAGTCAAGAGATCATCGACGGCAGAATTACTCCAGAGTCCTTCCAGCCAGGCCCGAGCTGCTCCACCACGACAACTCAGCTCAGGTGGCCCTCCTCAATGCTTCAGCCCACAACTGTCCATCCGTCCTCAAACTCCAGGCACATGACGAAAGTAATCCATACCCAGTGCTAGCGCGACCGGGAAGGCGAATCTCTGAACGACAGCGGCGACAGCGGCGACAGTGACGGCATCATACTCCAGCATGAAGCGCGTAAGTACGCACACCTCCCTTACGGACTCATGGCCGCATTTGAAGCGGCAAGTTCAATGACTTGAGTCGTAAAGCGAGACTGCTGACCTCTGACGTGCTTCCCTCCGGACCTCAGTCGTGCCGACATATAATGACCTGAATCGAAGCTATCCCAACCCTCCCCGAACCCAGCAGTCTGCACCGTTGCCTCATACCAATGCTTGAAAGAACGGCCGCAAGTCTGGAACCATGCAACTTCCAACGAGTGCTCCCTCCGACAACAATCTCGCTCAAGTCGCACCGAAGACTCCGTAGCACTTTTTGGAACCATGGCGCTGCTGAGATCGAGTTGTCCAGTGTCTGGCAGGCACTCGTCCGGGACCCTCTCGGGTCACTCAATATCTTCCCCGTCTCTCGGCACCCAAGGTCGGAACCCCTGACGGCCTCTACTTTCTTGCTCGACTTCTTGAATCCCCATGGTGCGACGTCACTGTTGAGGAGGCTGTCCCCTTCAGCTCTTGATAAATACGAGCGGCCGAGGCTGTTCCTCAGAAGTGCTGTGCCTCGGCTCTTTACTTCGTCAGCGGCCTCAGCTCAGCAGTCTCAGTCGCAGCCCCCGGCTGAGAAGATACCAGAAACTTCCGCTGTTGGCAATGAGTCGACAAACGATGCAGTTGCGTTTGAAGAAGAAGGATTCGACGAAGACTACGAGGACTACGAAGACGAGTATGATGAGAGCACCTCGTTTACGGACCCAGAAGCAGAATCGCCCGCGCTTCCGGCTCGTCCAGCGCAGAGAACGGCAAAGCGGCCCTCGAAGTCTCGATGGGACGCACTGCATGACATCTTCCAGACTGAAGATCCCTCCGACTTCATCCACGCATGGCGGCTGTACCATAGTGCCCCAAACATAGAGCGACGTAGGGCGATTCGCAACGAGTTCCTCGATTACGCGACAAAATGTCGAAGTATGGAGCAATTACTCGCCTTGGCCATCAAGTTTTCAAAGTGGGAGACATTTGGAGACGTTTGGGAAAGATATCCGGATGCACACCGAGTCGACGCCGAGGAACTCGAGTGGAAGCACATTGAGAGTGTCCTTTCCATGGAGGAGATTGGGAACGGAATCAAGGCCCTCGTATTCCGCATAGACACGTCCAGCCGTTCCGTCGTGCGCCAGGATCCAGAGTTTTCCAAGACTTTGCTGGACAGGGTGGTCACCCCATGTATCCGCAAATACTGGCGAGAAATGAAGGGAGACGACCTCGCCCTGTTGCTGCATCTACTCAAGGATCATCTGCTCTACGAAGATCTTATCTGCCATTCCAAAGAATTAGGCCCCAGCCTCACAATCAAGCTCTACAGGCAGTATCGAAAATTGCGAGGGGTGAAGCTCCGCGGTCACGTCATGCGTGAGATGATGCAGAAAGTCTTCTTCCCTGCCGATGATGCTGGCGGCATGGAAATGATGATGAGGGACTGGCACACACGCTTCAATGAATTGGATATACCTGGTTACCGGCTCTACATGACTTTTCATGCCCGCCGCGGTGATGCAATTGCCGTGCAGCGACTGTGGGATGCATACGGGACAGACTACCCTGATCGAAAATCCCCCGTGGGCAGCAGGAACCCGGAGTATCTCCCTCTGCTCCACGTCCAAGCTGTCAAGGGCGAGCTCGGCGAAGTGCGGCGCGTGTTCAATAAGCTTCAGAGTGACTACGGTACCAACCTGCCTGTCATTTGTTGGAACGTGCTACTCAATGCACATGCCAAGGCCGGGGAATATGACACGGCGATCCGTGTCTTCACCGTCTTGCAAGACGCTTGCAAGCCTGACAAGTACAGCTACGGCACAATGATGGGCCTCAGTGGGTCAAGAGGAGATCTCGAGTTCACGCTGGAGTTATACCGCATGGCCAAGAACGATGGCATTGAACCGAATATGGCCATGGTCGACTGTGTCGTAGAAGCCTACTCCCAAAACGACAGACACCTCGATGCGGAGAGAATCTGCGTCATGACAACGAAAGCGCGCCGATTCAAGCGGGAGGAATGCACCGTGTTGTGGAACACCCTGCTGTATCACCAGGCCTCTCGGCGCGACCTAACGGCCGTCAACCGCCTTCTCGTGGCGATGACGGAACACGACGTCCCTTATGACAACGAAACATACGATCACCTCCTCCGAGGGCTGGCACTATGCAGGCAACCTCATCATGCGCTCTACCTCCTGACTTCTGCCGTCAAAAGTCACTCATTCAAGCCTACTCTGAGGCACTATGCTTTGCTGATGAGTGCCTTCCTCAGGAGCGGGCAATCTATGAAAGCCCTTGAGAGCAGCACCATCCTCCGGGACCTGGGCATGCCGAAGAGCAACGAGGCTATGGTTCGAGTCTTCAAAGCCCTAGGTGGATTGGCCCAAAGGTCGCCAGATAAGGATGACGGCAAGCAACATGTCCTACTAACCTCGGCCTTGCGACAATTCAGAAAAGCGATGAAGCCCGCGCGGAGACCCAAGCGAACGCAGCAGCTTGGAGATATATGGATTCAGACACTCAATTTCCCAGACACCGTAGCAAATCGCACAGATTTAGCCTCTGTCTTGATCTTTGTTTTCACACAGATGAGGCAGACCATGGCGGTACCAGAGATCTTGCAGCTGTGGCAGAACTCATCCCCGGAGGCGGCGAACATGCAGGAGCCTCCGCTGAGACTGCTGGAGTCGCTGATGCTATCGGCTTTCTACGATGGAAACTATGCCGAAGTCAAAGACTTGTGGAACATGATACTCGACCGCGCAATTCACATGAGCCATGTGGGAGCACCGGGAACGACAAGGGACGAGCCTCTCCCATCCATGCGGTACATCCTCACCAACCCGCTCAAGACGATGCAGCGCATGTATGCTGCACAGGGTGATGCCGATGGCCTACGCCAGGTGATATCCACGGTCCTACAGTCCAAGTTCCAGCTGGACAGCAAGAACTGGAATTACTATGTCCAGTTCCTTGCTTCGATGAAGAAGTTCCGTGAGGCCTTCATCGTGTGTGAGGAGCAGCTCATGCCTCACTGGCTGGGCTGGCAGCGGGTGCGCCGCGCGGTATCCGATGCCAAGACGAGGCTGCCGCTCGACATGCGCCGAAAGGGTGCCAGCCCTAGGGTCAACCGTCCTATCACCCATACGCTTTTGACACTGACCAAGGCATACATGGATTTGGAGCAAATGGCGTCCTGGAGTCCTGAGGCGGACCGGCTTTTGAACTACATCGTGGACAAGTGCCCCGGAGTCATGGCGGCTGTCAAGACGTTGATTCGGACGGATGACGAGACAGAGCGAAGGCACCTCATGAGCGAGAAGCAGTCGCAGCTGGAGGAGGAAATGAGAAGGGAACAGCTGCGAAAGGAACGGCTGGGAGATGTCGCGGACGAGGAGGTGCCCCAGGCCTTCCTGGACATGATGGATCTCGCCGGGGCAGGCCAAGGCACCTCGGTGAAGCAGGAGTCTTGGGGCGAGGAGAACGACGAAACGATGGCTGACGCCAGGAGCGACGACGGGGACAGCCAGTGGAGCGATGTGCATGATTCAGCCAGCGAGGATTGGACGCCCAGAAGGCCTGAGTCTTCCCGCAACTCGCAGACATTGGGATCTCCTGTGAGCGATCCTATTTCGGAAGACTTGCGCAAGGCTGAGGATGCGATTTTCACGACCAAGAAGCCTGCGATATTCACGTCCGCTGCTGCGAGACCTCCTCGAACGTCGGCCTCACACGGGTCCAAAGCTGGTGGCAGCAAGGATAGATGATGTGTCGATGAGTTATGGCCGACCGTTTGACAAAGACGGAACCCTTGTTGATATGCTGTTGTGTATATAATTACCCGCCAGTTTGCATGGTCGTCTACATGCATGTACACTGTAAGGAGCTGTGTATACCAGTAGAGTTATTGATGAACAAATAGACCTCCCAAATCTATTTTTGGCTACAATGTAGTATTGTGTCGATGCTTTCTCGGGTCCAGGACCCAGTCTTGCTTCTGGTTGTCGAGGGATTTCTTACTCGAAGTCGACAGTGTATCGATTGTGTTGGGATGCATTGTCTGGCACTTGTACATTGATACCTATCTAGCAGTGGTCTAGCAGTGGTCTAGCAGCAGTCTAGATAGGTATCTAGGTGGGTAGTACCACGCGCTACATATACCTGCGCCCCGCACCAGGAGGCCTAGCACACCTTGTAATTCACCAAGTTTATCCGATATTCTGAGGCCCCACCACAACTGTCTGGCCCAACCAGGTTCCCTGACGGCCGCTTTGACTGGTATGCATGCTCCTTCCACCTACAAGGTTCCACTCCTGCAGCGCAGTGCAGTCAGTCGTGATCGACGACTGCCACCCTTGGGAGCCGAACTTCAATGATCCCGTCCGCCTTGACTGCCACCGAGACAAACACCACCACCACCCGCCCCTTCCCTCCCCTGACAACCCGCCAGCCGCGAGACCACAGCAGCCCAACACGAGCTTGGCTTGCCTGTGCTGTGCCCTCCCTTCCCCAAGTACAAACACAACCCAACTCTCCCAGCACAGCGACAACGGCCATCGCCATCAGCCAGAGGGTGCCTTTGTCATAAGGCTCTCTTGGTCGCCTTTGCCTCCCCGATGCCTACCGAAGTTGACGCCGACTGTCGCTTCCAACGCTCCGGGCTGTCTAACCCTTAGTTAGACCGGCCCACCAAACATTTACGAATGTAGCCACTTTAGTCTCTGGTTCTACTTTCAAAATCAACCCCTTCGCGATCCATTGCTTCCAAGATGGATCGCGCTAGAAAACGTGAGTCCCCCACGAGAGCTGAGACTTTTCGAAGAGTGCCGTCCTCGGTCTGGAGTCTGACATGGTACGCCACAGGTGAATTGCGTTCTCTGAACGAGCGCGCGTGGGCGGGCGAGACTGGTGAGTGCCCCCATGACTCCGCACTCCGTGGTTCCTGCGACGCTGACGAGGCGTACCCCCAGACCTGTTCGAGGTCAATAAGCCCCTCGACTCGAAACTGGCAAAGCACACCGCCTACATCAAGCGATTGCGCACCGCCGTGACAGCCGCCACCCTGCCCACCTTTATTCAAGAAATCCGAACCCTCAGCCTGCACCGATACCTGTCCGAGATAATTTCCGCCTGCTACGAAGGACTCACCAAGTTGAAGGCCACAGGAGGCGACGTCGAGGCTGGAGTCGAGATTGTGAGCGCCCTGCACCAGCGCTTCGGGCCCGATGAGTTCACCCAGCAGCTTGCATGGCAGCTTGGCCGGGGCATCGCCACTCTAGACAAGAGCTACTTGAAATCCCTGCCTCCGGATGTACGAGAGAAGGAGGAGAAACAGCGGCCACTCCGCCAGAAGGCCCTGCTTCGAGTTATTACTGAGCTCTGGCTCGTCGGCGTTTTGAGGACCCTCGATGACGTTATTCCCGACGACTCTGTCAAGGCTGCTTCCGGCAAGATCCCGGAGCTGAAGGCCCGGAGCACGAAGGGAGGCGGCGCGGAGCCTTTCCCACTAGAGGTCCTGAAGGACTTGCTGGGCCACGATCGTGATCATTCCAATTTGCCCCTGCTCGTCACCTTTGTCAAGACTTTTGCCTGGGATATCTTGGGTGTCAGGAAGACAGCAGGAACCGAAGGTCGGAGAGCTGCGGATGAAGAAGGCGTAGGCAAGGCAACCGAGGGTTCTGGGGAGAACGAGGATGGCGAGCTGTCAAGTGATGACCCGCCTCTGGTCTCACCTGAACTTCAGGAACGCTTCAAGAACATCCTCAAGCGCTATTTCGAAGATGTGAAGACTCACCTTCTCCGAGATCAGAAGGCTATTTTCTCCCAGTCCCGTAAGAATGCTGAGGCATACGTCAAATCCGGAGAGGTTTTCGAAGATCGACAGGCGAACTTTGACAAGCAACTCAAAGCCCAGGAACGCCTGGTTGCCAACGCCCAAATTCTCGCCGACACTCTAGGGCTAGAAATGCCAGATCTGAAGGACCACGAAGCTTCGAATGCGCTGGCGAATGGGGGTATCGGCATCGTGAAGGCGGGCGAATACCTGCGTGGACAGGGAGATGGAGCAGGCATCTGGCAGGACGAGGATGAGCGCCGCTTTTACGAAAACCTTGCAGATCTCAAGGGAAAGGTTCCTGGAATTCTCCTCGAGGACGCCAAGAAAAAGAAGCCCGAAGGTGATGAGCAAGTTGGCAAAAAGGCTGACTCTGCCGAAAACGGTGATGCGTTGAAGGCAGCCGATACTTCTTTGGACGACCAGACGACTGCGATCGCCAACAAGACCATCGGAGCTCAGGTCGATGCCATCATCTTGCGTCTGCCTGACCTTACAACCAAGGAAACCATTGATCAGACTGCCATCGACTTCTGCTTCCTCAACTCCAAGGCGTCGCGGAACCGCTTGGTCAAGGCTCTCACGGATGTCCCCAAGAACCGCGGTGATCTTCTCCCTTGCTGGGCCAGACTCATTGCCACCCTCGGTCGCTACATGCCGGATATTCCCAAAGGTGTGATCGAGTACTTGGATGCCGAGTTCCGCAGTCTGCAAGCCCGCAAGAGCAAGGAGTTCTTGGCTCAAGTCCGGATTGGCAACATTCGCTACCTAGCGGAGTTGACCAAATTTGGCATTGTCCCTGAGCACACCGTCTTCCACTGCCTCAAGGTCTGCTTGGACGACTTTTCCAAAATGAACATTCAGATCATTTGCGACCTCCTTGAGAACTGCGGTCGGTACCTGCTGCGGAACCCGGAAACTTCGCCTCGCATGACCTCCTTCTTGGAGACCCTGCAGCGCAAGAAATCCGTGCAACACATCGGACCCAACGAGCGGATGCTGATTGAGAACGCTATTTACTATGTCGATCCACCCGAGAGACCTGCCATCCAGCAGAAGGAACGAACTCCTCTTGAGCTATTCGTGAGAAAGCTGATCTACGTGGACTTGTCGAAGCGGACTCTCGATAAGATCGCGAGACAAATCCGCAGGATGCACTGGGAAGAAGCCGAGGCAAGTGACAGGTTTCGCTAGCTGCAGAGTTAAGTCCGCCCTAACAAATTCATCTAGGTCCGACAGGCGCTCGAAAAGGTCTTCTCCAAGCCCGGCAAGGTCAAGTATGGTGCAATCCACCTTCTCGCCTCTCTGCTTGCGCACCTCTACAGGTATCGCACAGAGTTCGTCGTGAACGTTGTTGACAACGTTGCCGAGTCTATCAGTGCTGGTCTGGAGCAACATGACTTCAAGAACAACCAGCGGCGCATCGCGGAGGTCAAGTACTTGGCGGAGATCTACAACTATCGTCTGGTCGAACACGCCGTTGTATTCGATGTCATGTACAAGATTATGACCTTCGGTCACGGCGGTCCGCCGGTTCCAGGGCGGCTGAATCCATTCGATTTGCCTGACGACTTTTTCCGCATCCGCCTCATCTACTTCATCCTCGAGGCTTCAGGTGTCTACTTTAATAAGGGTCCTGCAGGCAAGAAGCTTGACTACTTCCTCTCCTTCCTTCAGGTATGTTCCCCCCACTTGACCGAGAAGTGGCTCAACTGACATACGTACAGTATTACATCTTCACCAAGAATCCTCTGCCTATGGACATCGAATTTCTAGTTCACGACATCTACACTGGTACCAGACCGCAGTGGAAGCTGGCATCAAACCTGGAGGAGGCCAGCAAGGCGTTCCAGCTGGTCCTAGCACAGGATCGAAAGGCGGCTGGGCTTGATGGACCAGAGCTCCAAGAACAAGATGATGACAGCAGTGGTTCGTCGACAGAAGACGAGATGGCAGATGTGGATGATGATGACGATGCTGAGGTCGATGAGGATGAGGTTGCAGCATCTGACGATGAAGATGAAGACGAAGACGATGAAGTGCGTTTGGTTCCTCCGGTATCCAGCTACACAATCACTGACCAAGAATCTGCGGAGCAGGACGAGGACCGGCAGACGACTTCTGAGGAATCTGTCGACGAGGCTATCATCGTCACTCGGCAGGAAGAGGAAATCGACCCCGAGGAAGATGCTGACTTCGAGCGAGAGTATGCGAAGATGATGTCCGACAGTCTCGAATCCAGGAAGCTCGACCGACGCCCTGTGTTTGACGTCGCGCTCCCAGTCCGGTCGAGGCCGCGAGAGGCAACCCTTTCCATGGACCAAGGCGATGGTGATTCCGAGGCACCAGCCCCGGCCCCTAAAATGGCGTTTTCGGTGCTCACGAAGAAGGGGAACAAGCAACAGGTCAGCTCCTCCATGTTTAATGCGGGAATAAGAGCTAATTGTGACCAGACCCGAACGCTGGAACTTCCCACTGACTCCCACTTTGCGGTTGCTATGAGAAGCCAGCAACAGGCGGAGCGAGAGGAACAGCAGCGCATCAAGAATCTCGTGCTCAACTACGACCTTCGTGAGAACGATGGGGAAGAGGGTGAGTCTCTATTATAACAAGTGCCTCGCTAGGACGAGACCTAATTACTTTCCCTTGTAGGTTCTGACAGCAAGCCAATTACCCACCATCACAACCATCGCTACGACAAGGCCAACAACAAAAACCCAGGACAGCGAGTCAAGAAGCTCCAGTTCGAAGACTTTGAGTGGTATGAGAATTCCGCACGCATAGAAAAGCTCGACGACGTTCCTGGGCGCGTCCGCACACGGCGACAGCTACAGCGTCTATCAAAATCCGATCTGGGGCCTGTGAATGAGGATGCCGAAACCCATGACACCATGGATGATTTCACTGTGGCAATTCCGCATCCACGGCCTTCTTGTTGCCATGGGCGTAAACAAACATATCGGACGAGATGAACCCCCTCGCTGCCTACCCCAGCAGCCCTTTGTCCCCCAGCGATCAGTTCACTGACTAGGCCGTTTCACGGCATATTTTACAGGACTTGATGACTTGAAATCCGAGCCGGCTTAGCAAATGACCCATTCATTTGGACGCGCAGGCCTCCAACAGCAGCTGCGTGCCCCATGCCACTTCTAGTTCGGGCCGCCTGATTCAGGCCTCAATCCCGTACCTGGCAAGGTTAACACCTCGAGAGGGGCATCAGTCCTTCCAAAGAGAGTGCTTTCACACACAACGGAACACGCCAGTCCATCTCAGTGCGTACTCCTGCAAGAAACGAGATGTTCTAGTTGCTGTGTCGAAGGTTTGAGTTGGTGAAAAGTTTGAGATGATAACTGAGAGGAAGCGAGAGGAGTGGAGAGACAACAGTGCCGTGTTGGCGAAGCCGTCTGGAGGAGGTCGTGACAAAGACCTTCACAGTCAAGTTTCGACCTTGGCTGACCCGGGAGACGAAAGGCAACGGACTGTCTTCCCAGCCATCGGCGATAAAGATCATGCATGCATGTTGCGGATCTTAACAAGCAATGCGCGCTGTGATTATTAGATTGCAATTTTCGCTCCACATTCGTTGAGGAGAGGGGGAGAGTCGGATGTGGCTGCTACCCTACTGCTCGTCACCTACCGCACTGCAGTCTGACGAGCCAAGGAGTGCAAAGAAGGGTGGTCAAACATGGACTCTTCGCCTGGAGAAACAAGTATGCAGCAGCAGCGGGAGAGTAGTCAATCTATTTGGTGTCTTGAATTTGGTCTGAAGTGGACCCTGCGGGACAAAGTGACGTCTGTTCTGACAACTTGCGTAAAAAAGTCCAAGCAGTGTGCTGGTCTGCTCTTCTTGCTTCGACACAGATCCCAACTGGGGTCTCTCCATTCTCATGCTCTCAATACCACCATTCAGCTAGAGGGCCATCTTGAGCTTGAGAAGGTAGCGACGAGCCATATTGAAAGGCTTGGCCTGCATGAAGGTCCCTGGCTCCCACCTCTTCCCCCAGATCTTGGGACTGCTCATGCGGTTGGGGTTACGCTGCCTGCGCTACTGCGTTGAGGCTCATGATTGATGGAGGAGCTCGTCCGCGCACGCTTGGAAGGGTGAACCATCTATGTATCGGCACGAGAGTTGATGAGCTGATGCGGGATTATTCTCTTAGGGAACCATGGTTCTGAGAACCTTGCCTCCCGCTTTCATTGTCCCGACAACCATGAGCAACTTTGTCTGCGAACCTCCATCTTCCCTGCTTGAACTACTCGACTTCTGACCCGGCGCGATCTGGATGACGTGCAGGGTCGTCCCCTGGATCAACACTGGCACTACAACCTCCTAAGGTGCGGAGGTACCAAGCTTTTCGGCCGTCTTCATCGCAGCATGACCTCCTTCTGGTCGCATTCAATCGTTGTTGAGACCATGGCCGGCGACCGGCAATGTCACCTGGGCTTGCTAGCCTTGACACCGTCCTCGACTACGGATCATTCACACACGAATGTCACCAACTCAGGTGAAGGGTTGGTCTCGGGTGGGCCGGTTCATTCACTCTCGGGTCATCGTCACTCGCTGCTTTTTGTACCAGGACCAACGATGATCTCCGTACTGTTCCTTTTTCTTCATTTTCTTTCACCTGGCTAGGCCACTGCTCTCTCGTTTCTGTCCAATCTCTTCCTGTTTGCTCTCGATTCCAGATGCTCAAGGCAAAGCAGCAAGCCGGGCTCATCAAGAACTTCAGGGTCAGGTGTTAACGTGTTTGTGGCATTCGCACACATCGCAAATCAAAGCCCACACCACCTGAGGCTCAGGCCTTGGCCCACGGTGAGTGCACCGGGCCGACCTTCAAACAATGAATAATCGACTAACCTATGCTTAGCAGAAAGATCGGCTCTATCCGAAACATACAGCAATCTGCACCTCGGGCGATCTGCGGTGCATCGAGGCGACTTGAGCAAGCTCCACGGCGGCACCTACGTACCCTGTCTCTTGCGTGTCTCAAACCTCACGGCGAGGTTGGCCCGCCTCCCCACGCCCTCCTGGCACCAACACGCGCGTGGCGGTGGCAGGTAACGGGCCCAGCCTGCGGCCCTCCCAACCAGTCGTTTGGGTCCCCTGTGGTACTCTTGTGTACCGGTGAAGGGGCCGGGAGTTGCTGCTGCAAGAAGTACATACATACTGTACCGTGCTGTACCTATTGCCGTACGTAAACGAACCAGAGAGCCCTTTTTTTTTTTTTCTTTTTTATACGAGCTGCGAGGGTCCTATGTCCTGAGGTACAGCTTCGGGGTCCGACTGCACCTATCCGCCCGGGTAACAGGCCTGCCTGTACTTCCTTTTTTTCCTCTGAGATTTTCTCAATTTCACTGGATTGAAGAATTCCGCCAGGGAAATTTCGGCACTTTCCGCATCTCAGATATACCTCGCTACCCCTGTTTCCTGAACATTGGATATATCGCATGGTGGGAGTAGGAAACTCGATTTTCGATTATACAGTCTCCGAAAACCTGGTCTGAAGATAATCATACGAAGAAGTACCACTCCGGACGACACCGAGCAGCCCTGCCCACCACTGCAAGCACCCGAACGGTGACGCATACTTCACCTGCACCACACCGACAGGCACAAATTTTCGGCGGCAGGCCTTTTGAGAGACATGCCTGGCATTGCATGAGTGAAGAATTCCGTCCTCCCCGGCCCAGCTGCCCCCCTGTGGGCACATCCTTCTCTCTCAATCCTTTGGCTCTGGACCATAATAGCTATTTGGGACCGAAAAGGGCTATTCATCCGGGTCCGAGGTTGATCGACTTACTCAGAAACGGCTTTCGATATGGCTACATCATGGGCCGTCAAGGACGTACGTCTATCACCCTGGAAGAACCTTGCTTGTCTGCGCCCCGAAGCAGGCGAGCTTTGAGGCGAGTGTCACTGACTGACAACTTTCTTGTAGATCGTGTACACGTCGATAGTGGGCGTAGTAATGTTGGCTGCGCTCCTGGAATGGTTCCTGTGGATCGGTGCATTTCTGTACTGTCTCTGGAAGGTCTTTCGCAAGTCTGAACACTGGACTGTAAATGTCCTGGCAGTAGTCGTTGCTGTTGCTTTCCTGTTGCTGAGGTAAGTGCCAGATACCCCTGAGTGATCTCTTTTACCGGCCGCTGATCAGACTCCTTGCAGGGCCATCTTCCTGCCCATCATGGTGGTGACCCTGCCGCTGCCGAGCCAGATAGTCAGGTACTGGCCCGCGGAGATGGTGGACTTCCTCATGTGGTTCGCCTTCTGGTCCTTTGCGGGCCTGCTGACGGTGCCGTGGCTGTTCTGCGTGTATCAGCTCGTCACTCACCAGCTCGGGCGGACGAAGCGCATCAAGCAGCTCCGAGGACTCCGCGCCCAAGGTCGTCATTGTCATGCCGTGCTACAAGGAGGAGCCGGACGTTCTCATAACAGCCATCAACTCCGTGGTTGACTGCGATTACCCGCCGTCATGTATTCACGTGTTCCTGTCATTTGATGGGGACCAAGAAGACGAACTCTACCTGACCGCCATCGAGAGGCTCGGTGTGCCCCTGACGCTTGAGACCTACCCCAAGAGCATTGACGTAGCCTACAAGGATGCCCGGATCACCGTCTCGCGGTTCCCACACGGGGGCAAGCGGAACTGCCAAAAGGCGACCTACAAACTCATCGACAGGGTCTACTCGGAGTACCTCAAGATGAACGACAACCTCTTCATCCTCTTCATAGACTCGGACTGCATCCTGGACCGCATGTGCCTGCAGAACTTCCTCTACGACATGGAGTTCAGCCCGGGCAACCAGCGCAACATGCTCGCCATGACGGGGGTGATCACGTCGACGACCAAGAAGCACAGCATCATCACGCTGCTGCAGGACATGGAGTACATCCACGGGCAGCTGTTCGAGCGGTCTGTCGAGTCCGGGTGCGGGTCGGTGACGTGCCTGCCCGGGGCGCTGACGATGCTGCGGTTCAGCGCGTTCCGCCGCATGGCGAAGTACTACTTCGCGGGCAAGGCGGAGCACTGCGAGGACCTGTTCGACTTCGCAAAGGACCACCTGGGCGAGGACCGGTACCTGACGCACCTGTTCATGATCGGGGCCAAGCGGCGGTACCAGATCCAGATGTGCACGTCGGCCTTCTGCAAGACCGAGGCGGTGCAGACGTACGCGTCGCTGGTGAAGCAGCGGCGCCGCTGGTTCCTGGGCTTCATCACCAACGAGGCGTGCATGCTGACCGACTGGCGGCTGTGGCGGCGGTACCCGGTGCTGGTGCTGTACCGCTTCTGCCAGAACACGATCCGCACGACGGCGCTGCTCTTCTTCGTCATGGTGCTGGCGCTGCTGTCGACCGAGAAGAGCATCGCCGACCTGCCCGTGGGGTTCATCGCCGTCTCGCTCGGGCTCAACTGGCTCATGATGGTCTACTTCGGCGCCAAGCTGCGCCGCTACAAAGATCTGGCTCTACCCCATGATGTTCGTCCTCAACCCCTTCTTCAACTGGTACTACATGGTGTACGGCATCTTCACGGCGGGCCAGCGCACGTGGGGAGGACCCAGGGCCGACGCCGCCGCCGCGGACAAGAACACGACCGTGCAGGAGGCCATCGAGCACGCCGAGCAGACGGGCGACGACCTCAACATCAAGCCCGAGACCTTCATCCCAGCCGTGATGGAGCAGCAGCAGCAGCAGCAGCAGCAGCAGCAACGGGACAATAACCAGGAGGAGGAGGCACGTACGGCCGGCCAGAGGAGGCGCAGGAGGGCATCGGCCAGGAGGGGAGGAAGGGACGGCGGAGGCCTCGGGCGCACGAGGAGCGTGCTGCAGCCGCCGCCGCAGGTCGAGGGCCTGTTCGCCGCGCCGCTGAGGACCGAGGGCGGGGTCTATCGGTACCCGGACCCCGGGGCGGAGTCGAGCGGGAGCACCGACTTCTCGTCGTCCACGGGCGCGGATGCCAGGTCCAACAAGAGGAGGAGGGCTCCTCCTGCTGCTGCTGCTGCCGCCGGTGCTGCGATGAAGGCCAGGCCCGAGGACGTCGAGATGCGGGGGTCGTCCCCGGAGAGCTGTACACTGTCGAACAGCACCGCTGGCATGGGGAAAGGGAAGGGCGCCCTCGGCGGCGTCAGTGACCGCCCCGGCTCCTCTTACGTGGACGGCCTGCGGTCGGGGCTTTCCTCCGTGGTGTACATGCCCCGCGAGACAACGACGACGCCGCCCGAGCTGGAGGTTGGTGATAAGGACACCAGCAGCCACGACGACAGCGACGACGGCCTGGCCGTGATGAACGAGGAGGACAGGCGCAAGTACGAGATGGCGCACGCGCGGCAGGCTAAGAGGCTGTCGCACCCGCAGGCGGCCCCGCTCCTCCACATGTACGAGCCCGCCCACGCCGCCGCCGCGGAGACGGGCTACGCGGAGACGCTGCCGGGCACGCCGGTCAACGGCAGGTCTGTGGAGGGCCTCCGGGAAGCTGGCGGGGACGGGTTGGTGGTCCCTTCTGCTGATGGTGGTGGTGGTGGTGGTGAGAGACGGAGGGGGAGGAGCCCGCTGGCCAGTCAAGTGTATGTGAGGGTTCCGTTTGAGGATGAGGGAGACCTGGAGGAGGAGGAGACGGGCTCGTCAAGCCATGGTGGAAGAAGATAGATCCAGGGGTATGGAAAGGGAGAGGGGGAGACATGAGCGCTGGATTCCTGGCTTGAGTAGACTGATTTTGGCCACTGTAGGCCCTTGATGATAGACCTGATAATGCACATGAGATTGTCGAAATTAGTTCGATCTATGTGTGTGTAGACCAGCTGGGAACAACACAAGCTCTGCCGCATGAGGGCTAAGTGCAACGGCATGTGAGGTTGTCATAAAGGAGATCATCCACTCCGGGGATCATGTTTGTGGTGGAAGGAAGTAATCCCGGAATTCAAACGTTATATCTAGCAGACTTATATGCACCGGATTAGAATTATTGGCCATTACCCAAGCGATGATGCATCTTGCACTTGGAACAAGAGCCAGAAGACGAGCACCAGCTTGGCAACTTCAGATGGTCATGTTTTCCTGCTCAAGCTGTTTGGATGTACCAAAGCTCAAGGCCCAGAGAATTAAGAAGCAAACACATCAAGCAAGCCACATACAAGTGGTGCCGCTGCTGATATGAAGTTGTTCTTCACCCAATGATCTGTTGCCGGTGACTGTGGTCCTACACCACTTTGCAAGTAATGTTTGAGATCAGGAAAATTCACACAAAAATAAGCAAAAACGGAAGGTACACCCATACATCACCAGCACTAAACCAGCACCCACGCCTAATTCACATACCCAATTCAGACACCTAACACTTATACACTTAACTTATATAAGTATTAAGTATATGGGTATTGGGCGTGTGGGTGTTAGGTGTGCAAATAGGCCTGGGTGATATGCTTGGATTGGCTGCAGCTGTAGTGCGAGTGATGTATGGGCGTAAGTACCGTCCGTTGTCACGGGTGCGAATGTCCGTTGTCAGTCTCCGATCTCCATGGTGGCTTCCAAGTGGGTCAAGACTCCCTTGCAGTCACGTTGAACCCGACGGTGGCGGTTGCCTTGGTTAGTTCAGCGGCTCATAGGCAACTGGAGGAGATGGTGAGGAGCGGACCTGCTTTGCCACAAGCTTGGAGCTACCCTACAAAAATATTACCCCACACTTTCCACCTCGCCGGAATACAGTCGAGCAAGCAACTTTTTGACTGCTGCGTCCCAGCCCGTCGTCGACCCGCACACAACGTTCCGTCCCAGGCTGGCCCAACCACGACGACAACTCGTACGCTCACTGTTAATTAGCCCTTCATTAATCTTCCAAAATGGCTCCCAAGAAGAAGGGTAACAAGAAGGCCCAGGACGACTGGGAGGCTGAGCTTGGCGAGACCATCGCCCCAGCGAATGGAGACGACGCACCAGCCCCCGAGAACGGTGATGCCGCCGCCGAAGACGACGCGCCTGCCGCTGGAGGTCTCATGGCCCTGATGCGCAAGAACAAGGAGAGGCGCAAGAAGAAGGGGCTCCCAGAGCTCGAGGGCGAGGACGCACCCGGCGCCGAACCAGCCGAGCCCGCCGAGGAGAAGGCCGCACCAGCAGAGGCCAACATCGAGGACGAGTTCGCCCTGCCCGAGAAGAAGGGCAAGGGTGGGAAGGGCAAGCAGCAAGCCAAGCCAGCACCTGCTGCCAAGGGCGGCGATGACGAGACGGACGCTTCGGGCAAGGTCCTTACCAAGGCCGAGAAGGAGAAGCTCAAGAAGGAGCGCGAGAAGCAGAGGAAAAAGGAGAACGTAAGTCTTTCGCAAATTCACAAGTGTCCCGCTAGAAGCACGAAGCTCACGATATATTTCCTATAAACAGGCTGCGAAGAAGAAAACTGCCGCGCCCGCACCCGCCAAAGCCGAGCCCGCCAAAGCCGCCGAGAAGCAGGATGAGCCCGTTGCGGCGGCTCCTGCAGCGGAAGCCGGCAAGCCCGGCAAGAAGCTCCCCAAACACCTCCAACTCCTCCAGAAGCAACAAGAAGAGCTTCGTCAGCGGGAGGAGGCCAAAGCCAAGGCCGATGCCGAGGAGCGAGCCCGGATAGAAGAAGAGGAGCGCCTCATCGAGGAGGAAAACAAGCGCAAGGAAGAGGAGAAGGCCCGCAAGAAGCAGAGGGAGAAGGAGAGGGTCGAGCAGCTTAAGAAAGAGGGTAAATACATGACCAAGGCTCAGAAGGAGGAGAAGGCCCGCAACGAGCGCAAGCTGCAGCAGATGCTGGCTGCTGGTATCCAGGTCGGCGGTCTTGCAGACGGCGAGGCGGCTAAGAAGGAGAAGCCCAAGTTCGAGAAGAAGGGCAAGGGCAAGAAGCAGGAAAAGGTGAGTGTCGGTGTCGTCACGTACGTCACGTACATGGTTCAGCTCAGTCGCTAATCAACGGGCAGATCGACGAGGAGAAAGCGCTCGCAGAGGCTGCCGAACGTGCGAGATTACAAGCCGAAGAAGCCTTGAAGAAGAAGGAGGAAGACGAGCGCATTGCCCGAGAGAAGGCCGAGGCCGAGGCTGCCGCAAAAGCAGCTGCGGCCAGGGAAGAGGAGATCGAGGAGGACTGGGAGGCCGCGGCGGCATCCGACGAGGAACCCAAGGACAGCTGGGACGCAGACTCTGATGAGGAAGCCGACAAGAAGGAGGACAGCAAGGCAGAGGAGAAATCGCTACCTTCAAGACCAAAGGAGCAAGCGCCTGCGGCCCAGGACGAGTCTTCCGAAGAGGAGTCCTCGTCAGATGATGAAGATGCTGGCCTCGAGGCGCAGAGGAGGAGGGAGGCTCTCGCAAGACGTGAGAAGGCCCACCAGGCTGCCCTGGCTGCCCGGTCAAAAGACAACCTGCGGTCACCCATTTGCTGTATTCTGGGACACGTCGATACCGGAAAGACCAAGCTGCTCGACAAGATCCGTCAGACCAACGTCCAGGAGGGCGAAGCAGGAGGTATCACTCAGCAGATTGGTGCCACTTACTTCCCAGTTGAGGCCATCAAGCAGAAGACCCAAGTCGTCAACCAGGACGGCAAGTTCGAGTTCAAGGTGCCTGGTCTCCTGGTCATCGATACGCCCGGTCACGAGTCCTTCTCCAACCTGCGTTCAAGAGGTTCCTCTCTCTGCAACATCGCCATCTTGGTGGTCGATATCATGCACGGCCTGGAACCCCAGACCCTCGAGTCCATGCGCATGCTCCGTGAGAGGAAGACACCATTCGTGGTGGCCCTCAACAAGATCGATCGTCTTTACGGCTGGAAGAAGATCGAGAACAACGGCTTCCAGGAGAGTTTGGCCCTCCAGGGCAAGGCTGTGCAGAACGAGTTCAAGAACCGGCTGGACCAGACCAAGGTTGCCTTCGCCGAGCAAGGCTTCAACGCCGAGCTCTTCTACGAGAACAAGCAGATGTCCAAATTCGTCTCGCTCATCCCCACATCAGCGCACACCGGCGAGGGTATCCCCGACATGCTCAAGCTGATTCTGCAGCTCACGCAGGAGAGGATGGTGGGCTCGCTCATGTACCTCTCCGAGGTGCAAGCCACCGTCCTGGAAGTGAAGCAGATCGAGGGTTTCGGTATGACCATCGATGTCATTCTATCCAACGGTATCATGCGGGAAGGCGACAGGATCCTGTTGTGTGGCACAGAAGGCGTCATCAAGACCAACGTCCGAGCTCTGCTTACGCCAGAGAAGCTCAAGGAACTCCGTCTCAAGTCACAGTACGTGCACAACAAGGAGGTCAAGGCCGCGCTCGGTGTCAAGATCGTCGCACCAGGGCTGGAGAAGGCCATTGCTGGTTCCCGTCTGCTGGTCGCAGGCCCTGATGATGACGAGGATGACATCGAGGACGAGCTCGAGAGCGATCTCGAGACCTTGTTCAGCCGTGTTGAGAGGACCGGCCGCGGTGTGTCCGTCCAGGCTTCCACGCTGGGTTCCCTCGAGGCCCTGCTGGACTTCCTCAAGGACTGCAAGATCCCCGTCGCCAACGTCGGCATCGGCCCCGTCTCCAAACGAGACATCATGCAGTGCGGTATCATGCTGGAAAAATCACCAGACTACGCGGTCATGCTCTGCTTCGACGTCAAGGTCGAGAAGGACGCCCAGTCGTACGCCGAGGAGAACGGCATCAAGATCTTCACGGCTGACATCATCTACCACCTCTTCGACCAGTTCACCAAGCACATGGACGACCTGCTCGAGAAGAAGAAGGAGGACTCCAAGATGCTGGCAGTCTTCCCCTGTGTGCTCAAGCCTGTGGCAGTCTTCAACAAGACGGGCCCTATCGTCGTTGGTGTCGATGTGGTGGAAGGCCAGCTGAAGGTCAACACGCCTATCTCGGCCGTGAAACACAACCCTACGACCGGTGTGAAGGAGATCGTTGCTATGGGCAGAGTGTAAGTTCCTATCCTTTCCCGACACGACTTGACCTCATCAACGGAATACCACTAACAAGCACAACAGCACATCCATTGAGCGAGAGCACAAGCAGATCCCCGTCTGCAAGAAGGGCCAGCCCTCAGTGGCGGTCAAAATTGAGATGGGCGGGCACCAGCCGACGTATGGGCGGCAGCTCGAGGAGTCGGACACGCTGTACAGCGCCATCTCGCGGGCGTCCATCGACTGCCTCAAGGAATTCTACCGCAAAGATGTCTCCAATGATGAGTGGCAGCTCATCGTCAAGCTCAAGCCGCTGTTCGACATCCCCTAAAGGTTGGAGAGTGGATGTGAAAGCTAGAGGAGGATTGAAAGCGCTAGCGAGGCTGTGAGAAGGGAGTTAGTTTTTTTTTAAAAAAAAAGTTTGATACACAATACAACAGCGGCTATTAAAACAAAACAGTCTTGTTCTTTTTTGCCCTCCCATAAGGTAGCGTGGTAACCTCCTGTGGGACAACCTCCTACAGAATAACCCACTATGGGATAACCCCAGGTAGGATAACCTCCCATAGGATAGTGGGATACCCTCCAATGGGATACCCTCCTATGGGATACCCTCATATAGAGTAACCTCCCGCAGGATAGTGGGTTAGCCTCCTATGGGACAACCTCCTATGGGACAACCTCCTATAGGATAACCTCCCATAGGATTGCGGGATAACCTGTTCTAGGATATTGGGATAACCTCTTGTGGGATAACCTCTTATGGGATAACCTCTTATGGGATAACCTTTATAGGATATCCACCCTGTGCTATAGAATAGACTTGGATGTGATAGTAGAGGGTTGATTACTGTGAAGTTTAGAATAGTCTGCTGATGCCAACAACAGCTTGGTTGAATGATGGGTTTATTGGATCAGCACATCCTCATGTTACCAAATTTGGGTTGCTTCCTCCTCAATGCCAGCTGTTTGATTTCCCAAGTGATGAAATAAATGGGTGAATATGTGTGTGTGTGTGTGTGTGTGTGTGTGTGTGCGTGCGCGCGTGCGCATACGTGATGTCCCAAAGTAGGTAGAGAGATAGAATACGTTGGAGTTTCATGTCCATTGTCACATCTAGGCTAAATCTAAACCGCAACATCCATCATTCATAAAGGGGAGTGAACAAAAAACCAAGGTAGAGGAGTTGAAAAAAACACCAATCAAAATAAAAACATGGTGGGTGTCCCGTTCTCTTTTTGTTCCCGTCTATTGCAACAACGCATTTCCTGTCTTTCCCACCCAATGTCAAATTACTCTCTGTGCACAGCCACTTGAGAGTCAGTACCCTCCCTCTCTCGTGTGCTCCAGAAGTCGTCTTCCCCTCTCCTCCTGTTGACTCGATAAGAGGCGAAAGGGGGAGGAGGGGAGGGAGTGGGCCTGAGATTACACAGAGAAGCCAGCCAAGCTGCTCATGAAACCGACTGACTGTCTTGAATCCATCTATGGGAAAACCACAGTCCCTGTGCTCTTTATCCTATCTTTGTGTTGTGTCTTCTCCTCCTGCCTCTTTCTCTCGCTCTCTCAAAACGTTGATATCCCCGGCATGCCGTGCCGTGCAACTTCCTCTTCACTCGAGCACGATAGGGGCGTCAGGGCTCTGACCAAAACTCTATTTCGGGTCCTGGGCCTCCTCGACCTCTGCCTTTGGTGCGTCTGCGTCTGGCATCTCGGCATCCTTGCCGTTGGCGCCCTCCTGGGAAGCCTTCTGGGCCTCGGCCTGCTTGCGGGCCTCTTCCTCGGCCGCCTTCTTGGCTGCCCGCTCGGCGTCCACCTTGGCCTGGACCGCTTGGCGCTCGGCCTCGACCTTCTCGAAATGTCGCTGGATGATGGGGCCGGCCAGTGCGCGGATCTCGTCAATCTTGGCGACGTAGACAGCCTTGGTAGTGTCCTCACCATCCTCGTACAGCCAGTCCTAGATGAGAGTTAATCAACCGTTGCGTTGACATACATGGCAAATCGTGTGTATGGTTCCGAAACTCACCTCGGAAGCCTCCAGCTTGGCCTTGATCTTCTCCTTCTCCTCGTCACTGGCAAGCTCAGCATACTGCTCGTCGAGCTTGTTGCGGAGCTCGTAGATGAACGTCTCGAGCTCGTTCTTCTTCTCCTCGGTGTCGGCGACCAGCTTGTCCTCCATCACCATCGAGTACTCCTTCTCGATCAGGTTGTTCTTGCCGGACTCGTCGAGGGACAGGTTGGCGGCGACGATAGGCAGGTCTCCCTTGCGCACCTGCTTCTTCACCTTGCGCGTCTTGGGCTTCTCCTCCTTGTTGTCTGTCTCCATGGCCTTTGATTTGGTTAGCTGGGGGTCCCCGTGTTGCTGCGCGTCGGATAAGATCGACGCAGCTTCGCTGTGGCCGTTCTGAGGACAGGTTCGCTTGCGGTTCATCTCGGTCGCCCCATTCTCCGCTGGCGGAGAAGTTGACGGCTTCCGTTTTGCGGGCGACGACTTATGAAAATGATCAACTGCTGGAGTACTCACATCTGGGTCCTTCTTCTCGCCATCCTCCTTCTTGGGCTCCTCCTCGGGGATGGGCTCCTCGACCTCCTGGTCCTCGACGTAGTACCCACTTTCCACGTTCAAGACGCCGTGGATGTTAACACGGGCCTTCAGCTTGCAGATCATGAAGTCGTCAGGGCCTCCGGCGGCCTTAACGCCCTTGACCGAGAAACGGCCGATCCAGGGGTTGATCTTGCCGGGAAGATCATCGGGCTTAACGTAGCGGGCCTCGAGGTCGAAGGCCTGCTTGCGGTAGAAGGTCAGAATCTTGGTGGAGGGCTGAACGCCGCCCTTGTTAAAGACGACCAGGCTCGTGTCCTCATCAGGAATGTCTGCGGCCTTCTCCCAGGCAAACTCGATAGGGTAGGGGATGACGTCCTGGACGGAGAAGTCACGGACGCGGAAAACGGGGGACAGGATGGCAGCTGAAGGCGCAGCCACGGGCGGCAGCCTCGTCGGCGTTGAGGGTGTAGGACAGGCCCTTGCCAAAGAAAGCTTGGATGCGGTCCTTGACGGCGGGCACACGGGAACCACCACCGACGACCTCGATAACATCGATGTCGTCCTTGGTGAGCTTGGCCTGCTCCAGGGCCTGCTCCAGGGGGCCGGTGGTCTTGCTGAGAAGCGGGTCGATGAGGGCCTCGAACTCCTGGCGGGTGACCATGGCGGAGACGTCGACGTCGTTCATGAGGGACTCAATGTTGACGGGGGCCTGTTGGTTGGCCGACAGGATCTTCTTTGTCTTCTCGGCGGCGGCGTGCACACGTGCGATGGCGCGAGGGTTGGAGAAGATGTCAATCTTGTACTTTGCAAGGAACTCTTTCTGCAGGTGGTCGACCAGGGCCTTGTCGAAGTTCCTGCCACCGTAGTGGCGGTCCCAGGCGGTACCCTTGACGACCAGCTCGCCCTTCTTGAACTCGACAACGGAGCAGGTGAAGTCGCTGTGACCGACATCGACGAAGACGACGCGGCGGGGCTTCTCGTCGGCCGAGGGCAGGTCGAGCTTGGTGATGCCGTAGCCGAGGGCGGCGGCGGTGGTGTCGTTCATGAGGCGCAGCAGCTTGAGGCCGGCAATCTCGGCGGCGTCTATCAGGGCGCGGCGCTGGATGTCTGTGAACCAGGCGGGCACGCTGAGGACGATGTCGGAGACGGGGAGTTTGAGCTCGGCTGAGGTTGTGGCCTTGATCTTGCTGAGGAACATGCCGGTAAGTTGTGTGGCGGTGTACCTCTCCTTCTGGCCGCGGTAGTTGACCTCGGCGCCGACCTGGCCGTCGATGTCGACCAGGGGCGCGGAGATGTACTGCTGCTCGAGCTGGACATCGGGGTCGGAGAGGGAGCGGCCACAGAGGCGCTTCAACGAGCCGACGGTGTTCTTGAGGTTGGAGATCTCTTGTGTCTTGGCCGTCTCGCCGAGGTATCGTGCCTTGGGGCCGAAGCCTACCAGAGATCTGTTTGAGGGAGTGGTTAGCCCATGGTCTACAGGATACATCGAGTGGCAGCGAGGCCTGCGGCTGAGGTAGGGGGCCACTTACGGTGTCGCCCGGTTGGAGACTTCATTTGCGATCTGTCACGATACGTATGGTCAGCGTACACGTCGTGAAGGCCCCTGTGCCTCGGTGTCTAAGACGTGGGGGTCGTGGTCGGGGAGAAAGTATAGGTCGAGGAAGGGGATGAGAAGGCGGTGGTTGTACGTACAACATCGACACCTCGATTCCTGGCGACGGCAATGACCGTGTTGACGGTTCCGAGATCAACGCCTGTGGACGAGCAAACACATCAGCATCCGGACCATCAAGCTGGCCAGCAGCACATGCGAGGGAGCCTGGGGTGCAGCGACTTACCGACAACACTCATTCTGGCGGTTTGTTGGGTGGCTGGCGGGGTAGGAGGAGGGTAGTGGGTAAACTGGACGAAACTGGTGTGAATAACGCTTCTCTTTCGGTCTCTGTTTGTTTGATTTGCAACAGGATCAGGGTTTCGTCTCACAGGCGAAGGGGGAAAACTACGGTGATCGAAGTCCCGAAGTGCTGGGCAGTCAGATCTTTGGGTGGTGGCTGTGATGAAGGGAAAAGGTTATGCGTGGTATTCCAGTTTGAGTGGGTGTGGGTGGGTGGGCGTGTAGGAGGAATAGTCTGTCGTTGGATATGGCGGCTGCTGCAGTCGAAGGGACACACCAGTCGTCAAGCGAAGAAGAAAAAAAACTGCTTTGGTTGCCGCGCTCTGCCCTGCCTAGGCCAGCCCAGCTCTGGTTGCGAAGCTGGCAGACCCTGGGAGCTAAGCCTTGAAGATTGGCTAAGCCCACGCCGCAGGGGTGCAGTCAGGCGAGGATGGGTCGCGGGACGAAAGAGCGACTGGGCGCCAGAAGTTTCTCGAACCGACTGGGCTGCCCTCTCGCATTGTCACACATGCCCATTCTCGCCCTGCCAGCCAACCAACCAACATTTGACGACCATCGACCACCGTTTCTGGGCAATGCGACATTGAAGACAGCCTTGTTTCCATTGTTCAGACCGCAAACATCCCCCATTCCTCAGCCACCCCTGGCCCCATCATGGACATTGGGCAGTGGATCAGAATCCCATCGTCACCGTTCCGGCTGCGTGGACGTCCGTCCGTGGTCCGTGGGCCGTCAATCAAGATGTGGACCCGCGGCCGCGAACCGTGGGCATAACAAAATCAATCTGCCCACACCACCTTGGGTGGGACAGAGAGAAGAAGAAAGTCGTTATCAGTCCGTTCACCCCGCCATGCCCGCCGTGTCCCCCTCTATCGCAGAATCTTTCCAGGATGCCCCACCAACCCATGACTTCACAGCTCCAGCAGGCCCAGACTCGGGTACAGGGCGGGAGGGAGTGATGCAGACAGCCACCCGTGCAGCCCGCGACAGTTGGCAACACCTAATTGCCCCAGATTTAATTCGACAGAAAACCGACGTGTTTGTTCTCGTTCCAGGTTATCGAGCCTGGTATTACTAACAGTAAGCGTACGCAATTGCTTGGCCTCGGACGTCTTAGTCCGACTTGACTAACAACCGGCGGGAATAAGAGAGCCAAGCCCTGTTTTTACGTTAGCATGAGCCTATGCTTTCTTTTTCTCGGGCACCTGAAGGCATCGTGATGCATATCCAAATCCCTTTGCAATTGTGACCGGTGGGAAGTACCCCCCCTCCTCTTCTGGTCACAGATTGCATCCTCATTCCCCTGCGTACAGGTCAGACAGTATTATAATACATTCTGAATGGAAATGCCGTCCATGAAGACTTCCCATCTCCATTATTCTCGTCACATATAGCAGATAATTGACGCCCTTGACTTGAAGCTTGAAATAATGTGAGAAACCCGCCATGGTGATGCATCATGGAACCCGTAGCCATGACACTGTGAACTGCGTTTGGGATCTTACAAAGCGAGCTGCAGCCGAAATGTAGACGTGAACTCCATTCAAAGTCACATTTCAGTCGCAAGGTTGACTGTTCAACCAGCCTACTTGATATATCCTAAGGAGAAGAGCCACATGCAGACACAAGGATAAAGCACGAATGCGTAGTATGTGACCACCTCAAAACCCCTCCACGTCTATGAGCCCAGTAGCATCCAAGCAACAGAACAGACAAAAGCCCCCTTCTGTTTAGATAATCGGCACGAGGAAGAACTCCAGTATCTCATAAGCCAGCCGGACGTACGCCCTGCTCCTCTCCTCCTCGCCCACCACGCCCTCGAACCCCGTCCACCTCCCGCCGTCCACTCCGTCCAGGTACTCCATAAAGTACCCGGCCCACTCGCGCCTGGACCATACGAGGCCCTCGAGCGCCCGCCGGTCCAGGATGCGCTGCATCAGGTCGCCGTCCACCTGGCGCTCGAGCGTGTCGCGGTCCGTCGCCGACGGCCGCGGGTCGAACGCCTCCTCGTCCTCGGCCGACTCGAACTGCATGTACGTGAACGGGTACAGCTCCGCCGACGTCTCCGACACGTTCTGCAGGAACCGCAGGAACCGCCAGGCCCCGAAGTCCAGCAGCGTGAAGTGCTGCAGCGACCCGTCGATACCCATCCCCAGCACCTCGCCGTCGCCCGCCGACGCGGCTAGCAGCCCGAACCGCTTGCCGCCGTGCCGACTCCGCGCCTCGCGCGACCATGGTGGTAGCGTCCTTCCCAGGCGCAGCCTTCGCACCGTCGATGGTAGATCCGTCTCGAACAGCACCTCGCAGTCCTTGTCGGGCGAGTCCCACGGTATCCAGAGCCCGTTGAGGCCGCATTCCTGGTCCGCTATGAGCACGATCGACGGCGGTGGCTCTGATGGCAGGCCCGATTGCGGCGGCGGGGGCCAGTTTCCGGCTACCTCGAGCATGTCCAGCCCGTGTGGGGTGAAAGGGTCGACATGGCGTACTTCGAAGCCGTCGGCCGCGTTTTCGGCTTCTTCGAGCACCCAGAGAGAGTCGCGCCTCGTCAGTGCCAGGGTGTGCGGCGAGTCGGGGAGAATGCTCAGCTTCCAGGCCTCCGAGTCCAGCTGTGTGGTGGAAACCTGTGTGAGCTTCTTCTCTCCCTCGTCCAATCTGTAGTAGACGAGTTCCGAGTGAAATGTGGCTTGAATCTTGCGACCGGTGGCGGTTACGGCGTAAACAGGTTCTTTTGGCCCTTTTATCCTGTGCCGAGTCCAAAACGATATCCTTCCACGGCTTTCCCCTTGTGCTGGCCTCTCTATTTGCGGAGAAACAATCAGGACCCTGCCTCCATCTGATGGGCCCCCGTTCGTGCCCACCAGAATGAAGTAGAAATTCTTGTTCTTTGACTCAATATGCCACTCATCTAGGCAGTGAATCCGGTCTCCCGGTTTCCCCAGCCCACTTATGAAGTCAGCTGGCTCTCTCGTCTGGCCATGCAAAGGAAGAGAGAGGTCTTCACCGGTGTCAGGGTCGATGAGCCTCAGCGTGGGCCTGTCATCCAGCGTTCTTGCGCCCACGACCAGACACTTCAGGACGTGCGAATAAAGCAGTTTCTGGGGTGTCATGCCCAGAGGCATCTGTCGCTGGACAGGTCCTAATTCCGGTTGCAACTCAGCAAGCAGAACGTGATCTGTGGCGAGAAGCAGAAGCGGCGTGTTGGCGACGTTGCCAGACAGGCTCTCCTGCAACACCACAACAGAGGTAATGCTGGGAGCGAGCTTGCTGCTGTCGTTCGCATCCACAGTCCAGACACTTTGTTTCTTGGCAAATCCTCGTGTACCTCCTTGAAAGTCGCCAATAAGCGTGAAGCTCGAATCGCAGCAAACAAACGCCGATCCATAGAAAGCCTCATAAACGTAAGCTGGCACAGAGCCCACCCTCTCCAGAGACACTGATGCCACCTCGCAACCAACATCAAGACCGAGAGTCAGCAATGCCCCGTCCCGGCTCCCAGCAATGATAACACTGTTTCCAGGGTCATCCAGTACTGGCACGATGCTTGTGAAAGGTTCGATACTGTTTACTATGCCCCTTTGGAAATCATCTGGCGATAGACTTTCGGCAACTGTGTGCACAGGTTAGTCACAACAGAACCGGAATTTTAAAAAACGATGGAACAAAGAGTAAATCATTCGAGGATGATGAATTTGGGAACAAGGCAGAAGAATAAATCGAACGAAGCTGCATATATCTGTTTGGCAGCTGCTGTTCCCTGCCCTTCCCTCCTATACTTGGTGGTGAGTGGTGAAATCTTGTACTTACGAGATTGGATAGGAATGGTTTTCACGTGCTCCTTATCCTGTATGCTGTATAAGTCCAGGTATATAGCGCTGTTCCACCATAAAGACGCAGCAGCATGAGCTTTGCCTCCAATGTTACAGAGCCCAAGACATGTCACTTCACCCTCGAACGTTTCTCTGTTCAGATGATGAGCCTCAAGGGTGGTACCATCAAGCAGCATGGTGTGTAGTTCAAAGACATTGTCCGCATGTGATGTGACGGCAAGGATACTCCCTTGGATAGTAGCATCTGTGACAGCTGCGCCGCCCAGACCTAGAGAGGCGTACGAAAGTTGTTTGCTATCCACTATTAGACGCCGCACAAGTGACAACAGAACAGAGACACACTGATTAATGACTTACCTCGATGACGAATTTATGAGGACGATGCCGTTTTCTGTGACCTGAACGATGAAGTCCTCAGAGACACGCTTTGCCGTAAGGGTTGGTGAAGATGTGTCGTATAGAGTTTCGTCGGGATCTACGTCAAACGTTGCGGAGAAATCCGGGTCGAAACGCAGGAGGGCAGACCTGCCAGGCAGCGATATCAGCAAGTGATGGCCGTAATCCGGTGCAGACACGTTGGCTGGAAGCATGAAGCATCGTTTGACCACTGTGCCGAAGTCGAAATCTATGCCGATATTTGCTCGCAGGCCATGTCGGTATTCCACTATCGAACCGTTTCGTCCTCTTCCGGCCGCAGCAAATATTCTATCGGGCTTGAAGAAGCCAGACGGCAGAGCATCAGCGTCCCTTTCCAAGCCTGTCCGGGTCTTCCCTGTCGCGCCGTTATGGTCATCCCAGCGCCGAGACTCGTTCGTTGTCACGAAATCGACAGTAGGCGACCAGTTTGGGATCTGACTGAGCCTGACGACCTGTTCCCTTGGGGGAGCCTACATATCGTCAGTAGGCTGCTCATCCATACACATAGCTAGGGAAACTTGCCTTCCATACGCCCCCAAGCCCCGAGTCTCCTCCGAATACCAGTATATCGTCATTGTGGTGCGAAAGGCTTGTGAAAGCCGTGGAAACATTGCAAAATGTTCCGTGATTAAACGCAGCTCCAAGTATGTTTTCAGAGTCGCATTCGAGAAATAGCACAAGCCCATCCTCTCTCGCAACGTAAATGTGATCGTTGTTCGGATGGAATCTCGAGAGTCGAGGAGGCCTGGACCAGGCAGTCCACAATGGCGGCTCTGCTCCGTCGTGGTGTTCGGATGGAGCAAAGTCTCCAATTTCGCAAGGTTCAAAAGTGGGCGAACCGTGTAGGATGTCTTTGCAGAACGCAATTTCTCCCTCTGACACAGCAAAGAACGCCGTGCGTATTGTGAGTGGGATTATCAGGAGGGGCATCTCGTGATTTCTTGGTAACAAGTGGCCCATTTTCTCCGCGGCCAACGCCTCTCCGACGTCATCCCCCAGTTCCCAGTCATATGTGACCATACGAGGGATGCCTCTGTTGACCACTATAAGTAGCAAAATGATATGGTGATGATCTTGTGGCCTTGGGTAGAGAAAGTCCATGGTTTGTATTGTGCCATTGACAGCACGCGGGCGAGATGATTTGACTGGCCTCAAAGGCTGGCCGTGGATGAAAGAGTTGTTGAGGTTGCTCATAGATTCAAGCTCGTGGACGACGAAGATGTCCCTGGAGCAGGCTTGTGCCACGTACCTCGAGCTCGGATCGACTGCCAAATGGAAACCGGGGCGAACGAGGCGCGTAGTGTCGAGTTCGTGTTGTAACGCAGAAAACTCGAAAGAGCCATCTCTTGCAGACCGCAGGAAAAGGAAGATGCAGTCGCCTGTCTCTAAGACGATCAGGAGTAGCTGAGGAGGTAGGTGCGGCGGGTTTGGGGGTGATACTTGGGTGGAAACCTCGGACATTCCCACGTCAATATCATCGTCCTGTTGCCTGTGAGACCGACTAGCTTGGAACCTGCTGGCGTCAATATCATCGCGATTGAAAGTGCCAATGACCTTGGCATTGCGAATTCGCGACCCGAAGTCCTTCTTCTTCGCAACGCTGTGGAGCTGCAAGTCGTCCTGAAGCTCTGAGATTTGCACGTAGTGGTCCTTCGTGGCGTGGAATTGTTAGCTCGTCATCAGCCATAGCGCAATCTGTCGGCCGTCTTTTCATGGCTGCTATTTTGATGTTGTGGAGGGGCGTGGGACTTGGGGGGCGAGGGGAGGGAGAACAGAACCAGGTACTCACGCCTACTATTGCGATATCATTGTGCTGAGGGGAACGAAGTCGCACGGGGAGGATCCAATGAGCAACCGGGCTTTCGACCAAAGTCCTGGTCATGATCCCACATTGGGGTGGAGGTTGTTTTTGCTTGGCCGGCTTCGTGGCGGGCTTGCTCAAGACGTCGTTGACGTTCGAGGTCCTCGTAACCCACTGGCCATTTTCGAGGACCTGGGACTGAAACTGAGAAGCCATGTTGGAGTGTGTGCTGCGCGGTGGAGGGGAACAGCCCGTGCTGTATTACCAACGGCGAAGGAAGGTCGCAGGTGGTCTAGATATGAGAGGTTCAACAGGCCCGTGTGCCATTTCCAGGAGATATCGAGGTTTGAGCTATACAGCCCGTGACGTCTGTAGGACCGAGCGAAGCCACATGGGCACTCCGGGGTGATTAAGGGCGAGGCGACCTTCTCGGTGACCAGACCAGGGCACTGACGACTGCTCGGCGTGCAGCTGATGGAAACACAGCGGGCTTGTCCTCGAGCCGCCCTTGACGCAGGCACACACCCCACATGTGACTGGTGAATTCGACGTAGGGTGGCCCAGCGCTATCAGCCCGAAGCGACAATGGCGATGCGGAGATGAACCGTGAATGGCAAGGCAGCCCCAAGCCTTGAAGGATCGATTCTAAGGAACGTCACCAGTTGCCTCGTTGTGCGGCAGGTGGGCTCGCAGACTGCTGCAGGGCGAAGTGCGGCTGGGAGCGAGAGAATGGACGGGAAGGGCAGCTGACCGAAGTCTATGACCCTGTGCGTCCCGAACTTGGACTTGCTTGGACTTGGATTAGGACTTTGACTTTGGGCCTGGATCTGACGAAGAAGTTTGTGCACCGCGAAGGGGGCAGCTGGGATGTGTCACGGAGGTGTGGTCTTATATGGGCTGCGAGCGGTGCTGCTGCACATCCAAGGTATCCAATGTACAATCGGCAATGCGTGCGTGATGCGCGCGTGGGGCTATCCAGATCCACGCAAGGCCCGTCCTGCCTTTTCTGTGCCCTCGCCGTCTCGCAGATAAGCGACCGAACCCTTGCGCTTGGCTTCCTCGTCCAACCTGTTCGAGCACCAGGAGAATTAGCCAGCCCAGCCGTTCGTAAGGCGCGGGTGTCTTTTCTGGCGAGGGCGGACTGCCTGCGTTTATCGCGGGTGACAAGCCTGGGCGTTGGCGACGTCAGAAGTGATCGTGACCGTAAGCTGGACCAAGTGGGACGGTCCGAGAGGGAGTCCTAGAGGCACACGGCAGGAAGCATGCACGCAAGCTCGTAGCTTGCTTGCAGCTCGCAGCTTCCCCCTCAATCAGTTGACGCGACCCGTCCGGGCCCCACAAAAGAGGACTCGGGCGCTACCTCAGTCAGCACGCAAGACATTGCTAAACCCGATGTACTCTTAGGTATTCAGTAACCTCACGGCAACACCACAGTCGCAGTTGCATCGTCTATTGAATTGCTGTTTGGTCTCGTCTCTTGCGTTCATGGGCTACGATCAGTTCATTGCGGCCCCTCGCTTGCCGTACCCCGTCATACTCAGGACAACTTTGGAAGGCATGAACTAGGTACAGGCCGCGCCGCGTAACCAGCATTAACCAGCATCGTTGTCTTCAGGGTACTCGATCCCAGTCACCGGAGGCATAGTCAGCGCAATAATGGATTACTACATCTGAAAAAGGTTCTCGGGAGCGAGCGGATCCTGCTGCGGCCGGAGCTTGCCGGCCTCACTCAGGCTATGATCGAAACGGACGACACTGCATTAGAGGCGCCTGCCGTGCCCAAGAAGGCCAACTGCTGCTGCTGTGCGTGCCCGGTGTTGTTCCTGATATCGGCGCCCTGGATCTTGAAGTTGCTCGGGGGTTTGGTCACTTGAGCACCTCAGACAAGGCAACTGAGTAAGGCGACGATGTCTTGATCAGTCATGACGCTACCTAGGTGTCGATGAAGCTGAACCAGAGGAATGGCTTTCACTAATAAGCCGGCAATACCTCCTTGGGTCATTGGGCTTACCGGACGGGAGAGCACCCCCCAGCTGGCTCTCCCTTGTGGATCCACTCACCTCAGACGACAAGCTTCCATTATTAATTTTCCCTACCTATGTACTTGCTTCTGCCAGCTCACTGGCTGCTTGTTGTTCCAAATCCAGTCGTTTCCCCCGAGATACCTTGGGGGACGGAGGGACTGTCCTTGGTCAAGGGTGAGCCTCAGTCCACGAGAGAATGGTCAACGGGTGCACGACCCGAGACGACGCCGCTGCATTCCAAGAGTTCCCAAGATAACTAGCCTAGGTCGACAGACGCTCAAGGGTTCGCCCTGCAGGCTCATGCTAGTCGCACAAGGCTGAGCCAGTAGACTAGACCGGCAGCTCATCGGTCCTCACACCGGGGTGACATCGAGACAGACCTGACTGATCACTTTTCCCCCAGGATTCCTACCGATCGGGCCCGCCCCATGTCACCTCCAAGCCTGTCTCCGTGCTCTCGGGCCAGGGCCTGGAGGCAGCTTTCTGTCTGACCAGATGGAGCAGGTCTCGGCAGTACATAACCGAGAAGCAGTGGCCGTTGTGCCAGGCTGGGGCCAGGATGGAATCAGACCCTGGGGGTGGTGGTCATCTGGTCATCTGGTCGAAGGGGGTTGGTGGTCAGAAGGAAGCCCCATGTTGATCATGATCAGTCTTTTACTGACCAAAGGCACAGTACGCATTAAGGGGGGGGGGGGTTGGAGGAGAAAGCAAGCGAATTAATGCATGTGTGTGTGACGAGCCCAAAATTGCCCAATATTTGAGTGTCGTAAGCAATAAATACCAGCGACCTGAGTGCTAAGCATAAACTCATGTAGATATGTCCTTGACCCGAACCACCACTTTGTCACCCGACTTCGAGTTCTGTGGTCGAGGTTGCCATGGTTCAGTGGCTCGCTCGGTGTGCCCAGATGGTTCGGTTGATCGGCCTAGCGGGTCGCCCTACCCGCTGTGACAAGGCGGGAGACCCCTAACAACTCATCATGGAAAGCCCTTGCTTCAGGGGGCCAGCCAGGAACGTGGGGCACGTCACATCTCGCCCAAGCTCGAGAGGCGCCCCCCGTCTCATTTGAGGTGAGAGGAAGCTTCAGCCTGAGCTCATTCAATCACGGACATCATATCGCCAACACCCCCCCCTGTCTGCATTATCTGGCATGTGAAGTCGACCGTTCAACAACCCATACAATCAAGGCACAAAAGTTCCTCGGGTCTGTCTCGATCGCCTTTGGCCAGCAGTGGCATCCTCGACGACGCGTCGGCAAGCGCATCCGGACACCTCGGTGGCTTCAATAGCCCACTGGGGCTTCGAACGCCTGCTGGAGATCTGCCACGAAACCCCTGCAACTCACACATTCGTACTGTCACCAAGTCACACGAGTCTGTGAGCGGGACTGCCCACTAAACGTTAAGGCCTGCCTGGTCGAGACTTCGTCACGGGCCTGTTCGGCCGGCGTGACCTGTTCACCTTGAGGAGAACACATCGCGTGGAGTAAGGCTGGGACGCTGCGACCTGCCAGCACCCTACTGGGAGGGCCAGCACGATATGGACGCCGAGGATGAGCACCTGGCATATGGCAGCGATGCAATTGCAGACGAAAAGAGCAATGGCGACCCATCTAGGTCTCCCCGGTCACAACCCGAGGTCACGGAAAGCAACGCCGAGCTGGAGGAGCTCAAGGCGCGAGAGATCACCGACGCCTGTAGACGGAGAGATATTGAGGGCCTGCAGGCTCTAGCTGAGTCTCCTGGAGGGTTCATCAAAGATGAACTGCGGCAACAGGCATGTGAGTTTGTGCGATAGCTTCTCAAGACCAGAACGTTTCTCTGGGGAACAGCCTAGGTTGCATCAAAGGAGGGAAGGCCATGTGCTGATAATACACAGGGCCTATACTGCTAGGACTACCAGTTCAGCTCCCAAGTGACGAGGACGAGAAGGTGTCTGTTGTCAGCCACGAAGCAGTGCGCTTGACTGCCTCAGAGTTCGTCGACGACTCATGGAAACATCTCAAGCCTCACAAGGAAGAGGAGCAAGTGAAGCTGGACGTCGCCAGAGCTTTTGTCTACTACCCTAATTGTAAGACTGCGACATGAAAGAAATCACCTCCTTCAGTTCATCTCACCTGGTCCGCGCGACAATTCTGACATCGCCCACAGACGAATCCGACCAAGAGCTCACCCTCCAGAAGCAGGAGCTGTCCGACCTCATTCTCTCCGTCCTGAGGCGGCACTCGTACCTGTGCTACTTCCAAGGCTATCACGACATATGCCAGGTCTTCCTCCTCGTCCTCCCCACCCACCTCCGCAGCCCGGCCGTGGCCCGCCTCTCGGCCCTGCGCATCCGCGACTTCATGCTCCCCAACCTCTCCGCCGCCATCGCCCAGCTGCGCCTGATCCCGGACATCATCCGCGCCGCGGACCCGGCCCTGGCGCGCCACCTCCCGCAGGCGGAGCCCTTCTTCGCGCTGTCGGGCACGATAACCATGTACGCGCACGACGTGCAGTCGCTCGGCGAGATCGCCCGCCTCTTCGACGTGCTCCTCGCCGCCGAGCCCGTCTTCTCGGTGTACGTCTTCGCCCAGATCGTCATCGGCCGCCGCGACGAGCTCTTCTCCGTCCCCGCGGGCGAGCCCGAGGTCCTCCACTCCGTCCTCTCCAAGCTGCCCCAGCCCCTCGGCGCCGACCGCATCGTCGCGGGCGCCTGCCGCCTGCTCGCCGACCACCCGCCCGAGTCCCTGCCCTCCTGGCGCCGCGGCGTCTCCCCCCACAGCGTCCTCAAGACGGCCCGCTCCGCGCGCGACTGCGCCGGCCAGAGCCTCGCCGTCGGCGCCTACTTCTTTGACCAGCAGATCATCGAGCTCCGGCGCGAGGAGAGGCGCGAGAGGGTCCTCAAGGCCCTCTGGCGTTACAGGAAGCCCGCCAGGGCCGTCGGCGTCGCGGTCGCGTTCGGCGTGCTGGCGTACTGGATCCGCAGGTCGGCCTTGTCGAACGGCGTCGCTGCCGGTCCGGTGCGGTACATGACGGCACTGGTCTCTGCGTGGTGGCAGGAGTTCTCGTAAGCTTGTTAAACTTGACTGTGGGGCTGTTCTTGGGGCCGGGGACAGATAAGATTTGTACATTAAATGCATAGGAGGAAAGGGCTGTAATTTGGCACAGCATGGTGGAAAGCCGTCTCCTCGACGAGAGATAACTGGGCATAGAGGGAAGGGTGTTTGGGGGGCAACAGAACCCGCTACTAATGCTGGCTGCTGAGCTTATAATCTCAAATATTCCCCTTTCAAATATAGCAAAGAACCCTCCGAAGAAGCCTAGACGAAGAGTTCCTGTTCCTTACAGGTGTTATACATCTGTACCCTGGATATGAACTGAGCTTTAAATTGAGCCTCAGCATTTACAGAAGCCTGGCGATACAGTAGAATAACCGAGTGGCAGCGGCAACCATGTAGCGGGTACCATTCGAGAGAATCTATGAAGTACACGCTGGCCGAATACTTTACATTTCTCACTCCTTTGCCAGTCGTGCGGATGCACCAATCTCTCCCTTCTTTTTGAACAGGCGAGGGGTAGTCTAGGCCTCCTACATTGCCATAGATCCCCCAAGCAATCAACACACCCTAATTTCCCACCTGGCAGCACGACGTCACGTTCTACTCCCCCTTTCTTCCGGTGTCCCGAGAGTGAACTCGGATCAAGCAGCCTCCTGGAACGCAGTCTTGAGCCCCTCAAAGTGCGCGACCTGCTCGGCCGCCAGCTTCCCGCCGCCGAGGTCCCCGATGATGGTGAGGATGAGGCTGTAGTTGTTGTACAGGAACCTCTCGCGCTTGCGGCCCTTGACGTCGCCCCCGAAGTGCGCCTGGCTGTAGCGCGTGAGGAACGCCTCCATCTCGCTGCGCAGGCGGCCGAGCGACGCGGCCACGGGCTCGTCGTCGCCGCTTCCCCCGCCCCCGCCGTGCTTGTCGTCGCTGCCGCCCCCGCTGAGCGACAGGATCCCGTGCACGAGCTGCCCGAAGCGCTGCGTCGCGACGTGCGGCGCCGCGCTGGTGGCGCGCCGTCGCCGCGCGGGGAGGGGCCGCTGCGGCAGGGCAGAGGTCATGGCGCGCACCGACTCGCAGTGCGCGTCCATGACGGCCTGCAGGCGCGGCCACAGCGCCATCGAGGTGCCGTTGACGTAGCCGTCCATGGCGGGCACGCGGCGGCGCTGCAGCTCGAAGGCGAAGTGCTGGTTGAGCCGGATGCACAGCAGCAGGCCCAGGCCGTCGTACGTCTCGGACGCGAGCGAGCGCGTGAGGTTGTGGCCCAGCTGGAACGTCGGGTCGAAGATGTAGTTGAAGTTCTTGCCAACCCTGGCCAGGGTCAGGCTCGGCGTGAAGAAGGACGCCAGGAACGTGTACTCGGCCGTCGCGTTGTCCAGCAGCGCGAGGTTGAAGTTGCGGAACGGGACCTCGAGGTAGTGCGTCGACTGGTCCTCCTCGGCGAGGTAGCTGCTGAGCGCCGTCTGGTTGGGCGTCTTGAGCAGGTCGATGCGCCGCCCGAGGTTGAAGGCGTCGTGCGGCGGGCCGCCGAGCCCTCTCGTGCCGCCGCCCAGGACTGTTGCTTTCCGAGACGTGTCCTCGTGACCTAGGACGTCAGTCTTGTCGATTATATGGAGCTTAATCTTGTCGAGAGCCTTTTGGTACCGCCCAAACTGGTTCAGGTAGTACCACCGCATCGTGTTCATGTAGGCAAGGGATATCTCGTCTGCCAGCTGGGAGTGATGTCTGTGCAGGAAGGCGTAGAGCTCTTTGTATTTCAAGAACTTTTGCTGTTGGATGATTTGTGCGTTCATGTGTGGTGATCTGAGAGCTTTTACCTGCGCGACAAAGTAGTCTCTTATCCTTTCGATGGCCTGGGTGCAACAAGTCAGCACACGCGCTCATCGAGCGCTCTCTGGTGCGAGGGGTCAAGGAGGGTCCATCCATACCTTGAGCGTCAACTTCTCCAGCAACGGCGCCAGGTCCGCCAGCGCCCTGCTCTGCCCCTGCTGCTTCGAATTCTTGGCCAGCGCCTCGGACCTCTTCTCGACCTCGGCGAGCATCTTGACCCACGACTCGTCGACGTGGCCCTCGGCGATCTCAGAGACCACGACGGGCGAGACGCTCAGCTCCTCCACCACGGGTCCCAGGCCCTTCTCGACGGCCTTGCGGTTCTCCAGCCTGACATTGAGGGCGGTGGACCGCGCCTGCAGGTGCTCAATGTCGGCGGACACCGCCGCGAGGTCGTCCCGGAAGCTCGTCAGGTTCGTCTCGACGGAGCTGAGGACGTCGTCGCACGCGCGTATGGACTTGTGCAGCTCTTCGTACTTAGTCTTGGCCTGCTCGTCTACAAATTCGCGTCATTGTATGTCAGCCTCTGTCGGATCCCGCTTGTTGTCATCGTCACGAGGCAGCGTGGAAGGAGGAGTAGAGGAAACCACATACATTCTTCAACTGACTGCGATCTATGTACACCTGCGTCGGGGCTCTCGTCGTCGCTCTGGGCTATGAACTCCCGCAGAGAGACCCCGCCAAAGTCGAACTCAATCTCAAGATCCTCTTGCGTTATGGTAGAGCTAAATGGGTCTTCCAGTTGTGTTACAGGCGACGGGGCGCCGCTCGACTCTGCTCGCTCCGTAGCCACCTCGCTCCCAAGTATCCTGCCGAGCACGGACAGCGACTCGGATCCATCATCGACAGTTGTGGTCTGCTTGAGTGAGGAGCTTCCTATTTGGCCTCCATTGGGTCGTGCTGACCCTCTGAGGAGGGAGACAGAGGACCCGGTGTCGCTGGAAGACACCAGAGACGCCTCAGACCCTCTCCCTGACCGCGATTGTGATGTGATGTATGGACTCCCACGGCTGGACACTCGTCGAGGCAGGGGGGAAATGGGCCTGCTATTTGGATTGGAGGACTGTTGGAAGTTGTTGTGAGCACCGAGCCGGTCAAGCCACATGATCGTGGTTGTGGTCGTCGTGGTCGCGAGGTCAGCTAGGGAGCGGGAGGCCGGCCGTGGCCGTTGGTCGCATTCGTGGAAGTCACGCCCCGATGCAAGGCTCTTACACGGATGAAATCGGTAGAGGCTGACCTTCTGATCGTGCGGGCAGATCGTCTGGGCTGGGGTCGGGTCTGTGGGCAAGAAGAAATAAATGGGTTCGCAAAGGACATCTAGTTGGGTACCTTAGACACCGGCTGCTTGGAACGTTGGCGAGTTCACGGCCGCGGTCCAGGGGTCCTGCTACGTAACACTTTATCGATAAGACCCTCCATAGCTGTCCAGCTGTTCAAGCTATCGCACCGCCAAAGCGGAATAGGGGTTACCCATCTCGTCGCCACAAATAGCCCACTCTCTACATCTCAACAATTCGTTGGCACCTGGACACAATGAGACCGATTGGGGAGAGCGTTGTACCGTACTCGCATCCAGAAGATAACATTTCCACTACGGGATTAGGTATCAAGCTCGCCTGCAAAAATTCCCTTTCGATGCACACATGCCATCCAGCCGAATGATTTCGGGAGCTTGCTAGCCTGGGAATCGAATTCTAGCCAGATCACTGTCAACTTGGCTGGCTCACCCCCCTGCCAGCGCATTATGTCAAAAAAAACAACCAAGGAGTTTCCACCTTGGTTTCATCCGCTTTTCTGTCCTCGCACCTTTGGGTGAAATCCCCCACATGGCGAAGTAAATATGTACAACAATGGTCAAGGTAGGAGGGCGCTATGATCTCAGTTCGGTGGGTGGAGCTCATCCACGTCTTCACATCTTCTCCCGCAATGTCAGCCTTCCGTGGCTGACTGATAGGTCGACGCTGCACTGAAGCTTCCCGTTTTTCCAGCTCCTCAGTCGGTCGCAAAAATTTCGTGGCTGTGCTCAACCATAAATTGCACAGCGAGGTTCTTCGCGTGCATGTCCGTCATCTCCTTCTCGAGACTGTGGTCTCGCATGATTGTAGGTGCGAACACCACGGCCAGGTTCTTGGGTGACATCTGGAACAACTGTCAGTTTCTTTGCCTGTGATTTGGCCTGCTCCCGGTGTCTTGAAAAACTCACCAAGTTCTCTCGCTCCCGGCTGGCGACTCTGGCCAGATGGAACATCAGGAATTCCAGAGTGTCGCGGTGCTTTGGCGGAAGAAGGTTCACCGTCTTCTGAAGGTGAGCACAGCGCTCAGCGGTGTCGGCGATGCCTGCGTTCCGGTCAGCGCATGCAACTACGTCCAAATCAACAGCAAACTTACCCGCTGATTCCAGGACCCGGTCATAGACATCGAAAGTCAGCAGCGGTGTGGGCAGCTTCCGGAAATACTGCTTGAGCACGCTGGTGACAGACGCGATGTCGATGCTTGGGTCGGAGATGTCAAAGTCGTCCACCTTGTCGAAACCCTCTTGGATCATCTTGACCTGAGAGTTGCCTCCTGACTTCCGGTATATGCCTTCGGCGTCCATGCCCCGGAGCTCAACCTCCTCTATACAGCGGGTCACCACACTTGGAATCTGTCGACGCTCGTGGTCGGCTCTCTCCACAAGCTCGGAACCAAACAGAACGGATGGGTCCTCCGCCGCGGCGGCTGTGGTACTTATGTTCGCCGCGGAGACGGACTTTGGTAGGTTAGGGTTCTTATTCTTGCCAAAGAAACCAAAGCCACGAGCGTCAGCAGGAGGAACGCGGTTCTGCTGCCCGTTGACGCTGGGTAGCGTGGTCGTCGGCTGCTCAAATTGTGTATTCGTCATGTTGTATGGTAGACCAATGTTGTCCGAGTTCAAGCCACCCTGTTGAGGGAGTCTGGGGTCGCGCTCGTTTGTCTGGAAGGCAGCGACGGCCCGGCCGACTCTGGTAATGTTCTGTGCCACGGACTTCCCGCCCTTCTTCCAGTTGAACTTCTTGGCTTGCCCCTTTCTCACCTGCACCACGGTTGGTCCCTCCAGGATAGGCTCATCAACGTCTGTAGCGACTAGGGTCGGCCCGGTCTGGATGCTTGATGCGTCAATGTTGTGGACAGATGTGCTCGACATGGACTTGTGGTTTGTGTATATGCCCAACCCGTTGGAAGGCTTGCCATCAGATCCGACCTGAGACTTGAAGCGGCCTTGGATCTGGTGCGTGAGATCGTTGTTCATATCGGCAAGCTGCGCATTCTTAGATGACAGCTGCTCGAACTCGAGGAGGGCTCGGTCCCGGTCGGCGATCGCGCGCTCCTTGTCTTCAATTAACTGGTTCCGTTCAGTGTGCAACTGCTGGATTGTCGCGGACATAGTCTGCTTGACCTTTTCAAGCTTCTCGACGAAGTCCTTAATGGCAGACTGCTCAAGAGCATGGTAATCGATGGGCCGTTGGGTGTCCTTAGCTCGCTCCACGTAGCCGGCCAGCACCTCCAACTCACGAAGCATGATTTCGGTCTGCGTGTCCAGGACAGAGACCGTCTTTCTCTTCTCGGTCAGCTTCTCGTCGATAGACAACAGGTCCTTTTCGGAATGGAATTTCTTCTCCAGCTCCGCGACTCGCTGTTCCGATGTGCGCAGTTGTCGCTTCAAAAACGCCGGGTCGTCCTGGGACAGGGGAATGCTGATGGAGTTCGTCTCGCCACCTTGGTCGGTCTCGATGATCGGGGTCTTGTCCCAGCTGGGCGACGCGGTCCCGCGGGTCGTTTCGCTCATGCTTCTGCCATGTGCGGTCCTGGTCTGCGGTGAGTTAGATTCTGTACTTCCGGTACGCCCGTGCCTCACGGCGTTGGAGACTCGGCGTAGTAACGAGGAGGATCCCTCGTCTGTGCCCAGGATACGTGCCATGTCTTCATCCATGGTGAAATCGCCGCCAGAGCTCCATCTCGGTAGCTTGGGGGACACCTTGGGGGATGTCTGCCCATTCTTTGCATTGTTCACATCCTTCGCAGCAGTCGCTCCGGGTGGCTGAGGAGGAGCTCGCGGGGACATGTATGTGTCGCTCAGTTTCTGCTCGACCTGTGGCCGAGTAAGATCCTCGGTCCTCGTGGATTTGCCGTTTACTACAACACAGATGTGCGTCAGTACACGTTGCCTTGGAAAGAGTTGGCTACATACCGCTGCGGTTGGCAGCCGAAATGGGGAGGTCCTTTCGAGGAACTGTCCTGGAATTTGATGTGTCTCCGGTCCTAGCGGAATTGTTTGTTTCGAGGGATGGACGCTTGTCATCATCTTTTGCACGAGCGTCCTGGGCTTCCCTGGAGGCTCCAGACCTGTCCGCCGAGCCATACCGCGGAGGCGACTCGGATTTGGAACCCAGGGTGTCTCTCCTGACGTTGCGATCCACGGACTTGGGATTTCCATTCTCCAAGGAGCTGGTCATTTGTGGAGGGAGCCGGTTGGTGATTAATTTCTTACTTTTGGGGGCATCCTGGAGCTTGAATTCATCCTTGTGCCCGTTCGAACTCTTCTGGGACCTATCCTCGCTGGCGACGGGGGATGCCTGTGACATGACGCTCCTGTCAGACCTAGACGACTTGGACAGCTTCCGCGCGGGCTCCTTAGGAGTCGAGGCTTCGTAGTCGGACGAGGTCCGTCGTGGTTTTTCCTGGAAAGCAATATGAGGGGTAGAGGCCTGGGAACTGCGAACCTCGTTTTTCCTGTCCGCCTGTTTTGTAAAATAATCCTTTTCGTTGTTGCTAGCCTTGCGCTGGTCAAAGGCGTCGCCGTTGGACCGTGGGGACGACACCGAGGGCGCGGGGCTGGGATCCAGGGCCACCGGGATGAAAAAGCTGTCACCGTCTGCACCTTCGATGTTAGCCTGTCCACCGATGATGGAGCTGTTCCTATTTTTCCGGTAGTTGTGGGCGGGCAGGCCGAGCCCGGTCTCCTTGTTGGATTCAGGATGCCGCTCTGGCGAGCGAGCGGGGCGTGAGCTACCTCTTGAGGACGAGTCCTTCCTGGGATACGGGGGCCTGGTTGGCCGGGGCGACAGCTCGGTGGGAGTGTCCGAATCTGGGGAAACACGGTCGTCGGAAAACGCGTTCGGCGGTATTGCATTCGGCGGCAAGGCGGGCAGCGACTTGTCGACCATTGGGGAGTCCTTGTCTCGCGCCTTCGCATGGGCGGCAGCTTTGGACTTCTTTCTCCGTCTTGCCATGAGCGACTCGTGGCAGCTCATGCAGAAGATGCCCTGTGATGTCCTTGCATATCGCAGATTTTCGATCTTCCTCTTACAGTTTCGACACCGGAAGCAGGTCGCACAGAAGGCCTGGTCGCCAGTAAGGATCGCGAGGTCCTCGATCTTGTTGCTACACGCGCTACAGCTGTAGGTGCAGTTGTTGCAAATGAGGGAGCCATCGCCGAGGAGGAGGAGGTTTGCATCGGAGTCGAGGAGGGTGCCGCAGGTGTTGCATCGGAAGCAATTCAGATGCCATCGGTTTCCAGCTGTCTTCTGGTCAGCTTCAGGCTCGGGGACCATGGTCAAGCACAGGGGCCGGTGTGGAACGAAGAATGGGGGCGCAGAGAAGCAAGCTGATCTCCCAGGAAGACCAAGAAGACCAAGGGTCTAGAGCTCGTTCGTTCATCCGTTCATCCATCCGTTCGTTCGTTCGTCAAACAGATCGGTGTCGAACACAAAGAGGCAAGAGGCAAGAAAGGCAAGGGGCAAGCAACTCAGCAGCACACATACCAAGCTCAAAGGCCTTGCCCTCTTCTAGGATCTGGTTCACGGTTCAAGAAGAGTCAGCCATTGTTTCGTCAAGACACATATTGATGCGCTCTTGATGGAGGTTTGGAGCCTGCAAATTTACCTCTCCACAGCCTTTGCAAGGAAAGACATCGTCATCCATGGGGCTCTCCAGGTAGTCGTCCATGGCTGCTGGTCGGTGCTGTGCTGTCTCCTGTGGCCAGATAAAGGAAGTTGTTGTCGATCCGGATCAGGAGCAGCAACCGTGGCTCAATGGGGGAAGGGGTGGTGAATCAGTAGCATGAGAAGGCAGAGAGCAGGATGCCGGCCAGGGTGAGGGCATCTAGGCTGCGTGGGCTGTCCTGTTCCTGCGGTGGAGAAGGGGAGGGAGAGGGGGTTGAGGAAGCCGGGTTAGAGAGCAGGAACCCTTGATTTGTCGACGGAGGGGCGGTGGTGATGCCGTCGTGGCTTGGGTCGGCTTGGGTCGTTGTCAGTTGTAGAGGCCGGGAGAAGGAGAGCACGGCTCTGCTCTGGCTCTCTAATGTCAGAGGAGAGGAGCTAGGCCTCGCTGGCGGGATGTGGAAGCGTGGATACGGAATGAGGAGTGAGGACGTTGAAAGGGCACAGACATATGCCTGTGTGACCAGGGCCGGACTGTGATGCAGGTAGTCCTCTTGTCTGAGCACTCTTGTCTGTCACTCGTGCTGCTGGCCCAGGACTGAGGTGCAGGGCAGGGCGAGGGCAGAGGCGAGTGTGAGTTAGGGTCAGGACAAGACGAGACGTGGAGTGGAGTGAAGCAAGGACAGTGCAGCAAGTGCAGGCCTGCCCGGTTGATTCATTGATTTGATGATGGGGACTGGCGGGAGGATTGGGTGGATGGATGGAATGAATGGGCGGGCAGTGCGGCAGTGGGCACCGGGCATTGGACAGCAGACAGGCGGATAACCTGACAGCCTGACAGCACAAACCTGGGCAGTTACAGCAGAAGCCACCAGTCCAGGAGTCGCCAGGGGTGGGGGGAAAGACCCTCGGGACTTGGACAGTCTCGGATTAGCCAGGGCCCAGCCAGGGCGGAGTGTAGCGGAGAACGAGGTCCCACTTGGGTCCCTCTCTGCTGGGGACACTGCGGGTTGGACTTTGAGTTGGAGTTCGGGAAGCCCCCCTTTCAATGGGTGGTCCCTCCCCAAGAAGGGAAGGCGAGCACGGAATAAAACACAGAGGAAGAGAGTGTCAGAGAGAAAGGGCCAGGGGAAGGGGGTCAGGACCCATGGAAGTTCATTGCCAAGGTTCAAGGTGCTTGCAGACTGGACTGTTGTTCCTGACAGCCAAGACTGCATACTGGTACTTTGTATAAATGGTCACAGAATCATCAGGACTGGCATTTTAATGTTTTTGTATTCCCAAGAAGAAGAAGCAAAAACAACTATGGCCTATGCATGTCATCATGCCTCGTCTTGCTGCTAGCCTCACCAGCAGTCAATGTGAATCTGCATGTTCGTTACATGTCTGTCCAACGTTGCTCAGGCGGAGCTGCTATGTACCTAGGTACCCAATTAAGTAGTACTCCGTAGGCATGTGGACCATGTCACTCAATGCCAGTCACAGCTGGATGTCGATTGTATACTATCTATCAAATCTACTCACCGTGGCCTACTAGGTGAACAAGCATCGTGTGGAGCACCACGTCTTTATTGTCTTCATTGTCCTCATCTTGGTCAACCACCGAAACAGCAGTAGCAACAATCTCGACATGCAATGATCTGCAGCCAGTCCTCTTGGGGAAATCAATGGATTGCCTAGATTGCGTTCCATAATGTGGCCCTCCCCGCCAGCATGGCCAGCCTGGGCCGGATGACCAACGCCCTTCCTCCTCCTTGGCCCTCAGGCTCTCCCCATAGGCCCTGGGGCTCGGAGATGGTGGTCAGAATCTGGTCCAGCCAACTAGCCAACCAGCATATGGCCACCCTCCTGACAGCAGCCTCCTGCAGAAGGTCTGCAGGTCGCTAGAACGGGAGCTACTTCCGCCGCCCATCGCGCGACATGCATGGGTTCCTGTCATTGCTGCAGCATGCTTGGGTTGTTAAAACAGCCTCAGGGCCAGGCAGCTGAGGGTTCGCTGTGGTGGTGGCGTGGTGGTGGTTGTTGTTCTTCCGTCTTGCCAACTACGAAGCGGCCTCTCCGGCCCAGCCAGATGGCATACCCATTAATAGAGTAACATCACACATATTACGGGTGATTACTCTACCGTGTTTGCGTCTGCCGCCTCAGATGCCGGCATTGGATCGGAGACTTTGCTCCCAAATCATTCTAGCCTCGAGGCTAAGCCGTTCGCAATCGTGGCCCACTTCCGGAAGAGATAGACGAGTATTGACGAGATATAAATATAGTTGTGTGTATATATGTGTGTGCGCGTGCGTGTATGTAAATGGTCTATGCAGCATGCCTTGGTGCTGTGCTCGGCCTGCCTGATATCTCCAATATGCCAAGACATCAGCAATCCAGAGCAAGATGAGCCATTTTGGCAGAACGAGAATCCAAGTTGCAGGACCAGGTCGCACGACATAGTGGCGTGCCTGCTATCCTCCTAACCCGGAATGGTCGCCCTCGAAGTCGTATCAACACCATTCCATATCAGAGAGGCTAACGCAGCCCGCCTGCACCCGGGCGCTGATTTCCCCTGGAGAAAACGTGGGACGATTTCCACCAGTCTGCTGTAGAAGTACTGTAGAGGCTCTGGGGCGTACCTGGGGGCGATCAGTGCTGCAGAGCAGTGTGTCGCATCAACGACACATGTCTTTCAGCTCGAGAAGCAGATCATGAACCCATCCACGTGCCATCCCAGGCCAGAGTGTAGCATCCTGCAGCCTCGCAGCAACAGCGACGGGGGGGCTGCAGAAACGCCGATGTAAGCACGAATGTGGGTACGGGCACCTTGTCATTTCAGATTCAGGGCACACCCATATCGCAGCTGCTGCAGCACAACGCGCAAAACTTCTAACAACAGAAGAAGCTCTTGGGTCAATATGGAGCAGGCAGCATTGTCCTGCCGGGCCAAACCATCCCCTGAACAAGCCGTCTTGGTAAAGCGCTATCATACGTCCGTTGCGCTGGACCTGCTGGGCGCTGCCCTCGCCCAGCCCTGGTGCAGATCCTCATATATTAAGGTCTCGTCAGAGCTCGTCCAGCACGAACGACGCTGCTTGTGATACTTTGGTCGCCATTCCGCATGACATCAACGAGCGGCCCAAGTCGTCATGTACGTCTTTGATCACTGACACGTACAGTTTGGCGCAACAGTCCTCGCAATCTTTTCTTCCGGGCCCCAAAAAAGCATGGCTGGCATTGCACATGCAGTCTGCGTACGGCTGCCAGATATCGCAAAGATGACACGGGTGACCCGGTCGCAGGCACTATGTAGGTTCGTTAGAACCCGGGCAATACACACACTCTCCCTACTTGGTACAAAGTAGACCATGTCCCCGGTCATCATGACCGATATCTGATGGCGGGCATCGCTGCTCGCCACCACTTCCCGGGTCTGCAACGAGCAAATCGACAGAGGAGTAGATCCTGCGGCCCGCCAAGGGTAGGTCTGCCGCACAATCTCAGAATCAACTGCAGTGTCACCGCCAAACGCCAAAGCCAATAGACGCTCGAGACCAGAGCCCAAAGCCAACAGAGGACCCGCATGGCGGAGGTTTCAAGTTGAGTGACGGAGGAAGGTGAGAGTGAGGGGGTTGATTGAAACAGCCTTGCCTCCAGTCGCAGTAGGCACGCTGCATTAACTTCCATCTCGACAATGATGCACAGAAGGAAGGGCGTAGCAACTGGACGGCAGGATCAGGATCAGGAGCGGGAGAGCCCATCGGCTTCCCGATGCCGCGGTCAGGAAGCCCATCATCAATCGTCCCACAAGGTGACGAGGTCTGTTCGCACGTTCGTTCTTGCCACACGGCGTCATCCCTCGATCTCGGGCAACCAACGTTGTGCGCAACCAGGATGTTCCTTCCCGGCTTATGCTTTCCCAGCGTGTCCAATCTCCAGGAAAGATGGGAGGCTGTCAAGGATGACAGGAAAAGCAACTGCCATCACAAAAAAGCAACAATGATAACATTTCGGCCACGTTTCAGACTCGAAGGCAACACGCGACCATATACCGGCTGGACGGTACACGGTCAAAGTGCACAACTCAGCCTTCTTCGAGGCGAGGCTAAATCCATGCAGCCAGCCATCCAGCAGCAGCCCGCCCATCCATCCGTCAATCCTTTCGCTTCGACGCAGCGTCGCGGCAGATCTCACGACACAACAAAACTTGTTTACCCGCCTTTATTATTACCACCCAGGTAGACATCACGGCCAAGGCTGACTCCGACTTGTTCAACCGAGATCTCGTTTGCCGCCCACCCTTCCTCCCTCTCCCGTGATGGCCGGCAGGGCTGGGCCGTACAGTGTTCCTGCCCCTGAGCTGAGCATAAGCTCAAGCACGCCAATGCAGGTGGGGCCTATCTCGAGCCGCGCACCAGGTGTACGACATGCCATCCTAACTTATGCTTCATGCTGTGCCGCGACAAGACACTTCAGACATGCGACACCCTCCCTCCCCCACGTACACAATCCACGCATCATCTTCAACGGTGCTGTCTATCCTGCAAACACAGCCTGATGGGGAACGGGGCGGGCACGGCCAGAAACCAGTTCTTATGAGCAATGCTACCCGGGCCCCCGTGTCGCGGGATTATCAATCACACGACCACCAAAAAGGGCAAAAAAGGAAATAAGCCTAGCAATACTCCTCGCGATAGCCCCGTGATTGGGTTGTAGCCGGCCGTCCCTCATGGGGGGATCATTCGATATCCGGCGATCGCAGGTTGTGCGCGCGGGCCGCAGCCCTGGCGTGCGCGGCCTCGTCGTCTGGTGGGAGTGGAGCAAAGGCGACGCGGTGGGTTTTGCAACACAATCACTCTCCTCGCCTGTGAGAAAAGCGAGCAGAGTATCAACGGGGGCCCGGGGGGGCCCCAGTCATTAAGGTCCCGGGATATAGATGTGGACGCGCCCGAGACGCGAGCGCAATGACTTGACTTTTGCTAAATTTGTAACCGCTTGCACTTTTTTCCCTTTTTTGCTATTCTCGGATCCCGGGCGCAATTCATTGATTTTCATCATCGACGGGCAGCACGTCATCATACTCATACATACATATTGCATGCGCCATGTAAGTGTGTGTACTTGCTTGCAGCTGCTGCTCATTTTGGGCTCGCAGACCGAGGCGGTTTTCCCCACACACCCACCCCTTGATAATCCACGAACGGCCGACGGCCCGGGGATTTTGTTTTTGAGTGTTTCAACCAGCTTTGAAACGACACTTGCAGATGGGGGATCGCCAACCGACCGAGGGGGGGTGGTAGAGGGTGGGCGGACTGTTTGGCCGCTTTAAACAGACCCCCCTTTTCCTCGCCATCGACCAAAACCATATTCTCCACCCGATCCTATTCGTGGCCCAACAGTTCACCAGGCAAGTGCTTGGAAAGGGTGGGTATGATGGAAGAAAACCCACAGCCCTCAGTCCAGACCCGGCAGATGAGCCCAATCTGCCACCCCCATCGCACTGCGTAGTCTAGACCCTGAAGCTTGGCTTTTTTTTCCTGTTGTCTTCTTTTTTTACCCTATCGTCGATCACTGCCGGCGCGTCCCTGCATTTCTCTCGATCCTTCGCCCGCTGACAGGGCATGATCTGCTTGCTGCCGTGCCAAGTCGACCGCACCACCGACTGGCTGGCTGACTGGAATAATTGGTGACTGACTGGCTGACTTTATTCGCGGCCCTCGATGGCCAAACACCGTTCTGTTTTCCAAGTAGCACCGTATCAGGTAGAAAACCACGTCTGCCTGGTTTGCACAAAATAATAATGTACAGTACCCAGCCAGCCAGGCAAATTATCACCCGTCTCCGCGCCCACCAAAACCAACCGGCCCAAGAATAATCATGAGGGAAGTGCACAGAAGCAAGGAACGACAATCACGGAACTCTTCTAGAAGGCAACCCCAGGTGGGAACGGTGACGATAGCAACGTTACGTGAGATCTCGGGAAGGGACATGCACGCACACGTGCCCGCCCACGAAGGAGGCCGGGGGGGGGGTGCTGATCTGGAACTCTCCACGCCCCCCTGCCACAATCTAATCTACAGACAGACTATAGACCACTTTGCCTATCATACATACCACCCTCACCTGCAGCAGCCCGCCACAACATGTGGGCGTTGCCATTGTGGCTGGTCCGGGGCCGGGAGGCTCTAGGGGAAGGCCGGTGGGTTAGTTACTTAGAACAAGGCAGGAATTCGGACTATGAGTACTGGGAGCCACATGCCCCCTCGAGCTCGCTCATGGTAAAAGGGAAACCAAGTCGCAAATGCATGTCTTACTTGTTCGTCCGATGGTACGGACCGTGGCACATCTCACAGGAGCACTCGTTTCCGGATCGGCTGCAAAGAACGTCCACCACAGTAGATATCAACACAGCTTTTAGAGAGAAAAAGTGGCATGTGAGTTTTCGTATGGACAAATAGAAAAAAACAGCAGGCATGGTATAATTACGGAATCCAGTCGATCACAGCCCCCGACCTCCTTCCACCACCACTTAAACCAGACCACAGAAGCCATATCCCGAACTCCAACACACCTGACCGCCTGGTCCCCGCCAGATCTGTCCTGTCGCACTTTTGTTTTGATGCAAGAAAGGTAGGAAGGAAAAAAGGTATAACACACCATACCCAACCGCCGCCCCCAGACCACAAACCGCCGTTCCCCTGTTCCGCCGCCAAACCCCCCTTTCCCCCGGAGTAGAGCATATTGCCGATCAACCTCATCTCAGGCAGAAGCGGGCCAGGCGGGTTACCTAGGCCAAACCATTAGCCGCCTCCTTCTCCCTCTGCCTCTTGACGATGTAGTACGTGATCAAGCTCTTCGGGTCGTCCTTGACGTCCTTCATCACGTCCCAGAACCTGGCGTCGCCGACCCGCCCCTGCAGCGCCACGCACAGCTGCACCGCGTCCATCCGGACCCCGGACTCGCTGCTGTCCAGGCACCGCGTGCACAGCGCCGCCATGCTGCCCAGCTCCTGGTCCGTCGGCACGTACTCGGCCTTGGCGTCCACCATCTCCTTGAGCACGTGCAGCCCCATGCTCAGCGACCGCCACCCGGCCGCGCTGTCCACGGGCGTGTCCGTCATCCGCCTCGTCAGCACCGTCGCGATCTCCTGCGCGTCGCCCAGCGAGACCAGCTCGTCCGCCAGGAGCTCCAGCCCGGAGACGATGTGCGTGCGGGCGTCGTACACCGCGCGCGCCGACATCAGCGACTCCAGGCCCTTGGAGATGTGCGGCTGGAAGTGGTCGCGGTACTTCTTGAGCAGGAGCTTGATAGTTGCCAGGTTCTGCGCCTTGACGTCCTGTACCTTCTCGGGGGTGAGGTTGGACTGTGGGTCCTCCAGGTAGTCGAAGAGGCCCAGGAGCAGCGACTCGAATTTCTCGTCGGATAGAGGGGCTTTGTTGTCTCGGAGGATGCCTTGAAGCTTGCGGAACCCGTGTACGTCGAGAGACTTCGCCTTGATCTTGGCCAGTGCGCTCTCAATGAGTCGGGCATGTTGCTTGGCCTTGTCGGGCGAGATGTCGGGTTGCGCGGGTCCATCGCCATTCTGCCGCGCCACCAAGTTGGCGGCATCCTCGTTCACCGGCTTCTCTTCCAGTACTGCTGGCGGCGTCAACCGTGGAGTTGACTGCTCTGCTGTCAAGGGATCCTCGTATACTCGCAGGGCCTTGGAGGGTGTTCCCGACGGGCTTGCTGTTTGATCTCGCTCCGCCGGGGCAGTGAGTTCAGGCGCAACAAGGTCGGGAGACGTGATGGCTGGCGGATCCGCTGGTGGGGAGGTCGGGGTGGATGGCGTTATCAGCGAAAGGCTATCCTCGGGCTGGGGGCTACCGAGAAGCGGCCCAGGCTGTAACCTTTGCCTAGCTGGGCTCTTTGCTGGGCTGGTGGCAGGCGAGGATTTTGCGTGCGTCAACCTGGTGGGTGTGGGAATACTCGACTCACTCGCTGTCGGTTTGTGAGCTGGTCTCGCCTTCGCCACTGTCCGCTTCGGCGTTGTGCCCATGGTCTTGGGTGTCACTGCCTTCGGCCTCGCTGGCGGGGGGCTCATCTCGGCGTCGATCCCGCCACGGACAGAATATGGACCCGCAGTTGCTGGCCGCGGTGCCATTTCTGGCCGTTTCCTCGTCGGCCGAACGGGGGCCACCGAGAGCCCGCCGCTGGTAGTTGGTTTTTGACGCGTTGCGGTGGATGGAGCAGTGGTACTTGCTGAAGCAGTCGACGAGCCAGAGACGGCTCGAGATGTTCGAGGTGGTGAGAAGTGCGCCATGGCTGAGCCAGGTCTAACCGGAAGATTCTTCGTCGCCATGGCTTTCTTCTGGGCCATCATGGTCTCCCTGAGCGATGGCTTGGCTCCCATCGTGCTACGAGAGAGGCCCAGGCCTGGCCGCGCCGCAGGTTCTGCCTTCTTTGGTGTATTAGGGTTGTTCGGGTCCCTTTCTAGCGCCTTCTGCATTGTGGGTTCCAAAGTGTCCATGAGACTAGATTGCATGTCAGTTTTCAATGGCTGTGCGATCAATTCGAAGGTGCAACGTACGCCTCTGCCCTTGCGGGCCAAATGCCGTAAAATGTCCAGAACGTGGACCTCATCTTCTCCCTGACACTAGGGTTTGCATCGCCGAGTCCCTTCTTTATCGACTTCTCTATCAAATCCAAGCCGCCACTATGCTCGATATGGCTCTTGTGGTGCGCCTCCTTCTTCAGAAGCGTCTTCAGCCACTCAGTCGCATACGATCTAGGCTGCACATTCTTGTCCGTGCAAGCACCCGCAACATGCTGCATGATTCGGTTCGTGTAGGTTACCCTGCCGATTATGGTGTCGATACAGACATTCGCTTGTTGCGAGGCGATCTTCTTCGTCGCGGCAGAAAGCTTGATGAACGTCTGCATCAGAAGCTCCACCATAGGATCCATACCAGATCCGTAGTTGATAGCGATGTCCTGGACCAGCGCACAGCCCTCTTTTGACAAGCTCGTCCTGAGAGAGGTGATAGCCTTGATGATGCCATCGAGAAGACCCCTCATGCCTGCCAGGAACGGGTCGTGAAAGTCCGACACGGCGTTGCCGGCCATCAACCTGCGGAGCTTGTTGATACTCTGCTCCCGCAGCTTCCAGTTGTGTTCTGATTCGTTGCCGTCGAAATAGCCGTGCATCTGAGTAAACATGTCATCCAGTTCGCGCGTTGTGTTGAGGTACGAGGGCTCGACTGTCTCGGTCCTGGGATCAGGCATGGGGGTTACCGGTCGCTCGCTGAAAGTAGACACAGAGGAGACGCTGGCTGAGAGGTTCGGACGTGAGGCGGGCCTGGGCAGATCTACTGGTCCGTTGTCGTCGGGGGCGGGGGTGGTCGATCTTGGGATCAGCTCCTTCACTATGGCCGCCTTGATGGCTGGGCGGACTCTGAAGTTCTCCAATTGCTTCTTCAAGTCGGCCTTGGCCGTACCAGAGGCGTCTCTGAAAAGCTCGATGACCGTGGACTTGGCCGTCTCGCGAACACTGGCGTCGGCATCTTCCAGCAGCTCCATGAGACGTGGGACGTAGGTTCGGAACTGCAAGCCTTGTTCCCGATTCATCTGCAGGAGCCACTGCATGCTGGCCTCCTTTGCCCTGGAGTTCTTACCCGCCATGGCAAAATTCCGAATGTGGCGCTCGACATCGGCTGGCACGACCTTATACATGGTAGCCATCGACTGCACCGCGAGAGTGCGGAACTTCTCCTTCTGGTCGCCCATCCTGTCCACAAGAAGTGGCAACGTCGTCTTAGTTTCTCGTATGATGTACTTGGGCTCCTGCCGCGACAGGCGCGTGAGCAGGTGGTTGAGCGAGGTGAGCCCTGCGTTGGCGAGGACACCGTGCTGGTTCGCGGAGGCGGTGCGCAGGGCCTCGAAGAGCTGTGCGACACAGGTGTCGGGGACATTGTGGTGTTTGATACCGGTCTTGACGGCGGTGACTTGAGCGACTTTCGCATCGACGGAGGCGTCGGAGCGCAAGACGTTCTGCAGGGCCTCGACCTGCTCGTCTGTGATTTTCTCAGCCATGGCCTCTCGAACGGCGCAGGAGAGCCGCGCGGTGCGATTCGGGGCTGTTTTTTAGAGTTTTTGTCGTCGCCTCAATTGGCGAGTCGGATGGGCCGGTGCTGTGCGCGCACTCTATTATGTACAACACACAAGTCAGCGCATCGGTAGAAGAATGTGGGACGTGATACGCGCCGAGCAAAGAAGGGCAAACTGTATATTGATGCCAATGTTTGCTGATACTTCCCAAGGCTGCGCGCTCAGACGCAGAGGGGAGGGGGAAGAGGAGGGGAAGGCGGCTCACATCAATCACATGAAGCTTTTGCTGGACAGAGCTCGGCTCCAAAGTTGGACTGGGCTAGGCGATCAGCAGTGCGGTGCGATGCGATGCGATTGCGATTCGATGCCGGTTGAGCGCTGGGATCAATTGACCTGCGAGGTCTGCTGCGGCGAGTGTGGCCTCGCTTGAGGGATGCGACGCGGGGCAATGGATAATATTTTGGGTCAGCGGGTGGGTAAGGAGGACAAGCAGGTACGGGAGGAGCACGGGAGTATTGGGGAGGAAATCAGTCACAAGCAACTGGTCGTCGCAAGGTGGGATGAAACAACAAAAGACGAGCTCCCCCAGCTGCGTGGAGGCCGTTGCCACGGGCCCCAGCGGAACCACAGCGCTAGCGTCTCTCGTAGCTCCTGGCGCAAGGGCAGATGGGACGGCACACGGCTGGTCGACGTCTAATTGCCTGCAGGGGTCTGCAAACGGGGCCCGGCCCCACCCTGACGGACGCCTGGGCATCACCCACTGCAACCTCCCCTCCGAGCTGCCGTATTCATCTTGTGCAATGTCACTGACTCTGCGTAGTACGCCACGCGATTCCATCGACACGATACCACGACACTATTTCCGCAGACAGGTAAGTCAACCGCGAGAACGACGAAAAATCGATCAACCTCGGAAGACCGTCATTCGTCGACACCGCGGACTGATTTCCAAGCAACACACCCAGACCCACCCACGCGCGCATCACTTTAGATTATCCATCCATTGTCTCTGCCATTCCAGAATCTGCGGTTGCCAGGGGAGTTCTTTGATTATCCCTCACTTGAGCGTCTACTTTACATCAGATATGGTCATGACTGGCCAGCGATCCTAGCGCGCAACAGTGGTTGGGGAAAAGATTCACATACGAGGCCCACTTCGTGTCGCGCCATCCATACGGCCTGCCTTCTTCAAAAATCGTACAACTCAAATATCACAATCTCGGCAAGTGCCAATATTGACAATATCATTTCACGCAACACCAGCCACTTAATGACAAGCTGCAAGTGTTTACACCAGACTACGCGGAGCCACATTCTAACACGGACTCTTATCCCCCGACCGTCATCGAGTGTTCATATAACAAGGTCAATGGCCAAGATGAATCTGGTTGGCCATCTGCAACGACTGTGTCAATGGCAAACAGTGAGGCCGGGGATACATGCCCTGCCGAAAAATGCTTGCCAAGCTTGCCACTCTCGTCACATATCCCACGAGTTCCTAGGATACGTCTGACATCAGGGTTGACACAACTTATAAGGCTTGTTCAGGGCTTTCAATTGCCCAACTGGACCTTTTGACAAGCCTTCTCAGAGTGGACATCCCACGCTTCCTTGAGCGCTTCACGCTCGATATGACAGCGGAAATAATAACAATCTCAGTTGGTAGAATCACGATTGAGCCTGGACTCACGAGATTCGATCAGGGGTTTCCCACGCAAGTGGACTGCCAAATTGCGGATCGTGCGTTATCTTTATACGGCATGACATCTGTTGTAGTTGGCTGAACCAGAGTTGAAAAGTGGCAGCATTGTATCACTCAGGCAAAGATGATGCCCATCGGTAATAATGTTTGAACGAGCATTGGCCCCAAACTGGCCCGACCACAAAGTTTTCGAGAAAGCTGCTATCAGTGCCGAGAGACAACTTTGGCGATGTCGTTAGACACCTGAGAGTGGTGGCCAAGCATTCAATGGATACAAAAACGATTTTAACCACATCACTTGCTACCATACTTTATACACAAGTGGCTGTGGATGTACGGAAAGAACAGCGACATACCTCCTGAGACGGGCTTGAATGATAGACGAGGGCATGACACACAATACTAGTCGTTTCATTGCGGTCGAGGTGGTGCAACAGGAACTGTCAAGACCAACAGGGCGATAACCGTGGGCATCATCCACCTAGAGCTTCAACTTCATGTGTGGGCATCATTCACTGATTTCTACCTCTTGCTGTGCTTTCTGGAATTTGGATACTCAACGTGTGTCAGCCTCCTTTCTCATCTTCTTCCCACTTTAATCGCCTCCTTGCACAATCTTCCCAATCACAGCCTAAATTCTGCATGCGAATTGTCAATCCCAGCCAAACATTTCACATTTGTTGCAGCAACTTCGTGGAGCAGTCTACCAGCGATGTTGTAGGGAGCTCATAACAAGCCGCATTGCGGCTGCCGAAAAGAAGAAGGAAGTAGGAGGCCAAATGGCCTACTATCTATGCTCTAGATTCCTATTGGAGTGGGAAGTGACTGGAAGCGCCGGTGAATACCACTTTTCACTGCCCAAAAGATGTTGATGTTGAGCCTGTAGTGACAATTGTGTTAATTGGCCTGTGTGTTCCGTGCCCTCGCTGCTTTGCCGAGACCTAATACATACCTGGAATACTTTGGCATCATAGTGGCAGACAGCCTTACGGTATAGAGCTGATTGCCGAAACTGTAAACGACTGATATCTCCTTGTATTATGGAAAACAAGATGCAAGCAGCCTCAACCGGCCGGACGCAATTCCCGGAAGCCCGACTGCACAGACGGAGAGTTTCGGCCACAAGTGTATGGCCGTACCATTATAGAGTCGCCGCACGAGTAAGCTGCAACGAAGTAGTCTAGCCACCGGCAGCCATGCATGCGCAGCGGCTTGGGTCGATCCACTCTTTTGGACCTCACCGCCGTATAAACCGCCAGCGGGTTTTTGGTGGACCCCGAAATCAGTGAAGGAGGACAAGGCATTCTCTCAAACTGCTACGTCTGTTCTACGCTCGTGCTTGCATTCCTGATACGTGTTATCGGATTCTGACTACACACCGAGCATTAAATTGTAAAGTTAAGCAGAAGATCTCCACCGTGCCGTGCAAGTCTCCACTATGTCGCCCCTTCCTTTCCTTTAGAGAGTCGAGGGGATGAAACTATCTAACCTGACCTCTTCATCAATTAACCGGCTTCGATATAAAAGCTCCAACGTCTCTGTCATCTGCAACGACTGACCGATACCTGCCAGTATCATTGTTGTTGCCACTATGACTTCACGACTTGCAAGCTCAGACCCAATAGGGGCAGGCCTTTCTCTCTCCTTTCCTATAGAGAAACCCTTTGCATATGCCGTTACAGCATTTCTTTTCGTTCTGGTAGTGTACGCCCTGCGTGACAGCTAGGACGACCTCCCCAGGCTCAACCCCAAGAAGCCCTTCGAGCTCACGACGCCAAGGCTGCTAGAGGAATATCTCGCCAAGGGCAAGCATATGCTGATCCAGGGTCGGGAGACGTACGGACAGAAGCTCTACCGGCTGTACTCAGACTTTGGTGATGTGGTCGTGTTGCCCGCAGAGTTCATGCCAGAAATTCGGAATAATCCGGCACTGTCATTCCTTGAGGCAGCTAACCATGTAAGCATTCCTCAAAGTAGAAGCCAACCTATGAGGCCTCGGATTCACTTGTGTGCGAAACCATCGATACTCACCAGACTTGATATTCTACCTAGGACGCTCACGGTCAACATCCCCGGATTCGAGCCCTTCTGCCTCACGAAGGAGAGCGTCAATTTGATCAATAGAAACCTGACCAAGGTGCTCGGTGAGTTTTTGATTACCTCCATCGTGAAGTTTCCAGAGACGTCAGGCTTGGAGTCCGCCAGCTAATCTTGCACGCACATGGGAAGCAAAGCTCACGATGCCCTTGTCACAAGAGGCCACTACAGGACTGCAGGATCTCCTGACAGACTCTCCAGGTAAATCCTTTATTTTCTTTCTATCTTGCATCTTCTTGCTTTTAATCCTCTCTGACACAAAATAGAATGGCATGAAGTCAAGGCACAAGCTGAGATCGGCAGACTCGTGTCATGGATGTCGACGAGAATCTTCATGGGCGAGGAGATGTGTCGCAACGACGAGTGGGTCGCCGCCGTGTCCGAGTACACCAGAATCTCCTTCTTCACCGCCAACGAGCTCCGCACCTGGCCCGACTTCCTGCGGCCGATCGTTCACTGTTCCTGTCCTCGTGCCAGGAGGTGCGCGCCAAGCTGCCCGCGCCGCGCCGGATCCTCAAGCCGCTGGTCGAGAAGCGCAGGGCGCTCCAGGCAGAGGCCCTCGCCAGGGGGGAGGAGCCGCCCGTGTTCGACGACGCCATGGGCTGGTTTGAGAAGGAGTACGGCCAGAACTACGACCCTGTCATCGCGCAGATCACGCTGTCCACCGTGGCCATCGACACAACCACCGACCTGCTCCAGGAGACAATGCTGCAGATTGCGCGCCACCCCGAGATCTTCCAGCCCCTCCGCGATGAGGTCGTGGAGGCCCTGGGCAAGCAGGGGCTCCAGAAGACGTCCCCGTACAACCTCAAGCTGATGGACAGCGCCATCAAGGAGGCGCAGCGGCTCAAACCCATCCTAATCGGCATCCGGCGCTCCGCCCTGGCCGACGTCGAGCTGTCCAACGGCTTCGTGATCCGCAAGGGCTAGAAGATCATCGTCGACACCACCAACATGTGGAGCAGCAGCTTCTACGAGGACCCGGCCAGGTTCGACCCCTACCGCTTCGTGCGCTGGCGCGACGACCCGGAGAGGGAGAACATCGCCCACCTCGTCAGCACCAGCGCCCTTAACCGGGGCTTCGGCCACGGCGCCCACGCCTGCCCGGGCAGGTTCTTCGCGGCCAACGAGGTCAAGATCGCGCTGGCACACCTGCTGATGAAGTACGACTGGAGGCTCCCCGAGGGCCACGACCCGCAGGACATCAACGTCGGCAGCGGCGTCGTCGTCAACCCGGAGCTGAGGCTTTTGGTCAGGAGACGCCAGGAGGAGCTCGACCTGGACTCGCTTTTGGAGTAGGCCGGAGGATGGAGAGGCTACATAGAGATGCAGGGGGCCGGCCGGGCCGTTTCTTTCTTCTGGTAGTACGCCGGGGGCGTTTAGTCAAGTTTGCTGTCATGACATAGAATATTGTGTTCAATTAAGAATAAAAGACTTTTGTTCCTAATTGTTCTCTCACATAAACCAACTAACAAGACAGCGTCATAGCATAATGCACTGCCATTATTGCAGGTTCGTGGGCATCCGAGCCGTTTTCTGGGCTCGAGCCAATCGCGTGTTACACATAAGCTTACTCAGCACAGCCGATGTTATCAACGAACTCAATCACTGTGAAATGCTCGCCATGACCACTGGCTGTATAACATACAGCGTTTAGCTATTATACCAACATGCACAGACTGTTTCATTTGTGCTTAATTATATAGCTTCAATAATTTGGATGAGTCGTGGCGCCTTCTTGCTCCATCCGGCAATATCTTTGTCCATGGAAAAGAATGAGGGATCGTCACGAAGAATCGGCAACAGAGGGCAGTTCGCTCTAGCCATGAGGGTGTCGAACAGTAGTTTGACTACGCGCGGCCAAGTTTTTGGATACTCAGAGTAACGCTTTCGATATCCGGGATTGACGTTGCTAAAAAGATAGAACGGAAGTAAGCACAGTCAGAGAGTGGAAATTATTAAGCGCTAGGCTGACCTCGTGTGCCATTCCCTGCAACTGTGATAAGAATTCTGCCTTGTATTACATCCGGCAGCAACTAATGCATAAGTTTATACGCGTGTCTTCGGAATATTCCATGTGTATCCATCCCAAAATGAGACTACTCATAAGGCTTTGTTAGTGCATTCGCGTGATGCCGTCTTAATCCACTTGTACTATAGGTGTAGGACATAGCCCGTTGACTCCGAGTCTAGCTACAAGTATTGCTGCAACTCAACTGACTCATTTATCACAACTACAATGCAGGGTGCCAGCTCGGCAATGCACGTGGTGTGTTGCAGATACTCCATGTACGGAGGGGCGGTTAAGGGAGGGTTGTACAGCTTTAGAAGTGGCTGCAGGTGTGCTTGCTGCAAGCTCCGTGAGGAGAAATGATTATTATACATCATTCAGCTCGTGTATCAGCAGATTATCCCGTCCATAACCCCACACTTTGGCCTGCCATAAGTGAAGCTCCTCGACAATCTTGCTTGACACTCACCCGGGCTCTGACCCCCAACACAAGTCTTAACTTGGTAGAAGCAATCATCGATCACAACCCTCATTCTTTCCCGATTATCCAATGTCCCACCCATCATACATCAATGGATCAAAAGAATTATTATGAGATACCATACAGAAAGGACCTAAGCTGCAATGGTCCTTGATTTGAAGCAGTTTCCGGCACTGAGTTAGAGTTGGCAACCAATTAAGTTCACCCCAGTGGCAACAATTACAAGAGGACTGATGACCTGCCCATCATGAGCAGTCGGCCTGGATGCGCAAGCTCGATTGATGCGCACATCGTTGCCGAAGCTGTGAGGGATCATGATCACAAAGACGAACATGCTCTCACCTCCTCACCAGGCCAAATGGGGCTTGTTGATCAATGTCCAAAACAAGACAAGGCACGTATTTCAGACTTTATATCAGATTAAGAAGTTCCATATTCTCACGTACTACTTTAGGGTTCGATAGAGGATAATTTGGAGCTGGCCGATCAGTCAATACCCTCGATAGACGACATTCTGGAGGCGTCGCAACAGCTGAGGGCTGTGCCAGAAGACGATACGTTCCCTGCCTCTACCGAAGAGGTCAAAGAGGAAATGCTTGGCAATGGATGGTGTCTCCATCAGATTGAATATCTCACAAAGATCTACCAACTGCCAATCTTGCGCAGACTTGCCCGATTGGACAGAAAAGCACAAAGACCAGAGGACCATTGCTCATGCCTGGAGCAGGATAATTGCATAGCATACAACTCTCCTCAAATTGAGACCTACCAAACGAAACATACAGTCGATTGCCCGGTAATCAACTGCTCTATGATCAAAGTTCCCTATAATGACCTGGTGCGAATAATTCAAACCGGAGGAGTGCCTTTGGTTTGCATACACGACCATCCAGATACTGGGCTTGCACTTAGTGTCCATCGGCGGAAATTCCGCGGTGATTATGCAACGATCAGTCATGTCTGGGCTGATGGACTTGGAAATCCAAGGGAGAACGCGCTTCCTCGCTGCCAAATAAAACAGTTACAATCTCTCCAGGACTACGAGGCAGACAAGAGGTCAGAAGACTGGATGAAGCGGTGGGATAACATAATATTCGGGAGAAGGAGAAGGAATCTGAAGATGCTGTGGATTGATACTCTTTGCATTCCACCAAATGATGACTCATTAAGGATGCAATGTATCAGTGCTATGGCCTCTATCTATGCCGGATCATCCAGAGTTTTCGTTCTTGACAAAGAGTTGATGACGATTCCTATGAGTCCTGAGGTTGATGAACTGCATATTCTTGAGCAAATCATCTGCAGTGTTTGGATGTGTCGAAGTTGGACACTGCAAGAAGCGATCCTGCCGGAGGAATGCTTATTCCAACTAGATGGGGGTATCTTCCGACCGTCACCAGAGAATTTCAACTACGGAGCGGATGACACGAGAGATGCTATCAGGAGAACTATTTTCGACGACATTTTGAAAGTCAGAAACAGAGCCTTAACCAGTACTGACACTTTTACGTCGACATGGAACAACCTCGCCGGCCGTTCCACGACGCAAGTTGCGGATCTATACGTTGTGCTGGCAAGCTGTCTCGACTTCAAGCTCCGTCAACTCCAAAAGTTCGACTCATTCGAGGAGAGAATGCAACGGATAATATTTAGCTTTAAAGAGCTGCCATTTTCTCTCTTCTTCAACGCGGGCCCCCGATTGCGCTCAGCTAGCAATCATCACAACAGATGGGTGCCGACCCAAGTCAGTCGCCACGTCCTCACGGCGGGATCGTCTACATTCATTTTCCCAGGTCCAAATCTATCGACAGATTCTGATCATGGAATGCATCTTGAGCTGAGATTAGGCCCTGAGCTATCTATTTATGTTGTCGATGAGGTGGTTTTCACGCCAAGCACCTATAACATCCAGACAAGTGACGGACGCTTCATGATCCAGCCACTGATTAGCCCTGCCGATACATTTCAAACCACTTCCTACTCTGCAACCTGTCTGTTTATTGCGAAAAGTTCACTGGGCGCTAGTTTAACCAGGTGTGGGGCTTGTTTCTATGTGTTTACCTCGCCGGCGTCGGAGAACCTACACGACGAACAGTCTGTAACTGAGATGGCTTACTTCTGTCCTGTCCTCTTCAAAGTTTTAGATACACAAAACGGCCAGGACGATGGTGATGACCGGGCAACTTTTCCTGCTCACGAGGCTGCATGTACAGGGAAATTCTTGGTCAGATTTGGTGCGATATCCCCCCAACTCCTGAAGGCCCCCGCTCAGCAGTTTGCTAAATATTTCCCGTCAAATTGCAGATCCATTACCAGGGTTCGAACCACTGAAGCGGCAGAATCAACAAAAACAATTTCACACTCCGAGCTGGAGCTTTTATGGGGAAACCGATGCTTTTTCATTTTGTGTGTGGCTTGTTGGGATAATATCACTCTTTCTTGCGTTGAGTTATGTGAAGTCGCCCCTCAAGGCTTTGGTCGTATTGGCGTTGTCCATACCGATGACGCCATTGCTCGTGGACATTTTCGCTTTCATAATAGTAAGGGTGAGGGATTACATAGTATTATATCGGTCTTATGATGATGACTCCGTGGTGGATAAGATTGGGAGACTACTGACTGTTGTTCGGAGGGCTACCAGTCAGTAGTCTTGAAGGACTCTATCTAACAGTCTACGTGGCAATTGATCTTCTGCTTTTGCGTGCGTTCAGCCTAATGAGTCCACAGAAACGTATAACCACGAAGTCAACAGAGTTTTAACAATGAGCAAGAAAAGGGTCGTAGGAGTGAGGCTAGGAACTACAAATCATGTCTCCAGAGTATGAACTACCAGCCTTTTCGTGCAAACTAATAACTTCATCCTCATCACCCTGGCCTATTAACTATCTGATACCTGGAACGTCAAGGGTAGCTACACCTTTATATACTACCCAGATCGGCGATCTGCATTTTACATATTAAGCGGTGACGACTCTTGGAATCCACAACTGCAAGTAGCAAATCAAACCCTGGCACGAACGCGATTGGCAAAGCAGTGCGACCAAGCTCCTTCGTATGGTTTGCCCGTGCATGTACGTACTCATTGTTCATACACGGTATGAAGTAGAATTCGTTTTCCCCTTTGTAGTTACCTACAAAAATAACATTTGAAATCCGGGTACCAAAATCCTGGCTCTGTGATCCCAAAGACTAAAGACTGGATGTTTTCGCAATCTTCAAGGTGAGAAGATGAGCTAAACAACCTGCCTACTAAGAAGCCTTCATACGGATAGATACTGAGTTTCCGAACTTTAAGTTATTTAGGACGACGAATCTCATTCCGCAACTAATTTTCGCTGATGCATTTCCGAGAATCCCGAGCTCGTGAAGCAGAAATATCAGGGCAGAGTTTATTTTCCACGCAACCGCACATGGGCTTTCAGGACTCCCTTGCCCTTTGTCCCAATTACAAACTGATCACTGTTGCATTCAAAATCCTCAGCCTTCGCCCCGATGAATTCAAAAGTAGAAAGCTGTACAAGAGCAGCAAGGGCGAGGTACAGTTCGGCCCATGCGAGGCTATAGCCGTCCAAGTTAGATCCAGGCAGTGTGTGGATGAGGAATGAGAACTTACTGCATCCCAACACACATCCTTGTCCCCTTTGAAAACGGCGCATACGCATGTTCAGCGTTTTTACGAATGCCGCTCCCCTCCATCCATCTCTCGGGTTCAAAGAATTGGGGGTTCGGATATATGTTCTCATCTGTATGCATCAAGACTCTTGTCATTCCTATAGGAGTTCCAGCGGGTATTCTCCAGTCTTTATAGAAAAGATCTCGATCTGGAGCGATGCGTGCCATGCGAGTAGCAACGCCAGGACTCAGACGCAATCCCTCTTTGATAGTCGATGTCAGGAAAGGAAGCTGCTCCAAGGGTTTTAGCTCGATGACGTTGGAACGAGACAAACCGGCTGAATCGAGCTCGCCGAACAGTCTCTGGATGATTTCGGGACGGTCAAAGACGTGGAAGGAGAGCAAGCGCAGTACGCTGCCCGTCGTCTCGAATCCGGCACCGCTCACAGAGGTCACATCCTCGAAGACCCGCTGCAAAGATTTGTCGTGAGGGTTTAGTTGCGAATCGAGGATCTCGTGGATTATCGTCTGTTGGCCCCTTGCCTCTAGCGATGTCGATGCTGAACCAGCCATGAGACGTTCTGTATATGCCATGGTCCTCTGCGACCTTAAATATCAGTACAAAAAGGGTAAGGGCCAAAATCTTGTGTTCTCACGTTCAAATGGCGGAAAAAGTCCTTCATTTTATCGTCCGATATCTTTATGGCCCAATCGAGCGGAATGGAGTTCAACAACGGCAGCACAAAACGAACGTGCTTGCTGAGCCGCCATAACGCGCCCCCTCCCTGCACAACTTGGAGAATGTCGACATCAAAGTCTTTTTGATCTAGGCTATTGGTGCTTTTCGCAAGAATGAAGTCGAAGGCAACATCTCGAGCCAGCGCCGTTACGGCAGCCCCGAGATCGACGATTTCATCGGACCCTGCAGATTTGGTCAAGCGGTCACAGAGCTTGTCCACGTGCCTTTGGACCATAGCCTGTCGGGAAGACACCTTCGTTTTGGCAAAGTACGAGGCGATGGGCTGGCGCCGGGCCCTCTGCCGGTCGTGGTCTACCGTGTGGATTGTGGGACCTTTAGCTCCCCAGGCATCCCACGCGAAGGCATACCGATTCCAGCGTCCCTCTTGCCGATAGAGAGTGCTGTAGAAGTATGGATCGTTCAGGTGGAGCTCATGAGGGCTGATTCGTATGATTGGGCCTGATTTTGCAAGTTGCACGATTAGACAGGCATCATATTGGAAGTTCATCTCTCATCGCTGAGAAGCAGACGATCTCACCGTATTCTTCATGGAGTTCCTTGATCTTGAATGTGTTCTGGCCATTTTGGATGACATCGTAGTAGCATTCGTACCACCGGGTAATGGCTGCCAGCTTTGGGCCAGGATATTTGGCAAGAGGATGTAGAAATAGGCGATGGAACACCAGACTGCCGAGCAGCACAACTACGATGGTTGTGAAACCCTGCCAGGACGAAGAATCCATTCAAATTATGATGACCTGTGTTGTTGACTTTAATAGGTTTGCTCCGGTGCCAGGAGACGGAGCTTCTGATAAGAAAGGACTGTGGTTGAGGTGGGGAGGGAAATTTGTCTCAGCCTAAGGGCGAATATAATATATCAGAAAGCGGGCGCCAGCGCCAACACGACATTCCGTGCAAGCTGGCTGGTCAAAGGTTAGCCCCCGATCTCAGCTCTAGTCCCGAAGACCACAATGTTGGCAAAATAGCTGGCGCATCAGATGGCATGAATTCGAGTAGCGCAAATCTTGCGATGAACCAACTGTCAACCCCGTTTGTGCTGATAGGCCCCACGCCCATGTAAGACGCAATATTATAATATGTCTGGTGGACGCAAATAGCAGTCGGGTTGGCAGATGTCACCCACTAGAATAAGATGTCTGTTTCACTACTTGAGGTACCCAGGTATCCTTTGAGGAGCGTATTCATCGACACAACTGTTGATCGATTCAGAAAGTGCGAGCGCGAATCGTGCCACTATAAATTTCAAGTCTTTAGGAAGGCGGATACATTAGCGGTATATTGTGACTGGCTGCTGGCCTCACAGATCTGTAATGTTGATGAAAGGTCGGGGGCTCCCATCCGGTGGTCGGCCACTATGCCGCTGCGCAGCCGCTCATTAACCAGGCCGCAAGGTAACTCGCGGCCTGGCCGAATGTACTCTCCAGCCTATACATGTATGGTTGGGAACGGTTCACAAGGAGTAATCCTGCAACAAATGTGCCCTTCTACCTAACCATCTGCCTGTCGAGGTAAGCCTTGGTTGAAGGAAGGTGGAACACACATGCATTTTGTTCGAACGAGGCGGCACTTAGCGGAACGCTACAGGTTCAATTTCCATTAAATTTCGTGTACAAAGCTCGATCGTAGTAGCAAGAAGGAGTCGTAGAATTCGCCCTAAGCTAAATCACGAAGGGCGCGGGAGGTTCACTTGCGGCCAAGAGGTGATTATAAATCGTCTAGGGAAATGACGTCGAGGGAGTCAGCGCTACCGCTATAACACTCAGCTCTGCCTCGCAAAGTGATGTCCACTTACATATCGTCACATCTGTTTGATTTTCTTCACACTTTCAAGAGCAAGGTGATTGTGTCATTGGCAGAATTACCGTGCATCAAGGATAAAAGGGGGCCTTAAAAAAGCTGTGCTGGTTTTTGAAATACACATCCAAACAATGGCCTTGCCAACACCCAGTTCCATCCACCCTTTCAAGCTCTCCATCGCCCAGTGCACTCTGGACGACTTGCAAACGCGTCTTCGTTTAACCCGCTGGCCGGACAAGGAGACAGTCACTGATTGGTCTCAAGGTGTCCCGCTCGCGGCAATTCAAGAGCTTTGCGAGTACTGGCAGACAGAATATGATTGGCGACGATGCGAGTCGCTTTTTAATTCGTATCCTCAGTTCACAACGACCATTGGTGGGGTGGAATTTTACTTCCTGCATATCCGGTCAAAGCACGAGAATGCGCTACCTCTTCTGCTTACACATGGTTGGCCTGGCTCAGTCCTGGAATTCAGACACGTAATCGACAAGCTCGTTGACCCGGAATCTCACGGCGGCTCTCCTGAAGATTCCTTTCACCTCGTCGTCCCAGCACTTCCGGGCTACGCCTTTTCTGGGAAGCCGAAGGAGACTGGGTGGGATTACCATCGCACCGCGCGTGCATGGGCAGAATTGATGCAGCGTCTGGGCTATGCAGACAGGGGATGGGTCGCTCAAGGGGGCGACTGGGGAGCTCACGTGGCCGCAAGTCTGGGTCATCAAGCACCGATGGGATTGAAGAGCGTTCATTTGAATTCCATCTTCTTCGAACCCAAGGCAATTTCTGCCCCCACCAGCCTCTGCAAGATACATGCCAATCTCTTTTGCAGAAAGAAGTTCAAGTTCCAATCCACGATACAAAGGGCGAGGAACGAGCCATGTATCTGGACGGCCGTCGGGATGCCGGGCACCGCGGGTACTCCCTCCAGCAGTCAACGAGACCACAGACCGTCGGCTACGGGCTTGCAGACTCACCGGTCGCACAGGCGGCGTGGATTTATGAAAAGGTCAGAGACTGGTCTCATCACGATGGCAATGTGGAGACGGTATTTAGCAAAGACGAGATGCTCGACACGATCATGTTATACTGGCTCTCCAATTCCGGCACATCGTCTGCTCGTTACTATTGGGAGTGCGAGCCCGACTCGACCGCATGGCCGATAGACATACCGGTTGGCGTGAGTTGGTTTGGCGGCGATAATAGTTATGCACCAAAGGAATGGTGCGAACGGTACTACAAGAGTATCGTGTACTGGAACGAGACGGAGAGAGGCGGCCACTTTGCGGCGTGGGAGGTACCAGACGTCTTTGTGGCGGAGGCACGCGAGTGGCAACGCAAGATCAGGTGAAGAGGCATGAAACAAACATGCCATCCAAATACATCTATATCACCATGTGAAATACTATCACACCGCCATCCAGAGAGCGGCACAGTATCCAAGGGTAGCACGACTATTGTAATCTAGCTGCTGATATTCTGTAAACTATAAGAAGAAGGGCGTGAAGGTAATTCTGGCCCGTTGATGCGGCCACGGTTCCGGGTGGCTCATTCTTCAATGGCCTGGTCATTGAACAACGCACCTAAAATTCTCTCACCACTCTTAGTTTTGTAATCAGACAGTCGTGCATACTATAGCCCCTGGCTAAGGGGGCAGCGCCACAATAGCAAGCTGAGCGCCTTCATGCGCACTGGGGCTATCCCGCCCAACAGTATACCTCCGGCTAACCACAGCTAGCAGTCACTAGCTACCTAGATCTCTCATACCCAATCTGGTGTATACCGCTTCACCAGGGTTACACTCAAGGTTGGCGTGACTTCCTACCTAAATAGGACGCATAATCCTTTCCCACTATTAAATTCATTTCTGAGGAAGCCACAATAACTAAAAGCAAAGCGATGCAATACTGGTACGCGGCGTCTGTGTGTCGCACTGCGATGACTGGTATTGGTGGGGGCTGAGTGACCGGTTACCTGGTTGCAGTGCGAGGCTTACGTGCTCGAACTCTTCAGGGGGGGAGAGGCCATGTTTCCAGGAACGGCGTGTTGTTGTGGATCGCGTGCAATGCAACAAAAGCGACGAAACAGATGGTATGTGATAAAGCTTGCGAGAGCTACGAGGCGACGTGGTGGGGTTTGGGACCACCAATCTAACCGGACCAAGGCAATGCCTGGTGAGCTCTGGAGGAACACAACCGGTCGCAAACCCTGACAACTGAGGCTTACTTAGTTTTCCTGAAGACGAGTTGGTCTGACATCCAGCCACACAGGGTTGTATGCATGAAACTCAGCAAGTCAGCCGAAGTGAACTTGCCCAACCGCAGACTACCACCCGCTCCGTTTTGCATGAGGAGAGCTTGGCACAGGTCTACATCGTAAGCATATGACCTCTGATAGACTTCCTGCAGGATTTATGTTGGCTGACTATTTTCTGTCCTGAAGAGCCACACATTCAAGTTCTGATTTGTTTGTTCGGTTTCTCACAGCACATAAACTCTTGACTATACGCAGTCGTCCTTGGTAGTAAGCACGGTTACCAACCGTGTCCGACTGGGGTGCTTGGAGCAGTGTTGGAATAGTCAGACACAGGAAGATTATAACGTTAAGTATTTGAGTGCCGTTGGGAACCATTCTACTTAAACTCCCCTCCTTGACCCTTGATCACCACCTTGAATAAATAAAGTCCCCAGGGATCTTGACAAAACCAACACAGCGAAATCAAAGTTTGCTGCAGTTAACATGCACCATCTCCTTCGATTATTCATGCTTTCGGCTACGGCCCTTGGCTATCAGGCCCATGCCACCCGACAATCAGATTCCATCCAAATAGTCGAGCTTCAGCACTACAAGGGCAGCGGATGTGCCCCAGGATCCGTAACAACTGCCGTCAGTCCTGACCACAAATCCATCACCGTATCTTTCGGCTTCGGAAGCATCCCGCCTACCAGCCCCCGGATGCCCTGCGACCTCCTGTTCACCTTGCTGTACCCGACCGGCTGCACCAGCGCTGTCATCGATGCCGTCTACAACGGGCTCGAGGATTTGAGCCCGGGGTTCAGCGGGAACCTCACAGCCAACTATGCCATCTCGGGCATCACCAGTGGCGAGGCGCCGCCTACTACCTTGTTCGAAGCTGGTGTTTCTGCTCCATGGACAAGGACAGATGTCATTACTGCTGATGCGGCGATATCTGGCGATAGCCAGCGCAACGTGACGTTTGAGGACTACGTCGTGCTGGACCTGAGTGATAATGCTGCCATAGGGCAAGTCACAATCAACAACATAACCATTGAGATCTCTCTGGAGACGGCATGCTGAATGCTTAGGCGTAGGAGAAGTTGTTTCGACGAAGGACTGAAGGACTGAATTGGCCGGTTGACATATTTTGATCATGCGAAGAGGCTGACAGCACGTGAAGCTCTGGACCATCCTTGGTTTTCTGGTGGGCACGAAAGGCTGAAGTAAGTCTGAGGAACTGAAAACAAACAAGTTGAGTTTGAATAGTACTGAAAGTCTTGCCGGAAGATGTGTCCTGGCTTGGCTGGTCGACGGCCTTTTTCTCTCTCTTTTTTTTTTTTTTTTGATTTCCATGATAGAGTAAACATGGATAGACAGAAAGTGTCAAAGATGCTCAAGTTAGGCCATCTGACAAGCCCTCTATTGCGCCATTTCGTCCAAGAGAATGAGGACGAAGGCACTCTGGCGATCTGGGACCCTCTGCTGCAAGGTTGTGGTAGCCCAGGATTTGAAGATCGGAAGGCATTACGTTGTAAATCAAAATTGGCTGAAGAGAATTTTGGGCCAGAGGATGGCCACGAATTCCGTCCAAATCCTAAAGTTCCATGCCATGTGGTGTGCTAGTTCTGGTTGACTCAACATTCCCAGCTGACCCGCGTGGAGTGCGATTCTCCAAGAATAGAAAATGGCACGGCCAATCATCTATAATTATCAGTAAACATCACCTCGATCGACCAAGAGTCTTGACGCGCTTACCAATTACCGCGAACTAGCTGCTCTGCTTCTCGCCTCTTAATGAGGACAGTCGCCGCACTTCTCCTTGCGGCAGTTGTCGACGACCGACTGCGGCTGGCCCTGGTTCGTGTCGAAGCACCAGTTGAGGCAGTTGCCGAAAGCGGACCCTTCCTGGCTGATGAAGAGGTCGTCGCACTGGGCGTGGGCGATGACTGCCGCCTGCACGGTGAGGAGGAGCCACGTGAGACGCATGTTGCTGTTTGCTGGTGGTTGAGGAAGGCTGTTTATTGGTCACACACACGCGGAGAGGAGTGAAAGATATTGGCATCTTATTTGAGTGCCTGTGGGTTGCTTGTGGTCTTGTATATATATACATGTGGAATATCGTGAGAGCCACAGTACCGCCAGTATGAGGGCCGAACTTGTTTTCCGTGCAAAATATTCCCCACCACCGCGACCGAATCAGATCCAGGGGCGCCGATCAATAAAGGGGCCGCAAACCCGCTTGAGGACCGGGTATCTAGCTGCGAGTCATTCTGCGCCAGCAATTATGGGATTAATCGTAAGGAACAAGTGACACTGGCATGCTATTATAATACATGCGACAGAGGCTGCGAGTCAGTGGTATAACATGACTGGCTTGTGGTCGGGCGATAGCAGACCAAAGCCCCAGTCTCAGGGCTCCAACTGTAGTGGGATGTTTCTTGATATTGTCATGAATAAGAGACGAAGTAATGAATCTGACAAATGCTTGTTCGAGAGAGAACAACGATACGTCATACTGGCAGTCTGCCAACATGATCCACTACCTTACCAGTCACTCGAGTGCCTCCTCATTCTGGGCCGGCCCCTCCGCTCCTCAATCGCCCTCCTGCCCCTTTCATAATCGTAAGAATCATCATCACCACCATCCCTCCCGCGGCGCCTAGGCCTATCCTCGTCATAGTAGTCGTCGGCATCATACACGCTGCCCCTCCGCCGGTCCCTCTCCCGCTCCCGGTCTTGGTCCCACGGCCCGCCCTCGCCCTTCTCCAGCCGATCCGCCCTGGTCAGGCCACCATCCCGCTCCCTGTCCCTCCTGCTCCGATCACTCCCTCCCCTGCCCTCGTCGTCCCGGCTGTCCCACGAATCAAAGTCACTCCCGCGCCCGTGGTGCTGCGACCGCGACCGCAGCTCCTCCCGCCTCCTCTCGCGCCGTCTCCGCCGCCGAGCCTCGTCGCCCTCGGCCTCATCCCGCCGGTCCTGCGCCCGCTCGTCCTTGCCGTCGTCCTTCATCTTCTCGTACTTCTCCACATCACGGGTGACGTCGTACGCGAGCGTCAGCCCCAGCAGGCCCAGCACCACGGGCGGCACCCACCCGTACCCGTGCTCCTTCTCCAGCTGCTTGCGCCGCGCGCGCATCTCCGGGTGGGCCTTGGACGGCCGGGGGTCGGGCGGGAGGAAGTCCTTTGCCTTGACCATTTTGTTTTTTTACTCCCCTGGCTCTGGCTCGTTTTCTCCCTCTCTCGCTCTCTCTTCTTCTTTTGAGTCCTCTGCACCAGTCCCTGCTCTTAGAGTATGTTTTCCCTTCCTTTTCTTCCGATTTCGTGGGGATGAGATTGAGTTATAGAAGAGGCTTGGACCAAGGTGAACGGGTAGGTGAGTGGAGTCGCTGTGGCTGTGGACTTTCGGTGAGGAGAGATGTATGTACCCGTTGACGTTGTGTGGCGAAATAGAACAAACTCGCTCAACACAGCGGGAACAAAAAAGCGGGAAGTAAGATAGACAGATACTGTGTTTTTGATATTGTGGAATGGGATTTGTGAACAAAATGTATCATTCCAAAATTCCGGCGTTGAGTGTGGTTATCATCCAGGGGCCACTAAGCCCGGTCGGAGGAGGAGGCAGCCACTTGGCTTATATCGTCACTGAAGAGAACACCCCCCCTCCTACCCAGCCAGATTCCCGGGCCCTTCCCTTGCCCATGACAAAATGCTGCGCCGGACCAAACAAAAATCCCGCCCTGTCAAACTGATTCCCGACCCCACCGCAGCCTGCTAGTCTCGAAGGAGAGACAAGCGTCGACCAACGATCGGGGCGTCCCCCCTCCAGCCGTTGCCTTAGCAGCTTAGGAAGGTCGAGCTAGGCCGGCAGCACTCGCTAATTAGGACGGGGGTGTCGTGGTGTGAAGGAGGGAGCTGCGTTGGTCTCAAACAAAGTGATGTCACCGGCATGACGGCAAGATGGTCTAGCCTCCTCAGGCTGTGTGGTGGTGAAATCCCCGGGGGCGGTGAGCCCCACAGTTCTTCACACGAGATTGAGAGCACCCAGTGGTTAACTGAGGCGCCCGCCTCCTGTTTAGCTAGCCCGGCTAGCCCAGCCTTCTGGCCACATATTATCGCCAGGGGCCCCGGGAATGAGATGACGTACCCCGGGACAGGCCTGGATCAGCACGATATCTCCTGGCTGCATCTTTGGGGCGGACTGACGCGAATTGGCATCACTGCGCCCAGCTGCGCAACACGTGTGCAAACACACACAACCCCAAGTACACATATAGACAAACGGATGGAAGGAAGAAGGATCAGGTACGATGCACGTCCTCGATTTCCGTGAGACCCGAGATGCAAGCTTTTCCTTTGGTCTCGGGTGTCTCCAGTCGGCTCGACAAGCCAGCCAGTCAGCTAGCCCGTTGGGTGCCCGCCTGACCTGCCTTGTGCAACCGCACATGCGTCAACGCTTCAGACTGACTTACTAAGTGCATCGTCCTGACGGAAGGGTTGTCATACGGGCCAGACGTGGTGGTGCGAGGAGCCTCAGCCCGAAGTTTGTGATTCTAGCTCTGGGTACTCTTTCTAGCTCTAGATGCTCGCCCTTCTGGGCGCCATCGTCCTTCTCAGCGCCTCCTTGGCCTCTCTCTCCTCCTTGAGCGGCAGCAAGCCCTTCTCCCTGAGATCCTGCAGGAACTCCTGCCCGTATTTGTAGCCCAGCTGCGTGATCTCGTCGAACTTGCCAAAGTCGAGAGTGCCGTAGTCGTCGATGGGCGGCCGCATGTAGATGCACCCCGGCAGGTTCTTCGCCCGCTCGAGGGCGTCGACGCTCGACACGTACGCGAGGCGTGCCTGGATCTCGGCCAGTGTTGGCGGATTTGGCGTTGAGGAAAACGGGTTCCACCGGTTCCAGAATGCCACGCGCCCGAGAGCGTGTCGCCGAACGACTGGGGGAGTGTTGTCGTCCAGAGACCCAACGTCTACGGCGAAAATGGTATCCACGCCGAGTGACTTCATGTGCGACACCGTCAGATTGTCGATGTAGCCGCCATCCAGCAGCATGCTACCCTCGTCACAGAGAGGCGGAAGGAGGCCCGCAAGAGACATGGACGCCCGGATGTACCTCCATGCATACCCGCTGGTGTGGATCTCGGCTCGGCTCTTGCTGATGTTGGTCGTGTTGCAGTAGAACTCCAACCAAAAGTCCTCGATCTGCGTCTTCTCGAATATCTTGAAGATACCCCGATTGAACTCGTGCCCAGTGGTATACGAAGCCGAGGGGTACGTGAGGTCTAGCGCAAACCTCCACTTGCTGCCCATCCGACCGGAAAACTTTTTTGCCAGTCCCAGGATGGGCACCACGTCCGCATGTCGTGCATAAAGCCCGCCGACCAAGGAGCCTATTGAAGTGCCACCAACGACATCGATCGGAATGCCAGCTTCCTCCATCGCTCGAATAATGCCAACGTGCGCAATTCCTCGTGCTCCTCCACCTCCAAGCACAAGGCCAACCGATCTCCCACATAGTCGTCTGGCCAGACGGTGGAAATCGCCCTTAAATGGGGCATCCGGTGCGTAAACAGGGCTGTACCGAACCTTCCTCGAGGTATACTTCTGGATCTCGGCCTGCAACGTTTGTACCCGCTCTTTGATGTTGAGACCAAGGCGCTTGGCCCGAGGATGAAGAGGCAGGTTCTCGCGTCCGATGTCCATTTGTACATGGAAGTGTCCACCATTGATCCACACCCTGTTCTTCAGCCAGGCTCTTGTCATACCGGAGACAGAATACCGCTCAGCATGCAGCAAGACCAGGATCTTCTGTGCGGTGGATTTCTGGCCCAGCATGAAGCGTTCATACTCTCCGACTTCTGGTGACCCCTCTGCCAGACCAACTAGCAGAATACAGTCGGCCTGCGTTATGCAGGTTTGGGTCCAAGCTGAATTGACGCTTGTATCTGGTCACATTAATAATGTCAGCAAATGTCAGGCACGGTGGGGACAAAGTTGACGATGAAAATGTGTTTGTTGTGTTCAGGAAAAAATTAGAGTTAATGTTAACCATCACCGGCTGGCTGGCCTTTGGACTGTGGATTTCTCATCATTACGCAGATTGAAATGTGACCGATGTCAAGAAGACGCTCACGAAACTTACCTGCAACGTAGACGACAAGACCGAACTTCTCTTCCAGGTCTGCCAAGTATTGAGATAACCTCAACTTCCCCATTCTGCTGAAGGCGTGCTTTCCCAGGTGGTTTAGAATGGCGGATTGATTAAGGACCGTGGCGCCGTTGCGAGTTCCGACTTGCTGAAGTGCAGACATGAGGCGGTTACCGAAATCAACCACGGGCACTCCCGCAGTCACAGGCAGGACAGCGACGGTCCGCAGGTTGAGCGTGGATGAGCTCTTGTTGACTGTGGTTCGGCTCCAGCCGTCCTTTGATACCACTGGATCGTCAACAAAAGCGCGCATCTTTGACGCGATCATCTTAGAGATCTTGATGGTGATGCTTGGGTGTTCTTGTGCCAGGCTGTTGAAGAGCGTCCGCGGAAACTTGACGATTTCTGTGTCTCTGATGGCGTGGAGGGTTCCAGTCCGAGCAGACTCTGTCAACACCTCGAGCTCCCCGACGCTCTCGCCTTGGCCGAACTCCGCCCTCACAGACACTCCGCCATCTTTGCGATCCTCAACCAGCCGCAGTCGGCCGTTTAGCACAAGGTAGATCGCGTCGCTCTCGTCGCCTCCGTGGAAGATGACCTGACCGGCATTGACTGATAGCCACTCCAAGGCGAAGTCAATATGGAGGATCAGACGCGGCAACAGACTTGTCAGCCTCTTTGCCATCGTCAGTAGTACAATGGGATATTTGTCCACTATCCTTTCTAGTGACGCGCGAGGAAGGAAGCCAACGTAGACGTCTGTTTTTGCAACAACGTCAATGAACGATCGATAGGAAGAAACTGTCCCGACGTAGCCTGCCAATCCTCCTGGTTTAATCAGCGCAACGCTCTTTCGGACAGCGCCCTTCTTACGGGCGTCTGAGCCACCCTGTCCGAAATCAGGCGCTGAAAACTCCGAGGTGGATGTTCCCGTGCGGCGATGAGCGAAGGATCCATCTGATACGTCCGTCGCCCCTTCGCCAGAGCTGTGCAAGATGTCTCTGGGCTTTTCCTCACAGGAAGCGCACATGTCAAGGAAGCCATCGATGACGTAGTACAAGCCAGGATTCCTTTCTCCCTGCTCAACAAGTACAGATCCTTTCGGGAAGAAGACGATTTCCAATTCGTGCTTCATGTCTTGAGCGAGAGCGTGGGGACTGGGTGAGGCGTGCGTGGCCAGCCCACTCGAGGTCACAGACTCAGTGTCCCCGTCGACCGATGCATCAAACGGGCCCATGAAGCCGAACGCGTTGTTGGAGAAGATTGCCTTGTGGCGCCGTTGGTCGAATGAAACAAGTCTCGGTGAGGCTTCAACCGAATCGGTCCCCCTAGATGCCGTGCCACTCGATTCCAAGCCGATGGCCTTGAACATGCATTCCAAGATGGATTCTCGGAACACATTGTCCTCATCAACTTGCTCCCTCTTGCCAAGAGAGATCCGCTGGCTTGCAAAGGGGTTGAAGGTCCTCTCTGCCAGAGGCGACACCCCTTCCTTCAGCTGCGCTTCAGAAGAGCGAGTGGTGTCGTGGCGTGGAGCAGAGAGCTGTTGTGATGAGCGCCCTCCGCCTCGTGCGTGCTGTATGTTAGCCAAAAGATCACCCGGGCTGGGCACGTGGATTGAACCCCGCTCATGAGGGTGAGATATGGTTGAGGTGACCACGGATCCTTTCATAGCTTGCAACACAGCTTCTTTCCGCAAGCCTGTTGAGGATGTCCGGCGGCGACTTGCCGCCATGGAGTTGTGAAGTGCAATGCCTTTCCCAGCCTCTCTCTCTCCAATTCGCTCGCGTTCTCGTTTAAATTTCTCTTTGAGGCGCTCCAATGGGTCCCCTCTCAAATGATTCGGGAGCTGAGAGACGGTGTACTTGATCATGTTCTTCTCCGTCTGTAGGACTTCACCACCCAAGCCCAGATAGCTGAAGGCCGTTGCGAGGGTGACCCGCTGGAAGCGAGAGAGGATCAAGTGCACGATGTGAGATGTCGCCTTGGGGTAGACGCGAATGAGGCGTCGGAAGGCACTAGCCGGGATGATGGCGATGGTGGTGTCCACAGATGCCCTCGCAATGACGTCTGGGTGCACCGAGCTGGTCCCAACACGCTTGATCCCTGGCCTGGCCTTGAGCTGGTGATGCCGAGGGAAATGACTGTTAGGAGGAGTGCCATCATCGAGGGACATGTGCGGGACCCTCGGCAACGTGCCAGTCCCAGGCTTCAGGTTGGCGGGATCCTGAAGCCGAACTCCCCGACTACTACTCGGCGGACCTTCTGACATGGGGGTACTGGGAAAGGAGATGGGTATCTCATTGGGCTTCTCGAGACCAGCAGCCGAGGGAAACCTGGAATGGCCGTCATGGGAGGCGGCGGTGTCAGGCATGGGTGCCTCGTCGTCGGCATGCCGTAATTTGACGTCTTCGGTGAAGAGAGACATGATGGTGAACAGCGAGGACATGGGGGCGCCATTCCGCACCTCGGTGAGGAGCTGATACCGCTGCTGGCCGGGGCGGTGCATCTCCCCATCTTCGGCATCACTGACCGAGTCCCACGAGCCCTCGCTGCCGACGCTGTTGGCCGATGCACCTCTGGCTGCTCTCGCAGACTTGACAAATATCTCGACAAGGCCGTCAACAACTAAGCAGAAGCCTTGCTCGTCTTCGAGGTTCAGGGTCTCGCCGGCAATCAGCTTTCTTGTCTGCATGCTACGAGTCAACTCGTGGAAGACGGGCCTCTCCAGGTATCCAAAGATCTTGATGGCACTCAAGAACTCGTCCAAGTAATTGGACAGGCCGGACTTGATGCCGTCCTCATGTGTGTCAGGGAAGAGCTCGACCTCGGGCTCCTTTCTCTGAGGCTCTGGCGGAAGCCGGGAGTACATGTTCAGATAGCGGTACCGAACAACCCAGCTGATTCCGGAAAATATCAACGCTAATATTATCATTCTGGGGCGAGGTTAGCAGGTGAGGATTGGAAGAAGGTAAGGGGTTGGAGGAGCAGGCATACATGGTCGTGGCATTCATGGTAAACGTCAAGCTGGTGGAAAAAAGATTAAAAAGCAAAGTGGGAATGGATATAGTGGTAAGCTTGAGGGCGAAGTAGATGATGGTGGACAGCAGCTGCAGCGTCCAGAGGATCAACCTCGCGATGAGGCCTATCCACGAGAAGGAGCCGTGGGTGACGACGACATCATTGGCGCGTGTCATGACCGAGGACAGTGCCGGGTTGGGCGCATTGATGGAGGCGGTACCAGTCCCGGCACCGGCAGCGCTGGACAGAGCCGAGGCGACGGCGGTGGTGGTAGCATCCAGAGACTCCATTTTCTTGGTGGACAATGAAGCTCAGACTGGCCGACTAGGTGCAGCACATGATGAAGGACGCAACGCCGATTGGATGGCGTTGGGTGCGAGGGACAGAGCACCTCATCGACTCATGAACAGGAACAAAAGACGGCCACGGTCGCAGAGGCCTCGATTGTTTTGTGCAGGGCGAGGTCACCGGATGTGGACTCTTTGCAGGGGCTCGCCGTGTGATGTGGTGAGGTGTGGTAGAGCAGAAGCGCAGAACGTTGTTGCTCTGGTGTTTTGCTGTTTTGCTGTTCTTCTGTCAGGCATGAGCCGAATTTTCCAAGGATCCATGGGAAGCTATGACCACCTGGCACGCGGGCGGTGGGCGGGCAGGTCGGAACATTGGAAGCCTTTCAGCCGAAGGTACCCACTTTCCACCACCATACTGCATCATCAGTCCCCAAGACCTTCCATACTCTGGTACATGGATCTCATGTACGGACGCACGTCTCACTGCCCATCCGACCTGGCCCCCAATGCTCGAGGCAGCCTCCCTCAGACGTAGCTGCAGTCAGGCGGCACTCTTATTATGCAGCCGTCTTCAATCAATCACGACTTTGAACACACAGTTCTGGCGTCTCGCACAAGCCCGTTGAGCTGCGGCGGGTCCAGCAGGGACGGGCTCGTGCCACAGCAAGCCCTTGCCTTTTCGGAGCCGCGCCAATGCTTGTAACGACGTCTCGCCCCCAATCTACCAAGCTAGGCTCGTTTATTTGATGTCTATCGGTCCCTCAAGAGCCGCCAGCCATGCCAGCCCAGCCGGTCCCAAGCCTAGGGCAATCTGTCACGGCGCCGGTGCCTGCTGCATGCAAAGGCAGCCTGCATTCCTGTGCCGAGTGTGCCGAGTGTGCCGTGCCGCCAGCGTTCTACTCCGTCCCAGCACACGGAGCTCGGAGTTGCGGCTGCTTGCATATCGGAGCAGAGCCTTCTCTCGACTTTGATACGGCTGCAGCCACAATTGAGTCATGAGGAAAATTGCATTCAGTTGTCAGGATTCGGATCCCTGTCTATCTTTCGCTACTGCTGACCATCCTGCCGTCTCGCCCGGTCTCAATGATCCCTAGTCTCACATCCCGTCGCGGGGATGAGGCTATGTGCACATGGCACCGTCGGACCAGCGCACCTGTCCTGGACAAGAGGCATATCTCCCGAAGAACATGGCGTCTGAAGGATCAAGAGTCGCAATTCCTGGATGGGTAGATGCCTGGCAAGTTTGGATGCATTGAAGATGCTCTCGTCTGCCTACGCCTTGACCTTCTACAGTCGACGCTGCCTCAAGACATATCATGCCGCATAGAGTAAGTATCATCAGGTAGGCAGAACAATTCTTCACGTCTCTTGAATTTCAGGCATCAACGTTCCGGAACATAGCTGCCTGCCTGCGTCTGCACGCTAGGTAAGGAGGATGGTGTATGGTGTATGGTGGAACGGCAATTCGTTTCTGCCCCGCTCATGCCTCACTATCTCTGACAGTCCTATGTTTTAGCTTGCAAAAGTCCCTAGCACCGTCCCTATCAAGTGCTCCTGTTCCCGTTCGGGAAGCTCGTCCAAGTGGACCCCTGGACTGCGTCCGTGGGCAGGTCCCTGTTCACACTTGCACCGTAGCCGCGCCGCAGTCTTACATGCGTGTCTCTGCATTCAACAATCTCTTCGAGATACCTTACCTTACCTTACCTTACCCACGGATCTTACTCGCTCCTTATATGGCTGCAAGCTCGCGAGGCCCAAGGATTCCCACTCCCTCTCTCGCTCTCCCATCATCATCCTCGCTCGCGCCATCCTCACCATGGCCGAGGTCCCTCTCTTCCAATATGGATGGACAACCACCAGGGTACCACTGCTGGGCCCCCATGGCTCTGTCGTCGACAAGTTGAGTGTATTCTCCGTGTCAAGGTATGCCGGGCTCGCTTTGTCTCCGCGTGATGTTACTTTTACCGACGGCCCGGGCCCTAATTTGTTCTTGGCTTCCACCCGGATTCCGATTGCTAACCCGTGAACTTTACTGCCCACAGCGAATCTCACGTCCCATGGATCAAAACCGTCGCTGGCTTGGCCACCCCCGGCTACGTCCAGGTTGCGATCCTGGTCATCTCCTTCTTGTGGACTCTGGCCAGTGTTCAGGCGTCAAAGAAGATCAAGGTCACCGCCCATAACTCAAAGGCATCCCAGATCTCCGTCGGCTTTGAGCTTTGCTCGCAGATCACTCGTACCTGCGCCCTGGCCTTCATTATCATTGCCGCAGTCAGGGGCGACACACAGCAGTGGTACAACGTCGTGCTCGTCGCTGGCGCCTTTGTCTTCGGCCTCACCAGGCTCGCTAGCAGCTTGCAATGGCGCCATACCGCCCTGCACCAGGTAAACTTCCTCCTCGGAACCTCTCTGCTGCTACTAGCCGCCGCGGAGGTTCTGCCCTTGTTGGAGATGAATTCAACGCACCGTCCTGGAGACATGATTATTGGTGCACTTGCGTCCCTCGCTGCTGCCAATCTCGTCGCGATCACCACTCCCAGAGAGTGGGCACCGCCTCCGGTAATCTTCGAACTGCTGGACGGCCCAGAGAAAATAGCCCCTGCGCCAGAGGAGACATGCAGCTGGTGGAATCTTTACCTCACCTTTGAGTGGCTGACTCCCCTGATCTGGAAAGGCTGCCGAAGGTCAGTCGACATGGACGAGCTGCCGCCTCTGCCATGGTATGACGAGCCCCTATACCTTCTCTCCAAGATCCAGGAAGCCCGCGCCAAGAGCAGCGACACCTTGTGGACAGTCCTGCGTTTCTTGCGCAAGGAGATACCTCTGATGACCTTCTTTGCGGGCACCTGTTACGCGGTCGAGCTTGTGGCACCGTTCGCCATGTATCAACTCCTGGCCTACCTCTCTAACCCCGACAAGGCGGTCCTCAGCCCTGTCGTCTGGCTGGTGCTCTTGTTCGTTGGCCCAATGACCAAGACTGTCCTGTTCCAGCAGTACATCTTCACCTCAACCCGGTTGATCATCCGTGTCAAAGCTGCCATGACGCAAGAGCTATACCACCGGGCAATGTCCTCGATGGAGCTGGACGGAGACGTTCTGAACGACGCCCAGGGCCAGCAGGCCACGGCGAAGAAGACAACACACGCTGGCCAGCTGCAGAACCTGATGTCCGGCGATATTGACGCGATCTGGCAGGCACGGGATGTTGTCTTGATAGGGGTTGGGGCCCCTGTAGGCATAATACTCTCCTTCGTAGGTCTTTACACGATTCTGGGTTGGCCAGCTCTCATCGGCTCCGCCCTCATCGTGATCGCGATACCTGTTCCGACATACGTCGCGCAGTTGATGGGCAAAAGCCAGCGCCAGGTCAAGGCAACGCAAGACGCCCGGATATCCCTGATTTCCGAGTACCTCGGGTCGATCAGGGCCATCAAGTATTTTGCCTGGGAAGATGCCATGGCGAAGATAATCGATAATGCTCGCGACGCGGAACAGAAAGTGCTGTGGAGGATCGCCGTTCTCTACACACTACTCGGCGAGGCCGTAGAGTTCATGCCAATGGTTTCTCTCGTCGTCATGTTCACTCTGTACACCAGCGTGCTCAAAGAACCCCTCACGGCGCAGGTTGCCTTCACGGTTCTGTCGCTTGTTGCCACGATGAGGAACAACATCGGCATGTTTGGCTATCTTTCGAAGAATGTCACCAATGCCTGGATCTCCTTCGACCGCCTCAACAGGTATTTTACCAACACAACACCACTGATTACTTACCCGGAAGGGCCACTCCGGATTGAGAATGCCACGTTCAGGCGAAACAAGAAGGCGGACTTCACCCTGAAGGACGTCTCCATAGACTTTGTCGGAGGAGGCTTGAACACCATCTTCGGCGCGTCCGGAAGCGGAAAGACGACTTTGCTGCTGTCGATCCTGGGGGAGACCATCAAGGAATCAGGAGCGGTGACACGGCCTGATGATGTCGCGTTTTCCTCCCAGACGGCATGGCTCCAGAGTGCGTCCATCAGAGAGAACATCCTGTTTTCCAGCCCCATGGAGGAGGCCCGCTACAAGCGCGTCATCGAGGCCTGCTGCCTCCCGCTGGACCTCTCCGAGCTCCCCGACGGGGACGAGACGGAAGTGGGAGAGAACGGGACGGCCCTGTCGGGCGGCCAAAAGGCACGCGTTGCCCTCGCGCGAGCGCTCTACTCAAAGGCGCCCCTGCTCCTCCTGGACGACATCTTTTCCGCACTCGACTCTAAGACCACTGCATCCGTGTGGGAGCAGTGCTTCTGCAGTGATCTTCTGAAGGGTCGTACGGTCGTCCTCGTCACCCAGGTCAAGTGGATCGCCGAGCAGGCCGACCTGCACGTGGTGTTGGAGAACGGCTCGATCACCAGCCAGGAGCAGCACATCGGCGTCGTTCGAAAGCCCGTCCAAGTCGCCAAGGATGCTATCGAGGGCGACGGGCTAGACGCGGCAATCCCTGCTAATGGAAACGGAACCAATGGCGTGAATGGTGGTGAGGCGGCGAAGCCTGGTGCCGCGTCGAAGCCAAAGAAGGACGACATCGCCAAGGAGATGGAGGCAACGGGTAACACTGGTAGAATGTCGTTCTTCCAATACATGACTTACTTTGGCGGCCCTGCATACCCTATCCTCACTCTCGTTGCGACCGTCGTTGGCACTGCTTCGCTGCTGGCCACTACTTTGTGGGTTAGTGTCTGGGTCGACGCGGTCGATCGTAAAGATGCTGTGGATGTCGGGTATTACTTGGGCATCTACACGGCTATATCGGTGGGAAATCTCATCGTCGACGCCCTGGTGTTCCTAATATACGCCAACGGTGGCTGGCAGGCTGCGAAGAGGCTTCATTCTGAGTTCGTCCGCAGCGTCATGAATGTTTCGCTCTCATGGTATAAGGTTAGTCCATCCTCATCAGCCGCATCTGCCGTCTCGTCTAACACTTCGCACACAGGACACGCCTACCGGCCGCGTCGTCAACCGGTTCTCTCGCGACATGGCATCCCTCGACAATCAACTCTCCAGGATGCTTCAGGGTACTCAGCAGCTTGCCGTCGAGCTGGTCATCCGACTGGGCGCCGTGACGGCCATCATGCCTATTTTCATCTTGCCTGGCCTGTTCAGCTGCATAGTTGGACTGTTAGCGGGAGAGATGTACACGCGCACTGCGGTGGTAGTGAAGCGGCTGGTGTCCTCCTCCCAGTCACCCGTGTTCTCCCAATTCAACGACGACATGGCTGGGATCCAGATCATCCGCGCCCGTAAGGGCATAGCCAAGAACTTTGGAAACCTGCTGGCGGAGCGGTTGCGCCCATTCAACCGTGCCAATGAGACCAACTACAACCTGAACCGCTGGGTCGGCCTGCGCATAGACTTCGTCACCGCCCTGGTAATGGCCTGCGCGGGCGCCATCGCCATCTCCAAGGTCGGCCTGATCCCCGCCGGCCTCGTGGGCTTCTCGCTCACCAACGCGAGCGGGCTGTCGTCGACGATCCTGTACCTGGTGAGGCTCGCGAACGAGCTCGAGGTGGAGCTGCAGAGCTTCCACCGCGTGAGGGAGTACGCGTCCCTGGAGCCCGAGGAGAAGACCGAGGACGTGGCCGCCCCGGCCGCCCAACCACAGCAGCAGCAGCAGCCCACAGAGGCCCCGGCGTCGTGGCCCACCACGGGTGCGATCGAGTTCCGCAACGTGACGATCCGGTACGACCCGGACGGGCCGGACATCCTCAAGGACATCAGCCTCAAGTTCGCGGCGGGCGAGCGCGTGGCGGTGGTGGGGCGCACGGGGTCGGGCAAGAGCACGCTCGTGCTGTCGCTGCTGCGCTTCACGCACGTCGTCCGCGGGCAGATCCTGTACGACGGCGTGGACATCACGCACGTCCCGCGGCGGCGCCTCCGGCAGTCGCTCACAATCATCCCGCAGGAGGCGGTCCTCTTCAACGGCACCATCGGCACCAACCTCGACCCGGCGGGCGAGGTCGCGCCCGAGGTCGTCGAGGGCGCACTGGCCAGCTGCGCGGGCATCGCGAGCTTCAAGTTCCGCGACCGGGACGGACACAGACCCGGCGAGGTAAATGGAGACCACCAAGAAGAAGAAGAAGAAGAGGGAATCATCTCCGACGCCCTCGCGCCCTCACCACCGACCGAGCACACCCCCCTCCTGAGCGGCCTCTCAACCCCAGCAGCAGAAGCCATCTCGTCCTCGGCGGCGGGCCTCTCGCCCTCGACGGCGGTCGACGCGCGCGGCGAGAACTTCTCGCACGGCCAGCGGCAGGTGCTGTCCCTGTGCCGCGCGCTGGTGCGCAAGTCCAAGCTGATGCTGCTGGACGAGGCCACCGCGTCCATGGACTACGAGACGGACCGCGGGATCCAGGCGGTGCTGCGGCGGGAGATCTTTGGCGGCGGCGCGTCGGCGGACGGCGGCAGGACGCTTGTTACCATCGCGCACCGGCTGAGGACCATTGCTGATTATGATCGTGTCTTGGTCATGGGCGGCGGGAGGGTTCTGGAGTAAGTGTTGCAATTTTCCTTCCCGCATCTAGGATTTTAAGGGTGGCTCATACTTTTCATGATAAATTTGAGGGTGTATTACTAACGTCTCCCAACAGGATGGGCTCGCCCAAGGAGCTCTTCGGGGCGAAGGGGACCTTCTACGACATGGTGCAGCACTCGGGCGAGGTCAAGGAGCTGCAAGGCGTCTTTGGCGATCCTGATGAGTAAACCTCAACAGGCCGTTTCAAAACGATCTAAACATATTTATCCAATCGGGTTTACAGTCCGAGGTATAGACAAGCCACTGGTTAGGCTGCATAGATGCATACATACTATGGACAACGCGCAAAAGGTATTTCATCGGGCATAAAAATGTCACAAGTCAGTGATGATAGAAATTGAAACCAAGTCAAGTTGCGGACGGTACAGGACCGTGAGGTATAGGATTATCGTTTTCATTCTACCTCTCTCCCATCAAGCGGGAGGAGGCCAATATCCGTGTTTCCAAAACCTCCGTCAATCGCACATACACCAAAGACAAGCGCCTCTTGAACGTATCCATCCGTTTAAGAATGCATGTCTCGTCTAATTTTCCACAGGCTCAACGGCCATAACCAAATTATTTTGTCCATCATCTAGTGAAGATTATGTGGATACAGGAAAAGTCAACCATCAGTCGTTTTTCTCGTGCGTGACAAAGAGAGGTAGGGAGCCAGCAATGCTTGGACTCATCGTGGTGCCCAACGCCTCCCAGTCCAATGGTGCCACCCAGTACAAGAAAGGGATATCCAGACATCCACCCCATCAGGGTACAGCTTAGAGGATCATGCACGCCGCAAGCAGGGCAACGAACGCAGCGCCGAAGGAGACCAAGTTCGCAGGCGCAGCGTTGGTGATCACAGCGGTCGTGCTGGCAGATGGAGAGCCGTTCCCGCCGGTAACGGTCCCGTTTCCGCCAGCAGAGCCAGACCCAGATCCAGAGCCTCCAGAGCCTGAGCCAGAGCCAGAGCCGCCGCTTCCTGAGCCGCCCGATCCAGAGCCGGCGCCGGTGGGGTTCGTTGGGGTGCCAGGCAGGGTAGCGGTCGCGCCACCAGCACCGCCCGCACCGGTGCCGCCCACGGTCACGACGCTACCGGCGCCCGCGGAGATACCAGGGGAGCCGCCATCTGCGCCGCTGGCCGTGGCAGCAGCCGAAGAAACGCCCGTCGCAGCACCACCGCCACCAGATGCCGTGGCCGTGCTGCCGGAGGCCGCCGACGAGGAAGAGGACGATGATGAGGCGTTGCACGAGAGGTCGTAGAGCGGCGTGGTGGACAGGGTGCTGCCGACGACCCCGAAGCTAGGGGAGGGCGTGTCGGGCGAAGCGTCCTGGAGCGTGTACCACCAGGTGTTGGTCTTGCCGAACAGGGTCTCGCAGCCGACGTCGTCCCAGTACGTCTTTGCGTTGGCCGTGCTGGCCTCGGCGAGGTTCCCGGCGGGACCGCTGACGGGCCACCCGGTCTCCGTCACCCAGACCTCCTTGCCTTTGGCGGCGGCTTTGGTCTGGCCGAATGCGTCGTTGAAGAGGGCCGGGCCGTTCGCGATGGAATTCGCCATTGTGGTCTGTAGGGGTTTGTCAGCGTGGGAAGGTTATGGGAAGGACCCTTACACATGGGTCGTCGCTAAGATAGGAATTACCTGGAAGTAGGGGTAGGCGTCGACGCCGAGCCAGTCGGATGCTGAAATCACGGCATCGTTGGACGCGTTGACCCAAGCAGTCCACGTATCGACGTGACCGACAGGCACCCCGGACAGAGGCGTGCCAGCGATGGCATCCCGGACCTGCTTGATGTAGCCGACGAGAACATCAGGGCCCACGCCAGGGTTCTCCTTGTTGAGGATGCCGGTGGGCGAGATACGGTAGAGATCCTCAGAGCCAACAGAGATGCCGGCGACGAGGCCGCCGAGCTGGGTGCCGTAGGTGCCGATGGCGGACTTGAGGGCGGCGATCTCGTTGGCGAAGTTGGCGTCCCCGGCCGAGGCCCACAGGCCCAGCAGGAGGGAGGTCTTGGTGCTGATCGCCGCCGGAATGGCCTGGATGGGACTGTTGGAGGTGCCGCCTTGCTGGAATGGGGGTTAGCCGCACGGTGCACGTGAGCGAGACATTGCAAAACAGTAGGCAGATAAACAGAACAAAACAAAACAAATACCAGACCAAACAAGACACAGGACGAGACTCACGACTGTGGTGTAGAGGCGGGCGGAGTTGAAGACACCAGGGGCAGAGATCAGTCCCTGGGCAGTCTTGAACTCGGCCTCAAAGTCGCTCTGAACCTTGGCAGCGCCGGTGGTGAAGGTAGAGCCATAGTTGAAGCCCTGGTACACGGCCAAGGCAGGAGTGGCGGCGACGAGGGCCACCAAAGAGGATTGACCGAGCATTTTGAAAAGAGGGCGAGAATATTGAGACTGGTTCGAATGAGGGGTCTAAGTTATTCTGGCAGTGATTGGGGCTAAACTCTAGTCCACAAGGTCCAAAATGAGTCTTGGTGATGCTTGAGGGGGGGCAGAGGTTGAAGAAACGAGAGTTAGGCCTGTCCGTGTCGAGCTCTGTGTGTGTGGGAGAACACTGGGTTGTTTTTTATTAGTAGTGGCGTATGGCAGGTGGAATTGAGTGACGTAGAAGGAGATGCGAAGAAGGAGCTAAGCAGTAACAGGAGAGGCGAGTAGTAGCAGTGTTGGTACTATTGGGATTGGGATAGTCCAAGACGACGAGTGATCGGTCGTCCAGTTCAAGTTGTCGGGATTATTACAGTGACGGACAAGTTGATGAGCGAATGTGTTGTCCTGATGGGACGGAAGAAGCCAGTGCCAGGAAGAGCAGAAATGTCAAAGATGGTGGCGAGCAGGAGGAGTAATATCAAAGGGAAGGGTCACTACAGGAGACAAAGGCTGGATATTTGGGACGGAGTGGGATGGAACAGATGCGCGTAGGGGGAAGAAGGGGGGGGGGTGGGTAACAACCCGGATCGATCGGACTGTCTACACAGTACCTAGACACACTCGCTGGGTGTTTGTTGGCTTGTTTTTGGGTGTGAGCGTGAGCGTGAGCTCGTGTACGTGTACAATGCGTGTGTCATAGCCTCATGGGTGGACTGGCTGACTGACTGATTGGATGTTCGAGTGGGATTTGTTTTCTGGGTGCCACGGATGGAATTCCCTCTCCTGCCTGTCTCTCTGTGCCTCCCGCCTGCCGAGGTCGTTGGCGCCTGCTGGCGTGCGCCCCCCTGCGTGCGATGGTGCCATGCTCCCACCACAAGCGCAGCCAGACCGTCCCAATCGGGCGCGTTCTCGCAGGTTGTTCCTGCACTAGTGGCGGTACCGTGCTGGGTCGCACCGAGGAGCCTTCGAGCTTCCCTGGCCTGCGGTTGGTTGGGGGCTTCTCCTGATGCCAGCAGAAGCGTGCACCGGCTAGACTGACAACAGTGCACCACTCGGAAGAATTTTCCTAGGGGCTGCATTGGTTCGCGGACGGTGTTGGAAGCCGTGTCCGATCACCAACAGCCTCGCGCAGACGATGTCTGATGAAGAGGATGGAGGTGGATGGATCTCCCGATCTTGGTCTTGCTTGATCTTGTTGGTCCACTCTGCTGCCCATCACCTCAGGCCCTTGCCCAACCCACACCTGCCCACTTCCCCGGAGTTGGACGATGAACGTTGCACCCAGTGGAGCAAATGTTTGCAAACAAGCTTCTGGGCAGACAGGGGGGGCCTGCCGTCCTGCTCCCCTACATCGCCCGATCAGTCATGCCCAGATCGGCCGTTCTTCCATATTTAGCCGTGTCAATGGGGGGACCAGGCCGGCCAGACCTGGGCTGACCATCCAGGAATTCGGGGAAATACGAGCACAACTTGAAATTGACTCCCTCGCGCTTTGTTCCCGGTTCTGATGTTGCTTTTTGCACGTCACGCTCCCTCATGCAGTGAGAGCATGTGTGTGTCAAGCGCACCGTCCTACCGATCCACGGCCCCTAGTGCTGTCCAACCTCGAAGCTATTACGTGGTTTGTCTTGGACGTCCCGTACACAATGGCCGCACTACCTGAGATGGGCATGGCATTGGTTCGCGGAATGAAGACCCGGGAATAATGACACCCGGGTCGCGTGGTGCACACAGTAGGGCTGGCCTGTGAGAGGACCATCCGTACGTCCGCTTGCTTGTGAAAACCATCTTCTGTTGCAGCCATCTTCTTGAAGACTATTTGGTGGTGAATAGGGGGCCATGGGCCCAACTCCACGGCACGTTTTAGTATCAATTGTATGATCTCGACACGCGATCCCGCTTCCCGAATACTCATCAACACTCACGCAGAGGAACGTGAGCTCGCTCCACCACTATCACTCACAGAAAAGCCACCAGCTTGTGCCACCTCCACAGGACGGCCCAGCCCCCAAGAACTGATGACAGGCCCGTGAACACAATCAGCGGCCCATACGTCGTGCCGTAGCCAAACGCCCCCATCGACGCCTGGCCCCCAGCCTTGAGCAGGGGCAAGCCGACCAGGCCCCCGCTGACATAGCCGATGCCCCTCGCGCCGTTGAGGAGCCCGTAGAGCATCCCCGTGTCGACGGCCTCGTTGCCGCCCCTCGCCTCGCCCTCGAGCTCGTTGAGCACGCTTCCCCAGGTCGCCGAGTAGCCGCCCGCGAAGAAGCCGAACGTCACGGAGAAGAGCACCAGCAGCGCCATGCTCCCCTTCCAGGCGAGCCCCCAGAACAGGAACGCTGCGAGGGCGGACCCCACGGCGGGGATGGACGTCACCGTCGCCGCGGACAGGGCGAGGCGCCTGCTGTCGCACAGGAACCCGAAGAAGGACGACGAGGCGATCCCGGGGAGGTTGAAGACGGTCAGCAGCAGCGTCGCCGACGCCTGCGACAGCCCCGCCACGTCGTGCGCGTAGGTGCTCAGGTACGTCTGCGGGATGCCGTACCCTGCGCTCTGGAGGAGGATGGCCGCGGTGTAGATGTAGATGGTCCTGTGCCGGAGGAAGTGCCACGGGATCCTGCGCGACCGTGGCGGCGTTCCTGATGGCAAACGGCCATGGTCGAGGCTCGACGGGTGCGCCGGGATCATGAAGATGGCCGGGACGCCCGTCCCCGCCAGCACGGCCGCCCACACCCTCGCCGCGGTACGAAAACCGTACCTGTCGAGCAGCGCCCTGAACAGGAACGGGCACGCCGAGCCCACGACGTTCTTGCACGACAGCGTGACCCCGTACGCGAGCGCCCTGTTGCTCTTTCCGCCTGCACCGCTCCCGCCCGCGCTGCTGAACCACTCCCCGAGCGACAGCGTCACGGGGCTGAAGACGAGCGCGCACCCCAAGGGGGCGAGGACCCCCTGCGTCGCGACCAGGTGCCACGCGTCGGTGCTGAGCGACGACAGCAGGAAGCTCGCGCAGGTGAGGAGGCTGCCGCAGAGCGCCGCGGCCTGGCGCCAGCGCGCCCACCGCTTGGTGAACAGGGCGAAGAGGAAGGGCATCGAGACTACCCTGTGTGTCAATCACCTGCTTCGGGTCCCTAAGGTGATACATTCTAGAATACTGCAGGGCACGAAAATCGGGGAACCTTGGCTAGCGAAGGGTTATACTGACTATAGATTATGCCGTTGAAGGTCGTGCCAATCACGCCCGTGAGCTCGCGGCTGCCGCTCAGCGACCAATTGATGGTGAAGTGCTCCTGGAAGACGCCGTAGCTCATCGCGAAGCCTGCGCATGTGTATTGCGTGAGTGATGTGATGTTTGCTGTGAAAAGAGGACTGGGGCGGTGATGAGCTCTCTTACCCCATATCGGCAGTTGAATTATCCCAGAGCCGATGAGAACACACGCCCTTTTTGTTTTGGAGCCATTCCGACGCTGATCAGCCTGGTCATGACCAATGCTTCCCTGTTCCTCAGTCTGGACCTCCAACTCGACGAGGCTGGACGGTGTGGGTTGGCGTGATGAGATTGTCTCGGTTTGTGACATTGTAAATTACCTGGACATGAAGTCCGAGTGAGTGATGCCGAACGAGAATCTCGGAGCCTGTAAAGAGGGAATTTTCAGTTTATATGTCGGCATTGCCGATAATCTGTGAGTCAAGCAGGAGAAGTCAGTCCTGATGGCGACGGTGACGGCAAGGATGAAGACAAGTACACGCCCTAATTCCCCAACCGGACGAATGAGAGGGCATCGACGCCGATCTCGGCAAGCCTCATCCACCGCTTCAGGGCCCGAAGTCTGCCTCAAAATAGATGATCTTATCTTTGATTTTGAAACTGCTTCTAGCGTGACACGATGGGTATATCTAGATGACATCACGATCTATAATCCTGCCGTCTACATGCTGCGCCGGGACGACCAAAGACCACTGGTCCGCCATCACCGCAGAAATCATCAGAAATTCGTCTCGATCAGCCTCGCCACCAGGTCACTGTCCTCAGGAAGCTCAGGATAATCCAGGTTGATCACGCCCAGCCTCCTGGTCCCTCCCCTGCCGGCGCCCTCGTCCAGCTCGCGGAGGTAGTCCCTCGTCCTGACGTTGACGCCCTCGATCCACCTGCCAAAGAAGCGCAGGTTCCTGTGCGCCCCGACGGCGATCCACTTGGCCTCGGCCACCTCTCCGTGCTCGACCGGCTCCCCGACGGCCGAGCAGAAGTTGATGAACCACGTCTTCTCCGGCTCCAGAACCTCCCTCCCGTCATCGTCCAGGTCCGCCACCGTCCCGGCAGCCAGCTCCATCATCCGCCGCACGTGGCCCAGCTTGGACGTTACGAGCTCGTCGAGCCCGCTGCGCTTCGAGTACTTCCACTTGTCCTGCAGCCGCACCCTGACGCCGTTGGGCGTGACGATCGTGAAGTCCGGGTCGTCCTGGAGCCACTCCTCCAGGTCGAGGCCCATCCTCTCCGTGGGCGCGACGTCCGTGTCGCCGTAGTACCGGCGCAGGAGCACGGCCTTGCCCCGGACGTCCCCCAATCTGGCCGTCACCGGCCCGGTGTACCACCTGCTCGACCCGTCCTCGTAGGTGGGCGTGCTGTCGATGGCCTCCTTGACGGCATTGTAGAATACCTTGGGGTTGGCTTTCTGCCCCTTGGACCTGTCGTCGTTGTTTATAGATATCAAGACCGTCTCCGTAGCCTTCTTGTCATCTTTGGGCCCGATGAAGTCCCACACCTCGTCCATAACGCTATCAAACGACAGACCCTTGGGCAGGTTGATAGGCACCCCACCATGGTAGCAGTAAAGCTTCCCATCATCATGCCTCCTCAGCCTCAGGTCGAAGAACCGGATGCCCAGCGCCAGCTGCTGCGAGATGCTCAGGTACTGCGTCCTGACAAACGGCACGTTGCTCCTCGCGCAGCTGTCGTGCGTCCCCGGGATGGTCAGCCCGCTCAGCCACGCCCGCCCGTCGAGCGAGCCCATCCACGTCTTGAGGTCGTAGCCCAGCACGGGCTTGCTGAACCAGCGCAGGTCCCCCTTCCACTTGCCCGCGAACACGCAGTAGACCCGGCCGTTCATGACCGCCATCTGCGGCGCGAACCGCGCCCTCACCGAGCCGCCACCAACGCGCTCCGGCTCGCCCCACGCCCTGCCGTCGGCGTGCGCCGCCACGTAGACGGCGCCGTCGTCGCCGGACTTGAGGAACCCCAAGTAGGCGTGCCCGCCGTACGAGGCTGCGCTGACCCCGCGCGTCGCCCGGCCCTCCGAGACGTCGTCGGTTGGGTCCCAGGCCCACCCGGACTCGCTGTAGCCGTACCTGTAGCCCAGGATGTCGCCGCTGTTGGGGTCGGCCGCCTCGCAGAGCACGTGCAGCGCCCCGTTGAGCACGAAAAGCGCTGGCTTGCCCTGGAACTGGCCGCCGCAGATGCTCTGGGTGGGCGACCAGGCCTGGGAGTCGGCATCCCACTGGTTGTAGGACAGCCTCTGGTCCGGACCGATGTATGCTAGGAATAGCTTGTTGTGAAAGGCCGCGAGTGCTGGTCCCCTGGTGCCTTTTGCGGCGACGCAGCCTCCAGGCAGAGGCCCTTGGTGGATGAAACCCTCATCGTCCGCGTCGTTGATATAGTGGAACATGGCTCCGGTGTCTGCTGAGACCACGACGGCGTGCAGGACACCGTTAAGGTTGGCTATCATGGGAATCCCATTCTTCCCTTGGTATGGGAACTTCTCCTGCCGCCCAAAAACCTCACCATGACCGTCGGGTACGGTAGAGCTGTACCATACCTGGTCGTCAAAGTCGGTCCATGCCATCCACAGACTGCCACGGTGCGTGGCGATGGACGGAGGGACCTTGGAGCGGAGATGCTCGCGTGGGTTGTCTGGATGGATGACAAAGCCCTGCTTGGTTGGGCCCTGAGGTATCCATGTTGAGGACGTGGAGGTGTCTGGGTCACTGTCTGTGTTGCGCTCGATGTTGGGATTGCTGGGATCCTGTAAATATGGATTGAAGGGCGGCCTGGAGTCGAGATTTAAGCTAATATGCCAGGACGGAAGACCGCATGCTGGTGGTGTGTTGGGTGATCTGGTCATTTCGAGGAATGTTGTCTGGCACTTCAAGCAGACCTGCTTGTTTCTTGACACGGTCTCGTGTGTGTTTGAAGCCGGTCATAAATCCTGCAAGTGAGGCGGAGCCTGGTGCGTTGGCCGGCCCTTGGGTGTCCTGACCGCTCTAAGTGCTGACAATCATCACCTCAGAGCACGAAATCCCTGACTCAGTCTTTGGATAAGTCGAGACTGAAATAGAGAAAGATTCGCATAATGACATGCCCACGCATCAACTCTGAAGTGCTTGCAGAGGGAGGATTCTGGATTTGCTTGGAACAAATCTGGCAAATTCCGCTGTCGGGGGTGGGGCATGATCAAGTGCTCTGCTGCTGCTGAGAAGCGAGTAATCCAATGAATGTGAAGGTATCATCAGCCTTTGGATTCAGATTCTTGCCCTCCCGTAACCAGACCTCAGAATGAAATACGCGTTTCGAACCGTGTATAGATTTGAGGAAGAAAGTAGGTGGCAGGTCAAATTATTTCACTGAGACAAGTTGGCCATGCTCTCGCGGTCCAGGGTCTAACCCTTGAATTCGACGTGTGTCCCGGCCACACCCGTTTGACTCCACAGCGTCACCCATCTGAGCCGACCTGCACGAACCCATTCATTGCCTCTCTTAAGGTTTATTGCTTTTGGAGCTTGATTGTTGTGATCGGTTTCGGACTTTGAAACCCCAGCCTTCCTCCTCTCGTGATACTGTTCTGGGGCTCTTCGATCATTACGCTGCTGTCTATTTGGTCCGTACTCATCAATACACGTCATGAATCATCAACGACATTGACCGAACCACCTGTAGTCTCAAACGTCACTCGGGGGCTCCTACATCTACACATCCAATTTACTTAAGTACGCACAAAACCATTGCCAACCAACTGCCAGTATCAGGCTGAATGAATGCCAGCCTGACCTCCCGAGCCGTACTGAAAACGGTCCCGCCCCTCAAATCATCAGCATCTTCGACAACAACCCGCCCCAGCAAGGCAAACAGAAGACTCATACACGTAGCCTCGCACCTCACCAAAATGGCAGCCCCGACACCCACCGCCGCCGCCCCATGGCGAGCTCAGTTCCTGGACCACGTCAGCAAGCTCGACTCGCCAACATTCACATTCTCCTCCCTCCACCCAGGCACCAAGTCCTCCCAGACGGAGCCGAGGGGCCGCACCTGCGTCTTCCGCGGCATGTGGGCCTCACTCCCGCCCAACGACAAGAACAACGCAACCCGCAACCCGGACGCCTTCGAGTCCGACTGCCTGACGCTGACCACGGACGCCCGCATGGCCAAGGTGCCCGAGCTTTTCGACTCGGGCGAGACGGGTGACTCCCCGGCCTCGTCCTCCTCAGGCGGCGGCGGGCCCGTCGAGGCCATGTTCTGGGTCGCGGAGACGGGCACGCAGTGGCGCCTGCGCGGGCACGCCTGGGTGCTCTCCCACGCCGACATCGGCGGCGCCGACGCGGCGAGCAGCCCCGGGGCCAAGGCGGCGCGGGATGCCATCTCGGCGCGGATGCGGCCCACCACCAGCGGCCAGGCAGGGCAGTGGAGCTGGGAGAGGGAGGTCGAGGCCCAGTTCGGGAACCTGAGCCCCGGGATGCGGGGCAGCTTCAAGAACCCGCCCCCCGGGACGCCGAGGGCCAAGGAGCCCGGCCCCGGGGAGGGGCTGGGGCAGAAGGTCGGGGACGAGCTTCTGAAGGACGAGGTCGCCAGGAGGAACTTCCGCGTCGTGGTCGTCGTGCCGGAGGAGGTTGACACGTGGGACGGGAAGGACCCCGACAACCAGAGGCGGTGGGTTTACACGTACGTTGGGGCGGACGCGAAGGCGACGAGGCCTGGTGGTCAGGTCATTGACGGGTGGGAGAAGGTTGAGGTTTGGCCTTGAATAGTGAGGGAAGATAGAGATGTGCTGAATGATAATGGCTCCTAGCCAGGGGTTCATCCGCTGTCCGCTGTCCGCTGGGTAGGAAGCACATATACGTCAAGCCGACATCTCGCATGCTGGTTCTCATTGTGTAGACGCCACACATCCCGGATTAGCCAGAGAGGCCGTATTTGGTCATTGCCAAGTCTTTCCCTCAGGGCCGTCGTTATAGAATGAAAAATGACTCTGGCTCTTGACCCTCAACCGCACCCTTCCACAAAGCGCTCTCTCCCAGTATCTTCTCGACTCCCTCAATATTCTCCTCCCTTGTGCCATTGTTATCAATCTAAAAATTGTATCAGTACCTCCAAATATCCCATCTAGGTATTCACAAGCCCAGAGGCAAGCCGTAGGACTCACGTCAACTAGGAGCCCTGCCTCTCGATAGTGGTGTTCCACAGGCCGTCCCTCCTCCAAGTACTCATCAAACCGCCTTCCGAACTTGACGGCGGTGTCGTTACGATCGCGACCCCTGGCGAGATACCTAGCTTCCGCATTCTCCCTCGTCACGTTGAGCGAAAGGACGACGTCGGGCTTCGCGCTGCCTTCCTACAGTTGAGCTGAGTCAATTGGCTGAGATATATGGTTTTCATTTCCCGCCACGACATACCAAACGAAGACGTTCTTGAAAAGGCCATTGTGCCCACGAGTTGAGCTGCTCCTCGCACCTTGGGAAGCCGTCGATCAGGATCCCCTTGAGTTCGTCTTGCCGTATTGCATCCTCAATGGCGAGACCCAGAAACGGGTTCAACTCCGCAGATGTGAGAAACCCCTGGTGGTCAAGCTTCTCCTGGATCCGAGCCGCGAGGGGCGTTTCGCAGTTGGCCTGCATCCAGGTGCGGAGAATATCTCCCACGGAGAAATGCAACAGGCTGTACTTGCTAGCCAAGAAACTGCAGATCGTGCCTTTCCCCGACCCAGGTGCTCCTACCAGGATGGTGAGCAGGTGTACTTTCATTTTGCCAAAAGACGAAGACTGACCAAGGACAAATATCACTGCGAATTTCCGCCCCTTCGTGCTTGTACAATTGTGGGTATCCATTGCGACCATTGCAGTGTGTGATGTGTTCAGTTGCATGTGGGCGGACCCATGTCTAGTAAACGCGATCTGGGATATGTTGGAAGCACGTCATATGACATATTGATATTCGGGAACGTTACAAATCTTCATACAAATATCAAACAGGACCATGTCTGTCTTCAACACTGTGGCAGCTCCAGCTGGGAATGTGGGCAGTGAAGGGGTACAGTGAATGGGACAGTAAATATTATGATGAATAGAACAATGAATACGGCAGTGAAGGCCCCTGGCGACTCTTTTCACAATCTCCTCTATTTGAAGAGATGTTTACAGCCCATCCTCACAAGAACCTCACCTCTTCGACCGGTTCGACTGCAACTGCAAACCACTGAATTGATCACCTCCACACTGCCTCCCACAAACATCTATATACAGACCACCTGTGGCTCAGTGCCTCATCAGGATGGGGATCTTGATGTCCGCTGCACAAGCAGCGCCGGCTCTATTCTCCGCCATTCCGTTCTACTTCACCCTCATCGTGCCCATCCTAGTAGCCGCCGCAGCAACTTACCTCTCACGCCGCCGCCTCCTGGCCTCGACACACACTCGCCCGACTGAGGACCCCTACGCCCCCGTCTCCGTCAACTACTTCCCGTCCCGCGAGTGCAACTACGCCTGCGGCTTCTGCTTCCACACCAACACCTCGGGCTACATCCTGCCCCTGGGCGAGGCCAAGCGCGGCCTGCGCCTCCTCCGGGACGCCGGCATGCGCAAGCTCAACATCGCCGGCGGGGAGCCCTTCCTGCACCCGGCGTTCCTGGGCGAGCTCCTGCGGTACTGCAAGGAGGGCCTGGGCCTCGAGAGCGTGAGCATCATCAGCAACGGGAGCAAGATCCGGGAGGGGTTCCTCCGGGAGTACGGCCGGTACCTGGACATCCTGGCCGTCTCCTGCGACTCGTTTGTGCAGGAGACGAACGGGGCGATCGGGCGCGGGGAGAATGGCCAGGGGGACGGCGGCCACGTGGAGCAGGTGTTCCGCATTGCCGGGTGGTGCAGGGAGTACGGCATCATGTTCAAGCTCAACACCGTCGTCAATACCTTCAATTGGGGTCAGTATCACTCTTCTCCTGCTGGGGCTACCCGATCTTTGTGCCTTATAATGTTCCAGAATGTATCACTTGAGGACCCGTAGCAGATGATTAACAGGTACTAGACGAAGACATGGCGGGCCAGATCGCGCAGCTGGCGCCGTTCCGGTGGAAGGTCTTCCAGTGCCTGATCGTCGAGGGCGAGAACGACGACGAGACGCGGGTGCGCGACGCGAGGAGGTTCCTCATCTCGCAGGAGCAGTGGGAGACGTTCTGCGACAGGCACAAGCACCTGCCGTGCTACGTGCCCGAGGACAACCAGACCATGGCCGGGAGCTATCTGTTGCTGGACGAGCGTATGCGCTTCCTGGACAAGGGCGATGGGCCGATGAAGAAGAGCGACTCATTGCTGGATGTCGGGGTGAAGAAGGCCATGCAGCAAGTCGCGTGGGACAAGGAGGCGTTTGACAAGAGAGGTGGGATCTACGAGTGGCGGAAACCACAGACAGCGGGCAGTATTGAAGGAGGTTGTGATGGCGATAATAAGAAGGAGCTGGAGTGGTAGGTCTGAGATACCTAGCCATTAATTCTCGTCACTCAATGCGAGATTTGCGCCATGGAGAGAGAGCGGCTGCTGCCATAACTGTGAAATGCCACACCATGTTCTGCAGTCCAGACTGTCGGCGTCTTCCTTGAAATACCGACCTCTAACTGACCAAGGGGCGGTAGATATCACAACCTAATAGAACCCCGGGTGCGTTTGCTATGAGCACGCATGTAGGAAACTGTGATCACACCTTAGGTCGCGCGAGAAGGGAGACGAGCCTCTACTCCAGTGCAAGCGCACACAAGTACCTGCTGTACCACGCCGCGGGCCAGTGCGTGCGCGTGTGGGGGGTGGGGCGGTGGTTACAAAGGGCATACACACGTCCTGATAAGCCCGGCCTCCCTCGCGCGGTAGGGTGTCACATGCGCACCATCCGACGCAAGGGGGTAACAGAAGAGCTGTCTGAATGTAATTGTTACGGGACTTGCGTGAAGCTCGGGCTCCGAGGCAGTCTGGACCCACGGAAGTAGTCGGGCGATACGAAAAGAAAAGGAAAAGAAAAAGGAAAAGGCGTGGCCTTGGATTCCACATGCTTTCTTAGACGCGATACCAGCAGATGAGCCCCGCTTCACCACCGCGGCGCAGATCAGTTTGGTCTGAGGTCTGAGGGTAATAAGGGATTACGAAAGCCCGAGAATACGACCGCGTGGTCTTGGTATACGACGTTGTTAGTACAGATCTAGTTCTCAAGAGATATGGGCATTTGACAGCGGGCTAGACCTTGATAGCCTCGCACTGCTTTGCGGAGCGTGGCGACGACGGTGTAGGCAGCAGCAACACGTCGACGATCGCGTATTCCCCAGGCCGGTAGGCCGGGCCATGTTGAAGGTCGGAGAAGCGGCCGCATCCGACGAATGCTACCTTAGATCACAATCATTTCAAGTCGGCTGAGTCGAAAGCTGGAAAAATACGCATTTGTCGTGGTTGTCATATTTCTCACCCAATTTGTATGCGCGGCAAGCTCAAGAAGGTCGAGGATCCAAGTCTCGACCAGCAATATTCTGCAGGTCATGTGGAGCTGGGAGTGACTGCTGAGCGGGTGCAGGCTGGATGGTGCGGAAGGAAGCGTGCCTAGGAGATCCCCGTTAGTTGAGCCGCTGCCGGGAGGAGGGCGAGCCTGAAAAGGATCTAGCCGCATGCTTCTTGACGGTCGAGTGACGGGCGGCGCGATGAGATATAGTCTACCAAAGTAGAGCCAAGTGCGACGACCGAAGCAACGGCGACGGGGGCGATGGCGATAGCGCTGTTGACTGTTAGCCGCCTGCAAGTGGACGAAAAAGGCCCGCGGGGGGGGGGGGTTGTTCCCGAGGCCAGCCTAGCGAAAGTCAGATGGAATTAGAGGGCAAAGAATGGGGGTCACATTGATAAGGCAGATCTCTGAGGCTGCAAATGCAGGTCTTGCATCGCAGTGGGACCCCACAAGAGGAAGGTCTCTGAGGCGACCGTGTGGGGGATGCACATTTGGCAGTGCCCGCCTCTGATCCACGCGCGCGGGTTGTGCTGCAGGTAGAGCGCTGGGTTGTGAGATTCGCACCGCCCTTGAAAAAGTTCGCATGTCCCATGGTTGAGCACAATACCGTTCGGCCTAGGGCTGCTCGATGTATCGCCAATGTAGCAAGTCCAGCACCGGCCGAATGGGCTGGGTGAGGAGACGACGTTCTGCTGGGTTTTAGCCTGGTCTAGACCTTGCGCTCCCCGCTGGTGCAAGCAGAGACCTTGTTGGAGGTGATGTGAAGTGACGGCTCGGGCGGCTTAGGGATAGGTACCAGTCCTGGACCATGCGTCTCTGCGAGGCGTGATTGCTGAAAGATGTGTGCCTAAGTAGTAGTCTAAATCCGACCCGCAGTGGGCCATTTGCCGGCAAGCAAGACAGCGGACAACCAGTCTGAAATGGTGCTTGCTCCTTTGAGATGGTCCCCGAAGTGTAGTGTGGGAGATAGGCGTGCAGTTTGGCGGCGATTCAGACAGATCGAGACAGGCCTGATCGGGGCCAATGGAAATGAGGTGGCTTGCCCGAGTGAGCGCCGGAGTGCTTGATAAGAGCATGTGAAGATCGGGCGCAGCTGGATGGCAGTAGAGGGGACCTCGGCGAGGCTGAGATCGTACGACAGTCTGGCAAGAATGAAACAGAAGGGATCATTTCGTATCCGACCGGATCGGAAGGCTCTCACGGGAAGTGTCGTGAGCTGAACGGGAGTTGGCAACTAAATCGAGCCCAGTCGAGTCCGTCACGAGGCGCGGTGACGTGCTGGGATTGCCCCTGGACTGGTGGCAACTTGGGCGCAGCCGACCCATCCAGCCGGGAAAGCAGACCACAGCACTGCACATCGCATCGCAGTAGAGATTGATTGATTTAATATAACGAGGTCGTCTGGCAGAGAGGTATTCTGGTCGACCATCAGGACCGTTGGCGAGGCCGGGCCGGGCTGGGCTGTGGCGCGGACTCGGAAAGGGAGCTAGCCCGACAAGCGGTCAGTCAACCAGGCCACGAAGCGCCTGGGCATTTGTGGTGATGCTTTGGTGGTAGTGAGTGGCTGAGAGGGGTAGCTGTTGGTTGGTTGGGTGGTTGGTCGGTCTCGTCTTTTCTTGTCTCGGTGTCCCTATCGCAAAGCAGGCTCGATCCTGCGCGCTGGGCGGCGTCTTGCTTATCATCGCACAGCAGCAGGCATTAGCCCACTGCGTACGTACGCTGGAGTGGCGATCCACACTTTGATGATGCCTGATGGAGCAGGAGCAGAAAACGCCTGACGGCTGGAAGCGATTAGGATTGTCCTGTCGACGGCGAGGCGGGTTGAGCTCTTATCCGCAGGGGCAGGTGCAGGTGCGGGTATGAGGTACCTGAAGTCCATCGAATCTAGCCTACACGAGGGAAAGCAGGCGCTTGCTGCAGGTTGGGGAATTAGGTTTTGCTGGGTGGGGCCTACCGCATCCGAACGAACTCGCTGCAGTGGCCCACCTCGGCTGCTGGAAGTTACCGAGCACTTGGTAAGGCAATCAACCCGGGAAGGTGCAAATGAATCAGCCAGCCGGCGGCCCCTTGCCCGTTCAGTCACTGCTCATCGAGCCCAGGACTCGGGGCAGCGCAGTCTGAATCGCAGGCTTGGGATCGACCGGCTTCGATTCAGGTGTACGTACGCAGTATCTAGATATCTGGCTATCTGCTAGATATCTATCTGTATCTTCCCAACGCCCACGCCTCTTCTCCACAAGTTCAGGCAAGCCTGGTGGATCTGGGGAGATAACAGCATCTGCCGACTACACGCACGCCTCCGAATGATGATGCGGTCACATGTATCGTCCCGGCCAAGCGAATCCTTCAATCCCCTGGATCGTCCAATTGTCTGTATGTCAAATTGTGGCTGGCCATCAGAGATCGGGTATCCACGGGTCCACAGCACATCTGAGCAGAAGCACTTGCACTCGGCGAATGGTCTAATATATTTCATACACTTTCAGTCGGTCCCGACGACCTGTCTGCCCATGACGGTGAAACATTAGACAACCTGGGCGATGGGTGACCCTGGCCAGCAATTTGCCAGGCAGAGAGGCTCTGTGCCTTCATGCATACTCCAAGGTTGCTAGGTACATGCGCAGCAGGCGAGAAAGGGCAACGGATCTCACCGTGTTGGGGTGACAGAAGCGATAGACAATCTGGCATTCTGGCCCTGATTGGCAGTGTTGGCGATGCGTAGCCCGTCCAATCCCACCCTGAGTTGAGATGCACCCAGGGTTCAGAACGGCCAGTCAGAGACAAGAGGTCAGAGACAAGAGACAAAAGAACCCTACGCTGCTGCTGGGCTGACGTCCCACCTAGCCTTACCACCTGCTGCATTATTATGTCCTGATTATGCCCAGGTCCTATCGTCTGGGATGGGTGAGCAGCACCGTACTGTGCACAGTGATAACATCGACGAGGTGGGGAGTGGGTAGAAGACAAGACTAAGAAAGACTCCACCATCAGTCACCACCCACTCGCACCGCAAACACCCACACTCACACAGACGCACACGCACCTGGGGAGACCTTGTCAGTAATCGTCCGCAGCCTGCACCGTTCCAACGTTGGATGAACTTGCAGGTGTGTGGTATTATTAGTCTGCCTTTCCCGGGATACCACAAGTCCCCCCCATGTCGCCATTGCCCCGGACCAGGACCAGGCCCTGAGGTTGACCTGGCCCTGGCCCTGGCCCTGGACCCCTTTTGACCTGACCAGGCTGGACTGGGCTCGTTCCTTTCCCTCGATCCGTGCTCTAATTCCTGTCTACTCTATCTGCTCCTGCCTCTCATCTCACCCTTTCATTCTCACCTCTCACATTTCCTGATAATCACATCTCAGGACACAACAACTGCCGGTCAACGAGGCCCTCAAGCCTCCGTCCTCTCCTCAAGGGTTTCTCGTGCTGATTCGCGGGGAACCGAATCTGGGTTTTGCTGGGCTTGGACTCGTCCGAACGACCTCGACTTCACTCTCAACTTACTGAGTGACTCCGCCTTACTCATCCTCGACCCGCAGCATGCGATTTGATCTACCGGCTTCTACATGTTGTCGTTGTTGTAGATCGTACTCGATGTTTCCAGACCTCTCCAGGACCCGGCCGAGGAGAAGAATACCGCATCTGCAGCAGTTTGCCTGCAGCAGTCATACCCGCAGGTCTGGTCGTTGCCCGTCGTACCGGTACAGACGGACCAGTCCAGGTCCCACGTCATAGCACCAGCATTTCCACAACACCAACCGACCCCGAGTCCTGGTGGACATTGCTTTGTCCAAACCGCGCCGACAAAGGCCCTTGTCGCAAAGCTGCACTCGACAACGACAACGGCTTTCTTTCGTCTCATATGTCAACATTCGAACCGACCTTTTGGCCAGAATCCAACCAAGAATTGGTCCACATCCGAAGCGGATCCCCTCCCCCCGCTCGTCCCTCTACGGAGGTTGACGGGCGTGGCAAGCCTCACCATCCCACCCTCGGTACGAGTGCCACCGCAAGATGTCGCTCTACTCGCATGCTCCCGAGCCCCTCTCCTGGCATGATGTGAAGCCAACGGTGCTGGTGTGTTGGTGGGCGACCCTGTTCGCCACGGTTATTATCCTGCTCCGCGTCGCCGGTCGCTTCATCCGCTCCGAAATGCTCTTTGCCGAGGACAAGATGGCCTTTTATGCCCTGCTTCCCATGTACGCGCGTATGGGCTGCGTGCACGTCATCCTCGTCTACGGCACCAACAATAACGACTTTTCCAACCTCACCCTCACCCCCGACGAGATCCGGCGGAGGACCATCGGGAGTGGCCTGGTTCTCGCGAGCCGGATCTTTTACAGCGCAACGTAAGTTTCACTAATTGTGCCACCGACGCCGTTGAACAAACGGCCACGCGGCGGGAAGTGCTAGTGCTAACACGTGCTCGTCTGTGCAGGCTTTGGGTTCTGAAGAATACCATTCTAGAGTTTTTTAAGCGCCTCACTGGTCTCACCTGGTCCCGCTCCTACTCGGTTGGCGTCCTCGCCATCCGCTGCATGCTCGGGCTCACTTTTATTGCCATCATCATTAGCGACTTGGCCGAATGCCGGCCCTTCAACCACCACTGGCAGGTATTGCCCGACCCCGGGGGCCACTGCCGCCAGGGATATGTGAACCTCCTCACAACAGGGGTGTGCAATATCCTCACGGATTTGCTGCTGGTACTGTTTCCAGTGCCAATCATCATCAGCAGCTCCATGAGCGTGAAGCGAAAAGTCCAGCTGGTTCTGCTCTTCAGCCTTAGCTTGGGTGTCGTTGCAGTAACATTCTTCCGGGTCACGCATGTCATCGAAGCTCACGGCAGCCAACAAATGCGCTCGCTCTTGGCGTCCGTCGAGCTCCTTATCGCAACTGGAGTAGCCAATGCGCTGGTGTTGGGCTCGTTTGTAAGGGACAGGGGCGTCAAGAAACGCAAGTTTAGATACGACTCTGTGGCTGGCGAGTCTTACCATGGCACGGACAGCGCGAACAGGTCCAGGAGGCCGGCGATCGCGGGTCGTGCCTGGGGTAGCGATGTAGACCTTGTCAGGGACGTCGGCTTTGGTGTGCAGAACGACTTGAGAGGCCTGGAGGCGGATCCGGAGGCGGGAAGGCCGACGCCCGCAGGACCCGTGGCGCCGCACAAGACATTCAACCTGCAGGACTGGAACTTCCCCGAGAGATCTGCTGAAGCGAGGCGAGGAAGCCAACTGCTGCCGCCTGACCAGCTCTCCGATGCACCTAGCAGCAGCGGGCCGAGACGCGTCTCTTTCTTCGATGTCGGCGGATTGCTCGACGACGACAGCCCATCTAGCCCTAGCACGGTTCGGAGGCAGAGCACAATGTCCAGCCGAGATCCTCTATCACCATACAAACCACACTCCCCGCCGGCGACCGTGTTACCTGCGAGCGCAAGCGGGTTTCGCAGGGGCTCGCAAGCCCTACTACAGGATATCGGGGGTCTCCTGCCTTTCAAGTCTAGCAAAGGGCAGGATACAGACTCTAGGGGCAAGGAAAGAGAGGAATCTATATCTTCCGGGACGGAACTCCAAGACCTGTCACCGGCAGTCTCTCCCCGTACGACAATGCGCCCAGTTGACCCGCCGCCGTACGAGAACGAAGGCAGGCCCGGCGACTCGGACCATTTGATGGACGTCGGTGGGCTCTCGAAATAATACCAAGGGTTCTGCACCAAGCTATATCCACTAGACCCTGCAGACTAAAAATATGCTAGTCACACTTCCTTCATCAAATGTTGGGAGGTGAAGGCCAGCACAGACGTCACTAACACCGAGAGCCACGAGACGATACCAATACTTTTACACAAGTCGCATTGCATCACGTCGCATCTACAGAACCGAAATTTTAGAGGATATATCCATGACCGGACTGCCAATCTTCACAGTTGGACAGTATCCTGGCAACGAAATACCAAACAGATCGAACCGATCGCCCCAAAAGCACGAAACGGTCCAAATGCGACCACAACAGCGACAGGCCACCGCTACGCTACATCAAGTGGAAGTAGGACACAGGCAGAGAAGCGAATAATGTAACTTTTCCTCCATTGTTGATATTTATTATACCCAGGCCATACATCTTGTGTGCGCCGTGCATTGGCTACCTGGCTGGGAGGTTGGATAGGGCCTACTTTTGGAGGGAGGGAGTGTGTGCTGACTTTTTGCTTGGAGCTGGGGCGTTTTCTCTTCCTGCACTCATTTTTTCCCGTCTCTCTGTTTGTTTGTTTGTTTGCCTGTCTGTCTGTCTGGTGATGATACAATGCGACACGATACCTATTTGCTTAGATGGCGATTGCAAAATACAACTACCGAACAGATTCATGAGAGATTGTCGCGCTTAGTGTCGTGCTTGCCCCGTGGGTGCTCGCCAACTAAACAGCCCCCGATTTTCGAAGTGCGATCCCATGAGTTGACGGACCGATGCTTGCCGAACTGGAATATAGTTGTCGTCCTACGTACCTATCTGCGAGGTGGGTTGGGTTGATCGCCCTGCCCAAACAACATCCCGAACGTCGATCATCCCGCACAGACTCCCTGAACTTTGGGACCTTACATCCTTACACCTTCCTGCCTCCTCCGACTTCCCCGTCTCCCCCGCACGCATCATCCTGTCATCCCAATGCGCAACCAGAAAAGGATGAGCCCAGGGTTGATGATTGGTTTCCCTCCGACAGGCACCTGCCCGTTCGGCCCGCCACCACCCCGATTCTCGGGCTCGGTTGATGGCGGCTGGGGGTACCCGTGCACTTAATGCAGTCGATCTCTGTCAGGCGACGGGCGAGTGTCTGTGTGGTAGATCTACCTAATTACTGAGCACGGAAGGTTGACCCCGGGACTTTTGGCCTGTTGAGTGGCTTTGGAGAGGTCATCAGATCTGTCCTCGTGGCAAGCACTGACAAACAGCCACCTTACAACTCCGTAGAAATGGGGGGTGAAATGCACCGAGCGCACCTACTTGTCGAATCGTCTATCACAGGGGGCTGTTGTGGCATTCCTGGTTGTGGCACGCACAGTCGGGCCATAAATATCACCCCGGAGCAGATTTGAGGGAGTCAGTCGGACTTGCAATAGGCAGACGGCGCATGTTAAAAAAAAATCCCTATCTTGTATAGTATATGCGCAAGAGGTCTCGCCTAGATACAAGCTGAAATTGGAATGGCGCGGGTGATGAGAGCAGCCCCTGTTTGAGGCTTGTAATAGTAAAGTTAAATGGAGGATATGGCAATGCAAAAGTTGAACGCAGAGCATTGTGCACATGATACACCATGCGAGTAGCGCGAATCCTCCCCTTTCGCGACGAGAGAAAGCCGCCATAACAAAGTAACTAGGGTTTCCGTGAAGCAGCCAGCGTCACGAAACGCTTGCCGGATTCGTGCAGTACGAATCCCCTTTTTAGATGTACCTTGGATAAACATGTGATGACCACCATAGCATCTAAGAGAGTTGCCGACGTCTGGTGGTATCATCAGTTATATCAATATGGTCTGTGACCGTCTCGGTCTCGACGCTACCCACCTGCCACAGCATGTAGGGCGTGCAATAATTCAGGACTGAGAACTCCCTCAACGCCTTTTTGAGATGCCCTTTCCTTTCCGCGTCGAGAAGAAACGCCCCGTAGCCCCTGTAGGCCTTGCGCGTGGTGCTGGCCCACCACCCCTCCCCACAACCCCCAAAAGAATACCGCTGCTTGCTTCTCCCGCGCATCTAGTTCGCCTAAGCTATCCTCCCACAACAGGGACCTTTGCCCTTTGCCCTTTTCCCTTTGCCCGCTCAGACGCACAATCGGTAACTGGCGTACCGGCCTGCCGTCTCACTCGACCGGATGATCTTGACGACTTGGCCCCTCCTCAACCCGTAGTACCGCGAAATAGGGTCCTTAAGCAGGATACGCGGAAGCTGGGTCTCCTTCAGACGGTACCTCTTGAGCAGCGCAGCCTTCTCCTCCTTACTAAGGACGACGTGGGTGGGCACGAGGTCGTGGTGGGTGATGTTGACCAGCAGGTCCTCGAGCAGGAAGCACTCGATCTGTGTGTAGGCGCTGGTGGCGCCGATGGCCTTGCGGGCCTGCGGGGACAGGGCGCCGACGGTAACCATAATACCGGCGCGGAAGTTGCCCGCGGACACAGTCTGGACGAACTTCTTGATCTCCTTGACGCCCATCTGGTTGTCGGCCATGAACTCGACGTAGATCTCGCCGCACTCGGTCTCGGGGCTCGGGTTCGAAGGCGTCGCCGGTGGTGTGCATTTCCTGATCATCTCCTCGCTGGGGCGGGCCGAGAACTGAAGGCGCGGGCGGCTGCAGGGTGCGCGGAGGCCTTGTTAGCAATCTCTGCGGTCCTTTGGGGCACTGGGCGAGCAGGGGCGGGCTGGCTCACTTCACGCTGCCATCGTGGTTGGTGTACTCGTCTTTGAACTTGTCGAGGGAGGGGTTGACTTCCTCATCGGTGAGTTCGTATCCCTACTCGCGCGACGCCCGTTAGCATCCCGTCCCGACTGTCGCAACGATACTTCATCCACAGCCACGGGCGCATCCAACATCGATCGTGATCGCGTGATGGCGCGCGAAAGGCCTGAATGAAAGGGAATTAGTTGTCGCATACCCGGTCCTTGCACATCTGGTGCACCGTCTTCCACGCCCGCCAGAAACGTACGGCCTCCTTGAGGTTGGCCTCGCGGTTGGTCTGACCCTCTTCATCCATTATGGGCAACTGTGTTGAGCGTCTCCGATGGGACCAGCTGTACGATAGGATTACAAAGGATGGAACCCTGGAGGGAGAATCAGGGCGGGTGGGCGAGCAAGATTGGCGAAGGGAAGAAAGGAAGTGAAGGGAATCGAAGTGGGTGTCGTGGATTTGATGCACCCTCACTGACCTCAGCCTGGCCAGCAGACAAAAAAAATCCAGTCATTGCCGGCAGCTGTCAATGAGCTCTGCTACCAAATGCGCTGCCAGATGCACGGACACTCGGGCCAGGTCTGCGGCAGGCAGGGGTCAAGATGGGGGAGCCGGTCTCCCCACAAAATTGGCCCTTTGGTCGGGCGACTTTTGCCAATCAGTGCAGCGGAAAGACCCTGGCCTGGGAAAAAATGTCGAGAACTTATTGGGGTGAATAGTGAGCCTCACAAAACTGTGTCCATTTAAACCCACTCTACTCACCACACCATCCCCTCAACACTTCCTTGTCTTTCCCCCAGGACTGATCGTCATCAATCAATATCCTGTATCTCCTCCTGATACAGGACCTATCTGCTCAGGCTCTTGTCTTTGGTTCCAACTCCCGGTGGATTCACCATGGCTGACACCGCTGCTGCCCCGGCGCCGACCAGGCCCACCAAGCCAGATGAGGCGCTCTTCCACGAGAACCTCGCTAAGGCTGACAAGGAGCACAGTCAGGTCATGGCCCAATTCGTATGTCATACTTCAACCCCGTCAGCTTTCGTATCTGCCGTTGCTCTGCCGCGGAAAGCTCGATTTCCCGAGCTCACGCGGCAAGGTCAGGCATGCGGGACCCCGAACTGGATCATGCAACTAACCTCCAGCAGAATGCCATCAAGCAGAAGATCGAGCTTGCTGTTCCGAACAGAAACTCGGAAAACCCCACCTCCAAGCGCCGAAAAGAGCTTCTGGACCAGATTAAGGAAATCCAATCGAAACAGGGTGCCGGCAAGAAATCCCGTAGTACAAAGCAGGATGAACTCGATCGTCTCGAGGCGCAGGTCAAGTCCAGGCAAAAGGCCCAGGAGGTTGAGATTGGAAGACCATTTACCAAAATTTGCGAAGACCGTCAAATTAAAAGCGAAGAGTTGACCGGTAACCTCGGGGAGAAATTGAACCAGGTTCTGCAGACAGCCCAGGCCAGCTATGATACGCAGACGCTCAGGCTCGTCGAAGAGAGGACCACCGTACAGCATATGAACTCGCTCAACGGCTTGATCAGACAGTACATCAAGTCCCGGGAACAGATTGACGCCCTGAAGGTCAAGATCAAGGAAATCAAGGACGGCATGAACGATCCGGAAGCCAAGGAGCTCAGCGAGAAATACACGAAGCTGCAGACCGAGCTGGACGCCATCAAGGCCGTGCAGGGTGAGGCTTCAAAGAACCTGGACTCCCTGTTCAAGGAACGCTCAGAGCTGCAGAAGCAGCAGAAAGAGAAGTGGGAGGCGAAGAAGAAGCTCCAGGACGAGTACCATCAACAGAGGAAAGCTTTCCAGAAATACGAGAACGAGCAGAGGCAGAAGGTCCGGGAGCGAAGACAGGCTGAGAATGATCGAATCAACAAGGAGCGCAAGCTGGAGCGCGCCCAGAAGATGCTCGACGAGGCTAGCGACCCGGCATACCTGGACGAGATTCGACGCGCCAACAGCCTGCTCCAGTACTTCGACCCGTCATTCGTTGCCGAGAAGGCTCCTCTTCAGACCAGCACCAACCTGCAGGCTCAGGCAGAGCGCAAAGTCGACGGTTCTGACCTCAAGGGTGTTAAGATTCTGAGCAAGAAGGACCGGGACGAGGACCTCTTCCCTGCCCAGAAGAAGGGCAAGAAGGGCAAGAAGCACAACGCCGCCGCCACGAAGTCTACTTTCAACTGCCCGCCCTCCGTCCTAGAGGACTGCGCCTACATGGGCATCGATCCTCCTATGAGCGCCGATGAGGTCCCTGGCGTTATTGAGAAGGTCAAGGCCAAGCTCGATCACTGGAAGGCGGACCAGGCGGCTCAGACTCAGAAGGTAAGATGCATCCAGTCGATCTTGATCATGTCCTACTGTACTAACATTTCTGCGCTAGAACATCGAGAAAGCCAAGAAGGAGATCGAAAAGATTGAGGCGGAGGAGGCCAAGGAGAAGGATGGTAAGAGGTCCTCTTCTGGCACGGCCACGCCCAACGGAAACGGTGCCGCCTCCAACGGGGAGAAGTCCGACGATAAGGTCGAAGGTATCACCAAGGAGGTCGAGGAGGCTTCCATTGAGGACAAGCCAGAGGAGGTCGCTGCCGCTGCATAAGCAGGCTCCTTATCAAACCACTGGCTTTCATCGCAACCATATACTTCAGTCTAATCCGTAAGCAGCGGTTCGGATTGCGACAGTGATAGCCAGGCTGGACGGGCCGCGGGTCCATTTTGACCACTCTTTTGCCAGTTATCGAAGCTCGAAAAGTTGCTGGCCATCGGGAAGCAGCAAGTTGACTTGCACAACGGGACCGTGGGAGAGTTTTCATTAATAATACAGATGAGAAGCGTCTCTCTTCTGGCATGCATGCGTCGTCTTCCTCCTGTGATATTTGTGCACATTCGACTGCAACAGTATACGCCTGTCCATTACCAAGCATGCTGAACGGGCCCCGCTACAATAAGCCAGATGGGAAGAGCAGAGCCGTAGGTACACGAGGCAAAACTGACCGCCCAGGCTGATCCCTACCTGCGCGGGCCGAAGATAGTTCCACCCAGGCGCACTTGCAAGGACGAGCTGGTTGATCAGCCAGCACGTCTTCGACATCAGAAACCAATAGGTGCACGCGAATGCGACTACGCGGCTTGCGCGGGTGGTAATGGACGATTCGCCGCCATCTTAACATGAGCATGTCGGACTGAAACCGCAACGAGGGTTGTCGAAAAGGTGAAAATACTAGTAGACTACAAGATCGCCGAGAAACGGCTCCCAGAGCAAGCTTGGGGTAAATGTTCTTGATTGTCCAGATATCTGCTTTGGTGGTGAGCTTCATTAGTCCCAGGGCGCGCCGCCACCTTGTGGGTTTGTAGCTCGACGTCCCCCAGTAAGTAGCTAGCTGCACGATAGCCTACTCATCCGCCCGCCGCATCTTCCCCGTCTGGACTACTTCAGCACACCCTCCAGCCCTTGCTCGAAAAGCTTTGCCAGTCTCCCATCCACCTCCCGTGACCAGATCGGAAGCGCGGCGAGATATTTGAGGACCGTTCAATAGTGTGGTTCATGGTTCTGTCCTGCCTCCGGATCCAATTCCCACTTTGGTGAACGCGACCACAGCCATACACCCCCGAGAAATTATGGACCGCTCGTACAGGTGTATCCAGAGAAGAGCCTGAAGGAGCCAACAAGAGACCCGATTGGGATGCTCCTGCCCATCCCGATCGCAACACCATGGTGAATCAGCAGATGAAGCCCACGACCTAGTAAACCCCACCAACAAAGTAGAAAAAAGTGAACAATGGCTTGTTCGTATCTTCCGTCCCGTTTTGGCCGTAACAGGGGCGCGGGAGGGTCAAAATGAAAAAGAAACGCATGTCTTGAAGAACACCGTCTAAATGAACACGTTCTCCCGCTATGCAAAATGATAATATGTCGGTGGATGTCTCCGCAGCGAAAAGAAAAAGGAGGAGAAATCCTGATATGCGTATCTCAGTGTCATTCATGTAAATGCTTTTGAAGATTTCAAGTCTCGGTCATGGCTTCGTCGCTCGTGAAGGTGAGTCGAATTAATTGTGGAAGAAATGCGTTTCGTTCGAGGGCAGGATGATCCTTGACACGAGCAGCCTCCCAGCAACCGCCGGTCTCATCCGTAATACGCCGGGGCGCCGTAATAACCCGGTGCGGGCACAGGGCGACCGTACGATGCCGAATGCCGCTGCTCTCTTCCGGTCGGCCCGGGTGTTCGCCGGTCGACTCGTGCCGGGCCTGCGATTGGCGGGGGAGTCCTTCTTCCCATGTCCATGCTTGGACCGGACGCTACGGTCGGTGCGAATCCTCCTGATCTCCGGCTGGCCTTTCGACTTCCATTGAGGGCTGAGAGGGGAGGGTCCCGGACGGCCGGGTCATCATCCGGGGGAAGCGTAAGTTCGACTGGGTTCAATGTCAGTTCCACCACTAGCCCCGTAGGTTCCTTCCCAAATATGGGGAACATACCAAGGCTGTAGAAGTATTCTAGAACCTCCGGGTACCTCTGCACTGAAGCCTGCCAGTCCTCATCGATGCCACGCTTCAGGGCTGCCTGCGCCGCAGCAATCTCGTTGGGATGTGGCGGTGCGTGGTAGAAGTGATACGCGTGACTGGTGATCCGGTCCAGGTGAGCGGTGTGAGCTTGTTTCCGCCGATCGGTGAGCAAGCGGAAGTACTCAAGGATGTAATCTTGTGCATGTGCTCTGACCCATGAACTACTCGAGAGAGTTTGTGTCAGTCCACTCCATGCCACCGAAATGCCCAACCTGGATTTTGTTCCTTCAGGACATCCTAGGACTGTCGTACCGGATATCACTGTATATAGACTGCATCATGCGGGCCTCGGCCTGCCGGATGGCTGTTTCGAGGCCCTTTGCCTCACAGTCACACGCAGCAGTTGCTGGAGCATGACATATGGCGCAGTCCGGATCCATCTTCACTGGTGGTCCAGGAAGAGGATAGTATTCCCTGACATGGTACATGATTTAGTCGAAATACTCATACAGAAAATCGAGGTCAGAGTTGGGCAAAGGCGGCATAGACTGCAGTGGTGGGCAACAAGACCAGACAAGAATACACAAGGACGAGGCTCTCATCAGGGCGGCGAGACGATATCATATCATACAAGGGTGGTGGAATGAAGCTTGGGGATATCGTAACAACCAACTCCTACAATCGTATTCTTTCATTGTAATATCCCGGCAGGAGACATGGCCAGAAGAACAGGGCAACGTGAAAGAGGGAAGAGACAAGGAAACATAAGACGGAAGAGCCTGGGAGTGTGGGGAGGGGTCGAGGAAGAGATTGGGATGGGACGAGAGTACTCAACACACAAGGGACGGGGCCATTACAAGAAACCACTGACCTTCCACAAGGAGGGAATAAATCCACGGCGGTAGGTAGGGCACGCAGAGGAGCAGCCGAATCAACTTGGAGTCAATGCAGGCTGGCTGCAAGACGTGCAGCGGCAACAGATGACAGACACGGATACACAGGAGGACAACAACGTGGAGCTACCAGCGTGTTGGGCCGGCTGTGTGGAGAAGAGGTCGGTGCATGTGTGCACGACGCGTCCAGTACGATGGTGGAGGGCCACTGGAGAGCCGTCGTTACATGGATGGGTGATGAGTGGTCGAGTTGAAGATTATGGGGAGAACGGGGCAGTCCCTCTTTGGCTCGATCAAGCAGCAGTAGTGTGTAGACTGGAGAGGCCCGAGGGTATGTGGTATGAGACGGAGTACCAGCTGCAGGACGTGGAAGAGAGATGGCCGCTTCTTCCGGCAGCGACAAGAGTAGGAGAGAGTAGCAGCAGCAGCAGCAGCAGCAGCAGCAACGGGGAACAGAAATCAACACAAGCAACCGCAGGAAAAGGCGTGAGGTGATGTGAGGCAAGGTGGTCGACAGTGTAGGGACAGTTGGGTCTCGTGAGGAGAGACGCAGACGGACGCTTGGGTCGGTTTGGGTTCCTCTGGCTCTGGGGGGTTCGGCTCGGGAGGTCCAGGCTCGCCCACATTAGTCTGGGAACCGTATGTCGTGGCTCGAATGCGGGCTACAGAATTTTGCGACTCTCATGCAGCATCCAGGTCGTGACTTGCAGATGTCCAATAAGACAAAATCCCCGTTGAGACTTTAGGCTTTCGGGCGGGCCCCAATGCCACCTTTTCCTCACACCGGGGAACCAAGCTGCATCTTCCAATCTGTACGCCTCCCACCGAACGATCAGAAGGACAGAAAGGCCATTCGCATTACGCCCAGTCACACAGCACGCCTAGCGATGCTGAGGTGGACGAAGTGCGTGGGAGATCCGGGCAGAAGAGGAGGCGAGAGTCGCTGACTGATCATGTGTGTGAGGAATCATTAATCATTCCGAGACCCAGGGATGGGGAGACTTTGGCGAGACTCTGGGGGTTCATCTGAACCCCTGACTAGACACCGGACGAGACCCTTCAAAGCTCGGCGCCGCCCGCTCTGAACGCACTCAAGGTCAATCAGTAGGGAGGGCTCTTGGTGCGGCTCGTCCTGGCGAGCCTGGCCAGCCTGACTCCCCGTCCGGCAGCCATCGTCAAACACACCGCCACAAGGCCGTCTCAAGGTGGTACAGGCTGCGGCCGCATGACGGGCCATTGCCTTTCTCCCTGCTCGTGTCCCCACTGAGGTGCCTGAGTGCGGAGCAAACGGATCTCTTCACGGCGAGAGAGCGTGCTTCTGCTGTAAGAGCCGCATTAAAGGAATGGCTGGGCTGTGGGCGGGCCTGCTGTTGGCTGCGGATGGGAGTCCCAAACTGGGAAGCGCCGCGGCCCGAAAGTCCTTCTTGTCCCCCTCTCTGTGGGCAGATCTGCACCGGGATTTCGCACGAGAGACGGCCGGCAAATTGTTGGGGAAAATTCGAGATTATCTCTGCTGATGGTTGTCCATCCTTCGATAACAATGTGGTTCGAGGAAAAGGCCGTTGCGTCGATGGATTCTGATCATGCACGTGCAAGTGGAAGGCGACTTTGAATTGAGAAGTGGAGAGGCAGGAAGTCCATTGCTTTGGAGCTGCCCCACCCCAGCCGTGTCCCTAGTGCTGTCTTATCTTATCGCCATCTCCAGAAATTCTTTCTGGATGACCTCACCCTCGAAGTCGACGGCTGCAACTACCTAACTCAATTGAACTTTTTTACTGGCAATGACCTGACTTCGATATGGCTCCGCGATGCTCAGGCGGATCACCACATTTTCTGCCTTTCTTATACCCCTCATTGTTCCTGACTAAGGCCTCAGGAGCGTCTCGCCTGGCCACCACAGCAGTGCAAGTTCGACACCACATTGCCGAGCCAGCGTCCGGCGAGCCAGCATCCTCCAAGCTTGACCCACGGGCTGACGACTATTACGTGACAAACTTTGCCGACAAAGCAAAGCTCAACATCTACGCTGGCGCGGGCGGCGGCGGTTGTATCAGCTTCGCTCGCGAGGCCTACTTGCCCGATGGCCCGCCCAATGGTGGTGACGGAGGCCACGGTGGCAACGTCTACATCCAGGCAGTCCACGGTGAAACATCCTTACACAAACTAGCCCGGAGGCGATTCATCAGAGCGACGAGAGGGACGAATGGGCAAGGGAGCAACAAGGCAGGAAAGCGTGGCGAGGATGTCATCATCACAGTGCCCGTGGGCACGGTTGTCCGCGAGCTCAGCCGCGAGGACCCTGAGATCGAAGAGCAGTACCGTCGGCGGTTATACAAAGTACGCAAGGCCCTACCGAAGCCGGAGGACAGCAGCCCTGACGGCCGGAGGGAGGGACTACCCGAGGAGCCGGAGTACGATAACCCAGAACTGGACAAGTGGATCCTGTACCCTGGTATATCGTCGTCCGAGAAGAAGAAGATATTCGTCCCCGATCTTCCCAGCCGGGACAAGCTCTTTGCCCAGCCTCCAGCCCCGATCAAGCTGGACCTGTCCAAGCCCATGGCGCGGCCCATCCTTCTCGCAGCCGGTGCACTCGGCGGGCTAGGAAACCCACACTTTGCCTCTCGCGAACGGCCCCGGCCGCTCTTCGCCACAAAGGGTGACAAGGCCATCTCCATGCAGATAGAGCTGGAGCTGAAGCTCCTTGCAGACGTCGGACTTGTCGGCCTCCCCAACGCCGGGAAGAGCACTCTCGTGCGAGCCCTAACCAACAGTCGGGCGAGGGTAGGCGCTTGGGCGTTCACAACGTTGCAGCCAAACATCGGCACCGTGGTCCTGGACAACAACAGTGGCAGGCCCGTGGTCACGAGCTACCACCACCAGGACGTGCAAGACAGCTGGGAAGGCGACACTGAGGTGGTACAAAGGACGAGGTTCACCATCGCAGATATCCCGGGACTGATTGAGGGCGCCCACCTGGACAAAGGCCTAGGCATTGCATTCCTGCGACATGTGGAGAGGGCCGGTGTCCTAGCATTCGTGATTGATTTGAGCGCGGGGAATGCGGTGAAAGCGTTGAAAGCGCTCTGGACCGAGGTCGGATTATACGCTCAGATGCGCGAGGAAGAAGAGCAAGACAGGGAACGTGAGGCAAGGATCGAACAAGGCCTTGGCCCTGAGGCTGAAGAGGAGGTATCATCGCCGTGGGGGCAGGACTGGCCTATCCATTCGGAATATCCTAATGAGCCAGCCAAACAGACAGGCCTGAACATTGCGGCTAAGCCATGGTTCGTGATCGCGACCAAGGGCGACTTGCCGGATACCCAGGAGAACTTCAAGGAACTGCGGGACTACCTGACTAAGGTCACTGGCGGCGACGAGCCCCATCCGAGTGGCATTGATGGCGCTTGGGTGAAGGACTGCGCGGCTATTCCGGTCAGTGCACTCAAGGGACAGGGCGTGGACAGAGTCATCCACTGGACTGTCGGATTGCTTGATGGGTGAGAGCATACGGTGGTTCGATGCTGTAGGATTGTACTGTACTATGCGAGAGAATGTCCCAACGCTATGTCAAACTTCCAGGCCTGCAGAACGTCTGTATATGAATGATTCGGCCAGCAGGATTTCCAGTAGAACGCATTCGTAGGGTGTGTATATTGTCATCCACGGTTAAAAATACCATGAGGTCTTGTCTCCTTCCCCACAGGGCAGTTAGTTGTGCCACCAACGAGACCGGAGCTCATGGTGTGCGAATTAAAGGGACCGTGCGGCTATCAACACCCCACCCCCACACTCTGTCAAGCTCCACCCCAAAGTTCTCAATTGCATTTTCAAATTTCTCGTCGCAAACTTTCTTGCCTCGACTCGACCACAGCTTCTCACAGAGCCATTTCCGGAAGCCAATCCTGACAAAATGGCAAAGTTCAAGGTATTCCTCAGCCAGATTCCATCTCGAATGCTATGTCAAGGCTTGCTAACTTCTTCAGGGTCGCGGAGGCAGAGGCGGGGGCAGAGGAGGCGGCAGAGGTGGTGGTCGTGGTGGTGGCGGCAAGCGGGAGAATCGTGAAAACCGTTACCGCGCGGACATCATCAAAGAGCATGAGAAGATGGAGCACTACTACAATGAGCTCCTCGAGCTGAAAGATGAAGAGAAGGTGGCTTTCTGGGACGCACTCCGTCGAGAGCTGCCCAACAGCTTCAGATTCTGCGGCTCGAAAGGGTAAGTTCCGTTGCGCTGCCATTGTTGAGCGCTGAGGAAACTGACAATCATTCTGCAGACATGCACTCACTGTCAAGCGACTCCTCGAGAAACGCTACATCCCCGAGATCGTCGAGATGACCAACTACGATGGCATGCCAGTTGAGGCCCCCCAACCTGTGCCTTGGTACCCCGACAACCTGGCATGGTGGATGACGACCCCCAAGAACGTCATCCGCCGCTACCCGCCCTTCGCAAAATTCCAAAAGTTCCTTGTGTCAGAGACCAGTGTTGGAAACATCAGCCGCCAGGAGGTCGTCAGCATGATCCCTCCCCTGCTCTTGGACGTTAAGCCGGGCCATGTCGTTCTCGACTTGTGCGCTGCGCCTGGAAGCAAGGCCGCTCAGCTCCTGGAGATGCTCCACCAGGGAGAGGAGGGCCGTATACTCAAGGCTCTGCAGATACACGCAAACGAGGATGGTCGCGAGGTTCCTGCGTACCCCGGCCTGGATACCGTCGATATGGAAGTGGATTCGAAGGATGATGGCCGTGCTACCGGTCTCTTGGTCGCGAACGACATGGACTACAAGCGAAGCCACCTCCTGATCCACCAGCTGAAGCGGCTCTCTTCACCCAACATGATCGTTACCAACCACGATGCGACACTGTTCCCCTCGCTGCAGCTTCCGTCCGAGAACTCGTCACAGGTTCAGTACCTCAAGTTCGATCGCATCCTGGCTGATGTGCCCTGCTCTGGGGATGGCACGCTGCGGAAGAATGTCAACCTTTGGAAGGACTGGATCCCTGGGAACGCCCTAGGCCTGCATCAGACCCAGGTCAGGATCCTCGTCCGTGCCCTACAGATGCTCAAGCCTGGAGGCAGAGTGGTCTACTCAACGTGCAGTATGAACCCTGTTGAGAATGAGTCCGTTATTGCGGCGGCTATTGAGCGCTGTGGTAGCGAAAACGTCGAGATCTTGGATTGCAGCAACGAGCTCCCTTGTCTCCAGCGCGTGCCCGGAATGACAAAGTGGAAAGTGATGGACAAAGCCGGCCGTATATGGAATGACTGGAAGGAGGTCGAGGAATGGGTTGAGAAGGAGAGCAAGGACGGCCTCATTCCTGGGAAGCTGGTGCCTACCATGTTTCCACGCAAGCAGGACGAGGACACCCCAGCGATCCCACTGGAGAAGTGCATCAGAGTGTATGCGCACCAGCAAGATACCGGAGGGTTCTTCATCACCGCATTGCACAAGAAGAAGGAGTTCAAGGCCAAGCCTGAAAATTGGATGTCATTGGCAAACAAGGCATCAGAACCTGCGGCGACCCAAGAGAGCGAGCCACAACCGGAAGATGGCGCCGCGACGGCAGCGGCTCTCGTCAAGGCTGAGGAAGAGGGATCCATCGAAGCCAAGGTCGAGTCATCTGCCAAGCCTGCAGATACAAAAATGGAGGATGACGTGGAAATCAAGACGGAGGGCCAAGCAGCCCCCAGCGCTGGGTCAAGCAGCCCCCTGAAACGCGCTCGTCAAGATGACGGCGACGTGCAGCCTGAGGCTAAGCGTCAACAAACAGACGCTGCACAAGCACAGTCGGACGTGCCACCTACGGGCTACTACGACGGTGAGAAGGAGCAACAACCTCCGGTCGAGCACAAAGATACGGCCGAGCAGCAGAAGCAGGAGAACGGCGATGCCACCCAGCAGAAGGAGCAAACGACGTCTGATGGGTACGGTGACAAGGCTGCCAAGAAAGAGAACAAGCAACCATTTGAAGAGCCGTTCAAATTCCTTTCACCAGAAAACCCCGTTATCAAGAGCGTGCAAGAGTTCTACAAGATCTCACCCCGCTTCCCGACGGACCGCTACATGGTCCGTAACGCAATGGGCGAGCCAGCAAAGACCGTCTACTACACCAGTGCCCTCGTCCGGGACGTCCTGACAGCCAATGAAGGCCGCTCAACAAAGTTCGTCCATGGCGGCGTGAAGATGTTCATGAAGCAGGACGCCCCTTCGGCCGAAGTTTGCAGGTGGCGCATCCAGAGCGAGGGCATCCCCATCCTGCAGGGCTATGTCGGGCAGGAGCGTGTCGTGGTGCTCCGTAACAAGGAGACCTTGCGTAGACTCCTGATCGAGATGTTCCCGCGCATTGGGGACGGAGAGTGGCAGAAGCTGGACGAGATAGGCGAGCGGGTGCGCGACGTGGGCATGGGGTGTCTCGTGCTGCGCATCGAGCCGGACGGCTCCGATGAGGACTTCAGCGAGAGGATGGTCCTCCCGCTGTGGAAGAGCTTCCATTCCCTCAACCTCATGCTGCCAAAGGAGGACCGTAGCGCCATGCTGCTGAGGATTTACAACGACACCACTCCGCTGGTGAACAGTATTCTCAAGCGGGACCAAAAAGCAGCAGCTGAGAACAAGACTGAGGGCGAGAACGGTACCGAGGCGGAGCCTGAGGCCACTGCTGAGACGGTGACTGAGGGTGAAGCAGCCGCTGAGACCGAGGCCGGCAACGATGATGGCGGCGCTCCCGTGGATGCCATGGAGGAGGATACGCCAGCACCAGCACCAGCACCGGCGGCCTAGTTGGCGCCTAGCTTCTGCGGCTGGTAACCTATCAGCACCGCACAGGATATCTGAACCTGTTGGACATTTGTTTCGAAAATGGCGTTTTGGCTTAAGGAGATGTAGAAAAGTTTGAGAAAATTGAGGCCAATTCACACCCGCTTGATGCAAGCTGGTTCGTGCGAAACTCGAACCAAAGAGCCGCTGGATGTCGCACCTGACTTCCAGCGCATGGGAGCTTGCAACTGATGATCGCATGACTGCCATGACATGTATGCTGTGAGATGTAAGATCCGCGGTAAGTGAAGAGTCTTAGATCCTGCCATACAGGTCGAGGGGAATAAAGATGCCAAAGTGCAGCTTGAGTGCTGTCTGTCTCAAGCGGAGTGAATTAAACCCGGTTAAGCTACAGATGCCTTAGACCAAATAGGCCAACATCTACGCAGCACACGCCTCACACTCACACGCTCACACACACGATGATACATACAACTCATGTACGTACTGGACTACCATCACTGGTTCTGTTCATTGCAAAATCAAATTCAATACACATTAGACCGCCATGATGGGCCCCTTCGGCACTCAGAACTTAGCCAAACGCCACTTCGAATACAAACAATCACATATTTGCCAGACCAGGTCTTTCTTGCCACAATTCACTACTCCAACCCATTTTGAGCCCGGAAATATATCAAAGAACTAAAAGCGTTCCGACTAGTGCCAACTAATAGCCGCCCACCCCCCGTGGGAGCCGCAAATGCTCCCGGTCCCGTACGAGAGCTGGTCGTCAGCCAGCGCCACGTACACCGGCGCAATCTCGGCCGGCTGCTGCACCCTGACGATCGGCTCCCCGACAGGGATTTGCGCGTTGAGGTCCTCGGGGGTCAGGCCGCCGTACACGAGGAGCGGCGTGTACGTGTAGCCGGGCGCGACGCCGTTGAGGCGGATGCCCTGCTTTATGAGCTCGGCCGCCGCACCGCTGATGAAGCTCCGCAGGGCCGCCTTGGAGGCCGAGTAGGCGACCGAGCCCTGCTGCGAGATCAGGCCCGCTACCGACCGAGTCGGTGACGACGATGGAGGACCCTGGGGGTAGGAGCGGAGCGGCGGCCTGGGTGATGTGGAAGTTTGCGTAGACATTGACCTTCATGATGTCGTCCCAAATTTCCGGAGACAGCTTGGTGATTGGCTGAACCGGCCCGATGCCGCTATTATTGTATCACTTCAATCGGTACCTAGTTCAAAAGCCAGTGCATTATTATCTACGAGATTTAAACTTACCCGGCGTTACTGACGATCAGATCCAGGGACCCCAATTTCTTGCGGGCCGTATGGACAAGCTCATGACAGAATTTCTGGCTTCTCAGGTCCCCAGGGATCCGGACCAGCTTGTGGTCTACACGAGGGTCCTTTTCCAGGAAATCGGCCAAGGCTTCGGCATCCTTCTCCTCTTCGGGCAGATAGTTGATGGCAACCTTGGCACCCTCCCGGGCAATGGCGACTGTAGTATCGGCGGTCAGCTGTCAAGTATAAAAGAACAAAGGTTTGTAGTCAAGAGATAGGGGTGGAACGGAACGGCATCTGCCAATGGCCTGCCTCACAAGTAGCGAGACAGCCACAAATACGGCAGATGTGAGTATCACGAGACGAGAGAAAGAGTATCTTCAAGCTGCTTACTGACTACTGCCCGCCCTATTCCCGAGTCACCGCCCGTGACGAGAGCGTGCCTGCCCTTGAGGCGCCCGCTGGCAACGTAGCTCTTCTCGCCGCAGTCAGGCGGTTATTTGAAGCTAGTCTGCAGGACTTGCTTCGGGTAGGTGTTGGGTGGCAATTCGAACTTGAAGTCTTCATAGCGGGTGAGAGGGTTAATAAGCTTGTGCTTCTGCTGGGTGGACTCCATTGTGGTATCTGGCTGTGTCGATTTAATATACTGAGTAGATGGGCGATGAAATGTTCTAGTAGTTAACAAAGAGGTATGTATGGAATCATAGATCTCTGGTCAAAATTTCAATCAGTCCCCTTTTATACCTCTGGACCTACGAAGAGGAAGACGTCATGTTGGTCTTTGGACAGCAATGAATGACGCCTCGGTCATAAGGCAATACTACCGAGCATCGTCATTGCGAGATTGTTTGATACGGATTGGATAAAACCAAGAGCTCAGGGAGGATTGTCAAGTATCACACTAGAATGATCGAGTTGCTTACTTCGTGATCTTTTCATATCTTGTGCTTGGTTGCGTGAGATGAAAATCCCATGCTCGTCTGATTTGTCTTTTGTAGCCAAGTTACACACCACCTTCGGAAGAGCGAAAACGGAATCATCTCACATCACCGAAGGGTGTTCAGGTCAAATGCGTGATTAGATCAAGTTCATTCCAGCCGGGGTGATCTGTGGAGAGAATCCTAATGCCACACTCGTCAATTGATACAAGCTATGTAGCGATTGGTCAAATCTAACACTCAAGCTTGGAACCAAATAGGAATCCAGCTGCAGATGATCACTTGTACCGAATTTACCGATGACTTCTTCAATAGCCCATAATCTGACTTACGGAACAGCTTACACGGATTAATATTCCCCCGTAATACGCCGCCGGTAATAAACCAATACAAACATGATTCCCAAGCAAGACTCGCCGATGCTTTCGGGCCCTTGCGTCCTGTCGAATACTTTTCTTACCCCTCACTGGCGGTGTTACAAACGCACCTCAGTACAATACAGCCCACACTGGCACCCTTGTCACGATGGCGACTTCGTTCACTGTGCCAGAAGACTTTGGGTCTGTTGAAGCCTATTTCAAAGCCCGCGAATCGTTCATCAACGCAGAGCGAGCTCTGGGTGTCGAAAGCAAGGCGAACAGGTCGGACCTTGAGGCCCAAGCTCAAGAGATCGTGCAAAGGCTGAAAAAGTGGGAGGAGTACAATCATCATGGTATGCAAATCGACGGCTCTGGCTGCGAAGCCGGTCACCGATTTCTCCATGGTCAGGATGCTATTGAGAACAGCAAACTTTTCAAGATTGCCCAGAAGGCACCCAAAGGCTCACTCCTACATTGCCACTATGACTGCATCCTGCCGCCGCAGACCCTTCTGCATGACGCCAGGAAGCAGGACAGACTACATATCAAAACTGATTGTCCATTGACCACGGCGGGCTTTTTCGCCTGTGCGCTGCCACAATTCTGTGTACTGCCTCAAGCTGCAGACTTGAGTGAGACAACAAACTTGTTCAGCAAGGCCTACGTTGCTGGATCGTGGATGAAGTATTCCGAATTCCTACGCTTGTTCCCAGGTGGCCCGGAGAGGGCAGAGGCATGGCTCATTAAACAGATGGTGATTACCTCGGATGATGCATACCATCCGCGCCAGACCGTGGATGGGTAAGCCGGGCTCGAATTTTCCTCTAAATCAACCGACTGCTAACTCGTGGCAGAATTTGGAGGGAGTTCATGCGCAGCGTCATGGTGCTGCGCTCGTTGCTCTGCTACGAGACTGCATACAAAGGCCACTTTAGGAGGATCCTTTGGAGGTTCGCCGAGGACGGCATCTCTTATGCAGAGATCCGACTCGCCATGAACTACATGTCCACTATTCAAAGCGATGACGGCACACGCGAATATGGGCACGGAGAGATAATGCAGATGCTGGCCGATGTGCTCAAGGAAGAGACCCCGAAGATACAAGCGTCAGGACTCACATTTTACGGTGTGAAGGTCATCTACGCCGTTTTGCGCTCAGCCCCTAAAGAAGCTATGAAGTGGTGTATGGACACATGCATTGAGCTGAAGCAGCAATTCCCTGACCTGATTTGTGGTAGGTGTCCTTTTGGTAATTCAGTCTTGCGCGTCGCTAACAAAGACGTGACAGCTTTCGACTTGCAAGGCCAGGAAGACCCTGGACATCCACTCACGTACTGGATCCCAGAGCTTCTTGAAATGCGAGCCAGGATCAGAACATTAGGCCTTGATCTGCCGTTCATCTTCCACGCAGGCGAGACCCTCGACCATGGAGGCGATACAGACTCGAACCTCTTCGATGCCATTCTTCTGGGAACAAAACGAATTGGACATGGTTTCAGCCTCGTCAAGCACCCTCTATTGATGCAGCTTTGCAAAGAGAGAAACATCGCGATTGAGACCTGCCCGATATCAAATGAGGTTTTGGGGCTCTGCCCAACGACCAAAACGCACCATCTCCCTGTCCTGTTATCGAATTGTGTCCCTTGCACTATCAACAGCGATGATCCTGGATCCTGGGGGTTCGTCTTCTAGCCATTGAGATGCCCATTCCGATGAAGCGGTACATGAAGCTGACAATCATGCAGAGCAAGCGTCCTGTCTCACGACTTTTACCAAGCCTTGATGGGAACCAACAACTTGTCTCTGCTTGGCTTGCGGGTCATTGTCGAGTGGAGTATTGAGCATAGCTGCATGAGCCCTACCATGAGGGAGAGGGCCACCAAGGACTTTGCCGAGGCCTGGGTCAAATTCTGCCAGTGGATCATCGACGCCCACGAAAAGTAGTAGTCGAAAGAGTAAAGACTTGAAATAGTCTGAAAGCAAAGCATGCGATGGCGTTTTATTGTGAACGGATTGGCCCACGAGGATTAGAGCTGTTCAGGTATTCAACACGGAACAGCAAACACAGGATGCGTGGAAAAGAAGCAATGAGGACGAAGACCGTTTCCATTTCAACACTTGGAAGTATTGAATGGTGCAAGAGAATTAGAAAGATGCATTCTCAGGCTTCCCAAACGATGACTTTTTCCAAACTGCCGCTCTATTTTTGCAGACTTTCCTCCCCTTTTGGTACTACCCGGGCTCAGAAACTGTGTCTGTGTAGTCATATGATGGAAAGCCTACAATATTCTCACAGTCATAGGCTTATCGTATTTGTTGATTCTTGATGAATTTATTCAACAATTGTACAGCTTTCCACGCGTGTGGATGTTGAAGCTTCAGGCTTGATGTGCAGAAATCTCAATCTGAGCGATCCTCAAACTATTTCATTGCCTAATTTACAACATTGGCTGGTTCATCAGCTACGAACGCCGTGCGGATAGCTTGTTCAAAAGGTGTTCTAGATATCTTGTGATCCAGAGTCGCCCTGCCGCCCAGATAAAAGCACTTTCAATCCCAAAGCGTGTGCCAGAGCGGCTACCTTTTGGCCTTAACATCGTCGGCAACACATTGCGCAAGAAATTACTTTGAGATGGGGTATTTGTCTGGGTGACCGAACTTACTCAGGACACCCCGGTCGTTGGCGAACCAGAGATCTGTAAAAGTCGAGTCAAATTAAGCTTTTGCGGGAAGACCCGCTTTAGATCAAGTGCGGCAAGAACACAGTGTGTGTGATACCTTCGTTTAAATCTCCATACTCATTGACTGCATATTCTGGTCAACGTACAAACAATGGCAGACGGCACGCTACCATGCAGGTTTAAGCACCATGGAAGGGTTGTATTTGCGGAGCCACTTTAATACTGTTCGGTATTTGTTTCTTCGCAGTGATAAAAACTGTCCTACATGTTACTTTTCTTCGTGAATAGTCGACACATACATGCAGCTACGCATTGCTTGTTTTGATAAACGCAATGCTCGTTGAAGCTCCTGTCAGCTCTTCTGATATTCGTACGAATTAAAGACCAAGAGAAAATACGGAGGGTATTCAATCTCCTTTGCGAGTAACTCTCCTGGAGCCATGTAACTCGCAATTGCCTTGTGATGCCGCTAATTGAATACCTTTGAGGCTTTCCAAAATACGACAATGTGCTCGCAGTCCCTTCTTTACTAGGATCAGATCGTTGCAAGTAGATGATTCAGCACTGGCTAGGATGGAGTGGACAATATTGACGATTATGCATTTTTCTGCTCGTAGCGATCTGCGACACTGCATCACTTTGCCAGCCCAGCCCAGCCCTGTCCGGTAATCTGAATTAGGAGTTATTGCGCATTGTTTGAGCTGAAATGGGAAGCTCGGTGCTGTCTTGGTCGTGAGTTGAATGACTAGAATCAATCACGAAGCCAACGGACCCGAATTATCGTTGGGAGGAAATTCCGATCGTAACTCCGGGTGGATTTCAAGGCCCCGTGCAAGGACTCCACTTCTCGCCTAATGACTGGCCGTCGAATGCCGATTGCACAATCGTGAGAAAAGTGGCCGTACAGCGCAAGCAAAGCGCGTCAGAGAATCACCTTGGTTGCCCTCCCCTCACCCATCAGGTTCCGTCGACAGTCTCCGAAATTCACGCCACGGCGGCTTGCGATCTATCTTGCTGTTTCATGCCCACCACCATTGTCAAGCAAACCAACGGACATAGCCACCATGTTCGCCCTCCACATGCGAAAAGCAGGCCAAAAATGAAGCTCTGCTTCACGATCAAACGAATCTTCTGCCCCGGAAACAGCTCCTGATCGTCTTCGGCACAATGGCGTCGGCATTTCTGGTAGCCTATGCGGACCAGAATGGTATTGCAGTGGCTTTGCCTACCATGGCTAAAAGACCTCAACGCTGCGGACACAATCGCCTGGGCTGGCACGTCATCGATGATCGCAAACACTCTTTTTCAGGTCCTTTACGGTCGCCTGTCGGACATACTCGGGCGGAAGGTCATCTACCTCTCGGCAGTCGCCCTCCTCGCCGTAGGCGATATCCTTTGCGCAACGGCAGTCAACGCAACGATGCTCTGTATCGCCCGTAGCCTTGCTGGAATCGCTATAGGGGGCGTGTTACAGTACGCTATATAGGTGATAGCCACGGTAATGCTCTCGGCATTACAACGTCCCTCTTTTGTGGTGTTTTGGCGCAATAGGCTTTCTTGTGCCGTAACAGGGCGTTAACTCCCTGACGATGATGATTGTCTCAGAAATCGTTTCGTTACGAGTGCGAGGTCGCTACCAGGGAATATTGGGAAGCTGTATCGGCCTTGGGAACACTATCAGGCCCTTCATGTCGGCCGGGTTCACCCAGAGCTCGAAAACTAGCTGGAGGGGCTTTTCCCTCCTAATTGCTCCCCTAATGGTCTGCTCGGGGATTGCCTCCTTCTTCCTCCTCCCGCCAACACCTATGCCAAAAGGTCAAGCTCTCCAGAAGGCTCGCCTTGTCGACTGGTGGGGGCTCGTCACTGGGACGGTGGCCATTGTTCTCCTCCTTATCCCGGTCTCTGGAGGAGGATCATATTTCCCATGGAGCTCGCCACTTGTTATCTCGATGCTTTCTATTGCAGGGGTTGCAATAGTAGCTTTCATTCTGGTTGAGTGGAAGGTCTCCAAGTTGCCGATGGTTCCGATGGTTCCCATGAGGATGTTCAAAACACCAGCAGTGGCTGTGATTCTGCTACAGAACTTCCTCTTTGGTTACGTGTACTACTCGGAGCTTTACTACCTACCTATCTACTTTCAGAATGTTCGCCGAGTGTCGCCTATTGTGTCAGCCGCATTGTTGACCCCACTGGTCATTGCCCAGATGATATTTTCGGTTGGGTCCGGGTTCTACATTTCCAAGTTTTCCCGGTATGGTGAAGTCATATGGGGTGGCTTCGTGTGCTGGACACTGTGAGTTCTCCTTAGCTGGTGTCCTGATCACGACATGGAAAATAGTGACTAACACCGTAGACTTCTGTTCAGTGGATCAGGTCTTCTTTGCATCCTCGGCCAGGGCTCCAACCTCGCCGTGCCAATCATTGCGCAGATCATCATTGGCGTCGGCGTTGGGAACGTGTTCCAGCCGTGCCTCGTAGCGATTCAAACTCATTCGCCAAAGGCGCTTCGCGCCGTGGTGACCTCGAACCGCAACTTCCTCCGCGCTCTTGGCGGTGCGGTTGGCCTTGCCTGCTCAAGCCAGTTGCTACAGTCGTCCTTGCGCAGAGCTCTGCCGGCCGAGCTGAGACATCTGGTAGCTCCTTCATGCAAGTTACCTGATATCGACAGTCTTCCACCCAGCCAAGCTACTGAGGTGGAGGCGGCGTACGCTCAGGCAAGCCATGATGTATTCATCTCCATGGTCCCAATTATGGGCCTCTGCCTGGTTCTCTGCGTGTTCATCAAGGACCACGGCCTGTCAACAACGGAAGTTAAGCCAGCTGCTCAGGACCCTGAATCAGCTCCACCACAGCAGCAGGTACAGGTACAGGACTCTGGCAAAGACGTGAGCCCCACGGACACTGGAAGCGCCGGAACCGACTCCGAAAGTGGTGGAGGGAACCTGGCAGCCCACGCCAGTCAACCAAAATACTAGCAGTGGGGTTCATTCACTGCAACCTTCCTCATACCGTGATTTGAATTGTCATCTCGGGAATTTCCAACTGGAGATACTAGACTACCCAAGTAAGGGAACCGCCCTAAGTACACACGGGGCCGCTAATCCGAAAAGAAGACAACAGAAAAGGGGGGAAATAAAATGAACCCTAATATTACAATGAAAGAAGACGTGGTATGAAACCCAGGCTTGCACTAAAAGTGAAATAGAACCTAAATAATGGTAAATAACAGCTAAAGAGTGAATGAGTCGACGACAAAAGTGGAAAGAGGAATGTGGAACAATTTGAACACAAAGCCAGACAATGAGCAAACTAGAGTCAAACATCATTCATTCAACCTATCGGTTTCTTTCTTTTCTTCCGCCTCCCGCGCCCAGCATCAGAATCTCCTTGCTCAGATGCAGCACCTTCCCGTGCCGGAGTCGCAGACTCAGAAGTTGCCACTTGGCCACTACTGGTGGCGTCCGAACTGACGCTAATTCGAAGCTGACTAGCACTTAACGACTGCGACTGACTTGCGGGTTGCTGGCCATTTCTTGCGGTGTTTCTAGGAGTCTGCGACCCAGTAGTTCTCGCAGAGGCTGTAGCTCGCTTCTGCTTGTTGGTCTGAGCCAAATGCACCAGGCGTTCGTATAGCCCGTGCGAGTAGAAATCATCCCTTCGAGGAAAGTCTGCTTCACAATTTCTTCGGTGCGTCTGGAATTTTCCTTCTACCTCTTTGATGGCCTCCTGCAAACGGACTCCAAGTTGTCCAACGCCGTACCCGAGCAGAATCTTGGCGAGCTCTTCCACAACCTTCTGACGAGCGAATTCGCCACCACCGCCAATGGTCGTATAATCGGCGAATTTGAATTCCAGTGGGTACCCTTCCACGATAGGGACCATGTCTGGGTCTTGATGGCAAGCTCGATGAATTCGGATCTTCATGGCCCCGGCTGTTGCGACGACGGAGAAGAACCTGACCTCGTCAAAGAAAATGTTCCTATATTTGTCCCCGTTCTCTATGTCGTTTCCTCTCTCATCTATTCCCATGTCGGCTTCCCTGAAGAACTCGTACATATTGTGTAGTGCTTGGCTTGCGTTGTTCAGGCTCTGGTAGATGGCAACCTTGTCGTCAACGCCCGTGTATGCTCTCTTTGCCTCGATTGTCAGGAAGTGGAAGGCCCGGTAGGTGTCTTCCCCACCAATACCTTCGTAACACATAATCTTCCGCGTTGCGGAAGGAAACACCTTCCAACTGTGGTCTGACGTGAACAGGGTTTCCCGTCGGAAGGCTATAGCAAGGTCCGGCATTGGTCGCGTGAGTAGTTTCTCGGACTTCTTTGCTGCCTCCGTAGGCATTGGCGGGCAGTTCCAGATGCTTTCGACTGCAAAGTCGAGTAATGGCTTGTTGGCACTGTTTTCGGCGGAGATAGGCAAAAGCTCGCTCTCATAAATGAGACGGCACCGGTCGATCATGGCCATCAATATTGTGCGCTGAAAAATCTTCTCAGAAAACTCATCCGAGCATTTTTCCAAGTCATGTGTCCAGAGCCTGTTCCGATACGCCGTCACATCCTGGTTCTCTTCTTCGGTTGCTGTCACAAGGCCCTTTATCTTCTGTTCAAGTGGGTCTCTTCTGGGTTCTGTGGGCCTTGTGTCCACGTTGCGGTACTCCTCAAGCCCTGTTCTGAAGACTTTTGGTTGCTTCGATGCTGATACGCGCCCGGCGTCTGTGTCCATATCTGGAACTGATAAGCTTAGGAATTCTAAGACTTCAATCGTGGCGTCGTCCAGCGGAGGTAAGTACCCGATCCTCTTGTAAAAGGTCTCCAGATCGTCCTCTGCGTCAAAATTGGAGTCTTCTGTTGAATCGGTTTCGGTGGGGCCCCTGGTAAGTTCAGAAGTTCTGGACCTTGCTTCGGCTGTTTCCACAGTTGGGAGTACACTGTGATCCTGCTCCAAGCCGGTGGCAAACGGGGCAGTCTGCACTCTGGCCTCGGCCCGTGTTTTTACAGTCGGTCGACTTCCTTGGGATTTCCCACTGAAGCTGCCTGGGCCGCCCGGATCCAAGAGGTCGCCTGGCTTACAAGTAGATCTCGTTACGCGACGTGTGACCCCCGGAACAGGCTGCGATACTCCTTGCCTGGGAACTGATGGTTGACCGCCGGGAATCAAGTCGACCTTGGCAGCAGCCGCACTTTTTCTTCATCTCAAACGTGAAGTCAGCGGTGATGTTATAGATAAATCGATAGTAGGTAACAAGGCTGTGAGAGGGGATCAAGGGCGTGACTCACCTAGGCATTATAGCGCTGTGCTTCACGACGGAGATCTTGATGTAAGTAAGCTTAACCTCTGTCAAGAACCCCTACTGGAAGGAACGCCTGAAAACAAGCCAGCGCCTTGTTACTCTATTGTAGCTCGACTCGCAGCAGGCTGGGCCCCTCTTCTGGTCTGTCGTTCTGATTACGAGGTTACCCGCAGGACCGGTGAGGAGTCTCTATATATCTCGATTGGTGCATTCCAGTCATGCAAGTGCTTGCCGTACGATTGCCTGCAGAATTAATATCAGCGAGCGGGACGGAGGCATGTGCAGAGCCACTAGAGCGCTTGGTAGTGTCTGCTATTGGCCATCTGATTCCGTGCCCCCACGTGGTGAACCAGAAGCGGACGAAGGAGCGCGGAATATGTCTCCTCTCCGTTCTGCGGGCCGATCTCGTACCTGTCTTTGCTTTGGTGGCAGGACGGGTATGAATCTGGTCATCCATGTCAACTCGGGTGGTGCAGAAAACGAGAATTTGGAGATCGTACACTGAGCAGTGACGATAGACCGTCTCCAACGTGTGCGGATCAGGTTGCAGCTCGGGTCATTTCCGGCGCCTTATTGTCACTAGTTTACTGCGTGACCAGTCCGTGTGTCCATTGAGAGGGCACTAGAAGTGTGGTCAAATTAGTAGTAAATCGGATGCAACATGCCGGGAACGTCATTATAGATCATCTTTGAACAAATGTATGTCAATGTTTGAACCAATTGAGATTGAACAGTTCGACTTAGACCCACGTGTCATAGCAAAGCCTTTAAAGACCATTCATTCAACGGGCTACAACATTGGTGCACAGTGGGATCACTCCACAGCTTCTGAATTTCACTATATTCCCACGTCTAGTGGCCTATATACTTTATGAGAAATGCACCTTGAATGCAGTACCGACAACAATATCATTATTTGGTGCCACAGTGGACAAAATGATCATCGAGGCTCAACAAGGTCGTAGACTCCCAAGTCTGGAGCTCCTAGACGCCTTCCTTTGCCAGGCTTAGCGGTTCATGAATGTGATCATGTCATTATGGGGACTGCCGTACTGGAAGTCCATGACCTTATGGGCGACGTTGATACCGTGGATTGTATGGCAGGTTAGTCGACAGCTCTCACTGTTTTGAGATTGACGGAGCACCATTGTTATTCACCCTAAAACGTGAGGATGACATATTGACGAGCCACGCGAATAAGAAATCAAAGTTCTTGTAGGTAGTTACCTGCTCAGATACTTGGCCGGGCTTCCGGAGCAAGTCCCGGCATTGCCCGTGATATTGGACCTCATCAGATATTGCAACTTAGCGGACCGGCCCGAATCTTCATGACAGCCCCGCGCCTTTGTGGGGCAAAACGTGGAGTAGGTGACAGAGAGTGCAACATTGGTGTTGATTTCAAGTGCTGTATGTCTATGATTATCTCTTAGTTAACCTAAACAGTCGTCGTGAGTAGCCTGGCGAAATGGGCCTGACGGTGCGCTTGTTTCCTGGTCTATATAGCCAGGGAATCCTGCATTGGGGTTGTCCAGATACTTCGGACGAGCGAGTTCATGCCATCAAATGGTATTTATTCATTAGTAGTTCCTTGTTCCCATGATCAATCGCTATGGCGCTGAAGAGCCTGTTCGTCTTCGCCCTCTTGTCATGGAGATCACCAGGGGTTCGCCAACTGACAGACATGAGCTCCAACGCCAAGACGCAGTGTCGTTTGTTCACCCAGGCGCACTACATACTATCAAAGACTTCGAGAGAGTCCAGCAACATGTGAGGGCCAAGGAACAACCTTGGTACAGAGCCTGGCAGCACCTGGAGTCCACAAAGCTGGCCCAGACCACCTGGGCACCAACGCCCCAGGAGATCCTCGTCCGCGGCGCAAACGACGCACTTCCGCAGAATTATGGATATGCATACCGTGATGCCCACTCCGCGTACCAGCTCGCCCTCCGATGGCTCATAGGGGGCAACACGTCCTATGCTGACCACGCAGCCAAGATCCTGGACGGCTGGGGCTCCACCCTGGTCGACATCGACGGAAATGAGGACAAGTACCTGGCTGCAGGCCTCTACGGGTACCAGTTCGCCAACGCAGCTGAGCTCCTTCGGGAGTATCAAGGCTGGCCTAAGACTAAGCAGAAGGCCTTCGGTGCAACTTTGAACATGTCTTCGCAGTCCACAACAGGGATTTCCTCGACCATCATAACGATAAGCAGGACTTTTACTACGCGAACTGGGATCTGTGCAATATCGCTTCCCTGATGGCGATCGCCATCTTTAATGACAACAAGACCATGTACGACTACGCCGTCAACTACTTCAAGGACGGGCTACCTGGCCAGCCTGAAGTTGTCGCAAACGGCGGCTCTGCCGTATTTCTCCATTGCTAACTTCACAGAGGAGGGAACTGATAAGACGCTTATGCAAATGCAAGAATCGGGGCGGGACCAGGCCCATGCTCTTCTTTGCATCTCTCTACTGGGAGTCATTGGCCAATAGGGTTGGAATCAGGGAGTGGATCTCTATTCGATCTACGGCCATCGGATCCTGAATGCGTGAGTTCTCACTTTCAATCATGACAACTTTATGGGGCGGGTTGCTGATTCATGCCATAGTGCCGAGTATGTTGCCAAATACAATACGAACCACACCGTACCATATACTCCCTACCGCAGCTGGGAAGGCGTGCTGGAAGTCGTCTCCGAGAAAGCCCGCTTCGACATCAGACCTGGGTACGAAGCACTTCATGCACACTACAATGCAATCAAGGGTCTCAACGCGTCATGGTCGTTGGAGTATCGTGACTTTGTGAATGCAAACCTGACGGGGCGGATCGAGGGCGGTGGTGGTGATTATAGCCCCAACTCTGGGGGGAATGACGCGCTGGGGCATTGTACTTTGATGTATCGTCTTAAAGACGACTGACCGTTTTCTGAAGACATAAGAACTGTTTCTGATCGCGCGAGATACAGCAAGAATACGAATTGCTTTTTAGATGAGAACCAGGTCTTGGAGGCCTGTTTCGCTGAAATACGAACTCGGCTCGTACCCTCCGTCCTTCTCCCGTAGACCCAGGTACTCATCACACTCTTGGCCCATGTGAAAGGCCAACTCGAGCGTGCCGGATCGACGAAACGTGTTCGATTCCTTTGGCTCTGCAGCCTGTACGAGGAGGCCATGTACACAAACACACTCGGCCAGGGTATCATACCGTCTGGCTAGAAGCAGCATGTGCGTGGGATCACCCAAACGCCATGCCTGCTCTCGAGGAACCTTGTCCCTCACAAGCCTTGCTAGATCCTTATTGTCAAACGTGAAGTACGTCGTCACAACCCATTCCTTGTGCGCGTCAAAGTCGTCCGGTAACTTTCTTAGCACTCCTTTGATCGCGAGCCCGCGCACGCCAGACTTTTCGAAAGATGGCGATTCTAGATCAGATTTGAATCCTGGAATGTCAGACAAGACTCTGAAGCTAACACCTTTCAAAGGCTCGAGTTGTGACACCTCTTTAGAAGAGAGGCTGGTGTCAGCATTCATAGATGCCCAGGACCACGAGGGTGCAAGTTGCTCGCGCTTGATAGCTTTGCGAACCAAGATGTGGCGTTCCATGAGCAGTGACCGGAGCAGATCCCCTTCCCAGAACCCGGCAACGAAGTTGTCTTTGATGAGCTCACCCAGAATGCGCGCTATTCCGGCAACTGCTGGAAGGCGGTCCAGTTCGACGGTCATATCCATTCCCGCGTAGCGGTTGAGGAAGGTCCTCCAGAATGAGTATACGTCTTCCCGCTCACTTTGCGTGCTCAGAGAGCGTATCCGGTCTCGTCCGGCGCCTTCCGTCTGCTCCCAAACACGAGAGCCGTCCAAGAATGCTTCACTGGCGATGCTTTCGTTGCATTCCCAGTAAATCTTTCCCGGGGTGTAATGGATGACGGCTGGCGACAAAGCTCGCTCCTGGGCTACCCAGCCCCGACTGTTCAGTGGGCTGTAGACGACTTCGCGTGAGAACTCTCCATGGCTTGCTGATACATAGAGACCTTCGAAAACACCTTTCGAGTCAAGCTTCTCGGCGAACAGCTCACAATGCAAGTGCATTGGAATATGCACGAACGAAAACGCCTTCCTCTCGCCGAATAACCCTGAAAGACCATCTTTGTAGCCAGTTGCTGCAATGTTGAATTCCCCGTTCAAATAAACGTCTCCCATTTTCTTCGCCTCGTCCGTCCAATCCTCCTTTGAGTCTTGGATAATGCAGAGGGAGTCGATCCATATATAGTTGATACCGAGCTCATGTGCGACATGGATCGCGTCTTGAAACACTTTTGGCAGCTGTCTGATCGGTATCGCTTGGCTGAGCTCCTGGAGGTTGTTTTGTAGCAACCTGAAAATCACACCTTTACCCCAACAATGGCTTAGTGTGACATATGGAGTGGAAATCGGCAAATCTTTTGTCTTGCATATTTTGGCCGCAAGGTCTGTTGACTGGTTGTCAGGTCTCCAGATTTGAACCAGCCGGGTTGGAAGAAATCTCGATTCTTGTCTCCAGTTCCGGCAAGTCGCATGGTTTAAACACTGCTGATACCAGGATCGGGCTACGGCGAAGCTTGTTGCCGATTTTGCGCTGCTTGTCCTGAGCGCGGGATCTGCCCCAGATAGATTAGCTGAAGCAGTCCACGATCAATGGCATTGATACCTTGACATACCTAGGAACTCTGGTCCGAGGCCCAGTTTGCGTGCAGGATAAAAGGTGGCGTTGTGGATACGACTGGCATCCTCACAGATATCAAAGGTGCCATGGTCGCTCTCGCATTGGCACAGAAAAAAGCTCAACGACAACGCCGAGTCCATACGGCGCATTGTACATTTGATGGTCCAGAATCTTTTCTTGACTAATGGAGGGTTGGATCGATGGCAAAAGTCCTCCAAGGACTGCGCCACGGCCATGCACAGACGGCAGCCTTCGTCGACGGACTCTTGCAACGTATCCATATACAGATGATGATCAAGATAAGCGCCAGTATGGCCTGTCTCATTTACTTTCCAAGTCAATCGTTCGAAGCTGCGACAAGAGGAGCAGAGGCTCGATGCCATTTGGCTCAACGCACGGGACATATCTTCGTCTAATTGCCCCGTGGAATCGTCCTCATCCGTGTCAGTGTCGGAAAAGTCTTCAATGTCCGATTCAAATTGATCTCGCATCATTATTTGTTGATCTATGAGGTCCATTTCCTCCGATCTGAACTGTCTCATGCGGTCTCTTTCTTCTTCGAATCGTTGCCTGAGGTCTATATCTTCGATGAGTTGATCAATGCGGTAAATCATTTCGTCGTCGAGTTCATTCAGGCGGTTTACTTCATCCTCGAGTTCTTTCATGGAGTCATCCTCATCCGTGTCAGTGTCAACAAATTCTTCCACGTCCGATTCGAATTGATGGCCACGGGGGTCTATGTCATCAATGAATGGATTCATGGAAGTGTGCTCGTCCGTGCCTGTGTAGGCGTTCTCTTCCTCGCTCGCTCTGTAGACGTCTTCATCATGGTCCACGGTAGTTGATGTTGATGCTGGAGCAGCCGATGCGGTATCCATCTAGTACTGCGGGATTTGCCCTGGCGTCCTGTGCACTTGATTCCGATTTGACCGATGGAGACAGCGTTGAACAATTCATGTAGGTGGTTTGAAGTATTGCTCACGCATGCAAACTCGCGAAGCATTTACGAGACGTTGTGCCTGGAACCTTGTGTGCGAAATAATGGATTACCCCGCGCATATATGAGAATCAGGCAGAAAACTGCCGTTGTCATACAAGAACAGTGGGCCTATTTTTGGACCCCAACGTGGCACATGAATGGGGCGCAGGAGGCCCACCTCCAGAGACAGAATCTGAAGAGATTGGAGCTTTCTTTTTCCTAGGTTAGGTAGCGGAGGGGAGTAGCCTGCTCGTATCTCTAGATAGAGGCCAGTAAGTGGCTACAGACAAACAGGGTCTCAATAATAGCGACGTGCATTATATGCTACAACAAGTTGTTCAGCAATAAACATACGAAGCCCCAGGACCAAAGTTTCCTCGGAATTCAGAGTGAAAATGTACTTTAGCCGGTCAGACGGTGGGGATCATCTCTTTTGTTGAGATTTAGGTAATTCTGGGTTCAAATACTCTTTTTCTTTTCATATAAGACCTTTTCTTATCTGTTTGGCCGCTTTTCTGTACAGGATCCCGTCCTTGAGGGGCGTGTTACAAGATAAGTGGGCTTATTGTTAGGCCACCAGACTGAGCCCAGTGGGGCCCCCTCTGGGGACAAGTACTGAGGAAACCAGATTTTCCGTTTCTGTCGACTTTTCTTGTGACAGCAGTGACTGTTGGCCAAGCCCACCCCGCAGATCACATCCTTCGTCCCACCAACGATACCCTGAACGGGTGAACAGCCCAGCAGCGAGCACGTGACATTCCCCATGCACGATCGCAATGGCGAAATGCTGTTTAGACGTCAAGGGTTTCAGCATAGCACATTGGCCTCTGGGTCCTAGGATTAGCAAAATTGAAGTGCAAAGGGGGAGGATCTATTTCAGTCTGCTAATTGATCGCGTAATTTGGGCCTCACCATCAGCTGCTGAGCTCAGCGTCTACGGACGATCTAGGCCGTCTAAGGAAGATCATGCCCCGAAAGACTAGGTCAATAGTTCATGTCCCAGACACATCAGAACTCAGACCTCTCTCCCGGGACGGTGGACCCTTGACATATTTTGGATATCCATGTCGATCCCTGCGACATGCGTTGTTGGAACCAAGGGCGCGGCCAAGGGCAGTAGTGACCACGCAGTAAATTTGAAGGGCAATGGAAGTAGAGGCAGGTCACAGAGTTCTGAAATGTAGGACGAGCCATTTGTTTGATTACAAGCAAGACTTGCGGTACTAGTGTTGTAGAGTTTAGAAACCGTTGATGGAAGGGGTTCTCGTCTGTGCTCCAAAGCCGAGCCCAATTCTGCTTAGTGATACTGTTAAGCATTCAAAAGCCCGATGTACTAGCCATATCGACGACCTCCGCAGCCTACTGGGCCGCAAGTACTGGAGGCGTCGGGTAAGTGATGTCAAACCAAACCTGCAGGGCAGATCCCGACAGCGCCTCCAATCCTTGCATAGCACCCTTCGCAAATCTCGCTCGCAATCTCATTCTCACCGAGAGCTCCACCATCATCGGGTAGTCGAAGATATGCCTGCGAGCTTCGGCTTCGCGGCAGACACCGTGTTGGAAGACCCAAGCCAGCTCCTTTGCCGCCAATTCTTTGACTCCAGGAAGACCACATCGGAAAATTGGCTCTGCGGCGATCGTTTAACAGACGTGGATTGAACCGATATGAAAATCTTAACAACTCTTGATTGGAGAATGCGTTGTGATGGTAGGGGCACTGACCAGATCTAGACACAAACTTGTTCATCCATACTCGACGCTCGGAGTCCCTTGCCTTGACAGCCTCCCAGGTGTTGAGACCCGGCATTTCATCCTTCTCAATGCTGTTCATGGCGGTGTTATATATGTGACGACTCAGAATCTCTCCTTTAGCGATTTGGCTGATAGCTATTACGATGTCAGCGCAATTGCGTCTCAAGCAAAAAGATCGCAGCAGGGTCAACTCGCACCAGCAGCCACAACATCCTCTGGCTTGTCGAAAATCTCCAATAGCGGGTCAAATTCGGCCACTTTCGCTCCTGCCTGCCTGAGAAGCACGTTCCTCGCTCGCTTTGCAAAAAGCCAGACCCTCACAGGAGGAAGACGCAGGTATATGTCATCGAGCATCCGGCCACATTTCTGCCTCAGTGGTTCTGGTGCTCCTTTGGTCCAATCAGCAAGCATCATTCGCAGTTTGAACATGCGGATAGATTGTTCGATATTGTAAATGCGCGCATCCAAGGTGCCCCCTTGTGGGAAAGGATTATTAGCGAGCGTCCTGCAAGAATAGGAAATCATCAACTTTACCAAGCTTCGTATATAGACTGAGGAATGGAGTGGGTGAGGATTCAGTCATCGCGGAATCACGGTCTATATCCTTAATGATGTCGTCCATGATCATTTGATATACTGAGTGCAGAACGTCGTTGTGCCGTTTTCCCGTGGTACTCATGGACTTCGCAGTCGGAGACTCTTCCCAGACCGGCTCTGCATCGGACCCCAGAGATTTCATAAGGGCGGACAGTTTTTTGAGCATTGTGACTTTCGAATGCATCTCTTCCTGTGTCCCAACGACGTTCTTCCAAGTCTGCGACGTGTCTGTCATATACCATTCCAACGTCCTGGTGAAATTCTTTGGAGAGGCGAACAAAACACTTGAACAAGCGCCGTCCAGCACGAATGAGTTGATCTTACTGACGTGATCGTTGTTAATTCGGAAGAACTTGAAGAAAAACCCGTCTCCACCGGACATGGGTGCGTTCGGCTGGAGCTTTCTGAGTTGCCCATCAATCAATTCAGTGTAGTTGTTTCGCGCCTTGGCAATGGGAAGATCAGCAAGCCCAGATTGACGACCAGCTCCGAACCATTGATCAACAGCAGCTGATCGCCACTGGTTTCTCTCTTCTCGGATCTCATCATCGAAGTCCTCCTCTGGCACAGGGAGGAGGTTGCTCCTGAGTACAATCACAACCTTCGGCGAGATCGGTGCGAAGTAGTGGAAGTTTACCCAGGGGCCACCCGTCTGTGCTCCAGTCGTTGGGTCGACGAGGAAGGAGTCGATCCGTTCGTACACGCTGTAGCTATTCTCAGCCAGTATGAATTCCGCATCTGCATCGGATGGAGAGCAGAAAGCCATGTATGACTGTTGGGTGTGATGGCAGAACCACCTGGCGTCCGGTGGATACATCCTCGCCTGGATATCTTCCATCCACTGACCGTCGGAATCCATGTTGCATTCCGCAATGGCTTTGAGGTTATCAAACCACACATCCATAGGTCCGTCGAATCCTCGGTCGAGCATGTACTGGTACAACTCAATCTCATCATCCGAATTGTATTCGTCAGGTGTAGCGTGGTGGAATCTTCGATGGGACTGGGAGCTGCGGTACATTAGCAGGAATAAAAACCTGCGCAAGATATTCCTATCTTCTCGCGATAGCCAGAGTCCAACGTCTCCTTGTTCGACCGCTTCGATGATTTTGCGAAATATAGGACTCGCTTCCTTCTCCAGGCCTCCGAACATGTCTTCAATGTGGCGTCTTTGCTTGGCTGTCGCTTGTCCCAGGTCTTCGTACATATTGTACATTCCCATGACGCGCCTGACCGGGATGACCTCTACGGCCAGTTCGTCGGCTGTGAGGTTCACATGGCTCACGATCGGCTCCCCGTGGTAAATCCTCCGAGCTTCTCCATGGCCCTGCTTCGGCTTTCGCCCCGAGCTGTTCTTTGGTTGCTTGTATTTGCTCGAGAAGTTTCTGAGCAGGAATTGTGGAACGAAATGCTGGTATTCAGCCTTGGCGCTACCCGAAGGGAATGCCATCGTGTCGAGTGTCGGCTACCCGACCTAGGTGCGTCGAAGGAGGTTGCCAAAGCAACTTTCGTGGGCAAAACCAGGTTGTCTTTCATTTCAGCCTGAGATTCCTAGTAAGCACCCCGCACGTAAAGACCAATCCTGAAATGCAAAGTGTTTGTGCGACGTTGTTCGCACGTCAGCCATTCCTACTAGCCAGCATTCTGACCACATGCAGTGCATGTTGTTTCCGCATTTGTGTATTCGTGTCAAAAGTGTGGCGATGGTTTAGCCACTCCTCCGGAATGAGAATTCCCAGCACACGTAATGACCATGCACTCGTGTAATTACTTACTTCCTCGTTGTATGTAGAAGTTTGATCAGAGCGAGACGCCTAGATTCACCTATTTGGGGACTGGGGCTGGTTGTGTAAGGAAGAATGTGTGGACTCTATCAAACCGTAAATTTGATCACCTCGAAAGTCTGTATGCGATTTTCGTGCGCTGGTCCAAGCAGACTGTCAATAAGTTCATTGAAGTCAGCTCCGAGCTATTTTCCGTCTGGCTAGCTGGAAGGAGGTTTGGTCTACTGCTGGAAAAGAAAATCGTTCAAATTGACAAGCTTTCTTTGGATCCCAATACACTCAGTTGGGCGCAGAATCATTTTCAAAACACGCTTAATCAAACAATATCCAGCCGCGATCTGGTCTCGGCCTGTTGATAAATGATGTGGTTTAGACCATTTCCGCCTGGCAAGAAGAGGGTGAAGACGACTCTCATAGCTATTCAGGCAGTATGTTACCAATAGTGTATAAGCACTCGGAGAGACGCGGGGGGGGGGGGGTTTGCACGAAGACGATCCTGACAACAATCTCCAGTCCCTTTGAGACTAGGACCCTGGCAATAAGAGACATGCCTAGGACGCACAGCTGGACACTGGGACTGGCCCAGCCGTCACGGCAATTCGGCCTCAATAACACTTTCAACCGCCATCGGGTGCCTCGAGATACCCGCAATCCTCAGGCCACAGCCTTCCAATAAGCTCTCCCAGCGCTCCTCTGTCCTTTCCAAGGCAGACAGGACATTCATCATTTGCAAGTCCAGGGAAGTCATGAGGCTCGTGGCGCCCCTGGCCGGCAAGACAATCTCGTAGATGAGCAGCTTCGAGTAGCCCCTCTTCATAGCCCCCTTCACGTTCTCAAAGATGCGGGCGCAGTCCTCGTCCGGCCAGTCGTGGGACACGGCGTGGAAGAAGTAGGCCCGGGCGCCGCCCAGGGGCTGGGGCTTGAAGAAGTCGTGCTCCATCCTCGTGATGCGCGGGTCGAGCTTCTCCTTGGCCCCGTGCGTGTTGGTCACCTCCGGCAGGTCCTGCACGACGAGTCCTACGTCCTCGGGGAGGTCTGGATGTCTGGAGAGCAGGCGGGCTGTGTCCAGGCCATTTGCGCCGCCGATGTCGACGAATAGCGGTGTTTTCCCAGTGAGATCGGCGCCTTGAACCAGGCCTGTTGTGTCGTACACCTCTGTCCAGTCCATCTTGTGGTCTCCCATAGCAACCATCGAGCCGAAGAAGTTCGAGCCCGCGGCGTGGTTTTCCTGTAAATAGTCAAAGAAGACGCAACCGAATGTATCGACATGGTTGTCGAACTTCTTGGGGTCCAGGGGCTCCCTATACTGGTTCTTTTCCAGGAACGAGGGCAGGTTGACGCCACAGGGGTGGAGGTGGCTGAAGCCGCTTCGCACCAGCTGATTAGTGTACGTCGACTCGTCACCCATGGCGAGGCTGAAAGACGTCGGCTTCCACTCATCCACCGCGGTCTCTTCAAGCACATGAAGGGCGGCGAAGTGCCTCAGGAATCGCCCTGGAGCAAAGGCTTGAGCTCGTATTCACTCTAGGACAGAAAACGAAATTCTGACCCAAACTCACGGAGGAGATTAGGCTCGGCTGGAGCACTGCACATCTCGACGATTTGGTCGGTAGATAGTGGAATCGGGCCACGGCTCTTGTTGAGCTCAACCCACTTGGACCATATCTCAAGGTCGTGGAAGACTATCAGACCAGACACAAGCACCGAGGCCTCCGAGGTGAGAGCCCACCCCCGCTCAAAGGGCGTCTCCAGGCGGGCGAGAAGCCTCCGGGCAGCCTCCTTGGCCTCATACCGGTCTGCGTCTGACTGGAAAGACTCTGGACGGATATTGTCCAGGAGCTTGGTCGTCTCTGAGAGATAGGTGGCCATGCGTTTCCGGGTGGGTTGGATCTTGCGATCTTGCGACGTGGATGAGGTCGGCTGTTAGGTAATTGTGACAAACCCCGGTTGCGAAGCGAGAGAGGACGGCCGTCCACCTTTTGGGTAGGATGATCCGAGGCAGGCCTGATAAGATGCGGTGCGAACACGCAACCACAAAAGGGCTTGTGCATCCACACGTCTGCACCCCGTCTCTCTCGCCTTGATCTTACTGCATAGTGGTCACCTGCCAGGATGCAGTATGCGAACCCGTCATCTTTTGGGCCTGGACGGTTGCAGCGCTTATGAACATAATTGGTAGAAGACAAAAAGACAGAAAATAGGAGAAGTCGCGTCTTTTCTTGCGCGACAGATGAGCACGTTTGAGAGAGTGTTATAAGTGTACACATAAATAGATTACACTTGTACTTGTCTGCATGAACATGTATGCCTACGTCTGCGAACATAAGCATTGGTTCAAGGTCACATTGATGTCTGGCCTGGACAGACAGATACTACTGTAATGCTGAGAGTTCGCCCCTTCGTTGCTACTGTTGGGTGTGGGTGAGGTTTCAGTTGGTTTGTGTGGTTTCAGTGGGGGTGAACATCTCCATTCGTCTGATAGCGGGAACCTTCTTCGGGACAAGCCTCTTGCCGTAGACGGCTAGGCACGACGGGATATGGGGCAGCGGAGGGGCTTCCGCGGGCATCCTGGCTCCTGGTATTCCCACAAAAGCAGGAGAGGCACGAGCTGAGGAGGAGGGAACAGGCAGGCCATGTACTGTAAAGTGGCCCCGGTTTACCCGGTTCCCGGCTTCCCCTCACGAACTGGTGCGCGGTGCTCGAGTCATTTTCCTATTCCCGACCGTTCCCCTTTAATCCCGCCCCTCCTCGCTGGGGCCACACGGCCAGTCGGACTCCCTCATCAGCCAGACAAGACGTTCTCTCCCACCCGCCGCCCGGATTCTCCAGCTTGTTGCTTATCGACCTGCCTGCTCTGCCCTCATCCCGTCTGTCTCATCTCGTGCCGTCCGAACTCGTCTGGTCCGGTAGAGTCCTGATTGACGACAAACGACCTTGTTCCCAGCCAAGGCCGGTCGTGTCCGGTCACATGCATTGATTGAAAAGTAATTGCCCGGCCACAGAGTGGGAATAAGCTCACGGCGACCCGAGCAGCAACCTCCGACCCGAAAACACTCGTCGTCCACCGGCCCCCTTCGTCTTATTCCCGGCCTGCCACCGCCAAAGAGAAACCTCCGTCTAACAAACCCACGCGAGGATCCGAGGCCACGGACTCGGACTCGGAACGGCCCTGTCCTTGGCTCTGGGAGGGCTCGTGCTACCTAAGGCGACACTGATTCATGATCGACAGAATTGAGTTTGCGTGAGTGGATAGGGCCAGCCGTCAAGCCGGCAAGCCTCCGCGATAGTACCCAGTGCCAGTGCCGGCGTCGCTGTCAGTGTCAGCACCGCACCACCACCAGCAACAGCACCGGGCGGTGTCACTGCTGCTGTCACCGTCACTATCACCTCCGGTGTCACCGTCCCATCGGGAATCTCCCGGCCATAAGGAACGATGGACCGCCCACACGCTCAAGCTCATCCTCATCCACATCGCTACCCCTCCCACTCCAAGCCAATACACTACAACAGGGTGCCCATTGGCGGGCCGGATCGCCCTCCTGTGACCCAGTCCCCCAGCCCAGGCACCATCTACGCGTCGCCCTCGGGCGGCAGGGAATCCTCCTCCTACCCCATACCGAGTAATGGCTCTCCTAAGCGAGAGCTCGGCAGCCCAGATATTAAGAGGGAGTCCGGGGCCCGGGATGACTCGGACCAGACTGCCGACCGCTCGAGCATAGCCACCCGCCGGAGCTCCACTGCCTACCCCGACGTCAGCAACGAGGAACTAAAGCCCGAGGATGCGGCTGATGAGCCCCAGAGGAAGAAGCAGAAACGAAACAAGCCGACGCTGTCGTGTTTCGAGTGCGTTGAGAGGAAGACAAAGGTAAGCCTGCTTTCCCCGGCTCGTTTCAGCTCGATTTCACCACCCGTGATGAGCGCTCTGCGACGCTTTCTCTTCTCACCTGCCTGTGCCCGTTCAAAACTATGATACTCAGTTGCTCTGCATACTCTGTTTGACCTGGCCTCGCACTCTTAACAGTTGCTCAATCTTGTCAAAAGAGCCTGTTGGAGCTGTTGCGAGCACGGAGAAGGCGGTTTGAGAGATGACGTGCAGTCCAGCTTGAGGGACCTGGCAGACGAGATCTTCATGATCCTACCCTCGGCAACACTGTCCTTATCTTGTTCATCAAACAGTCCACTATTCTTCTGTGTGCCCGCACAAGTCACGTAACTGATCCTCCTTTAGTGTGACCGAGGCAGACCTCATTGTCTGGCCTGCATAAAACGTCAGACTGAGTGCAAGTATGCCCACGTCGCCAACCTCCTCGAGGAGACCTCACGGTCACTTTCCAGCGGCCGACGGATGACCAAGCCGCCCAAGAAGAAATCAGGCCCGCCAGGAGACCCCAGGTCGCCCATACCAAACATCGCTGACCGTGGCGTGCTGTCCACCACCAACCATCTCTCCAAAGCCGCCGTCGCCCTGTCCACCGGCCTGCTCTCCACCGTGCCCTACTCCCTCGGGACAGGGTCAAATGTATTCGGCGTGGGCTCAGCGCACCCATTCGTGAACGTCTGGAGCTGTGAAGGGCAACTGAACGAGGTCGTCGCCATGATGCCCAGCAAGCTGCAGTGCGACATGCTCATAAGCCGATACTTTGAGTGCGTCGACCCCGTGTATCCCATGCTCGACCAGCGGTCTTTCCTCGAGGACTACGAACACTTCTGGTCCCTTCCGGAGGAGAAGAAGTACCAGTCTGATGCGGCCTTTGTCGCGCTGATCATGGTTATGCTGGCGCTCGGCACGCAGTTCCTCCAGAGCGGCCTGACCACCACTGCCGACAGGGCCGACGCCGCCGAGATGCACGCCTCTGCGAGCAACCAGGCCCTGCGCATGAGCTCCTACCTCAGCACCGCCTCCATCAGATCCATACAGACCATGGTGCTGCTGGTCTACTTCCTCATCAACGACAACCACGCCTCGGACGGCTGGGCCTTCGCCGGCATCCTGATGAGGCAGGCCTACGCCATGGGCCTCCACCGCGACCCCAACATCGTCACGCCGGGCGCGACCCCGGCCCAGAAGCAGGAGCGGCGCAAGGTGTGGCAGGCCGTGCTCCTGCAGGACACGTTCCTCACGGTGCTCCTCTCGCTGCCGCCCAACGCCACGCACACCGACGTCCACGTGGACGACATGGCGGACGAGGCCCCCGGGTACACAGCAGTCAACGCCTCCGTCTCGACGGACCTGGCGTACATCCGCGGGTCGTGGACGCTGGCGAACCTAGTACAGGAGAGCATCTGCTCCCCGCGCTGCCTGGACATGCCCATCTGCGCAACCCCCCGCCACAAGACGAAGCTGGTGGCCGACTTCCGGGCGGTGTACCGCTCCTTCCCGGACACGTTCCGCTCGTGGGACGCCGAGAGCCTGGCGGCCCTGGCGCGGACCAACGGGCGCGCGGCGCGCCAGACGCTGTGGCTGACGAGCAACTACTTCCACAACGCGATGCTCGTGCACGCGTCCGAGTCGCCCGACGTCCCCGTCAACGTGCGCGCCACCCTCGAGGCCGCGCACGACGCCATCAATGCGTTCTTCATGCTGCACGCGCTCTTCGAGGCCGAGGCCCGCACCTGGTGGGTGTTCAACCACCGCGCCTTCCTCGAGGCCCTCTGCATCGGGAGCGTCCTCCGCGAGACGGCCGGCGAGCCCGGCGGCGAGGAGGTCGTGAACAAGGACCAGCTCTTTGTCCGGGGCCGTGGGGATATCGGTACGTATATATATATGGATTTATTTCTTTTTCGTTTTCTTTCTGCTTCTTGTTTTCAATTAATCTATTACTCCAATGGATTGAGACTGACACTGATCTTCTTCTTATTATCACAGCCCGCCTGGTGCACATCATGACGCGCATGGGAGAAGGCGAGGACGGATCCGAGGTCGCCCGGACAAGGGCGCAGGTGCTGAGCGAGTTCCTCTGATAGGGATGAGAGAACCGAGATCTCATACCTCCGAAGCCGTATCTAATTTGCATAGCTAATGTATAAACCCTCTTTTCTCCACTTAACCTCACAGCTCAGGGATCTCGATCAATCTGTGCCATTTCTCATGGTGGGGCTGGTATATGGAACAAATGCTCACATAATGGCTAGAGGCAGCCGGGGGCCTGAGGAGCGGCTCTTAAGTGATGAGTGGGGTGATTATGGCAGGTTCATAGTCACCTGATTGTCAATATGTTGATATTCATTCTGTCCTCATCAGCAGCATGTACAAAGTCTTAATTACTTAAACATATTCTGGACAATTCAAGACATCTCACAATAACACACTTGCTAGCCATCATGTCTTCCTTCACGTCCAGCATATGCAGGGCACAGCACAGACTAACAAGGTCTTGAGATTCCGCAGAGACTTGCATCAAGCCGTGTTTTGATCATTGTAGTCATTCAGGTCCATAGGTCTCTATTATGCTCCCGGCGAACGACTCAGCACCTGGGTCAGGGGTTAGTATGTGCCAATGCCTTTCTCCCTCCCATGCCCACACCAGCCCTTAATTCTACATTCATATCACAACCCTACGAGAGTGGCATCCCATTCTCTAAGAAAAGAGCTTAGTCAAGGCTCCTCTATTTCGACTCTGATAAGAGGACCAGGAGAATCCCATGCCATATTCACCCCCCTTTCGTGATATCTGCCTTTCATTCCTTCAAGTCCTCGCCATCTCAGCTGCTTGACCGAGTGTCTGTCCGACTCGGACCTCCGGGAAGGAAGAACCGGTCCACGTGCTGGTTGTGTAGCAGCAGCCTCAGGTTCCCACACCACAGCCGCCTCCAGTGAGGTGTTCTATCAAGATTGTTTCTGGGTATTGGAGCCGGGCTCTGGATGCTATGCTGCAGGCCCCACAGGTTGCCACCCACTCACTTACTCCCTGGGCCACACCGACAACAGTCTATCCTCCCTCCCTATCTCAATAATAGAAATGACACAGTGCGCGCTTCGCTTCTGGAAATTCAGCCTCTCAAGTCCATAGTCGTGCCTGCCGGAAAGAAAAGTGTCCGGCTGAAATTAATGTGATTACTCTGTTTTGCTTCCGGGCGCTGCCCTACGCAGGGTGCTATGCTGGTAATCGTATTGTCCATAGTTGAGGACCTCATCTGGTTGAGCCCACCCCACAACCTCAGCCACATATTCATGAAGGCCGAACGAGCTAGAAACCGGCCCATGGCATCGGGTATTGAGGCGGACGGCGTCTGTTGGCATTCCTGGGGGTGGGCTGGCTGGCACTTCCGGAGGGTGGCTGGTTGGCCACGGCGGTGGGTGATCTGATGACGAGCCTGCCCTCAGGTGTACGAGTAATACCAGAAGATACAACTGGATATACACTGTACCCCTGGGAGGCATCGGATCGTGCATTTGGCGGAGGTGTTGCGAAAGCAGACATTCTACCTGCAACTCGAGGCTCCCCAGATGGCGGCACAATGAAATATGATCCAGTCTGGTAGTCGAGCTGGGGCTGTGTGGGCAATTGTATGGAGCCCGAACGTGCCTGCTAGGAACGACGTCGTCCATTATTGTGCCCACCGGTATTGCCGCTGTTGCCAGAGATGCGGTCCCTGATCCAACTAAGAGGGTTGGAGGAGCCTCCTGCGTTTCCGCTGGAGTTGTTACTGCCACGACTGGAGGGTTGTGAGTCACGATCTCCTCCAAGACCTGATGAATTGGCTCGGCCGAGTCTTGCTCGGGGCCCTGAGGGCGACCGATTTCTAGCCGAGGTCACGCTTGTAGGACCCGGGCTGGTGGGCGACCAGGAATCTCTTCGCTGGCCGCCGTGCCGAGACGAATCAGGTGCTGACCTTCCATAGCTCGATGGCCCCGCCAGATTTCTGATTGAGTTCAGGCGTCGCTCCCTATCCTCAGGAGTTCGGGCACCCCGCGTGTTGTGTTGCTGCGAGCCCGAGGGTGCAGAAGACCCTGATCCGCCCTGTGGTGACCAGGGATCGCCACCAAATAGGGCGCCAAAGGAGCCAAGGCGTGCTCCTGGGGTTCGACGCTGCTGATGGTTGCCAGAGTCATCGCCAGCGCCGCTGCCTCCGTTCCCATTGTTGCCACCAGCGCTGTTCTCGCCTCGCTTTTCGATGGGCGCACGACATATTGGGCACGTGTTGTGCTCCTTCAGCCATAAAACCACGCATTCGCCGTGGAACCAGTGCTTACATGGCAGAACCGTCACCTCGTCCCCCAGGTGCATCTCGTCTATGCAGATAGTGCACTCCACCTTTGCACCATCGCCCATCATCTGCCGATCCAACTTCTTCTTTTCCAGCTTCTCGATAGCCGACTCAGATGCGGGTGGTGCGGCATTGGACTGAGGGTTGGCTTCCATGAGCTGCGTGATGATCCGGTCGAGACCCTCCTGGGTGTACACCGCATCACCATGGGCAGCGTTTGGGCCTCCTGGGCCGAGAAGAAGGGAAAAGATGTCACCAAGACCACCAACAAGACCGGGGTTCTGTGCCCTCGGAGGCTGGATTCCTCCACCGCCCATGAAGTTGCTGAATGTTCTGGAAGGGGGATTAGTGTTGGAGCGCAAAGCGATGAGCGTAACCACTGGGGACCTGGGCAAACGGTCATCAGGGGGACGAGCGTACATATCGAAGCCATCATCATGGTCGACTCCTCGAAGCGGCATAGCTCCAGTGGTTATGGTAAAACTGGTATGACCCGATGGGCTGCGGTACGTTGTGGTGCGCATGCCAGGCCCGGCTGCGCCGGGCGCACCATCCGGTGGAGGAGCGGCGCGTCTGCCAGGTGGGCCAAAGGGCAGACCAGTAAGCATGTCGATAGTCTCCTGAAATCGCTGGAAAATCTCTTGTTCGCTACTGGGGTCGACTGGGCGAGGGTGGCGGGGGTTCCCACCAGGGGTGTCTTGCTCTCTGTCGGGGCTGCGATATGTCCTCTGTGACCACATGAAGCCCCCAGGCCCGCTGTGTACGTGGCCACGGGGGTCCATATAATCCTCTATATCATCTTCGCCTGGGTCAGAGAAGTGATCATGGTCGTGGTTGTGGGTGTGGCCGTGACCATGACCAAAGTCGTGGGGACCAAAGTGACTGCCGCGGAGGATATCGCTGTCGGGAGACTCGGGTGTGACATCGCGAGGATCGTTGTCAGCGGATATCTGGGAGAAAAGTTAGCACCACTGAGTTGGGGCAAGGGCAAGGTGGGACAGGGCAGGGGGAAGAGAAGGTATAGTAGATAGGAATCCTTACTATCTCGCAGACATCGCTATGGCAGCGAGGACACTGCAGGCCGTGCTCGTCGTTGTACCACTCGTGGTTGCAGTTGTGGCAAAAGACAACTTCGCGACCGTCGGCGAGGTCAAGATGGCGACGGCGAGGACCGCCGGGGCCAGGAAGATCCATTGCGGGTCTTGTGCCCTGCAGCTGTCGCTGGCGGCGCTGCGATTGTTGCTGGGCAGCCAAGGCGGTCAGTCCAAGGCCCACAAGGAGGAAGCCAGCTCTGAGCCCGTTGGATGCCACTTTGATGGTTGCGACGGGTTCTGTGGTACAGGAATATGTTGTCGTCGTGGGAAGGGAACTGGTGAGGGCGGCGACAGGTGCGCCCAAGAGGGGCTGCAAGCTGTGTCACCTTCTGGCGCTGCTGACGTTGGGTTGGCTGAGGTGGAGAGGGGCAGTGCTCGCCGTTGGTGCAGACGGAGAACACGGCTACAAAGCGCAATGAGCATTAGAAGCTGAGTGGTAGAAACGAGGAATGACAGGTTGCATGAAGGACAGGTAGGAAATCTGGATGAGATGCTGTTTGGTTGATGAGGAGGCAAGTCTGGGAATAGATGGTCTACTGCATAGGAGTTAGATGGCGACTTCGCCAGCATGGAACTCTCGGGTTCGGATTCCAGAAGGAAGCTGGAGATACCTATGGTGCCAGGCTAGGCCTTAACGTGCCGACAGGGATGATGGCAGACAGGTACAGGGTCGAGCAGTGCTGGTGGGGCTTCTCTTTGCCTGCGTCAGTAGCGGCTTAGTTGGTGGTGCTAAGGGAACCGTGACGTTTATGCCAGGAACTCACCAAATGAGTACCCGAGTGACCGGATGACTGACTAACGAGGTTGGCTGACTGAGATGACTCGGGTGCAAAGCAGCTATCACCAGAGCAGAAGACCAAAGCTTGGCTGTTCCTCTATCTGAGTGACTGATTGTCTGCCTGTGTGTGTTGCTGGGAGCTGTTGTCTTGACTGGGAGTTTGTTCAATCCAGCCTGCTGGGTGTTGTGCTGCAACTGTTTAGGCCAGCTCACCGGTGTAAACTGCATGTGGTCACTCATGGAATCGTCCCGAAGCATCTAGAATATTCCCGGACTGGGAACTTGCGTCAAGTGCCAATTAAAGGTGAATCTGACTATCATTCAAGATGTACTTAGAAGTGGAAGGGAATTGGGAAAGAAGGGACATGAGGTGACGGCCCTGCATTCCATTCTTGGTGTTCATTGACGCAGCCGTGGATTGACTGACTGATTGCCTTGCTTGTATACTCTTTTGTCAACTATCAAGGATGTCCCTATAATATACATGAAGACTAAGCCCAAATCCCGGCTGCGACAAGCCGGGCTTTTTCCAGCTTGTGAGACTGTCAAATGATTCCTGTACCAGTAAACATGGCCTCAACATGACCAAGTGGATTAACTCTTTCTCGCAAGCTGCATGTTACAGCTTAGCACCCTTTCAGGAAGCTACAGTTTCGCCCTGTTAGTGCCAGTGTTAGTCAAACCATGACAGTCGCATTCACCCCAAAGCCATGGCGGCGAAATCCGGGACGACTTCCGGCCAACCCACTTCCGGTCTCCAGACTTCCCCGGCCCTGCGGTCCCGGCGACGGAAGAGAAACTGAGATCTGGGTAGCCATTTGGTCATCCACATGGAGTCCGGGTTTCACTACGTGCTATAGATTTTTATACATATATAACAATTCTGAATGGTTATTAGCAGTCTAACAACACCCTCTTGCCTGGATCTCTTCCTCAACGAAACCGTGGAAACCCCTGGTTTATGAGATATTTGCCTACTTATACCACGTTTATCAACCTGCACTGAAGGATAAAATAAGCAGAAGCAAAACACCAGACACAGAGTGCACGATGGCCTTGAGTCCTACAGGCAGTCCGGTATTCTTAGTCAACATGTGCACAGACTCATATGGTAACGTGCTTGTGATTCGGGGCATAGATATTTGCACAGCCTGCATTATTCGGGGGTTACCCCGCCTCGTTAGGGGTGAGATCAAGAGCTGGCCCATCACGACCTTTCTTCCCCAGGATAGGGCCTTATTGGCGAGAAGTCAAGCACGTTACTCTATAGCGACGAGTATCTCTCTATCATACTTGTGACTATCTTGCCGAATACACGTATGACATTGCCGAGGGCATTCATGGCCGTCCAGCCAGCGGTACTGGAGGCTCTGCAGAGGACTGCATGGGGGCCAGCACGTCACGAGGGCATCACATTGCACTCTATCTGGTGCTGCTGACTGTAGACAAGATACCTCTGTCAGGACCAGGTTTGCATGGCTGACGAGGTACCCGCCATTCAAAAGTCCATGCAGACAGCTGGGCTGTGGGCAGGTTGGGTCCGCGGCAGACAAGCGCTCTGTAGTGTGGCTCTGGTGCTCAAGCGAGGGGCACAGCTTGCGAAAGAGATGGGGACGAGCTCCCGCTGTCAGTCTCCCTCTCCCTATCTTGCATAAAGTGGTCGCATGTCATTGATTCACCGAGGTGGCCGCGTCGACCTCGGTCTTGTTCAGCCTGATTCCTGCTCTTCGGTTCCCACTCCTTCACTCCCTCCCTACCTCCTCCCACTGCTTATATCTCTCTTTTCTCACGGGTCTATATCTCCTTCGCTCTTTTCTCATTTGATCTTCTGGGCGGGCAGCCAAGGTCAAGCAGGTCAGGTTAGGTCTGATCCGGAAGACCTCGGCAATTAACCAACGATTCGAGACGAACCACCAACATCATCTCAAGCCTCTCGAAGCCAGAAGTCGAATCAAAATGCCTGTCCCATTAGCGGCCAAAGGTACGTTATGAGCTGCAACATGTTGCTTCTTTGTGCACCGTTTCCTGTCAGTTGTCCGGAACCTTGCCCGCCCATTTCATCCAGCCATCTGTTCCTGCGGCTCCCGCCGCTGCTGCTACCGTTGTGCATCGTAATCTCGCATGCCCTCAAAGCCGCACCCGTGGGCGTGCGCTCGCACGTTCCGTGGCCCCAGTGACCGTTCGTTCAATGGCGCGGGACGCAGTCGCAGGTGACGGATGATCATCGTGGGGCTCGGAGTGGGAGACAGGCAAAGTGGTGCGAATCAAACGCCTGCCTGGCCGACAAACTGGGCCTGGAGGCCTGAGTGCCAGGGCCGATGCTGCGTCGGCCGCCCTCCAAGGGCGGGTGGCGACTCAAACATGCCGCGGACCACGCAAGCAATTCCCCATGTTCGCCCCTCTTCACTCTCGACGCCCGCTGCTCCAGACCGGCTCACCTTGGACAATCACCCAACCAGTCTTGGATCTGTTCTCGAGTATTCCTCCTCGAGATACTTCAAGTTGGCATCACTGCACCGTCTGGTTTGACCTCACTGGTGTACCTATTCTTCTGCTTCTGGCTTGGCCTCGCTTATCCCCTTAAACTGCACCGACCGCCCGTCGCCCAGTACTTGGGCACACTTACACCGGACGACCCCACCTTGTCCCAACCCACCTGCCAAACCGCCCATCCCGCCCTCCCCATCCCCTCACACCGTTCTTTTCAAGACCTGCGAACATGCCTCCTATTAACCAAGCCGCTATTTCAGCTGGCGTCATCGCCGTCAGCGTCGCCGTGGCCGCGGCCATCGCTATCTACGAGTCCCCCGAGCTCCAGCGCATGGCAACAGACCTGCGCCGCCGCATCGCTGTAGCCCTCCACTCGCTAGGCGACAACATCGGCCCCGAAAATGGCAACGGGGAGCCCCTGTTCAACAGACCCGAGGATGCCGAGGGCTTCCTCCAGTCCGGCGACGTCGATGCCGATGACGAGACCCGCAAGCGCCAGCGCGAGGAGCTGCTCTACTGGAACGCCATGAAGCTGAGCCAAGAGCTGGAGAAGCAGACGGCCGAGAACGAGAAGATCAAGGAGAGGGAGAAGCTGACCCGCTCGGGCACGACGTTTGACGACTTCCTGCAGGAGGACCAGACCGCCAACGAGAAGGGCACCTACGTCTTCAACACCGGAGCGGATGTGCGGAACAACGACGATGGTCTCGTGAGGCGGCGAGGAGCGTCTGAGGGCGTGCGGGGCCTGAACTCGTCCATCTACGCCAACCCCTTCGCCGACGAGAACGGCATCGACTACAACGAGTTGGAGGATAGCGAGATCTCCCCCGAGAAGGACGAGGTCTTGTCCACCGACGACATCTATACCGCTTCCCCCAGACCTGTCAACAGCTCGTTGTCCCGAACACTGTCCCCTGCGACAGAGTCTCTTCCAGAACTCGTCCCTGTCGAGCCAGAACGCGTAGTCATTTTCGACGCCACACAGCCTCAGGTCGCATCCACCCCCAGCGAGTCCGTCGCGGAGGCCGAGCTCGGACAGGACGAGTACATGACAGCCGGCCAGGACCGGGAGATGCAGCAGGACGAGCACGACGCCTACGCCTCCATCCAGGCGTGGGCCGAGCAGCAGCAGCAGGCCCAGAGGCAGAACCAGGAGTCGAGCCGCGACTTCTACTCGCCCCTGCCCATCACCCCGGCCGCCCCGCTCAGCGAGATGTCCGACGGCGAGATGGTCAGCGAGGGCCAGCTGACGCCAACGGACTCGGCCTCAATCGCCGGTTCCGGCTTCGATGTCGCCAACGAGCTCGCGTCCCAGAACGGCTCCGCCTCCAAGTACTACGACGTGCTGAGCGAGGATGAGGACGGCATCCCTACACCCGCGCACAGCTGGACCGAGGTCGGCAGCGTGGTCAGCGAGAGCGAGGACGGTGTCAGGCCTGCGGTTCGCTCGTAGGACGAGGTGGACGCTGCTAATGCTTGACTTGGTTGGAATTAGTTGTTTCTTAAGGTCTCTCACCAGGTTATGGAGTTCTAGTGGTTGGTCTTTCGGAGCAATAGGGAGGGAATTCTGTTCGGCTCGGCGTCAAGGGGGAAAATGCTCGCACGGTTCTCGGATTCAAGAGTCTCCTATACGCGTAGACACCGCTTCTCAGGAGTACATCGAGCAATAAACATGCTGAAAGTTATCTTTTTGATCACAAGCCGAAGGTTATCATGAGAAGCGAGAGTTTGAATTAAGCTATGTTATGGTTCTTGCTGAGAAGTGATGTCCATGGTACAGGTCAGCTTGCTAGCAATGATCTGCTTCTACTCACCAGTCTACGGTGTCGCCACCAATCTAAGGAGCTGGGTATTCCATATCCACTGCCCTCGCACCTCTTACTATAATGTCTACGAGTATTGACCCTCTTAAGTCATTCCCCCGGCGTCTATAAGCTCCTACTGCTCTGATCGCCCAAGTTCGATCAGCTTGAACGCACGCGTTTGCGGTCGCGACGGAGGCGCGGCGACAGCTAGCCCTGGCCGTCATCGTCGTCCTTCTTCAGCGTCCGAAGATATTCCTTCCACAGAGCATCGACATCGTGGCCGAACAAGCCGGCCCAGAACTCGGGCTGCTTGTACTCGCGCACCTGTCCCGGTTCCCCAAGGTCAGCTGTAATCCCGAGAAAGGGGATCCAAATCACCAAGAGCAGCAGATGGACCATGTCAACCAAAGCCGACCCGGCCTAGCAGAGAAGCACAGAAGTCAAAGAGAAACAACGGGGGAGAAAACTCACCCTCAAGGCCTCGTTCATCCTCCTCACGGTGCCCTTCCCGAACTTGCCCTCAAGCCAAGCCAGGAAATACGCAGTCCGCTCATAGCCCTGGTCCCACCTATCCGGCACCGTGTCCTTGCTCCAGTGCGGCGCACCCAGCCTCGCCTCGAGCCGCACCCAGTCCGCGACGCCCTCGACCAGCCCGCCCGGGCACTCACCACGCCCGTTGTACTGGTAGCAGTGGACCAGCTCGTGGACCAGGACACCCTCGATCTCGTAGGCGCCCGCGACGTCTCCGCCGTGGCCGCCGGTAATGGCAGTAGTAGGACCTGCCGGCGCCCTCCGGATGCCCTTGACGTAGCCCAGTGACAGGTGGATCTCCTTGTGGTCGCCGTCGAGGTCCGTGCCCTTGGTATACGCCACGCCCGGCATGTCCTCGAGTATGAGCGTCACGGACCGCGTCGGGGGTGGGGTGTAGTGCGGCCTTGCCGGTCGTCGGTGGGTTGTGGTCGTGGCTGGGCGTTGCAGTTGTTCTGGGGTAGCGGCTGTGTCGTTCTCGTCGGCATCGTCGTCATGGGCCTTGTGGTGATGAGGCGAGACGTACAGCAGCCGCAGGACGGTCTGGACGCTGCGCGACAGGAGGGCCGAGGCGTCCACGGCGGCGAGGAAGCGCGATGCGCCCGGGTGCGTCGCGTCCTGGATGTGCAGGCGGAGCTTGGGGAGGGGGAAGGTGTGGTCGTCATCGTGATCATCCCTGCGGCCTGAGTCCGCCTGGCCGTGCTGTTGTTGCTCTTCGCCCGCCGGTGGGCGATTTGGTAGAGGGGTGGGCTCGGCTGTTGTCGCCGTTGGCCGCCGCGCTGGGCCCGCGCTCGAGGTCGAGGAGGTGGGAGGCATGAAGATCGAGGACGGGCCGGGCACGGCGGAGGTCTGGGGAGGAGTATACCTAGTCATCGTGGCCTCTGTGATTTCGTGCGCGGTAGCTATGTGGGGGTGTTTTTAAATGTCAGTCTCACGGTCCGGATGCACTTGGGCGTCACAGGAAGTGCGGAATAAAAGCGCGTGCAACCAGTCGATCTGCAGCTTCGAGGTTGATGACCTACCCCATCCGGTCGGCTGAGCTGAGACCAAGCGTCGTTAGCTTAGACAAGGCGTCGATCGGCATCCTGCCGATCGTAACTGCTCCCCGCCTGCTCGCCTGCCAAGCTACCCTGGACCCGGTAGGACGGCTTCTCACCACATTGCATAAATGTGTTAAATATGGCCTCAAATAATCTATCACAGCATCGTCGCCCATGTCAATTCACTTTGCGCTACTGTACAGTATAGCACCATGGACCTGTTCTCTCAGCCTCTCCATCGGCCGGTCTCGCGCGCTCTCTCTTGGGCACAGTACTCGAATCAGCCTTGCGCATGGTGGCATTCCGTGTGCAAGACCTCAGCACACTAATGGCAGCCTCAAAACGAACATATTGTCTTTCCATTGCTTTTGAGGCTTCAGAGGTGACTCATTGACGCTACAATAATCCTGGCAGGCACTACCAAGCTCCATACCTGGTAGCGAGCACAAGACCGGCACCATTCTCCCACCCAGCTTGCGCCGTCTCACACTTGACGATCGCGCCATTTTTCATGCTCACATTGTGCATTTAAATTCTACCTTCCGCCACCTACAAGTCCAGCAACTTCTCTCTTCCCAACTTGTCCCCATCCTTCCTCCCCTCTTCCCTTCCCGCACAGCTCATGGAACATGCTCCCACCAGACCCCCATCTCGCGTCGTTAGCATCACAAGGCCTCTGGGCTTTGCGCCTCAGCAACGTACTGATCTTTTTACTGGGACACCATCCAAGGAAGAACAGTTACGTCCAACTGTGACTCGCCACGCCCTAGTTGATGTTCCGTCACTGCTCGAGTCGTCATCTCAGGGGAGATGCGTGCCAACCATTGTTGTCGTGAGCAGCAAGCATGGCGAAGACAAATCAGCGCCGGGACACGAGCCGGACTGGGTGAGAACAGCTGACACCGAGACAGCACAAACCTCGTTCGCCGCGTCGGACAAGCCGGCGATGGCGGCGAAGGTATGAAGAGGGCGAGGAACGGAAGAAAACGAGGAGATATCCTTCTTCACCTCGCCGGCAAGCCAACGATGGTGATGAAAGAAGAGGGGGGGGGCAGAAGGTGATTGAAAACGAAGAGGAAGACGACTTTTTGGGCGCCCTATGAGCCACCCATTCGTTGCAAGAACGAAGAGAAATCAAAGATTATCCGAAGCTGCCCTTACCTTTCACGCACCAGCAGCCCACGCCACCCCGGAGGGCTCGTGTCCCGTCAGGTCTTCTTGATCACCCGACAGATTCGGGGGTGGCACAACCACCGATGCCGATCTGGTGAAGAGAAGAGGAAAACGTTCTGAAAAGCCGAGACGCAAGGGTGGGCTTTTAAGGACACGGACTACTGACTGAACTCGCGTGCAGGAAACGGAAGAGCAGGGCCGATTTGCTTCCGTCAAGCCTATGGCGTGCTCTGCGCTGGAGGCTTGGACGAGGAGGGAGTGAAGATGAGGGAAGGCGCGCGTTGCTGACGCGGTACAGCACCCACAGCGCCTGCAGCATCCACGAGCAGAAGGAAGGCGTGGTAGAGCCAGCTAAGACGGTCGGCAGGCCGCAGGCAGGCAAAGCAAGTGGACACACGGACGAGGCAGGTTCTCCCACGCGAAGCCACTGCGTCTGTACTGCGAAGGAAGCGTCTAGCCCAGGGAGAGGGCGACTGCTGAGAGCAGGAACGTCACATCTTGGTGGTAACTTTGGCAGCCACGGTGTCTGTCGCTAACACGCAATGACTTGAGCTGTCCGCCTGGTGGAGCGAAACAGGTTTGAGGAGTGATGTGCCTCAAAATTAACATCACAAATATTTGTGCTGCATCCCAGCCGAGTGCTTTCAGGGGAAGACACAGCATGTCGAGCACTTGGGGAGTCGATGAGATGATAGACACACATGCACTGTTTGAGCCCAGCCGGGAGCCTGGAGGAAGCCCAGGATTGAGGCAGAGAGCGAGGAGATCATGACCTCATCTGTTCAGTCATGTTGGAAAATGAGCAAAGAACGGAAAGAAGCCCACACAGTCGTCAACTATTGTCTGTGACAGGGGCTGGGTTTGGCCAACTGATCAGATAGCCACCTGGGCACGGCCACAGCTATCATCTGTGCAAAGGCGCGCCTCAGCATCTTTGAGAAAACCTGATTGCTTCGCTGCAATACCTGAGTATTTCAATGTGCGTTCTACTGCTTCAGTCCTTCCTCAGAGATGCAATCGTTGCTGTACGAGCTTAAGATCGTGATAATTTAACAAAGGAGGGACACGGAGAAGAAGCAACGGAAAGGCAAGAGAAAGACCCTTTGGCACAACTTGAATCAGCGCACCGAGGTGTTCTCGCCTGCTGAATAGCAGCCCAAAATGTATTTGATCTGAATAAACTTTCAAACAAATATCTAGCACCAATTCGGTTGTACTAATTACAAGAATACGGAGATTCGCACCTGCAAAAACGGAGGGTACACGGGTACATCATCAACTCACGCCATAGCTACAGCTAAAAAGAGCACATTACCCAGGCCTAATTCACACCCACACACCCAAAACCTACACACCTAACACCTACACACCTAACACCTACACACCTAATACCTACACCTCTAACACCTACACACCTAATACCTATATACCTAATACTTATATACTTAATTTATAAAATTTAGGTATATAAATTAGGTATTGAGAGGAATTTTATTTAAATGCTGGTATAAATAGACTACTCAGCCAAAAGACTAGTAATTTCCAATCCCATGGAAATACACCTAGTAATTTATAAACCTGTACTGTATCACCTACTTCCGATTGCGGCATCGCCAATCAACAGAGGTGGCCGGCTGGGAAGACTCACCAATCCAACCAACCGCCGTTTTCGACCAGCGTGACTAGGAAGAGAGGCCATTTCGTAGTTCCGATATGCTCCACTGTCTCCAATCCAGACTCCTAATTAGACAAGATGGACCCTTTTTCGCTCCCAGGCCGCCCCAACCTCACCATAGCGTTCTGGTTCGAGGATTGGATCGGAGGGATATTCGGGATCGTATCGATCAAATCCGAACAAGCTGCAAACCCCCAGACGTTTGTAGCAGTCAAACCCCAATTGGTCTACTTCTCCAAGTCTTTCCAAAAGCAGCGCCTCATAACAGGGCCGACCTCCTAGATCAGCTTGACATATGAGAAGGTTGAATATTTGCCGCCGAGCTATGCGCTCTTTCAATCCGTCTAAGTTTTGATCCTCATCCCATTTTACTTCCCATCGTCTGGCAACCCCATTCTTCGGGACCGTCAGAAGCTTTAGCATGGCGACGGACTCGATGTCCCTCACTGAGTCGTCGCAGTTGACAACGCACAAAGGGCCTTCTAGGTGTATCCACGCATCTAGAACGGTAGAGTAGGAATCAGGTGGGTTGTAACGACAAAAGTAAGATACCACGCAGGTATCAAGCACTGCGTTACGGTAGCCGCGGAACCAGACCTGCTCATTGACGGAAGCCCATGACCACGAAGGGCTTTCGATGTTGCGCTTGTTAGTGGTAGGGTCCTTGGCCAACATCCACAAGAGTGCAATTGGCAAGTCTTCCGCCCAAAGACCCGCCAGGTAATGACCGTGGTATGTTTCCGCATAGCGCTTCGCGAGGCCATCCAGGGCAGGTAGCCTATCTGAGAAGTTCGTGATGCCTCTGGATGTATATTCTGCCAGTATGAGGTCCCACGTGAAATCGTCACGGCCCAGGACTTCAGGATTTCGTTGACGGCGCACTTTGGCCATGGACCTGGTGTTGAGCTCGTTTGCGTAACCTCCTAGACAGTCCCACAAGGTGAAGTGATTTATGTGTAGGACACGAGGGGAAAGCAACCACTCCTGAAACGTCCACGCCCGGCCCATCCAGGTTCTTAAGTCTCTGCGTATACCCATTTCCCACTCTTTCCAATCGGAAAAAATTTGAATGAAAAAGCCACTCGGATAATGAATTTCGTCAACCGCCCACAGCCACAGCACGTAGCGTTTGCCGGAGTCGTCCATCACGAGGAGACTGGCGCCGGGTATGCCCAATGCAAGTAATGGGTTGCCTTCTTCCCGCTTGGATACAAAACTCTCCGAAGAGTGCAAACATATCGGGGTTGCTATCGTCAAAGTCGCTTTGCTATAGATACGGCTCATTTGGGCAGCTTGGTTCATCCAGTCGTCCTTGTCGTCCTGTATAATGCAGAGGGAATCGATCCATATATACCGGAATTCCAGCTTTGAGCAGAGAAGAATAGCATCTCCAATCGTCTTTGGCAATTGATCCAAAGTAATGTTCTCAAGGTACTGAGAAATGTTGCTAGTCATCGTCCCGGGGTTTTCTGTGTTACCCCAGCAGTAAGAAAGGCACACGTACGGCACGTGCTTGTTCTGAAGCTTGTGAGTCTCCACAAGGCGGACATGTTGAGAACCTTCTTCGTCGATAAGTGAGATCTCTATCAGACGATCCGGAAGAGGCTGAAGGGACCCTTTTCCCAAATCATTACAACATCTATGCTGAGCTCGACATTCGTCCAGCCATTGGCGTACCATGCGAATGTGTGGCTCCGAGAGGACAAGTTTAGATGGGCGATGATCAAGTGCCGGATCAACATCATCGACTTTCCGATGTTAGACTTGATCAAACAACGAGAACAAGTAATTTCACACTCACCTGGGCTAGCGAGGAACGATGTTTCGCTTTCCAAGTGACCACTGCCGCAAGACTCGGTAGGCTTGCAGAAGACGTCCAGCTTGGCGTTTTGAATAAATTCATGATCAAGCCTCTTCTCCTGAAAAGTGAGAAAAAGCCGCGCCTCGCCATGTTTCTTTGGACTTAGTGACGCCATTACTAGCCAGTCTGACCCGGTGTTATCGCATACCTCGATCTGCATCTGCATAGCAGAATCCAAGTTGGGATCACTTTCGTCCTCATCGAGAACTGCAAACTGCGCTCGATCTCCATTACTTTGCAGTTTTTGCAGCCTCTGGGCTTCCAATCCCTGAGCCTGCTCCAAGAATTCATCGAAGTTTTTGTTGTTTGAGCGCAGACTGTGCGATAGCACATGACATGACCGGCAATGACCATGTTCTGCGGACTTTTGAAGCATCGCGAGATTCGGGTAGTGCATGTAGACAAAATAGTCGTAACCACGAAAGTCGCTCGGCCGGTACTCCTCTTCATCTGAAAACCCCTGGGATGCATCTTCATTTGCCTCTTCATCTAAGTCCTCTTCATCTGAAGACCTGTGCTGGTGCTCCTCTTCCTCTGAAGACTCTTGGGATGTATCTTCATTTGCCCCTCCATCTAGGTCTTCAGATGAAGAAGGCCTGTGCTGGTCCTCCTCTTCCTCTGGAGACTCCTCAGATGTATCTTCATTGGCCCCTTCACCTAAGTACTCTTCATCTGAATACCATTGCAAGTCCTCTCCATCCGAGGACCCCTTAGATACATCGTCGTCTGATTCTTCATTTAAAGGATCCGTAGTTGCCTGTCCATTTTCTCCTGAAGAATCCGAGGTTATGTCTTGATTGTAAGATGAGCCTTTAGATTCCCACAAATTTCTTTCGATTTGGCGTAGGCGAAACCGCCGACGGTGGCCTTCCTGGAATATTCCCTGGCATACTTTGCATATCGATGATGGTGCGCTGTCCATCGCTTCTGGCTGTGTCGAAGTTGCAACCATGGAGGGAGAGAACTCGGGAATGAAAGAGGAAGAAGACGCGACGCACCATGTTCTTGACGACAGGAATGCTTACGCCTATTATATAAGGCTTACGCACATACCCTCTTTTCCTACCCAATCCATTAAGGATCCACTCGTAAAATAAGAATCAGCGCAGGTGATTAGGTGCAGCTCCCCTTATCGGCCAGCCGGCCTGACTTGGCTGCAGGTCTCCTGTGGACCTAATTGAGGCACTATCTGCCAACTCGCCAGGGTCGCAAGTACATTGTCGACCTGCGCCTAGGCACGCCCCTGAAAAGGTGGGAAAGAGCAAGCAGTAAGAACGTGAACAGCCGTAAAGCAGATAAGACGACTGTTCGCGATACGCCAGGGAGGCTGGTGGGAATGCAAGGCTGTCAGAACCCCAGTTACATGTGGAACGCAGATATGTCATGTCCGTATAGATCAGAAATCGGGGATCAACAAAAATCACGCTTGCTTCATTATTCTCTGGCTACCTATGCCTCTGCCTGTTCTCTTGAGGCGAGCACTCTAGATGTAAGAACAGAGACCGTACACCCAGATTCTAGGACCCCAGAGTTAGTCCCAAAGCACTCGGCAGTCTCCAAGAGAAAACGTCTACTGTCTAGCAACATCTTGTCTACTCCCCCTTCACAACTTTCTCAGCCGTAGCCAGGATCAGTTCATACGCCGCCTTGACGTGCTCCTCCTCAGTCGTGATGTTGCCCGTCATGACCCTGATGGCGAACTTGCCCTCGAGCACCGTGCTCGTCACCCACAGCTTACCAGATCTGTTGACCTCCTCGTACAGAGCCCGCGTGAGCTCGCTCTTCCTCTCCTCGCTCTCGACCCCCGTGGGAGCCAGCCGAAACACGGTCAGCGCGAACGCCGGGCCCGTGATGATCTCGAACAGCTCCGGCCTCGCGCGGAGCCAGCCGGCGAACAGCTCGCCCTGCGCGACGCCGCGGCGGATGTACCTCTGCAAACCCGCCACGCCGTAGCTTCGCAGCACGAACCACACCTTGAGGGAGCGGAAGCGCCGGCCCAGCGGGATCTGCCAGTTGCGGTAGTCGGTGACGAGCCCGCCGTCGCTGTACGTGTTGCGGTAGACGTGCAGCTCCGAGCCGAGCGCCTCCTCGAGCCAGGCGCGGTTGGCCACGAACACGCACGAGGCGTCGAAGTTGGTCAGCAGCCACTTGTGCATGTTGAAGTTGAAGGAGTGGAAGTGCGCCAGGTGGTGCACGCCCACCGACTCCTGCGCCTCGGGCGTCACGAGCGCGGACCCCGCGTACGCGGCGTCGATGTGCACCCAGACCTCGCCCTTCCTCGCGGCCGGGGCCGTTGCTGCTCCGTTGCTCTCGCCGTTCGTGGCCGCACCGTTGGTGGCGGGTGTCTCGCTGAACTTGGCCAGTGTGTCCACGATGGCGCCAAAGTCGTCCACGGCACACGTGTCGGTAGTGCCGAGCGTCGCTGTCATGAAGAAGGGCTCCAGGCCCTTGGCTCTCAACGCCTCGAGCGTCGCTTTGAGGGCCTCGCCGGTCATGGCGAAGTTTGACGCGGAGGACGTGGGCACCTCGAGGTAGCGCACACCGAGGATCCTGGCGGCCTTCTTGGTGGACGAGTGGGCGGCGGCGCTGCCCAGTGCGACGAGCCTGCTGCGCTTGCGCATGTCGAGGTCCTCGAGCTCCTCCTCGGTGACTGTCCCAGGTGCCGGAAGGGTGTCGCGCAGGTACTTCTCGCGTGCGGCGACCATCATGGTGAGGACAGCCTCGCTGGCGGAACCCTGGATGACGCCACCGCCGCGGGAGGGGCCGGTGGAGTGGTAGACCTGCGGGAGCCCCAGGACCTGGGCGACCCAGTCGAGCACGATGGTCTCGAGCTCTGTGACGGCGGGCGAGCAGATCCAGTTGAAGCAGGCGCCGGTGAAGGCGGCCGAGTACAGCTCGCCCAGCAGCGAGGGGTACGAGGCCGGGCAGGGGAAGAAGGCGAAGAAGTTGGGCGACTGCCAGTGCGTCAGCCCGGGGACGATCTTGCTGTCGATGTCCTTGCGGATCACGTCCCAGGACTCGCCTTCCTTGGGCGGCGACTCGGGCAGCACCTTGCGCAGGTAGCCCGGCTTGACCTGCGAGACGACGCTGTGGTCTGTGATGTTCTCATAGTAGTCGACGACTGTGGTACGTGTCAGTGATTCAGCCGGTCGTTCCACGCCCGGAGCCAGGACTCGGTGACGGCGTCTTCGGGGAAGGTGGGCTTACTGTGATCGATCGAAGCCTTGGCGGCGTCCTTGAACTGCCGGCTGTCCATCTTGGTCGTGCGAATGTGATGTATGTCAGGTCCAGAATTCTGCTCGAGGCACGCCGTAGTCTGCTGGCTTTGAGAGGCTGTCGGTGAGTTTTGCCGCAGGCGAGACTCGCTTGTTGGTGAGCAGCGGCAGTCCAAAGCGAAGGCAGCCCTTTATTCTATGATGCGAGCTCAAGATATCTGTGAATCTCGTGAGAGTGACTCCCTTCTCGTGCGCAACAGAGCAAGAAATGACACCGACGACTGCTCCGTTCCCATCCCTTTGCCCTGATGCGGCAGGCAAAGTGAGAGCATTAGCGCCCGTACGACCTACGACCACACGGTGTTAGGTGTTACTGGTGGCCTAGGCGCGCTGCTAGAGGCCGGACCGAGTGGGTTTGACTCGCCTGGGTCCACCTGCCGCCGCCCCGGCTTCCGTTGCCGGACCCGTAGTGGGGGATTTTTGGGGGCCGCGGTGTGTCCCTCGGAACTGCAGTACAAACATACCTTATCTATATATCCCTGAGAACTATCATAAACAATGTTAAGAGAGATAATACTGCTACATTCGCACTTCAGAATAAATGTTACAGGCCCCTTGTCACCTTTGTTCAGTCTATAATGAGGCTTGAAAATTCGTGGTTCAAGCCACGGCAAGCTGAATACTACTCTACTTGCCAACTACCTCACCTCTACAGTCACCCTTTCTTTTGAGCTGTGCCTAGATCTGGAATAGCTATAGGGTCAGAATGTGACTGTGCTAAAGTCAGGTAGGGGTGAAGCTTAGTACGCCTCGGTTAGAATTGACCAGACCTATGGGTGATAGAAACTCACAACTGCTATGAATGTCCGAACGAAGACTCTGAATCCACTATACTCAAAATAAGCGCTTGATCGAGATGCAGGCCATATATAAATTTAATTTAGTTCGACTACCTGCACTGGAAAAATCCCCGCCTGTAGTCTGAAGCACGTTTTGGTCTCGGAATTGCGCAAGGATAAGCTGGCCCGTAGAAATGATGGACGAAGAGAAGACCGCGCATCTTATCATACAGTGTTGTTAATCCCCGGTGTAGAATCCCGTTCGAAGACCAGTTCCCAGTTCCGGCCAGCCCTTTATCCATTGTGACATTGGGCCGATAACCCGGCGCTCGGTTAGCCTTGTCTCGACCCAACGTCCGCTCGATCACTATCGGTCGCACGGCTGCCTGAGTAAAGATCGGAATTGAATAAAAAAAACGAGCGAAAGCCTTTCGATTTATACAGTGAGAGTGTATAACTTATGTTTACATGTGTGTGTGCGTTCAACTATCAGACCCGCTGAAAGCTTCTGGACGTCAGATCAATTGGGACATCATGGGCAGTTCGTTCCACACGACGAACCAGCAGCCGCTGGCCCCACAAGCTTTTCGACATTATCCACGTCGTCTTTCTTCACAACCCCTTGATTGACCAGTTCCCTCAGGACTTTGATCACCCATGTACGACAATTGTCCTTGATGTCTCTGGGAGTCGGCGCGCTCGGTGCCGGGATCGTATTGCAGACTCTGTCAACCTTTGCTTCCTGCTCCTTCGTAAGGCGCGTGTTCATAGGGTGATGGTCCTGATACGAGTCGGACGAGAGCAGGGGAACTAGCTTGGTCGCCGGACTGTGGTAGTATGTCATGCACTGGTGGTCCCCCCAGACCTGCCAGACCCTGCCCCCGGCCTTGTCGGATTCGTTCTCGTGGACAAACAAAGACCAGTGGGGCCCCTTTGGCGGTGCCTGCCTCTGACGCACGACGGACAGCGTCTTCAGGCCGTCGGATGCGCTGGAGACAACCTTGTCTTTGACCGATTCCCATGCTCCGAAAGCTTTTTTCGCGGTATCGTATTTGCGGTAGTACATATGGCCGTTGGCGTACGTGATATACTGCCTCTTCAACACCATGTGCACTTCGCCCACGCCCTCGGGACCCTCGGCGGTCGCCGCTCGTTTGGGACTGCCGCCTCGAGACGAAGGACGAGGTGCTGTTGCATTCGTTCCCCCGGAAGTCGAGGCCGGACCCTTAGAAGATGATGGACGCTGAGACGGCATTTTGATTTTAAAAAGCTCGCGATTATGGGGAGTAATTTATGGGTTAGGCTTGTATTGTATGTTTAGAGGATATTTGGCTTATCAGAGACGGTGGTATAGATGCTGATCTGAAGAAGAACTTCGAACATTCTTGTGGGAAGTCTGTCCTCGGTATTTGTAGTTCTTCATCTGCAAGTGCCAGCCACGTACAATCGTCTGCTCTAGAGAAGAGTGGATGCAATGACCAAATACCAGACCTTTCGGGCCGCATTTTGTTAGACCTGGATACTTTCTCGACACAACATAGCCGTTGTATCCACGCAGTCTCAGAAACGACAGGCGAAGCAGCCCAGCCTTGGATCAGAGTGCTGTTTCTTCTTCCAAGTCCCACTGGATAGTGACCGGTCCAGGGACATTTTTGGGCCATTTTTAGAAACCCGGGTTTCACGGGCGACCGCGTGGGTTTCGAGAGGTCCTGATGTTGAAGTTGATGCCGTTCCTATCTCATGCTATTGTTATTCGGGCACAAATAGTAACATTGGGGCGGTGCGGCAACGGTGGCGCAACGACCAACATGCCTTCTCGTGCCACGCAGGCTTCTGCAATTAGATAGAGATCCACTACGACTGGATTCCACGGTAAAGGATTTGTAGATTGCGGCGTTGGGCATCGGCGGCGGCGAGCTGGCCGCAAGTGGCGGGCCTGCAGACCCACGACGCCATCGTCGTACAGAATGGGAGTTCTTCAATCCTAAGACCAATAACTACCCGGACGAAGGCGGGCTGGCGTTCTGCAGATGGATACGTCACGTTTTCGAGGCAAATTTGATTGCATCATTTTCTTACGATCTCTGTAAGACGAATTGGAGGGCGATGCGACGAGGTATTTACTTGATCGGTTGGGACTGGGAATGTGTGACCTGCGCCGTATCTATGTGTTGGACCATCCACACAGTCCCCTGCAGGCCTGTCGGTGGGCTGTTAGCTCGGCAAGAATGCGCTAAAGCTCGGCCTGGCGTCACCACCCAATTAGGCTTAGACTAGTCGGGAGGTTTTTTACAGGTACGACCAAATATACGTTCCATTAAATACCCTTACGCAGCCCTTATACCGCCTGTCGGTAGCGGGCAGCCATGGCCACAGTAGTACGGTCCAAGTGGTCATCCCAAATTTAGATCTTTCACGTGCTCCACACACACACCCTCCTTATCCAATTACGCTCATGATAATCTTGCCAGCTACTTGTGTTGTTTCAGCCACTGTTTCTATAAGTATGAAAAAACAGAGGATTACAGTAGCAAACATTCGATTCAGCCTCCGAATAACAGCAGCTTGAACCGCCAAGCTAGGTTCGCTAAAAGGTATTGCCTGACAATTTGTGACTGCTCATGGATTGTTGGACAACCTTCAAATCCAAACACACCTCGCAGAAGCACCTGTCTGCCGCACCAACCAACCTGCCTGGCTCTTCTCAATTGTCACCTGGTGAATCGACTGGACCACAACAAATAAGAAACCGACTGTGAAACCATCTGCGACCTTGGTCCCGACAAAATGGAAACCGCCGACGATAAAATGAAGCCCGTTGAAGACAAAGCGGAGCCCGTCGAGGACAGCCTCGAATCCGTCGACGACGACCTCGAGCCCGTCGACGACGACTTCGAACCCTACACCGTCTCTGAGACCCCGTGGGGGTCCACGATCACGCGCATCGACAGCAATGTGGTGATGAAGACCAGCCCGCGCTGCCATCGCGGCGAATTTGCCGCGATGAGATACGTTGCCGAGCATGCACCCTCGGTGCCCATCCCCACTGCACACTTTGCTCAATGGGACCTCCCAGGCGGACAAGGCCGAATCATAATGGACTATGTGCCTGGCAAGACGCTTCACGCCGTCTGGCCAACCCTACCACCCGACCGCAAGGAACGTGTATGCAGGGACACCTGGAAGATCATTCAAACACTCCGGACGATCCCACGGCCAGAAGGGCTGCCCAGTCTCTACACTACTGTCGACGGGTCGGAGCTGTACCAGCCCCCCTTCACAGGCTATTCCAACGAGGCAGTACCACTCATTGAGACTGATGAGGACTTCCGGCAGGTCATACTCCGGAATTACGTTGAGCATAACGGGCTCTCCTATGCCGATGGCCAGGAGGTGCTGGACAAGTTTCCACGTAGCACGGCCTCTGTCTTCACCCACGGGGACATCAAGCCGAAGAATATCATCGTGGACGAAGAGGGAATTATTCTAACCCTGCTGGACTGGGAGATGGCGGGGTTCTTGCCTGACTATTGGGAGAGCGTGGGCATGTTCTCGCGTGTTCTTGAGGACCAGGTGGAGTGGGCGGAGGTCATGCAGAGGACACGGCCCCCTAACTGGGGTTTTGATGTCACCTGGGTGACGAAGGCAAGGCGGGTTCTACTCTGAGAGGCGAGCGCAGAACTCAGCAGCGACGATGGAGCTTTCGCATTTCGGAAGTGAAGGTCATGAGGCTTCAGCATAATGAGAAAGAGCCCCTCAAGTTGAATATGCTGCATATTCACACAGAAAGAAACGGATAGTATACAGATACATTACACACCTAGTACACCCACACCCACTACTAACACACCTACATACCTACACACCTATATACCTATATATCTATACACCTATACCTAATTCATATACCTAAGCCATTAATATGAGTATATAAATTAAGTAAAGGTGTGTAAATTAGGTGTGGGCGTGGGTGTTATGCTTTAATTAGGTTTAGGAATATTATTTAAGAGGTATTTGTGTACCATTTGTTTTTCTTCAGTGTGAATATCTGACTTTTAGGAGTAATGTCTTTCAACAGCACATAGTCTATTTTATATTCACTAAAACCTTAATATGTAATATAATATTAATTGTGGATGCTTCCCATCGGCCTTGCTCCGGCGCTGGGAAGACAAAATGCGGCCGACCGTTAGCAGTGGTAGCACTTGAGTTCACCCTCGGAGCCAGGCGTGACAATAGCTTCAGTCTCATGCAAGGCCCACCAGCCACTTGAGTCAGCTGTGGACTGGTCAAGAATCAAGGTATTTTCACCATTTTGGTTTCATGGCTGAGACGGTGATGCCCTCCGAGGCTTACCAGTATGTGCTCTGGATCAACCATGATATTAGAGTTGTTTCCCGAGGTCACAGCAATCATCTCATTCAGGATATTCCAATTACAAGTGCCATATCTCAAGCTACATCTGCCTCTATTTCCAAAATGGAGTCACCTGGGTCGGCAAGGGAAAGGTGCTAAATTAGAGCAAGCTCGACTACCCACTCGAGGCCTCTACACAGTACATGGACCCAAGAGCCTGGCTTTGTGTTTAGACGCCCAGCCGGGTGCGGTACTTTTGGTCAGGTATCTTCAGGGACCAGAAGCCAAACATTCGGAAGACCGCAAGTGCGAGACCGCCAAGGAGCGGCGTGCCCTGGTGCTGTAATTCGTTGCAGGAAGGAGTCTGATAGCGCCAACGCTGGGAACAACCTTGGAAGGTGTTGGCCAAAACAGAAACTGCACGCTTCCCATGGCTGAGAAAGACAAATGGGAAGGATGCAGACATAAAGACGCCTTCCATTCTCCCTCCGTCTTCCTTCCACTTCCAGTCCCCAGCCACAACACGGCAAATCTGCTGCATTAATTAAACCAGTCCAAGTCCATCCCATCCAAGCTGCTCAACAAAATAGATCGACACCCTCAAGCTTCGCATCTCATCCGAAGAGCTGCTCTCCAAGGGGCTTCGACTTGCCTACTGCCCACATCCTAGCTGCAATCAGCTCTGTTCTGCTACTCTTCGTCGCTTCTTGGCAAACCTCTACTCAGAGTACTCGGAACCCACGTCGACAGATCAAATGCCGTGCCCGTTGTGCCGAGTCCGGGCTTGGTCCAGACGTAAACTACAATCCAGCAGCAAGCCACGGCCACGCAACACTACACTCGCGCCTGTTCTCTCTCACTCACGAAGAGATTACGAGCCGCCGCCGCCGTCCGCGCCGTCCGAGCGATAGTCGTGGCTATTTCTACCTCACGATCCTACGCTGTTTTTATTGCTGCTGCCGCCGCGGCTGAAAGTGTCGCCTCGATCTGCGCAGAAGACCCTGTTGGTTGTGGCGACTGGCCACCTGAACTGGTTGCCCACCGCGTCCGAAATGACGCTCATAATGCTCTAGAGACCGCCTTGGGTCCCGATGCCGCGGGCCATGCCTGGCCCTTGGTTTTCGACGACGACGATTTTCACTTGTCTAGGTCACGGCGAAGAAGCCCATTTCCTACCGGTGGCATCAGTTCCTTCGAATCTAGTCCCGCGCGTCAAAACGCGGTGCTAGACATGACGAACCTCATCATGTCCATGTGTCAACAAACCATCTGAGCACGTTTCTCACCCCAGTATGCACAAGAAATTCTCTTGCTATCACGGCTCCCGATGCTACGACCGATGCTATGATCAACACCCAACTCTTCTACCCGACAGAGACGACACAATCCTCCGGGTCATCGCGGCAGCAGGCACTCTCATCGAATCACCCATCTTGCTGGTCCGGAAGCCGCCATCTCAGCCACCAACCCGGTCAAATACCACACTCATCGCTTCCCTGCTCAATCACTTCGTCAAAGATAATTAGATTGACAAATGGCCGAACAAGCCATTCCTCATCTTCTTGATCACCACAACGACAGATCAGCAATACAGCGTCCAAGTCTGAGGCTTCTGGTCGTCCACATGAAATCGTACATTTGCTGGGCCAAGTTGCGACTGATCATTCACACCAACTCGCCGCCGACATCTGCTCATCGTCTACACTAACTTGTCATCTACACCAATTCTCTGATTATTACTCAAGCCGATCCTTGCTGCCAATGTGTGTGCCTGTGTAAGTGCGTGCGCCATCTACGATCTTTTGTGTTCGCAGACTTTTTGCATCTCTATAAGGAGATTCGACCAGAGGGCATCTTCAAACTCCTGTCTCCTTATCAGGACCTAGTACTGCTCTGAAAACTCACGATGTTACGACCACCGCCTGCTGTATGTTCCAAGATTCTTTCATATGCTTATCACGTCCAGCCAATCGTCCGGCATCACATCTATACTCCTTTCCATAAGTGGGGAGCCTCTGAGGCTCTGAGCTCGCGACGCCTCCGGCGTGAATCCACCTAGAGCATAGCCGCGGCTTCTTGCGCCTCCCACTGAAAAGGTTTGAGTGACCTCACTGGCTGTCTCGTGCAGGCCCATGGCCGGAGCGTCTTTCTGCTCCTGCCCCATTCCAGAGTACCTACTGCGTGGCCACGGCCCGGCGCTCGGAAGCTTCGGAGCCGTCGTAGCGCGGCTGTTGGCGTGAGGTGACTGATGGCGGGATAGAAGAATTTCGGACGAGATTGTGTCGGGCGTATGATAATGCATCTGCGAAGGCACACAGTCTCGTCCCATGCTGCTGATGTTCCCGCTCGTAAAGGCCTTTGATCCTTGGTTTGGTGCTGGGAGTGTCTGTGTCTCAGTGTGATCAGGGACCGGCGCTGTGCCGAGCGGCAACACCTCTTGCGAGGCCCCATCGCTTTGAATTTGGACGTATAGCTCCTCTATCAGCCGCCACGAAGCTTCACGGAGGCTATTAGTCGGGTTCAAAAGTTTTCCGCGTTGGCTGCCTGCCGCGCGTGCCCTGAAAATGTCTAGGATCTCGCTCAGCAGATATTGTAGAAGCTGCACCCCGGCCGTCCCGTTGTACCCCTTCAAGAAGCTCAGTACGATCATGCATTCTTGGAGAGGGTCGATCTTTCCGGGGCAGAACCAGTTATACGGGGAAAATGCCGGAAGCCTCGCCATATCCAGATAGTTGCGGAGGCACTGAATGCAATTGGATATTTCACTGTGCTCAGCCCCAGTCAGACCCGTCCAGCAAGTGCTTTTTGTTCAAGAAAGGACTCACAGGCTCCAGAGACTAGAGCTTTGGTCTAGACTCGTCTGGTGGAGAAATTGGCGATTAAAGAGGACGGAGGCGTAATATTTCATCATGGAGAGCCAGATGCGGCAGTAAGCACTGAAGACCGCCGACTCGTGAGGGTCATCCTGGTACAAATGGCCATGTGTGAGAGGGCTCGCGCTAAGTAGCTGGGACGAAATCTGGCCGTGTTCGGGAAGCCCGCGGGCCTCGATCATGGATATGAGGCCGTCGATTCTTTTCTCGAAACGCTCAATGTCGTCAGCCACCCTCTCTAGTTGACCCTTCGGCGGCGGCGAGCTGCTGCTGCCGTAACATGTTTCTAGAATGCGTCTGATGATGCGAGTAAGCTCATACTTACCGGTGGCCACAATGTTGCTTAGGGAGGCCCGTGGATCCGCTTGATAAGGAAAGCTGCGACCTGACTTCTGGCCGCCGTGTTCGTTGGGGGCAAGCGTGTTGTATGAGTCTTCGCCACTACTGTGGGATAATGTTGTCCCAGACCGGATGGTGGCAAGAACATCCAAGTGGATGAGGTGGTGCCACACGTGTCTCCCGATGTCTCCCTCCACTTCTCCCATTGCAGCCAGCGTGTCTTCTCGGTGCAAGCCCATCGTTCTTGCAGCCTGAATCGACCGGGAGATGAAAAGAGGCATATCCAGGATCTGGTCGACAGTTGGGTCGCAATCCTCCGCCAAGAGTGAGGCCACCAGCCCGTTCAGAGTAGGTAGCTGGGCTTGACAACATATTTCTAGCGTCTCGTTCAACTTGGATCGTAGCCGGGAGAGGAATGCTGGCGTGTCACTAACCCGGAACTGTGCCTCGGCAAGGAGGTCCGGTGAGGCTGCCACGGCCCCGCAGTAGAGCACCGACCACAGTAGGCATGCGAAGGAAGGGTCTTCCCTCAGACTCCTGGTGGGTGGTGTGGCCGAGTGCCTGTCGCCGTGCCGATCCCAGAATGAGTCGTACTGCGTCTTCAGGGTAGGGACGTGCACGAGAGGTAGTATCGGCCTCACGCCGAGCAGAAATGACCGCAGCAGGACGTCGCACAGCCTTTTGGAGGGGAGTGCCTGCAGAACCTTGGAGAGCTCTGCCCAGCGCCGCTCGTGGAAGTGCTGAGAGTGATATTGCGTTATGTGGTTCTGGAGGAGAGCGGTGCACCCGAGCTTCTGCGGTTGCCGGGTCAGTCCTTTTCACTCTCTTCCCGATGGCTTTGCGAAATTGACATACGGAACTTACTTGGTTCCCAGCAAGGGCCCAGAAGGGACTGTCAACGTAGCGACGCAGGTGCCTTGTCACATCACTCAAGCATGCTGGTAGTTCCCAACCCGTCAGGCGATTGTCGGGCATGAACCTCAAAGGCCGAGATGCTCTTTGCCCAAAATCTAGATCTTGGGCTCCGAAGCAATCCGCAGCATTGGTTCTTTTGGTGGTAGGGACAGGATGACTCTCTATATGGTTGGCGACAGAGACAGGCAACTCCAAGGTGTTGCTGTCCTCAGAATTCGTTGAAGCGCTTGGATGAGTGGCAGCACGGACATGATCACGGGTGTCTGACAGCGGAGCAGAGCCATATGTGATCAAGTCGGTGGACAGAAAGAACTCACCCAGGCCGTTCGCGCTGCAGTTCGACGGGCCATCGGTGTCATCGAGAAACGAGAGGTCATCGTCTTCGGGGAGAAACTGCGTCCCTATATCTGCACCATGATGGGACGCCCATGACGTATCTGCTTCCGACGGCGCCGGGTTCTGGGACAAGGCAGGCTGCTGCGCCTGCCCTGGGCTCGCTAGTGATACGACGGGCACAGGGCGATCGCTTCCTGTTCCACCACCGGCAAGCTGGGATGCTGGGCCAGTTCTCTGTCTCTTTGGCGGTTGTTCCGAATAGGGCGGATCCGGTCCCGTGGGAACGGCCTCGTATGAACAAGAGACGCCTGTGCGTCTGCATTGCTGGCAGACCGGCTTTTGCTTGTCGCATTTCACCTGTTCGACGAATGAGCAGAAGCGCGGAACATCTCGCCGACATCAATGTAACACACCTTTCTCCGCTTGCACGGAATGCAGGTGAGGGAGGCCCGGACCCGTGTAACCGGACGGCCTTCGGTAGCCATTAAACTTTGGTTGAAGGCTTCCCCGGTCTGGTTACTGATTGACTTTCGGCCGGGTACAGTGGGTTTTGAGTCCGAATAATATATACATTACCCGAATTGGCCCCCAATGGCGAACCACTGGTTCGCCAACAGAGCGATCGTCCCACGTAGCTGTGTCTCCCATCGTGCCGAATTGTGGTAAGGCTCCAGAACTCAGGTGACTCCAGAAAAAGTATGCTGTACATGCACCTTTAAGCCTCAAGAGTTTAGCATGGTTTCTACTGGTCTTTTTGGGCATCAGTTGTTGACCGGTTTGAGTCTCCCTGCAGGTTTCTGTCTCGAAGTAGAAAGATAGCATCGCTATATGATAACGTCGCATTCAACCAAGTGGCAATGTGCATGTTGCACCACATAATGCAGACATATGTATGGTAACACGGAGACGCCAGATCTGTGGGCGATTCGCTGGTTTACTGCTTGTGTGCTACCTTATGCATTCCATCCTGGCTGCTGCACACTCCGTCCTGCTCCACCAATTCTCTGTGGCAGGCATCAACTTCGTGATTTCCACCAGCCTTTGAAGCACAAAAATTCCATTATTTTAGGCGATATTTCGCCCTTGCCCAGCTCTCGTGGCCATGTGAAGTTGTCCTTTTTACCGCAAGTCGGACCTAGTGTCATGAAATTGTCAACCGCGGAGTGCAGAGATCTGACTCAACAATTTCCGACGAGGATGGCCAGTGAATGAGCATCATAAAGAGCGCAAGGCAGGAGCAAGTATCGAGCATGCTAAGTTGAGGGGAGGAGGGTGCTTTCAAAAGTTTGATTGGTTTTTATGAAGGGACCATGATCCTTGCCAAGGTGGAAGTCTAGTACCCTTGCTCGAGAAAGATTTGGGAGAGTCAATTTGCGCTTGAGCATTTTAGTCGGCTATCAGAGACACAAGATGAGGTTCCCAGTGGGGCTGTCCTTTTCAGCCCTGACCTTTGTGGGCAGCCACAAACTGTGGCCAGCTGAAAACAGGTTGTCCCTCGGCCGGGCTTGGATAGATTGGTTCTAGATTGCCGGGCGTTACGTTACTCGGCTTATGGCTTGTAACTAAGACATTATGCTAAGCCCATGGCTTGATGCTTAGGTATGAAGCGGGCAAATAGAACTCCGTCATCAAAGGCCAGACGTGAAAAAGTCACCGAGATCCCTCAGGTGCAGCAACGCCTCAGCTCGAGGCGTCGGTGACTCGGCCGACCCATTGGCCCATCTCGCCGTTTCGAACCCCGAGACAACTTTGATGTACTGCTGGCATATGTACTTTCTCCAAGCCACTAGGTACCTACGGAGACATCGAAACAAAGATGGACGCGACCGTAGCTCAAGCAACATAGTGAGCTTGAGACACTTGTGCCTCATTAAAGTGGGCGATTGGAATGTATCTGTTTCCGCAATCTCTAATTAGTAAGCCCACCCTCTTGTCCGGCTCCCTTTGTCTCCAAAGCCAGAATATCAGCTGACACAAATTCCTAGTGCTTTCATGACATAAGATGCAATAGGAGCACATGAAAACCTACAATACCGGTCTGCGAGTCCTCGTTTCCTTCACTACGCTTACGAGACACCCAGCCATGCGCTAAACAAGAAAACCTGTAGCCATTCCACCTTCAGAACGCACTTCTGGAAGCAGTCATGGGCCAGCCTCTCATTCCCCCCACCCCAGCCGGTACAAGCGAGGCCGGAAAGACGATCATCGTCACGGGAGGAAATACCGGCTTGGGCTACGAGGCCGCTAGACAATTCCTCACTCTGGGCGCATCGCGCGTCATACTTGCTTGTCGCTCCATTTCGAGAGGCAAGGAGGCTGTATCTGCCCTCAAGGCCGATCCCGAGGTCCAAAAGGCCAACCCGTCGGCGACAGTTGAGGTATTTGAGCTCGACCTCGATGACTATCAGTCAGGGCTCAGATTTACGGAGAGGGTCAAGAAGGAGGTCAAGGAGCTAGATATACTACTAAACAATGGCGGCATGGTGGCCATGAAGTACGAGAGAAGCAAGAGCGGACACGAACGCATAATGCAAGGTGAGGGCGTCAACGCGACAACATGCCCCTGCACGGTGGGAAGCTTTACTCACATACTCTGGTTTCATATTATCTAGTAAATTGCTATACGCACATCTTGATCTGCCTCGAGCTCTTCCCCCTCCTCCGCTCCACCGCTGCAGCCCGAGGTTCTCCCGCGCGCGTCACCTTCGTCGGCTCGGGACTCCACATCAACGGACACACGCTGTCTAAGAAACCCATCTGGGGAGGAGAATCTGTGCTGGGCCACTTGGACGACGAGCAAATCTTCGACAAGATGAGCCGGTACGCGGACAGCAAGCTCGCAGTGGCCGCATACGTCAGGCGCCTGGGCGCCGTGGCGCCGACCGAGGTCACCGTCAACCACCTCTGCCCCGGACTGGTCCAGACAGGCCTGGATAAGCACCTGCCGTTTTTCTTGAAGCCGATCATGTGGACGTACCGCAAGACATCGGGCCGCACTGTTCAGGAGGGTGCTCGCACCCTGATTCATGCCTGTGCTGTGGCGGGCCCTGATACCAATGGTAAATTCTTGCAACATAACAAGATCCAAGCGTACGTCACACAAAAACAGGGAATCCGATACTGTGCGTGGACTAGATGCTGATGAGATCTTATAGTGGCGCTCCCTTTCTTGACGAGCCTGCGGGGCATGAGTTTACCGACAAGCTCTGGACAGAGACTGTTGAGGATGTGGCTGCTATTGACCCGGAGTTGCGAGTTTTTGCTTGACTGCATTGATGTAGCTAACGTTGATGTTAAACATTCTCTCTGTTATCTAAACAGGAACTTTGAATTCGACTCTTTTGAGTTGATGTCAGTGCCCAAATAATGCTAGTGCATAGAACGTGGAAGTTCGGGGAATGTATGAATAGTAGTTTCTTACAAATCAACTGGATTAGGAGTCAAGACAATGGAAAGACGTTATAACTACAGGGACTTGACATTCGTATGAAGAAACATTTTCAGATCAACGGCCAATTGTTGAAGATCTTGTATATATGAGACAAAGTCCTGTGTCGGCACAGGAAGGACATCGTCCTACCGCTCCAAACCACTCGGCCGGGTACTTGTGGGTCTAGGACTAAACAAGAGGTCGGCAAAACTTCAGGACACTAACTAAATGTCTAATCTGCTCTTCTCTTTGCTGTGAAAGTGAATTCGCCATGGAACCAGGCCACCACCATATCATCCCAGCGCATATCAGCATCGGTCGTATCCGTCTGGAAGTCAAACCGTCGAATGAGGTAGGCCAATATGAGGTAGAGCTCCATATACGCTAGATTGATACCCAGGCAGGCGCGGGTACCTTTGCTGAAGGGCACAAGAAAATGATTCATCTCGGCGAGGCGCTCCGCCGTGTTGCCCCTTTGCTCAGTCTCCAGCCATCGCTCACTGCAGGGACACGAGTAAGCCATCAATTCGGAGATACAGGATGAACCGACGGTCGAAGAAAGAGGACTACTTACGGAATGAAGAGGCCGGGTTCAGGGAATATGTCTTTGTTGTAATGAATATGGTATATCGCCATGCCGACACGCGTCTCTTGAGGCAAAAAGCGCCCGTCTGGCAGTGTCACACCGCCCTTGGGCACCAGCCTAGGTGTGCGACTTGCAGCTGGGCTGGCATATCTCAGACTCTCTTTGATGACAGCCGTGAGATAGGGCAGTTTCTCGATGACTGTGTACGGTGCCGTGTCTGTCGGTCTTGGCAGCACGGATTTGAGCTCACAAAGCAGCCTGGTGTGGATGGCCTCGTGGCGGATGACGTTGAATAGACCTACCATGACTGATATCCCTGTAGTGTCGGTTCCCGCCGATATCATGGTCAATGCCTCATCACGTAAACTATCGTGAGAGGCACGCAAGAAATTTCTCTTGTCGGGATCCACAGTAAGCATCCGCTCCATCACGGTGGGAAACTCTGGCTTGGTGCCACCGTCGTACGCCGTGACAAAGTCGTCGACTCGGCGCCGAGTAAACTGTGTTTTCACGGAATAATTAGACACGCGGTCTGAACACGAGGGGAGCCACCCAATGGGCGTTTGGCAGAATCTCCACAACGTACTATCTCCTGCTCCTTGCCTTGAGCAACAGTCTTCGAAACAACTCTTGCCAGCCACAGGGGCAAACTTTCCGAGAGTATGCGTACGACGGGGAACGCCTTGATAACGTGCAGGCTATGCAAGTATGCACGGAACACCTGGATCGGTGCGCTCTTGAAGTCGTCATCGTATAGAGCACCGAAGCTTTTCCCAAAGACGAACTCCGACACGATGTCCAGGCTAAGGCTCTTGAGCGCCCACTCCACCGGCACGGGTCGGCCCTCGTTATACCTGTCGTCGAAACGTTCGCAACAGGTGTCGATCTTCGCCATGACCATGGGTTCGAGCTTGAGGATGGACTGTCGGGAGAACAGAGACTCCAACTGTCCACGACGCCTCTTGTGCGCGACGGGATCTACCTCGGCCAGGGTGGAGCTGGGAGCACCGAGGACCTTGTGCATGAGAGGGTCTTTGTAGTAGCGGGTGTTGAGCGAGTAGAGCTGGTGGTAGAACCGTGGGTCGTATATGTGGACCTCGTTTGGGCCAAGTCGGATGGCCGTGCCTGCGGCTTGTGTCAACTCCACCGGCGCAACCCCTGCCTGATATGCTTGGGTGGATGCTTACCGTATTCTGTGCTGCGGTGCATCTTTTCAAGCAGGAATAGAGTCTGTCCCCTATTTCCTGGCCTGGTACCAATGTTATGCCAGGCCTCCCAGCTTGTCAATCACACTGGTCAGCCACTGCCTCGATGTGCGTCCCAGTTTGGAGGCAAGAGAGATGTACTCACTACTCGGATAATGCTGCCCATGGGGAGCCGGGATAGACCGAAAGGGGGCTAAAGTAGAGTAGATAAAGCGCACGGATGATACAATAAAATACATAGGTAAGCACCATGCCGCCGGTGGCATGGATGATGTAGCTTTTGCTGTCCATTAGAGCAACCGCGTTTCTTTTCTCTGTCTCTGATGTTCGAGAAGGAAGTTGCCGCAAAATGGCATAAATTAATCTGAAATAACTATAATGCACCGCAAGAATCCTTTTTTTCCAGCTGGAAACAGGACGCCCGGTCGCAGTTCCATGCCCGGTTCAGAATGGCAGAGGGCCCGCTGGACTCGGGCGAGTCGGCTTATCCAACCGGCCGAGCAAAGGAGTGGGAGCGTCTGATTCCGTCATGTCAGACCATATTTTAAGGCATAAGAGGACTCGCATATTACATAGAAGGGAAAATCAACGGGTTCTTGTTTAAAACAAATATTCAAATGCCACGGTGAACTATTGAGAAGCTTTCAATGGACTACGTGGTGACCTGGCCGTCGTCGGGCCAGCCATATCCTGTGGTACAGGCGCTCCGGTCTTTGGCCCCGGCGACTGGACCGTTTGTTCCGCAGTACATTGTATTTGCAATGCTAATGACTCCTGTTTCCCTCATATTTCCGTCAGGTTCAACTTTCCGAAAGACGTCCTACTCTCTGCAAATCTACTTTATGCTATGCTCCTTCATTGGCCCGTTACCTCGACACAGCTCCCAAGCAGACTTGTACAACCTAGGACTTTTGGTGGGAGGATGGAGCGCCAGAATGATTGACCGTGAATACCTAAACGACCCCGAGCAAGATTTCCTGCGCCATGGCATTGACGATAAACCTGGGTCTGGCCCGCAAACGTACGGGCTCGTCGACAGATTCTTGTGGGCCACAGAGATGATTACGTCTCAACGAGGCATTGGGTGGAACTGGCAAGTCGGCGGAATACCAAAACCTGACATCTCCTCTAGATGGCCCTTCATCCGCAACAGACTGTACAAAATATGCACGACGTTCTTCCTCATCCATTTGGTTACCATTGTGGCCAATGCAATTCTTGCCGATGACACCGGGACTTCCAATGGCGCTTGGGTGGCTTTAATGCGTCAACCAATATTTCTGCGCATATTCATCACATCTGGATGGCTTACGGTTGTCTACGGACACGTGGGTCTGCCCGAGAATATTGCCGCCGTGGTGTGTGTAGGATCTGGACTTGGAGGACGGTGGTCCAACCCGACACAGTGGTCAGTACATTTGCATGGATCTCATCCCCTTATTATACATACATAAAGAAGACTTTTGAGAAGCAAAGAGTATCCAATCATTCTGAGACCACATCTACTGCCAGATTTCTCAACGCTAGAAAAGGGTATATCCTACTAACATCCTTCCAGGCCGCCAATGTTTGGGAATATCAGGGAGGCCTACACGTTGAGACGCTGCTGGGGGTAAGTCGACGACAGGACAGATGTTCTGAAATCCTGTTAGAAACTTACTCAATGTCCTGACGCTGTGCCGTAAAGGAAATTCTGGCATGCTATGCTGAGACGGGTGAGTCCTCAAGATGTAGACCACAACGTCAAACCCTCCTCCTTGTTCATACATCATGAACCGTTGACATGGAGAGCTTCATCACACTGACATAGATAATCTTGTCGATTGCAGACTACCAATGCTCCAGGCGAGTGGCTCGTACGGAAAGATATACTGCCTCGCCGCCCGGCACACCGCCTATCCCGAATTGCCAGGCGGTACAGCCTCCTTTTCCTCGCTTTCCTCGTTTCGGGTTTGATACACGCCAGCGGATCGTACATGGTGACGCGCGACTCCGCGCAGGGAGTTTCAGACGGGGGAGCACTTGCGTACTTCTTGGCGCAGCCGGCTGCGATATGCATCGAGGACATGATCCTCGCCAGCATGGGCGTGTCCGATGATGGGAGACCGTCGCGCCTCCGGAGAACCATTGGGTACATCTACGTCGCTGGCTTCTGGCTCTGGTGCTTTCCAACCCTCAAAGTGATGCCGCTAGCCGCTTCTCACGGGTTGAGCGATCCACGAGGCAAGATGCGGGGGGCTGTTCGTGCATGCAAGGAATTGTCTGAAGCTTCTCCATTCAATCCGGCAAAGAACATTGTAGATTACATTCTGAGGTAGTCCTGTAGGTGTATTGAAGACAAGGAATCCATTAGCGGTGGACTATGAGGAACATGTGGCCTCCTTTGATCTGCATGTCCGGCGTCAGATACATCCAACTGTCGAGCAACGACCAGCAGGTATTGTTGCCGTCCAGTCGATTTAAAATACAGATGGGTTTGAATATCTCCGTATTACCATATCACCCTTGACTCTAGTGAATTGTAGATTCGGGCTGTTTCAAATTGCCAACAAAACATGTCGATACTTTTGGGAACATCACATTCTTTCCGTATTCTGTATATATCGCTGCAGCTCTTGATTGTCTGCATCGTAGTCCTTTTTTAAAGGGAAAGAACAAAAACAATTAAACCGTTCCGTTATCGCTAATCTCCCATGCGCTACCTGTGCTTGTCTGTATGAAGACTAAGCGCCAGTTCAGAGCGCAGACAACCACGTATAGAATTTGGCATAATACTATCGATGGCCGTGGTGCGGCTGCAATCCTGTCCATACAAAATCAGCTCTTATTGGTGTATGTGAATTCCGTGATCTTGAGAAGGATTGGGAAGTCATACACGGGGCCGAAAATCCCATGATTGTTGTTTTTCTCGGCCGAGAATCTGAGCTCCGTATAGCGCCTGCGGCTGCTCCTGTTCACGACGCATGTCAAATGCTGATTGGCGGAGCTCTCGGCCGAGGATATGAGACCAAATGAGATGTCGATTCCTCTAGGGTGTCGGCCGAGAGATGCAGGGCCGACCTTGCTCCATCCTGTCTTCTGCACGGGTTGATCATTCGCGAACAAGCTCTTGATAATCCATGTGATTATCACTGATGAGGAGCCGCGGATATCAAATTCGACAGTACATGCCAAGCATCTTTGGGCCCGGGGAATGGTGAAAGGCTGTTGCAGGCCCTCGTTGCTGACGGTCCCCCAACAGCTGGACCCTCTGCTCTCATACCGTCAACGTTCCATAGACAACCTATACTAGCCAATCGGACTATGCAGGGCTTTGTGAACTTCTCGAAGTTCATTTTGCGTAATGTTGTATTCCATCCAGCAACATCGCTCGCTGCCAGTCTGAAGTCAGATATACGGCGGCAAGCGCCACTCATTGCTTATTATCTACCGAGTTAGTTTCCCTCTTGTTCATATGTGCGGCCATTGAATTTTGGTTGGAAGTAGCGCGTGTCAAAGGGCTGATTCCCTTTATTGGACGACAACGTGTGTGGTGGGTTCATAAACAAGGCCGAAGGTTCTCCTTCGTGCTGCAAGAAGTGGATAAAGTAGGGCCCATGGTATGATCCGCACACCACGTCTGTACATTGCTTCATCACAGATATTGTAGTGCCGGTATTGGCATTTCTGGAAGCCTTATTGTGATGGCCCTCCATACGATGGAGTTTGATGACGATATCTGCTCCATGTCCGTGAGATCTAGAGCCTCGACGCCCGACTTCGGCTGCTTCACGGCACGGCCGAGAGCTTTTCTCATTTAAATAACTTTGCCAGTCATGGTAGATTTCAGGATGATGTCGCCCCTGATTATCCACCGGAAAAAGCGAAGATGGAGCGAATTGATGTTCACCACCACTTTATCCCCGAGGCGTACATTGAAGGTGAGTCAAATCCAACCAGGCCGTCAAACACCTAGGCAGGTGTCACTAATGGATGAAAAGCCTTTCATGCCGGTGGTGGAGATGCCTCGGGCTGGACGCTTCCATCATGGAGCCCGCAAGCAAGCATAGATCTCATGCAATCGCATCAGACAAGCACTGCCATCCTATCTCTTACGGCCCCCGGGCCCATGGTGCTCCGGACGGACCTCAAGGCTGCATCTGCACTCTGCCGGGAGATCAACGAGTGCGCCGCCTCCTTATGCAAAGAACGGCCAACGAGATTTGGATTCTTCTCGACCCTGCCTCCCGTGGTCGATGGCAACATGGACGCTGTGCTTGAGGAGGTAGCCTATTCACTAGACATCCTAAAGGCCGATGGGGTCACCCTATTCACGAGATATGGATCCCGATATCTTGGGCACAAAGCGCTCCGTCCGCTGTGGGAAGCCTTAGAGAAACGCCGCGCAGTAGTCTTCGTTCACCCGACACACTCGGCCAACACAGACCTAGTCAGCCCTGCGCTTCCACAGCCGGTCATAGACTACCCACACGAAACAACCCGAGCGGCTGTCGACCTGATCACCTCGAACACTGTCAGGGACCACCCTAACGTCAAGATCATTCTTTCTCATGCCGGCGGCACCCTGCCATATCTGGCAACTCGAGCCGCGCATCTGTTGGCCGACGCCCATCTAAGCGCTCAAAGCCCAGATGAGATCTTGGACCAAGCGCGCTCTTTCTACTTTGATCTCGCGCTATCTGGGAATCCTTCTACGCTGGAATTGATCCTCACGTTCGCCAAGCCCGGCCACGTCTTGTACGGCAGTGACTTCCCTTACGCACCCACCAAGACGATCAACAGTTACGTGGAGATGCTTGATGCGCACTTGAGAACGATAGATGATGAGACTGCATACTCGATTGCTCGGGGGGCAGCAATCCGTCTTTTTCCAAGATTCAGAACTGCTGCGGACGATAGGGATAATACTAATTGATGGAAATGGAAACGGTACCGGAGGTGCTTTATGGCGGGTGCGGGTAACTCATCGCATATTAAGGCAGATGAGTTGTCCATGATACTTCCTTAGCATAGACCGCTTCTCGCTTTATCAGGTCAATTAGTGACAATATCCGGGCCTCTCGGCCGAAATCAAACTATTCTGTTCCTTGATACCCGTCGACTGAGCCGACTCAGGATTTATGACGTGAAGACTATCTGCTTTTATCACGTAGAGGAATGGGATTGTGAACGTTGCCCTCAAAGTCACATTTCATGACACCTCGCCATGTATTCCGTACTACTATGGATGCTGGGCGTAGTGCTTGCGCTATTCCTCGGTCTTTACTATGGACAATCCAGGCCACCGATTCCGGCACCAGCTGGGCCGCCCCGGCTTCCCATCATTGGAAACCTCCACCAGATACCCAGGACGGGTGTCCATCATAGGTTAGCTGGTGGCATCATTGTGTGGTTAGCTAGATTGCGTCGACGGCTTTGCTGACGAGCATATATCCTCAGGTTCACACAATGGGCCAAGATCTACGGTGGCATATTCGGCCTCAAGCTGGGTCCAGCCCGGGCGGTCGTAATTACAGACCGACGACTGGTAAAAGAGCTGATCGACAAAAAGGGTTCAGCTTACAGCTCCAGACCACCATCGTATGTCTCGCACGACCTCATCACACGAGGGGATCATCTCTTGGTCATGGACTACGGCGATAGATGGCGCTTGCTTCGCAGAACCTTGCACAAGTTCTTCATGGAGGTCATGTGTGCGACCAAGCACATGGCCCTCATAGAGGCAGAGCAAACTCAGATGATGCGGGACTTTCTGGTGAACCCCGAGCGTCTGATGGTTCACACCAAAAGAACGAGCAACAGCATCATCATGAGCCTGGTATTTGGCATACGGACCAAGTCCCACGACACGATGCACATGAAGAAGCTTTACGCCGTGATGGAGCGCTGGTCTGAGGTGATGGAGATGGGCGCTACGCCGCCGGTGGATGTTTACCCCTTTCTCAAGCTTCTTCCTGAGTCGCTGTTTGGCAACTGGATCCAGCGATCGCTGGTCGTTGGCAAGATGATGAAAGAGCTTTACAGTGGCATGCAGTCCAAGCTGCTAGCACGGCGCCTCGACCGAGGCAGCAGTGCCTCATTTATGGACCAAGTACTCGATCAACAGGACAAGCTGGCCTTGACTCCCAACCAGCGAGATTTCCTCGGTGGCGTGCTCGTGGAGGGTGGTTCAGACACAGTCTCGACCATGATGCTGGTGGTAATCCAGGCGCTGACGCTGAATCCGGATGTCCAGAGGAAAGCCCAGGATCAGATCGACGCGGCGTGCGACGACGAGAGCCCACCAACGTGGTCCAACTACCAACAACTGCCCTATATCAGCATGATCGTCAAGGAGGCGATGCGCTGGCGCCCAGTCACCCCGCTGGCGTTCCCCCGTTCCCTCGCCAAGGACGATGTCGTCGACGGCAAGCTCTTGACCCGGGGCACCACTGTCTTCATCAACGTCTGGGGCCTGCATCACGACGAGAAGAAGTTCCCAAACCCAGACAGGTTCGACCCAGAGCGCTTTGAGGGGAAAACTAGGCTGGCGGCCGAGTATGCAGCGTCGGCCGACTACGACAACAGGGACCACTACATATACGGCGCTGGCCGTCGCATCTGTCCCGGCATCCACCTGGCCGAGCGCGAGATGTTCCTGGGCACCGCGAAACTGCTATGGGGCTTCAGCTTCGAGCAGCAGCGCGACGGCGATGGACGGGCCGTCCCCATTGACACAGACCCCGTGACGGGATACACCGAGGGTTTCCTAATCTGCCCAAAGGACTTCGCCTGCCGGGTCTTGCCTCGGTCGGAGAGGCGAGCCGCGACGATCATGCGCGAGTTTGAGAAGGCAGAAAGGCAGGTCTTCTCGCAATATCGTGACTGAAGCCGGCTCTTGCTGGGTTATGTTGACCTCGGCCGGATGCTCAAGTTCTCGGCCGGAAGCCAACTTGAGAGCTAGTAAATGTTCGAGACAGATAGACAAGGCTTATTCGGAGCATTGTTCAAGTACCTAAAAAGACACGCTTTGCTCGGCGTAACCGATGCAGCGAAGCCATGCCTGTATGCGTCAGCTCCTGATTAGCCGCATACTACAAAATCCAATCAGCGGTTGCTAGTACTCTCGTTCATCGTTTGTGAGACCTCACGTGTCACTCAACATGGCTCCTGCAAAGCCCACGACTTATACCGCTGGATCTCACCCCGTGAGCAAGTGCGTGCATTAACGCCCCCCCAACCAAACAAGCACAGAGAAAGAGAGGCGTCACGGCCCTCTGACAGATTAATACAAACAAGCAGATTCGAGGGCGCCTTCGTTGTGACCAAGCACACGCCCCCGAAGGACCGCAACATCTACTTCCACGTGCGCATCGACCCGAACCACCCCCGGCTGCTCGCCCTCCAGGCGGCGGGGAAGAAGCCCCCGACGCACTTCCACCCGCGGCAGTGGGAGTACTTCAAGGTCGAAAGGGGCTCCCTCACCGTCGAGATCGACGGCGTGCCGCACGACTTCACCGCCGCCGACGGCGAGTACGCGCTGCGCCCGGGCCCGCACCACTGCCTCTACGGGACGCCCGGCCAGGCGCCGGGCACCGCCGTCGAGTTCTGGCTGAGCGCGTCGCCGTCGGGCGTCGCGGGCGAGCTGGACCAGGCCTTCTTCGAGAACTGGTACGCGTACCAGGAGGAGGTCATGCTCCGCGGGGCCGCGCCCGACCCCATCCAGGTGCTCAGCATGTTCGACGCGGGGGACAGCTACCTGTCGCCGCCCGCCTGGGTGCCGTTCCGACGCTTCTTCGGCCGGGCGCTCGGGGTCGTCGTGGGCCGCCACGTCGGCGGCCTCCTCGGCTATGCCCCCTTCCTGCCCGAGTGGACGACGGACTGGGATGCGGCCTGCCGCAAGATGAGTCTTCACTGGACGCAGCGGCGGTTTGCCGTTCCGGGCCTGCAGAAGGAGAGAAGGGCTGAATATCTCGGTCGAGGGCAGTCGATAGGGAATGAAGCGTTGTATGAAGAACTCGGTGGTTATGAGAACTGGGTGGCCAAGAAGACAAAGTGACGCGGCGCGCATCTGAGGAATGCGTAGCATATTTAAATTGTTTGAATCCCTGATGGTGAAAGGCAACCTGGGCCGTCCAACCCCTCAAATACGTCGGACAAAATCTCAAGCTATTCCTTCAAATATCCCTGATCAAAGTGGTCTCGTTTTTAGTCTGTACACATGTGCTTCTTAAGCAGTATGCATCCAGTCCCTTCATACAGTGGTAAACGCTTAAATATCCCTAATCAAAAACCCTTTGTTCTGCAGCTTCTGAAAAACCTGGCCCGGGTCGTACTTGGCGGCGACACGCTTGATATGATCGACGTTGCCGCGGCCAAAGCTCTGAAGCACCTGTTGCTCGGCGCTGGCGGTATTCATGAAAAGGTACGGCAGGAGCACACCCCTCGCCCTCGCCGCCGCTGTCAGCTTGGCCGTTATGGCAGCCCCCAGAGCGCGGAGCTGGTCATCGTGGGCGGCGTCCTCCCACTGGAGGTACCACTCGTGCCACTGCTGCGGGACGGCGGACAGGCCGAGCAGGTTGCCCCCGTTGCGCCGGCCCATCTCTGCGGCGGTCGCGCCGACGGCGATGGGGACCCAGGTCGCCTCGGCCCCGGGGGGCAGGTTGGCCGTCTCGGCGCGGAAGATCTCGTGGGCCTCGACCGCGAAGGCGGCGTCGACCTTGTGGCTGAAGGTCTCCCCGTAGGACCGGACATGAGCCTGGGGGAAGGCCAGCCTGCCCAATGCCAGCATTCCGACGAGACTGCCATTGGTGGGAGGCATCAGCTGCTTGTACGATGGTATGCTGCCAAATGCCCTGAAGGCCGGCGCGTGGGACACGGGCTTGAGGTAGAGAAGGAGGGCGGTGCAGGCGGTCGACGAGATGGTGAGGTCGACCCTGGACAACGGATCCTTCTGCCCGTCCAACTGATAGCTTGCGAGGGCCTGTAGGGCCTGGCGGCTCTGGTTGAATCCGTACTGGCGCACCTCATAGTTCAGGGGGCCAGACGGGTAGGTGTACAGTTCAAACGCGGTGACGATACCTATATTGATTCCAATGTTACTTCAAGTTGTGGTCAGAACAGAAACCAGTGGCAGTTGGAAATCATCTGGCACTTCCCATACCATACGTACCAAAGTTTGCAGCACCTCCCCTAAGCCCTTTGTAGAGGTCAGCGTATTCGGACGCGCACGCGGTGACGATGCGACCACTGCTCAGGACCACCTCGAAGCTTTTGACATTGTCCATCCCAAGGCCATACTGGCTGGTATGGTAGCTAACGCCTCCTGCACACACGGGTCAGCCACCTCCAACCTGCGAGCGACCATTGCAAAGAACCCTCGGTGCTGGATACGTACCACCCAAGAGGAAGCCCCCCACGCCGACCATGCCGACTCGTCCCCCGACAGCGACGAGACCTTTGGCGGAGAGATATGTGTACACGGCGTCCCAGCGGCTCCCAGCGCCTACGGTGACCGAGCCGCCGCCGCTGGCCAGGGCCATCGTGGTGAGGTTGGAGAGGCTGATGAGCACGCCCGAGCCATCGACGCTGGCGAATCCCGGGTTGTCGTTGTGGCCACCACCGCGCACCGCAAACTTGGTCTGGAGCTGTCCGATGATGCTGATCGCTCTGGCCGTCTGGCGCGAGTCCTTGGGGCTGACAATGCAGCCTGCTGGCAACCAGCAGGTCTCGGAGCTGTGCTTGCGAGGTCAGCAGATCGGTCGAACCCTCTCCACACTCACGCCTGCTGCATGCATCAGCCGTGACGACGTGCAGCAGGCGGGGAGCCTTACTAGTTTATCTCCCTGGCCGCGTCGTATGCGCCGCCGGAAGACGGGGAGACGACCGCGGTGTCACCTCCGCCAAGAGCTATGCCCAGTGCCTTACATGTGAAGGCGGGGTCATTTGTCGGCGGTCTTCCCGGGCCCCCCAAGGCCTGTACGACAGCAGGGTCATACTGCGTCGAGGCTGCATAACCCGCGTCCAATGCGAGGCCGCTGGCTTGTGCGACGAGAAACGCCGCCGCAAGGAAGACACCAGTGCGGATTTCTGCAAAGACTCGCATCGTTACACTAGAAACGGTTTTCGGTTATGCTTCGATTCAACTGCTAGAATGATGGCGTAGTCTACAGTCCATGTTTGAGTTCACGCGATAACCACACCAATTTATACATTGCAAGTTCACAGGAATGAACTGTTCGGCCCCCAGCAGCTCCTCCGGAAAGAAGCATTGAAGGCGACTCTCTGTGCCTCCCCTAGGCGTCACAGGATCACTAGTTTTCGATAGAATCATTCCATCCGAGCTCTTGGGGGTCAGAAAAACAGCCTTGAGCCTGGAAGGAGGGTTTCTGAGGAAGGAGGCACAAGGCTGACCATACCCTCATTCTATGGTCAGGAACACACGACCAGGATTACTTTGCTATGTAACCAAAATTGAACTTAACTCACAATGTCTCTGCCCAAAGGTCCAGACCCTGGCGCTAGAAGGTTCTCGCCCCAGAATTCTGCATCCGAAAGAGTGTTGAAGCTACGAGGCTGGAAATTGTCTGGGTTGTCCGGAACGGCTGGGCGCGACTACCAGAACAGGCAGCTGGGTACTGTTCGTCGGCCGATAGCAGGCACCTGTCCAGGCTTCACAGCTATTAATATGCAGTAAGGTCCTTTTGAAATATTCATTAGAAGGAACTGTGGCTTGTCTCACATGCACACGGAGGCGTTGTCACTCGTTCGACTGAGGCCTCTGGCGCACTGTAAGCACTAGGTGTCTCATGGACTATCGAAACCAAATGTTATTTTCTTCAGTAATATCCCAATGCCCTCTTCAGCCTTCTACATGATCCTTCCCTTGAGTGATGCAACCAGCTGTTGCAGATATGCGTGCCTGAATGCTAGCTCAGCCAGCATGACCACGGTCAAGTACAGCCCCAGTTTGATATTCGCCCTGAATATGCGGCCACCAGATTCTCGGTCGTCTAGATCGAGTGATCTGACATGCCGTGGAATGTTGACAGTCCAGACCCCGAGGCCCAGGACCCAGAATATTACTGACAGCCCCGCCCTGAAGCCAGCCAGGGCAAAGCAGGAGACCTGCAACACCCCAAGCGCGCCGAGGAGCAGGTGGACATGCTTGCCGAGAAGGACGGCCAGGGACTTGACGCCAATCTTGGCATCATCTGACGCATCCTGCGTCGCGTAGAATATGTCAAAGTAAATGACCCAGAAGAACGTGGCCCAGAACAGCGGGAGGGGCCCGGCCAGGTCGTCGACGCGTTCCGTGACGGCGGCCCAGCCGGGGAAGACGGCCGCGCCGATGATGGCGCCGAGCACCACCTGGGGGAACGGGATCAGGCGCTTCATGAAGGGGTACACGGCGCTCAGCAGCCACACGGGGATGAAGCTGATGGCGGCGGCGTCTCCGAGGGTGGCCCGCGTGGTGGAGACCGTGATTGGCACCCACGCTGCGAACGCCACCATGGCCTCCTGGACGGAGATGAGGCCCGCGGGGAGTGGTCTGGTCTTGCAGCGGTCGACGTGGGCGTCAAGGTTCCGGTCGCAGATATCGCTGTGCAGTTTGAGTGATGAGTCACGAGACTCCTCGGGCAAAAAGAAGTAGAGCAGACACGTGCAGCAAACCCCGAGACCCTCGGATTGCGGACTCACTTGAAGGTACAGAAAGCGCAGTGTGTGGAGGTGACACTCGCCCATATTCCGAAGAGGATCCTCCCCAGGGAGCTGATGTCGAGCGAGACGCCCCCGGACCCGCAGGCCACGCAGCTGGCCCAGACGGCGGGATACCAGCACAGCCACGCCTCGCGGGTGTGAAGCCGGGCTAGTTCCCACACGCCCCGGATGACATCGCGGTTTTGGTCTTTGCGCGCCATTGGAGCAGGCCGAGACGCTTCGCCGGGGCAGGGCTGTCAGACTCGCCTTGGTGGGCTGTTTCGGACGGTGTTGGCTGTGGTTCGTAGCGGGGGCCACCAGCTTGAGGCTCGAGATACACTCCAGGCTCGGCCAATATCTATAAGCTGTCGGCCTGTTGTTTAAGTAGCGATACTCGGGCGTGTCTCGGCCGCCACCTTTGTACAACCTCGGGAGCACAAGTTCCTGATGTCTGTAATAGTCCTCCTCCCACGACCAAGACAGCAGGGCGAATTATGACACTCTGAAGTGTGAGTGCGGCGGGCCTAGCGTAAACCACAGTCCGCCCGATTGGAAAGATTTCGGCCGAGGGTGTCTTGCAGGGTGTGAGGATGGGCAATGCTGACTATCTGCGTCGAATTGGTCTTTTGGTCCGTTGTACGCCTAGGAATTGGTTCGGAAACGTCTCAGTTTAGCAGATCTGACGGATGACCACATGTTCTCTTCCGTGGAACTGCTCTGTAAATTATGCAGACACGAAACTAGTTACACTGCCTGTGTACTCGTCACAACAGACAGTGGAAAACGCTTGGTCATAAGGCATATAGCGGCTGGGAGACAATGTAAAGCTTTGTATGTACATTCCACAGGAGTTAAGTCTTATGTCCTATGTTTATGTGGTCCGTAAAGGTCAGCATGCAAATCCTACTTTGCGGGGGACCATCTGGGAAAGCGAAGGTAAGCCGACAATGCTAAAAAGCACTATCCCGGCCGGGATATATGGTGCAGTAGCGAGGATAGTCTTTAAATACTGGCAGTGCAACTAAGCCCTACCCTAAGGTGTATAAGCAGATTCCATACATTCTTGTATAGCCAGACTCACCTAGGATTACTGAGCCAAGCGAGAGAGCACAACGGCTCGTCCTATTACTTCCTGCTGGTTTATTATTAGCAACTTCCACAGCCACCCGAGGGGCAACCTGGAACACCTGCGGCTTTCAGAAACTGATTACATTGTACCACGGATTTCCGCAATGCCAATGCTGCCATCCAACGACCCACCGAGCCCGGCGGCGTCCTCCACGTCGGCCGGCATAATCGTGGGAGAGCAGATTTCCTCTTTACCGTCGTCACCGCCAGACACTGCCTCTGGCCTGGCCCAGGATTTGATACACGACCATGAGGCCAGCTCGAGAAGCATAGCCATCATAGGAATGGGCTGCCGGGTCCCCGGCGGGATCAACTCGCCTGCGGCGCTGTGGGACTACCTGATGGCCAAGGGCGACGCCTCAGGCGAGATCCCGCCCGCGAGGTGGCAGCCGTACAGGGAAAGGAGCGCGCGATGCGCGGAGATCCTGGAGAACACCACGGCCAGGGGCTACTTCCTGGACCGGCTGGAGGACTTTGACGCCTCCTTCTTCGGCGTGGCCCCGCGGGAGGCCGAGCAGATGGACCCGCAGCAGCGCATCGCGCTCGAGGTGGCCTGGGAGGCGCTCGAGGACGCGGGGATCGCGCCGCAGCAGCTGTCGGGCACCGACGCCGCCGTCTACATGGGGGTCAACTCGGACGACTACGGCAAGCTTGTGCTCGAGGACCTGGAGGGCATTGGCGCCCACATGGGGGTCGGGACGGCCTACTGCGGCGTCCCCAGCCGCATCTCGTACCTCCTGAACCTCATGGGGCCCAGCGTCGCCGTCGACGCCGCCTGCGCCTCCTCGCTGGTGGCCGTCCACCAGGCACGCCAGGCGTTGCTTGCGGGCGAGACGGAACTGGCCCTCGCCGGTGGGGTCAACGCTCTGGTTGGGCCCGGCCTGACGCGAGTCTTGGACGAAGCTGGGGCTCTCTCCGCCGACGGCAAATGCCGCTCCTTTGACGACTCTGCGTCTGGGTACGGACGTGGTGAGGGAGCCGGAGTCGTTGTGCTCAAGCGGCTCGACCGGGCATTGGCCGACGGAGACCGCATCCACGGCGTGCTGAAAGGGAGTGCCGTGTGCGCCGATGGCAAGACGGTGGGCATCATGGCCCCGAATGGGGTCGCGCAGCGGCTCGTTGCACGAAAGGCACTCAACGAGGCCAAGACGCCGCCGCAGACCATCTCCTACATCGAGGCTCATGCGACGTCCACGCCCCTGGGCGATCCCACCGAGACCGAGGCTCTCTCCCAGGTCTACGGGCGAGGCGTGCGGCAGACGGGCTCAGAGCCGTGTCCCGTGGGCTCTCTCAAGCCCAACATCGGTCACCTGGAGGCTGGGGCCGGCGTCATGGGCCTGATCAAGGCTGTCATGGTACTGCAGCACGGCGTGGTTCCTGGCCAGGTCAACCTGGAGAAGCCGAGCACCAAGATTGACTGGCTTGAGAGCGGGCTGAAGGTCAGCAGCGAGGTCATAAAGTTGGCCTGCGGGTCCTCGACTCCGGCGAGGGCTGCCATTGCATCGTATGGCTACAGCGGCACGGTCTCCCATGCCATCATCGAGGCCAGTCCGGCATGCGTGCCGGGCTCACAACCGCTGGCCACTGATCCAATGGCAGATGAGTCGCCTGTTCTGCTCTTGCTGTCGGCACCCGAGCAACATCGCTTGCCTCAAGTCGCCGCCTCCCTTGCACGATGGTTGGAATCTGGACCCGGAACAGCCGCGCCGCTGCAACATGTCGCCACAACATTGGCCAGTCGTCGCGGCCATCACAAGTTCCGGGCCTCGGTAGCCGCAGGGGACAAGAGAGACGCCATCCATGCCCTGGACAGGCTCGCCAAAGGCGCGGCTGAGGACGACCCCTTCATCACAAACGGGCGAGTCACCCCCGGTGGTACGGGTCAAAGTCAAGTGTGGATATTCTCGGGCCACGGCGCGCAGTGGCCGGCCATGGGAAGAGAGCTGTACGAGACTCAGCCTCGGTTCGCGAGGGTGATCCGTGAGCTGGAGCCCATAGCTCAAAAGGAACTGGGCTTCTCCGTCACCGCAGCCCTCCTTTCGGGGAGGACCGACCACACGACAGATGTGGTCCAGACCATGACTTTTGCCATGCATATGGGCATTGCCGCTATTCTGCTCGACGAGGCAGGCCCACCGTCGGCCATTGTTGGGCACTCTCTCGGTGAGACAGCCGCATCGGTTGTCGCCGGCGCGATCACATTCCGTGAAGGCTCGTTCATCGTATGCAAGAGGGCGCGCCTGTACCGTGATATCATGGGCCGTGGTGCCATGGCTCTGGTGGCCGTGGGCGCCGAGGAGATGAGGTCGAGGCTCGGTACGAAGGGGCCCGGACATGTCGAAGTTGCCATCGACGCGTCACCAGGCTCCTGCGTGGTGGCCGGCCCCAGCGAGTCTGTGACGGAGCTGTCGAAAGAGCTTGCAATGATGGGCGTTCAGGTCCGTGCCGTCCGTTCTGAAGTGCCGTTCCATTCCAGCATGCTCCTGGAGCTCGCCGACCCGCTGCGGCGCTGCCTGGACGGTCTCATCTCTCCCCAGCCGGCAAAGATCCGCCTCTATTCGACATCGGACCCAGACGCGCGCTCAGCCAATGCCCGAGGCGTCGAGTACTGGATCAGCAACATGGTCCGGCCTGTGCTCCTGCGCCAGGCAGTCGAGGACATTGCTGAGGACGGTCACAGGGAATTCGTCGAGGTTTCCAGCCATCCCATCATATCACACTCGGTCCATGAGACGCTGCACGAGGCGGGCTTCACCGACAGCGTCGTGCTGCCCACCATGGTGCGGGACAAGCCTGCGATGAAGCACATCCTCGCCAGCATTGGGAGGCTTCACTGCCTTGGCCTTCCTCTGAGATGCGTCGAGCCGAACGCTCGCCCGTGGCTCCCAGAGACACCGCGGACCATCTGGTCCCACCGTCCGCACTGGCGAACCGTGACCAAGGCTCCCGCCGGTCCAGCGTCAGCCCATATCCCCAGCCATAATCACCTTCTGGGGGCGCGTACGACACTGTGGGGCACCGAAAGCGTTGTGTTCCAGACGCAGCTGGACAGGTCGAGCAGGCCATACCCTGGGAGCCATCCGCTCCATGGCTCGGAAGTCGTCCCGGCAGCTGTCCTGATCAACACGTTTGCATGCCGTGGACCGCTCGTCGTGCTGTCTAGAAAGGGTATCCCTCAAGGTCCCCGTTGTGGTCTCTCCTGCCCGTCATCTTCAAGTCCTCGTCGAAAGAGATCAAATCACTCTTTCGTCACGTCTCTCAGATTCTGTGGATTGTGAAGGCTCCTGGTTGGTAAACACCACCAGCATGCTGGCCCCTTCGTCGGGTGTAGCTACAACGCCTCGCTTGGACATAGCCAAAATGAGATCACAACTTCCATACCGACTCTCTGACAGCTTCTCTGCCGACTATCTCGCTTCTGTGGGTGTTCCGGAGATGGGATTTCCCTGGAAGGTCACAGAGCACATGGCAAGCGACGACGAGATGCTAGCCAGAGTGGAGGTGAACCCAGAGAATTCTGCCGGTGTCAAAGATCCTCTGGCATCTGCCATGGACGCCGCAACATCTATCGCGTCAACACTGTTCTATCAAGAGCCCCTGTTGCGAATGCCCACCACCATCGCCCGCGTTATCGCCCGCGGCAATACAGCCGAATTATCAGAGGCCTACATTTACTGTCGAATCACGAGCAAGTCGTCCTGTGCTGCCGATATTCTCGTTTGCTCTCGGGGTGGCGAGGTCATTGTTGAGCTCCGAGCCATGGCCTTTGCTGGCATCGAGAACAATAACCTCTCCAGGAGGACAACTAACGGCCTGATACACCAGGTCTCATGGACCCCGGCAGTCTTAGCAGAAATGCCGCTGCAGTTTCGTCATGTATTGTTCCTCCTGACGGAAACAACGTGGACAGACATGAAGTCATTTGAAGATCAACTCCAATCTAGGGGGTACACGACGTCCTGGACAACGAACCCGAAGGATACCGCCGGGCTCGATGGAGACCACATAGTCATACACATCCCGCAAATGGCGAGCTCAAAGCTGGAGGTATTTGACGCTGCCGCCAGATCTTGCGAGAGCCTGATCGCGGCCGCACAGATCATAAGTGCCTCGCGCGCAAAAGCCAAGCTTGTTTCCTTAACCACCCAAGGGGATGCAACATCACTTGCAAGGCTTGTGTCTGGCTCTCTATACGGGCTGGCTCGCATCATGAAGACTGAGCTACCGGAAATATGGGGCGGGCTATTTGACATTGACAACGGCACTTTCCCATTGACGGCCATCAAATACGTCCGCGGCCATGACGTTGTCCGTCAAGACGACGATGTACCTAGGACGGCCCGGTTGCGGCCATTCACAGATGCTGCAACAGGGGAGAGCAGGGCGGAGGGGCATGGCATGAAATTCCGACCCGGTGGGACATACCTAATCACCGGAGGGCTGGGTGCTCTCGGACTTGAAGTTGCCAGCTGGATGGTCTCGCGCGGTGCACGGAGGCTACTGCTTGTGTCCCGCCGACAATTACCTCCGCGCTCCGCCTGGCGCGACACCCACGGCATCGACTGCGAAATTCTGAAGAGGATACTGGAGATGGAGATGTTGGGGGCCACAGTCCATGTCATCTCTGTGGACATCAGCGCCCCCGATGCGGATACCTCGCTCTCTGAGGCCATCGAGCGGCTTTCACTGCCGCCAGTGACCGGGATCGTTCATGGGGCTGGCATTCTGAAGGACCAACTTGTCGAGGACATCACCCAGGACGCGTTCGCCACCGTCCTCGCGCCCAAGATCACAGGGGCGCTCCACCTGGACAAGCTCTTCCCTCCACGCACGCTCGACTTCTTCGTCCTGTTCTCCTCGTGCGGACAGCTCCTCGGCTTCCCAGGCCAAGCCTCGTACGCGAGCGCCAACTCGTTCCTGGACGCCCTTGCAGACCATCGCAGGCGGCAGGGTGACAACTCGCAGGCCCTCCTGTGGACCAGCTGGCGCGGCCTGGGCATGGCCGCCAGCACCGAGTGCGTCAGCGCGGAGCTCGAGGCCCGCGGCATCTCGGACATCACGAGGGACGAGGCTTTCATGGCGTGGGACCGCGCCGCGTCGCTCGACACGAGCCAGGCTGTCGTTCTCAGGGCCCTGCCTCTCGACGACGACGACGAGGACCCGCCGCACCCGATCCTCCAGGACATCTCGCCCAGGCGGCCGGCACCCGCCACCAGAGGGGTTTCGGGTCAAAGCACAGCCGGTTCCGGCACCATGTGTCCCTCGAGGCCGGCCTCGGGGCCTGCCCTGGAGCAGTATATCTCCGAGGCGCTCCGCTCCGCCGCCGCTGCCACGCTTGGCACGGGTGACGAGGATATCGACGCGTCCTCGGCGCTCTCTGAGTTAGGCATGGACTCTGTCATGACCGTTCAGTTTAGGACCAAGGTCCAAAGAAGCCTGAGGGTCCAAATGGCACCAACGCTGCTGTGGAAGTGCCCAACCCTCGCCCATCTGGTCAAGCATTTCATGATGGAGCTCGAGGCGTGATGAAGAAAAAGAAATGTCAGGCTGAGTATCTACTCAAAATTCTAGGAGGCGCACATGCTTCTTCAAGCTGTCTCCATATGGTGATGATGAGTCTAGATCACTCTCCTATTCTCCTTGGTTGCTTTCTCACCGAATACGAGACTCTATGAGCTTTGGGGGAGGATTTGATGCATATCATACTATGACCTATCTATATGGATTTGATGATATACAACAGATAAATGAGGAACACTTCTTACGTAGCACCGCTTTCATTGTTGATCCTGTCTACATCCAGCTTCTCCCATGACAAGAACGAGCACAACACCGCCGCCAGCCCAATTGATGCAATAGCCATTCCAAAGGCAACCCTCAGTCCCGCCATATATGCAACAAGCACCCCCTGAATATCATCTGGAAACACCTTTCGAAGTTCGGTCGCCCCGGTCGCCATGACCTGGGCTACCGGTAGGTTGGGTGCTGATGTGACGAGTCTACCGCTCATGATGCCAACGAAGCCCGACTGTGCTGCGCTGACCATGAAGGAGCCGCCAATAGTCTGGAAGAATAGAAGCGTGGCCGTGGTCGAGGCCATATCTGCCGGGTCAGCTCTAGCCTGGCCCATGATCATTGGGATCTGGAGTCCCATCCCGTAGCCCACGCCGGCCAGGACTTGGTAGCCGATCCACTTGGGCGACCCAGTGCCGATGTCGAGCGTGTAGATGAGGCCGGCTCCAACAGTAGACAAGCAGCTGGCGGCGAGCATAAATGGCGTTGCGATCCCGGTCCTGGACATCAGTGCCCCAAAGACGACGGAGGTCGGACTGCCGGCCAGAATACGCGGCAGGGTTCGCACTAGGGGCGAAGACGACTGTCAGTCAATTGGGTCCAAAATAAAACAAAACAAATTGACGCCCGATCCCGTTGCTTACCGCCCGATTCTGTAGCGCTGACGCCGTCGATGGCCTGGAAGTAATACGACATGTAGTAGACGAGGATGAAGTAGCTGCCGGCAAAGAAGAATATGACGACCGACGGCACAAGGACATCGCGCCGTAGTAGTATCCGCGGGACCATCATGGCCCGCTCTCCTTGAAACCACTCCCACAGCGCGAAGGCAATTGCGATGGCAACGAAGCCGACGAGGAGCCCAATGACGTCCCGGTCGTCCCAGGGCTTGGTCAGCCCTCCGTCCTGCAGAGCCAGGGTGTAGGAGGTTACGGCACCCATGACCATGGCGACGCCAGCAGGGTCCAGTTGAAGAAGCTTCTCGACCAGCTTCGCCTGCTGCGGTTTGGCACCAGCAGGGGCGGTGAAGAAAAAGAATATGATGACCCACGACACGCCACCGACGGGGAGGTTGATATCTGCAGTGTGAATGTCAGTACGGGGTGCTTTGTTTCCCCTTGACAACGTGTGGAACATGACAGACAGAAACACCATCTCCACGACAGGCGATCTGTCAGGACTCCTCCGAGCAGCGGCCCGACAACGCTGGCGATGGCGTAGGAGGCACCTAATATGCCGGTAAACATCGGACGTTTCTCTGGCGGGGTGGCAAAGCCGATGATGGTAAAACATCCGGTGGACAGGCCTGCGGCTCCCACACCCGCGACGGCCCGCCCGACTACCATGGCCGCTGATGTCGGGGCAACACCAGATATGAGGCTTCCGATCTCAAATATGGCTATACCACGTTATCATTAGCAGTATTTGGGACACTGTAAGCGAAATGCCATCGTCATCACGCAGTGATCGGCAAGAGCTTGTTGGACAGGGAAGCGACTGCACACATACTGTGGTGGTGTCAATTGGTTGTGTAAATAAGAACAGAGGGAGTGGGAGATCGGAAGCGCATGGTTTTGAAGTATGACGGTGCTTGAATATGTAGTTAACGTACCAGAGACTGACGATAAAGGTTGGCTTCAGCGGCCAGTACTTATATGCCTTGCCCCAGCAGGACTGGAAACCAGCAACCGTCATGAAGAAGGCTGAAGAATACCACGAGACATCCCTGATGCCCCATTCGTCGGTGATCTGCGGTATTGCAGCGGCAACAATTGTCTAGATTCCTCGCATGAAGAAGACGTCAGTCCACAACTTCAATAGGTCCGGGTGGCAGTCAGGCGGGGGAGGCTCACCAGATCCAGCGCCATCAAGAAGAGGCTCAGCATGAGAGCGAGCACTATCACCGCGAAGCGCAACCCGGTCGGGAAGCTGTCGACTTCATGGTCGGCGTCACTCTCGTCCTCCGCGCCGAAGACTCGGGTTTGCGCAGAGGACAGGTCGCTCTCTTTACTTTCTTTGCTTTCCTTGCTAGTCTTGACGGACGGGTTCGCCGTCTCCTCGCCATGATCATTACCAGTAAAGACGCGCTTATCGCCACCCTCCCGGCTGGTGGACCGTTCCAGGATGCCGAGCTCGACGGAGGAAAGATCAATGTCGACCGACGGCAAATCCAAGTCCAGGAGGTAGGGATGTTCGTCTCTTGCTCCCGCGCCGCGGAAACTAAGTCGGTGTGGAGACAGGCGCGAGGCTCTTGACCCAGAAGCGGACAGTCGGGAAGGTGTCGACGCCCGCTCATCTCGCGACATTCTTTACAGATGTTATCAGGTTCTTTAGTGTTCTGGTTTTAACGCAGGGTACGGGGGCGGCGAGGTGTTGCTGTAATCGCACCAAACTCGCTTTCCAGACATTATCTAAGGCGCAGGAGATTGAGCCGCAGAGTACAGACAGAATGCCGGTGGACACGCACAGTAGACATCCCCTTTGGGGGGGGGGCCTGTAGTTGAGACAATCCGTAGCTAAGCCTGGGGCACGAAAACGGCTTTTCAGGCAGGAGTCACTTGAACAGCTTTCGATGCCCGGCGACTACCAATAGGATTGTCTTTCGACCTCACAGAACCGTCAGGCCGGCTTATCAGCCCCAAAATGTACCACCTCCAAGTCCCCGAGGGCACCTCGATACACAATTCCCTGGCTGGTACATGCCAATACCAAAAGTACAAAAATGTACTTTGCTGGAGGACTTTGGCCAAACAGGTACTAGAAAGGTTACACAAACTGGCCGAGGCGCACGGCTCACGATTTCTCGGCCGAGGAAAGAATGCTAGCGGATCAGGTGTCTCGAAGACAAAGAAACGCGGTCCAACAATTCATCCGCCAACGGAGACTTCTTTTCCTGTGGAAATCGCGACTTTTAACATGTATGCCGGTGTAGATACTCGGCTTTGCCGTTCCTCGAGGCTCACAGCCAGACAGCATGGTTCACAATGGCACGGGCCGCGCACAATGACATAAAGATACGTACGTACATTCCGCCTAAGAACCAGGAGACAAATTCCATCCAAGCTTAATTTCATTAGGCTGACCTTCCAGTCACCGCTCGGGCAATGCATATCATACATCACCCGTCCACACTAGCCTCTATACCGCCACCGAACTTCAAAAACAACACAGCTCCTGCATCCAGCCATTTACGTAAGGAAACAAGGCTTATAAAGGATCTTATCCCTTGATTTAAAAGTTATGGGATTAAATAGGGAAGCATCAGGTTTCTAACTCACCTACCTTCCAACCACACAAAACCCAGCATACCCACACAAACTAAACATTTCTCACTTATTCCCATTCAGTCAATGTTAAAGCTATTAAAGTAAGTTCTCCTACCAATATATAGCATTCTCAGAGCCATAGATTCTACATATAGCAAGGTTTAAACTAACTTTAGATCCAAGGGTAGCAGCCCCATGCCAAAATTTCAAAGCATACGGACATTCCTCATCAACTAGGGCCCTATATTACATATCATCATTACACCTAGGTAGTATGGCATTATACCTAGTATGGTCGGTTCTAAGAGAAAAATTGTCTGCTCTCTTTGCATAGCGAAATATAAGTCAGCTGCATAGCATGAATACTTCACAAGCTGAGTAATTCCAGTTGTAATACACACTTGATCCGCGAGTATGGATACATCAGCTACTTAAGAAGAAAGCCTCAAAATCAATTCACGCCCAAAAGTGACTCGGAGCACCCTTGGTCTATCAGGAGTTACTTCTATATTTCAAACTTCTCTCTTTACTTCATATACTTGTATTTCCATGAAGAAACTAAGAGTTTCCATTTAAAAGTGGCCACCATGCTTTATTTTGGTCTTAGCTGCTGCTGTGTGGTCCGCCTTAGCATATAGAGAGATTCCCGTTACTGTTAGGTCTCTGAGTTTGGCCACCATTTTGGGCCAGTATTGCATTTACTCACCACGTGCTGGACCGTGCATAGTTATGACTTGAGTTATCCTTTCCCCTCCTCTTGTGCTACCCCAGCTGCAGTAGCATGGACTGCGGTCTGCTAGCGTTTTTGCACATTCTTGAGTCTATTGGATTGCGGATGGGGCTGTGCAATGCGGGCTATTTACGTCGTGGGCCAGTTTTCCTACTCCATGCTCCTTAAAAACGGCCTCTTCTCCTCTCTGGCAATTAATCATCAGCGGCAGATCCGGAAGAGACACAGTACTCCGCCCGCATTTAAGCACAGAGCCACGGCTCAGACAGCATCTTGACACTCATACTACACCCAGTGGTCAAGGGTACTAAAGTTAACAACTCTGTGTCGAACCGGGCTACTGATTGTGGGTATTCAAAGCCCTCGCCAGTGCAAGCATCGTGGATTCATCCTACAAATATAAGCGTCTCGACCTTGATACAGATGCCATACGACTTATCCGAATACTCAAAGGCGATACGGGCCCCATTGAGTGTGAAATTTTTGAGACTCGTCTCCCCACGGTCGAGGCTTCCGCTTACGAAGCACTTTCCTACGTATGGGGCAACAGAGAAGCAGCAGACAAGATTTGGTTGGGTGGCTGCCTTTTCATAGTGACTGAAAACCTGTTTGAAGCTCTCTCAAACCTGCGACAGCCCGGCCAAGGTTGACTGCTTTGGGTTGATGCCATTTGTATTAACCAAAGAAATCACGAAGTGAGTGATAAATCAAATAAATGATGTATAGATCCTTTCACTGAATTACTTATTCTACGTGTAATGGGAAAGTTCAACTATTGTACTACAATTAATACGGGTTTTCTGACCATTGTTTGAATTAGGAACGAGCTGATCAAGTTAGGAAAATGCATCGAATCTACTCAAATGCTCACAATATAATAATATGGTTGGGACCCAGTACCCAGGAAATCGACCACCTCTTCTACTGGATGGGTCGTCTCGACCACCAACTGATCGCAAAAGGTCGACCTCATCCTACTTTCTGGGAACCCCATTGGAAATCCCTCTGCCTGCAATTTGGAATAGATCCCCGATCTAGTAGTTTAAGAGGAGGCCTCCACGATGTCTTGGCAAGAGAGTGGTTTTCCAGAATATGGGTCATCCAAGAAGCAGCACTTGCTCAAACGGCAACTATTACCTGCGGTCGCAATAATGTCAACTCCCGGGTGTTTGTCGGAATGCCAACACTCTTCGACATCCGCTGCGACGAGAATGTGCAGGCCCGGCTGGAAATCATGCCCGGATCCCTGCGAAAGACATCGTGGTGGTCAGGGCCAAAATCCCAGGACCTGGGCATACTACTACAAAAGTTTGGCAAAAGCAAAGCCAAGGATGACCGCGACATCATATATGCACTACTCGGAATATCCAAAAGTGCAGATCAATCGAATGGTTTGCGCCCAGACTACCAAATCAGCGTTGAGAAAGCAATCCAGCGCACTGTCGCCTATCTCTTAACTCAATGGGGACATGCTGAACTTTGCCCAGATCCTCACAACCTGCCGATATGGAACATGGACCAGTTTCTTTCTGTTCTAAATGATTTGCCATCTCGAATTCACGCATGGTATCTGCATCACAGCAGAGCCTTTGTACCAAATCTGTCTGAAATTCACTGGGTTGACGGAGGAGAATCCCCTGAAACGCCCCCAAGCTGGATTCTAACTTATGACACTCCCTGGGTTGATATTAGTGAAGTATTGTCGGGCGGAATACCACTTCGACGTCAAATAAGAAAAGAGATGCCAGCTCACCTTAGGATGCAAAGCAAAGTTCAGGAAATGAAGTTTTGTGCAGTTTTGGGAAGTACCGTCACACCATTGACAAAAGGATCAATTGATGTGAGAGCTCGAGCCTTGGCTAAGAGAACCAGAGCCTTCTCTGAAGTATCTTCCTGCACAACGGTAGCAGTCTTTTGCGTGGGGTACGCACTACTAGATGTCAGGCAGTCTTTCAATCAGGGAGGGCGAGGGGGCGTAAGACAAGCAATGTGAAGATCGAGCAAGTATGCAAACACATGACACGACAGTGAAATGATCTAATCAGTCATGACAGGGTGTTGCGGTATGGACAGCAAAGACGACCGGGCGATGGGAAGCTGCTCGACATGCATCAGCACCCTTGAGCAGCATGAGAAAGAAGGGGGCCGTTTGATTTGGCTGTGCCAGTGGCCAATGTTTTCCCACCACTGTCACGGCAGGTTGCAGCACTAGTCCGCCTGCCTCCTCAAATTCGTCAGACACATTTGCTGAGAGCCCTGGGTTTGAGTAATTCGTGCCCCCCCCCCCCCGGGGGCGTTCGTCAATGACCAAAGAGAGTGTTCAGCAATGTGTGTCAAAGCTGCGCAATGATCGCGTGCGGATTAGGCCCAGGGCTTCATTTCCTGCCGTTTCCTACTCGGTTTGTCTTCAGCTATTGCCAATTAATGTCACGACTGGCTTATACATCATGGTTGGGGGTTCCATGGCTTCCGTTTCGAGGTTTTACAATACGTAGTCTGGCTATAGTGAAGACCCATGAGACTCGATTGTTTAAAAGATTTTGTCTCGTCGTAAGAAAATCTCGCGTGTTCGATTCAAACATTGCCTCTCGCATCGCTCGCTATGCATGTACTCAGCCGATCCAATAAAAAAAACCACGTAATCTTGTGTGTATCCTCAAAAACGCCCGAACAAGAATAGAGACCCCTGCCACCCTTTCAAACATCTACACGCCCGGAAACGAAACGCCCTACAGCCCCAAGAGGGATCGCGCATGCGTCTCAGCGGCCTCGGTGCCCTCGCCAGCAGCCCCGCCAGCCTCCGCCAGCGTGGGGTTGTAAAAGGCCGCGATGGCGATAATAACGTACACGACGATCATCAGGAAGCCCTCGAGGTAGTTGCTCTTTTGGTCACGAAGGAAGTTGCCCACCGTGATGATGGCGAGGATCAGCATGACGAGGTTGAAGACGTCAAAGTCGAGCCCCATGTCGAACTTCATGCCCCAGCCGACGATGACGATGAAGGGCCCGTTGAAGAGGGCCGTCTGCAGCGTCGCGCCCAGGACGTGGGAGAGGGCAAGGTTCATCTGGTTGTCCCAGGCCTCGTCGATGGCTGTGATGTGCTCGGCCGCCTTTTCTACTAGGGGCACGAGGATCAGGCCCATGAAGGGGTCCGAGATGCCGTGGTCCTCGACGATGTAGTGGATTTCTTGGACTAGGGCTATGGCGATGACGCTGACCAGGGCAATACTGAGGGCTGGATGTTAGCATCCTGTGTCCCATCTCCAGAAAGGGGTGATATTGGGGAGGCCATGGTGAGCATGGCAATGCCCTCATGCACGAGTCGCTGAGGGCTGTTGCGCAAAGGGGGGCAAATAGTACGCACGATATCAGTAGCGCAACCACACACTCAGTGAGCGTGAGCTTCGGCTTGTGTGCGTCCTTGTGGGCATCATGATCGCGCTCCTCGTCATACTCGAACACTGCTTCGTAAATACCATGATGCTATAGAAGATGCGGGTCAGTAGTGTGTCCCTGCAGAGGGTGCAGCGGTGGAAGTTCCATGGCTTACAGTGTGCCCCATGAACCAGACGTAGACGACGTAGGCGATGATCAGCATGACGGCCGTGGCGCGGGAGACCTGCAGCACAGTGCTGGCGAGGGCCTCGGCGGTCTGTCCTCCGGTCTTGGCGGCTTCATGTTAGCAGGTTGGCGGGTACGGAGACATTCGGCAGGGGGGTGGATTAGGGTATCAAGAGGAGCACCGAGGCTTCACATATGACGTCTCACGTGCCGCTGAAGAGCTAGGTAAAGCGAGCGAGAAGTAGAAGCGTCTGCTTACATTTTGGAAGGCCAGCGTGAACACGGTAGGCACCGCGAGACCGATGCCAGCCGTGAGAAGCAGACCGCAGCCGGCCTCGGTGATGGCCTCGCTGAAGTGGGACTCTTCACGGCGCATTCCGGCGGCCCAGAAGCAGAGCCCCAGGCAGAGCAGCAGGTTGGCCAAGATGGAACCGAGGATTGCGGCCTTGATAATCTCCTCGTTTCTCTCCTGGACAGCCAAGACCAGGAACAGGATGATCTCGACGATGGAACCGAAGGTGGTCTCGACGAGGACGCCGGCGACGGGGGGCATCTTGCGGCCGAACTCCTGGCCGGCGAAGCCGATGAGGTTGGCACAGGGGACCATGGCGATGTAGGCGAGGATGAAGATGGCGAGGTGCTGGTCCCTGGCGGCGTACTTGACGGCGATGGCCGCGGGGACGACGGGCCACAGGACGTTGACGGCGCACGAGGCCTTGCACGAGGACCTCCAGGCGATGCCGAAGAACTCGGTGCCGAAGCCCCGGCGGCCGCTCTCGCCGGCGGCCTTGATGTGGGGGGTCATGGTCGAGTAGCCATTGCCGTCGTCGTGCTTGTGGCGGACGGGCTCGTGCTGCGGCAGCGCTGGGTCGCGCGAGCTGGACTTTTCTGCGGTGGCCATGTTGTTGCTCCGCGAGGACGACGACTGGCGTGGCTGTGGAGCTCGCAACATTGTGTTCGGGCTCGTGGGACGGACGTTGGTCCGAGGCGAGACGGTTTAATAGGGACGACTGGCAGGAGGAGCCCACCGTTTGTTGAGAACAGCCAGTCGGTCTGTCGGTTTCAGTCACTCAATCGAGAAAACAAACAGTCAGGCCAAGTCCGGCCAAGAGTGGCAGGCCGCCCGAAATCTGGGGACAATATGGGGATAGCCAACGTCTGGTGGAGCGAGGGAGATGAGAGAAAGAAGTGTATACACAAAACAACGCACGCTCTCAGCCACAATAGAAGCAGTGCAGCAACAGCAGGTCTTCAAGAAGGGAGGGGAAATCTGCCAGTCACTCAATCATGACTGGGTGTGACACGAAATCAAGGAACAGACAATCAAGAAGAGTGATGAGAGCAAGCATGGAAGAGAAACGCTGCTGTGCCAAAAAACACCAGACCCTTTTCGGTGACTGGCCAGCGGCTGCCTCACGCACGGGGTGTCGTGCGCTGTTCCTCCCTGCCTCCCTGCAGTGTCTCCTATTATTTTTGGGAGCTGCAGTGCTGTACACCAGCAGACCACCGCAAATAATAATGCGTGTGACGGTCATCGCCAAGCCCGACCTCCCATCGTGGAAATTCCACAGGGCAAGAGAGCAGGAATTAATTGGGGCCTTGGCGGCTGTTTCAGTTGGCTGCTCGCGTCGACTCAGCAGGGGGAGGCTTGTTCATGCCCTGGCGCATTACGTCGCTGGCTTGGAGAGATGCGACCCTGCGGCCCTGAGTGGGAGGAATGTGGGCAGCGAGAGGGAGGGCGGGCAAATCGGCAATCCAGGACATGGGGGGGGGCATCTCACCGCCTGCATGATGCGGACTGCGCTGTCAAAAGGGCTGGGGGCCACGTTCCAGGCCCAGGCCCGTGTGGGGTCCTCAGAGTACCCGCCACAGCTCGTGAGGTGAGATTGGGCTGAGCTGAGCTGAGTCGAGCGTGCACTCACCATCTCTCTCGGAGCGAACACTGAAAGGTTGAGGGAAACACGCAGGAGAAACACCCAACAACTGATCTGGGCCGGGCGAGCTGTCCCGTCTCTTCTCCAACGGCCTGGTCCGTACCGATAAAGAGACGACGGGCCTGATGTCTGACCGCAGCGACAAGCATCGACAAGCAACAGCCAAGCAACAGCTTGAGCGACACCAAGCCGCTGGGCGGAAAGCTTGTCAACGGCCCGGGCTGTCTCTGGCTGACGCTTCGGGAACCTTGGCCTTGTCATCCTGTCGAGGAAAAAAAGGAGATCGACAGACTGAATAAGGTGGTATGAGGTTGCACTTTTATGAATTGCCTGTCCATCTCAACGATGCATTCACGGGACACAGAGTTAATTGAGGGCGATGACCTAAGAGGCATGTTGAGCTTAAATATATCCACACACGTCTATATTCATGGGCTAAACCATCCCTCACCAACTCGAGACATGCTATGCCACCACGGGTAACCAACCTACAACTAACAAATCAGCTAACCATATAATCATTCCACCCGTCCAGCTCGGCGACTCGCATCCCACAGCTCCTTGAACCGGCTCCCAGGACGGGCAAGCAGCTCCCGCGGGCAGCCCTCCTCAGCGACGCACCCCTTCTCCAGTACCACAACCCGGTCAAAGTCCACAATCGTCTCGAGCCGGTGCGCCACCGACACGACCGTGTGCGATGCAAAATCCTCCCGCACGACCCTCTGCGCCAGCGCGTCCGTCCCGGCGTCGACGCTGCTCGTCGCCTCGTCCAGGAGGACAACTCCCCCGTCGCCCCTTCGCCGCAGGAGCGCCCGCGCGAGCGAGAACAGCTGCCGCTGCCCGTGGCTGAGCCTGGCCTCGTCGAACTCGGCGCCCAGCCCGCCCGCATCCGCGACGGCCTCCCAGAGCCCCACGCGCCGCAGCACCGCCTCGAGGCGGGCGTCATCCGCGCCGCTGGTGGTGGAATCGCCGCCGCTCCCACATGGGTCCAGGCTCTGCCGCGTGGTGCCGGGGAGGAAGAACAGGTCCTGCGACACTGCAATTAGCCGCGAGCGGACCGTGTCGCGCGGGAGGGTGGCGAGGTCCACCCCGCCGACGACGACCGAGCCGCGCGTGCTGGGGAGCAGGCGCAGAAGCGACAGCAGGAGGCTCGACTTGCCGCTGCCCGTGCGCCCGCAGACGCCGACCTTCTCGCCGGGCCGGATACTCAGCGCCACGCCGTCGAGGGCCCTGAGCCCGAGGTCCTCGCCGTAGCCCGCCGAGAGGTCCCTGATCTCGATGCCTCCCCTGGCGGGCCAGTCCCGCGGCGGCTCCTGGTCCTCGCCCGGCAGCCGCTCGTCGGGCGTCTCCTCGCTGAAGTTCTTGATCCTCGCCACGGCGCCGATGGAAGTCTCGAGGGACGTCCAGAATTGGATGAGGATCTTGAGGTTCTCGGCGAGCGTGATCAGCTGGATGAGCGAGACGCGACGCCGCCACGGAGGCGGTCCTCACGCGGCCGAGGGCGCCGGGCTGGGCGGCCCACAGGGCCAGGAGCGAGAGCTGCAGGGCGGAGAAGACGGCGACGGCGGCGAGCTTGATGAGCCTGAAGGTATTGCCCGCCACCACCACGGAGGGCGACTTGCTGAGATGTCTCAGGCGGAGAGGGGCTGCGATGATAAGGAGGCACGCGGGGAGGATGGAGAAGAGGTACTGCTCGAAGGCGATGGTGAAGTCAAAGTCCCCCCTGCAGTCCTGGACGACAGGCCCGAAGCTCTCGTCGGCGGTTGGCCAGCAGGCCGCGGCGGAGGAGATGTTGCTCATGGCTGGTTCAGCAAGAAGGGTTGAACCGAGTCAACTGGTGGCGATTGGGAAACTCGAGTCCCTGCGTGGAGTAGAAGTCACAGAGCGCCCACGATATTCATTGCTCCATTTGCTTTATTGTTTGCAGCGATTGAGGCACAGTTCGTCCGCAGATGACGGCCTCAGGGGCACGGCGCGAAGGATCCGACAAGACGCGGTTGGCAGGGACCTTGGTGCAATACTGGCCCGAGTTGGAGCTTGGCTTTCCTCGAGACAGGGAGCTTCTCTGTCTGGTTTGTTTCCCCATGATTGATCCGGCCTAGACCCAGGCCCTGGGCAGGATAATGTGAGTGGGAGAGGCATGGTCTTCCACCATCTGCTTCACACCCGGATAAATGTTGAACGATTGATTGCAAGCGGAAGGCTCTATGTGAAATATATATACGAATATCATGTCAAGACGGACAGATGTGGACGTGAAGAAGTTGTAAGCTATGTGGGGTGCTACAAGTTCACCTGGGTAGCAACTTGGCCAAGGGGGGGGAACCCGGTGCCCTTGTGGGGAGCTGTTGTGGACCCCTGTGCAAGGTCACAAGGGTCTGACAGGGTTAATAGAGCACACAAGCCAACCGTAATAACTGCACCCCATACGCGTGGAAGCTCTGCCGACCTTCGGCGCCGGCTTGCGCTTTGCGCTGACCGACCCGCTCATCTATTGGAGGACGGCTGACTACCCTTGAGCATTGAGACCGTTATGTCGCTTGAGGGTAAGAGTTACATAAAGGATACTACAAGTATATAATTCCTGATGAACACAACACCTAAGCATGCCGAATCATGAGTAGTCAGCCTTTCAAGACTTCAAGGGCTTGGTGATTGTACGAGGAAATGACATGTCAAAACCCTGATTTATCAAGATTTCTTGGTTTGAGTTAGATGGCTGTTTACGCACTGAAAAGGCCGAACAGCCCTCAGATCTAAATATTCAAAAAAGCCTTCTCGTGTCTCAAGTTGTCAGCCCTGAGCTCCGGGATCTTGAGCCGATGACCCACACGGAAAGGATCCGATGGCCGTGTGCCCGGGCCGGCGGCCGGGGTCTCCTCTCACTTGGCCGCCGGCTCAGGCCCGACTGTTTGCCTTTTTAGTCTACCAGTGTGTCGATACTTGACCTGCCGTGGCTTCCCCGTCTTATGTACTTCTGCTCCTCACCACCTGGAAGCGTTAAAAGGTTGACTGGGTGATTTGTCGACCAGATTGTCCAAGCCATGGCGTGCTATTTGCAATGATGCCGTGGGACCACTCCGCCCCTCCAGTCACGTCTCTCACCAACGATATGCGGCCATGCCTAAACCACGGAGATGCTTTCGCTCTCGAGTGACACGCCGCGTTCTGTGGCTCCGTCGTTGGTGTGAATCACCGTGAGAGACGCATCTAGACCACAAGCTGCCCCGCCCCAGCTTCACTACGTGAACGACTGAACAAGAGAAAAGGAGAAAAGGGGGAAGGATGGACATTCTCGCACAGCATCGTCCCTGGAACCTGCCCAAGCTCATTTCTGCACTTACTGCATCTGCACCGAGACCAAGGATTTCAACCGCCAGGCTCTTCTTCAGAGGCTAGATAAGCACTTGTCCTTCTCCGATCATCTCTCACCACGAGCGTGGCTTTTCAAGGCATCGCCATGGCGACGGTGCCACCACCCGGGCGCATCACCCGGGTTCTCATAGCCAACCGGGGTGAGATCGCCGTGCGCATCATCAAGACGCTGCGCAAGATGAACATCCAAGCCGTTGCCATCTACGCCGACGCCGACGCTCAGTCCGCCCACGTCCGCGACGCAGATATCGCGCTGCGGCTCTCAGGGCGCACCGTCGCCGAGACATACCTCAACACCGACCAGGTCCTGGCACTGGCGAAGTCCGTGTCCGCCGACGCCATCATCCCCGGCTACGGGTTCCTGTCCGAGAGCGCCGAGTTCGCCGCGAGGGTCGACACCGAGGGCATGGTCTGGGTCGGCCCGACACCCGCGCAGATGTCCGAGCTGGGCCTCAAGCACCGCGCCCGCTCCATAGCCGCCGAGGCCGGCGTCCCAGTCGTGCCTGGGAGCAGCGGGCTCGTCGCCTCGGTCGAGGACGCACTGCGCGAGGCGCGGCGGGTAGGGTTCCCGCTCATGCTCAAGAGCAGCGCCGGAGGGGGTGGGATCGGGATCCGGCGCTGCGAAGACGCCCGAGAGCTCGAGGAGGCGCTGAAGAGCGTGCGGCGACTCGCGGCGGCCAGTTTCGGCGATAGTTCCGTCTTCCTGGAGCGTTACATCGCGAAAGCTCTTCACGTCGAGGTTCAGATCCTCGGAGACGGTACCGGCCGTGTCATAACTGCTGGCGACCGAGATTGCTCTCTGCAGCGGCGCCACCAGAAGTTGCTAGAGGAGAGCCCTGCTCTGATGGTCCCGGCCACGATGAGGGCGCAGATGAGAGACGCCGCAGTCCGGCTCGCGTCGGCCGTCAAGTATCGGAATGTGGGAACCGTCGAGTTCATATATGATTTGGACGCTCAATACTTTTACTTTCTCGAAGTGAACACCCGTCTGCAAGTCGAGCACACCATCACCGAGGCAGTCACGGGGCTTGATCTTGTCGAGGCCATGTTAGAGATTGCTGAGGACGGAGGCCAGCAGCTTTTTCAGAGATACCCCAACGGCATCGTGCCCATGATGGGTGTCGCCATCGAGGTGAGGCTGTACGCAGAGGACCCGCTGCAGAATTTCCACCCGTGCGCCGGCCGCATCCTCGAACTCGAGTTGCCCCCAGATCTACGCGTCGACACGTGGGTTTCCTGCGGTACAGAAGTGACGACCTCGTATGACCCAATGCTGGCAAAGCTGATTGCGAAGGGGAGTAACCGCCGTGAGGCAGTCGCAAGACTGTGTGAGGGTCTTGATGCGACCCGGATCGTCGGGATCGAGACCAACCTCGACTATTTGCGGCAGTTGACCGCTGCTCCCTTTTTTCAGTCCGGCTATTACACGACTAAGTCGTTGGATATTTTCCGCTTCACCTCATCGTCATTTAGGGTGGGAGAGCCTGGCAGTCTGACGACCATCCAAGATTGGCCAGGGCGAATGGGATACTGGAACGTCGGTGTTCCCCCTTGTGGTCCTATCGACGACCTGTCCTTCAGAATTGCGAATCGCCTCGTCGGCAACCATGAGAGCTGTGCTGGGCTCGAGTGTTATATCAAGGGCCCGTCTCTCACTTTCCACTGTGATGCCCTCGTTGCTGTAGTGGGCGCCTTGACCGCAGTCCACATCGACAAGCAACGCGCGCCTATGAACCAGGCTGTCCGTATTCAAGCCGGTAGTACCCTGACTTCCGGGTTGGTCGAGTCGGGCTCTCGTTTCTATATCGCTGTCCGTGGCGGCATCGACGTCCCCCTTGTTATGGGTAGTCGGGCCACTTTCGAGCTTGGCCAAATGGGAGGCTCAGCCGGCCGCAAGCTGCAGCGCGGAGATCTCATCCGTCTGGGGGACTCGTCCGAGTTCGCAGCTACTAAGGACGAGGCTCTTCTTGTCGCGCCGGCTGTGCCAGTCCCGCTACAGCCAAAGACAGAATGGACGATAGGTGTAGTACCAGGCCCGCATAGTGCACCGGACTTCTTCACCGTGGAGGGCCTTGCTTCCCTCTTTGACAGCGCATGGACTGTTCACTACAACAGCAACCGACTCGGCATTCGTCTGAAGGGGCCGAGACCCCAGTGGGCACGACAGGACGGCGGCGGAGCTGGCTTGCACCCATCCAACATCCACGACAGTCCGTACTCGATTGGAAGCGTAAGCTTCACTGGCGACGAGGCGGTCGTTCTGACGTGTGACGGCCCCAGTCTTGGTGGTTTCGTCGTTTTCAGTGTTGTGGCCTCGGCAGAGATGTGGAAGCTGGGCCAGGTCAGACCGGGAGACACCATCCGGCTTCAGCCCATCAACGTCGAGAAAGCTTCCGAACTGAACGCCAAGCTCACCCGTGCTATCAAGGATCTCGCTCCTCTGCCGAGGTTGGAAAGGCCGGGTGTTGGGCCCATTACCAGTATGCCTGATGCGACAGTGCTGGGTGTGATTCACCACAATGAGCAGCGAATCCTGGTCCGACAGGCAGGCGACTGTGCTGTGCTCTTGGATTTTGGTGATTCCAGCGGGTTCAGACTCCGCCAGAGCTTTGAAATCCTGGTCTTCGGCCAGCACCACCAGACGCAGAAGGCCATACCCGGCGTTGAAGAGCTCACACCCGGCGTCTGTGCTCTGCACGTGAGGTACGCCCCTGGCACCGCGCCCCGGACCATCCTGGACCGCCTCGCCCTACACGTGCAGTCCTATGCCGTCCCTGAGCAAGTGCCATCCCGTCGTGTCCAACTCCCGCTTGCCTTCGACGACACTGTCACTCGAGCGGCCGTCGAGCGGTATGCAGCCACGATCCGCGCCAGCGCACCATGGCTTCCCAGCAACATCGACTTCCTCACGCAGCTCAACGGGGTCGACCGGGCTGACCTACGAGGCATCCTGGAGACCTCGGACTTCCTGGTTCTGGGCCTCGGCGACGTGTATCTCGGCTCGCCGTGCGCTGTGCCACTGGACCCCCGTCATCGACTCTTTGGGACCAAGTATAACCCCTCAAGGACCTTCACTCCAAGAGGAGCCGTCGGTATCGGGGGGCAGTACATGTGCAGTAAGTTCGTTTCTTCTTCTTTCGTGTCACGTCCCCTCGACAGTCGCCGGCCACCTCTCCCGTCAAGGCTGACTGTCAAATGTCAAAGTTTATGCGGCCGACTCCCCCGGCGGCTATCAGCTGGTAGGACGAACCATCGACAACATTTGGGACCCTTCCGCCGCCGTGGGTACCACCAAGGGCACCTTGCAGCAGCAGCAGCAGCAGCAGCAGCAATTCATGTTCAAGATCTTCGACCAGATCAATTTCTACGCCATCACCGAGGCCGAGCTCGACGGCGCCCAGGCGTCCGGGACCCAAGGGGATCTGGTGCGCGTCGAGGACGGCGTGCTGGATCTCGCCGCGCACGAGGCCTGGGCGGATTCCAACCGCGAGGATATCGCCGCGACGGCCGCGGGGGGGGCCCGGGCGATAGAGGCGGCTCCCTTTCTTGGCGAGCTGACCGAGCCCCGCGAGGCCGCCGAGGACGTGGTCGGCGGAGGCGGGTGGCCGGGGGCGGAGGAGGAAGGCGAGGCAGGCGAGGAGGATGGGTGTAACAGGGTCAAGGCCGGGATTCCGGGGCGCTGCTGGAGGCTCTTGGTCAAGGAGGGTGACAGAGTACAGGCCGGCTCGGTACTGGTGAGTCTCCGATCATCCCCCATCTCATCCATCTCTGGCGTCATTCCTGTCTCGACCCGGGTCCTTTCCGTTGTTTGTGGCTCATCTTTTGTGGAGCCGGACTAACAGACTCTTGTCCCCGCCCAGGCCTACCTCGAGTCGTGCAAGATGGAGGTCAAGATCCCGAGTCCTGTGGATGGTGTCTGTTTGAAGGCGCGTGTGAAGGAAGGCGCTGTGGTCGACGCCCACGATACCCTGGTAGTAATTCGACCTGACCCAAAAGAAGAGCCGCACGACATCTGAAGTTTCTGGCCATGGTCGAGACGTCTATTCCATAGGTCGTTAACATACAAAGAGTTTAACATGTGATAATCTCAGATGGATTGCTGCCTTGCTGTGTAAGACTGGATCTCGTACAGGTTTAGTACAATCTGCAGGATGCTAGCACATAGAGAGGGGGGGAGAGAGCGCGAGATAATCGCAAGAAGGATTGTCTTCAAAAAGCATGACGAGACTTAAACGAAGTGCAAATTGAAAGATCGTAGAGCTATCACGGCGTTGGGGGGAAACGATAGGAGATACTCTCATATGCAATCAATCGTTCCATTTTGGCGCTAATAACCTACACATAACACCTCACACCCTTTTTCCATCACACTTCCATTTTTAACTATTTTTACCTTTTATATAATAAATACTTTTTTAATTTAATTATACCTTATATTAAAAAATAGCTATTTCTTTTCTGCTTTTTTTAATATTTATTTAAGGAAAGTAAAGAAAGTGTTATGGGTTAGCCTTAAGCATTTGTTGGAAGGTACCCAAAAGGAGTTATGAATTGCAATATTTAAGAAGTAAGTTAGCCTTAAAAGGGCCCAACTTTGGATTTATCTTTTAAGTATATGCCCTATTATATAAAAGGGTTAAGTGCAATATAAGCCCGGTATAGGCATGCATTACGGCTTAAGCAATAGCCCAAGCCCATTACATAGCCCCCTTCCCACTCTTACATTACGCATAGCAAAAATTAAATCTAGGGCTTTTGCAATCTTATATTAATTATATATTTGCCCTTATTATATACCTATTTTAGGGCGATATTTATTTACTTAAAGAGTAATAATTATTTATTTTATTCTTATATTAACTATATTTATATATTATAAATTATTATAATATAATAATATTATTATTATATATATAATCTTTTATTAATATATTATAATTATATATAAGCTATATATATTGCTAGCCTTAAGTTATAACGCGCTTTTATTAATATATTAATATTGCTTATTATAATTATTACCCCTATATTATATTTATTATTGCTACTTAAGATAACTTCCTTATAATTACATTCCTCTTTATAATTCCTTTTTTTTAATATTATATTATTATTATAATGTATTTATTATATGCATTATTTTATTACCTTTATATAACTTTTTTATTATCCTTATAATTATTTCTTTATTTATATTAATTACCCTTCTTAGCTTTATCTTACCCTTAATTAAAAAGCCTTCCTTAATATAATTAATACTTATATAATCCCTTAGCCTTTTCGCAATTCAATCCTTTAGCTATTCTTTCTTGCGCTTATTATGCTTTTTTTATAACCGCCCTTTTTAATTAAAAAGCTATTGCCTTAATGCATTAATACCCTCTTAATTCCTTAATAGTTTCTTAATGCACCCTTTTTTATTTATATTATACTTATTAAGCATCCTTTCCTTAGCCTATTAATATTCTTTTAATCCCTTAATATTCTTCTTAATATTTACTTCTTTTTTACTATATAAAAAAAAGAATAATAAATAGCTTTTATTATAAGTTTTAATAATTAATATAGTAGCTTTAATATAGCCGCTGCTAATAATAATAATGGTAATAAGCCGCCTTATTACTTTAGTAATATAACCCTTAAGGTTGCCTTATTTTTTTTTTAGCATAAATTTATTATAATTATTAACTAAGTATAGGAATATTGTACTATAAAATTATATTAAATGCTTAGTAATTTTAATAATAAGGATTAATAGTTTATTAAATAGCTATCCTTTCTTTATAAATTATATATTAAAACTTTTTATAAGATTAGCAAGCTGCTTATTTATATCCTTAAAGATTATAATATATTTTATATTAGTTATTATTATTATAAGCATAAATGCATTTAATATATGCATATATTTATTAATTTATTATTATTATAAAATACATAACATTATTTAAAGGAAATAATTACTATTAATAATGGCTATATTTTTATCCTTAAGTAAGTTAAGTTTATTACCTTTATTTATAATAATATAGCTATATTTATCTTAGCCTTTAATTACGTTATTATTAATTTTTATAAGGCTATAAGCATTATATTAATAAAGTTACCTTTTATCACCCTTATTATTTACTTAAGTAGCTATGTTTATTTTTAAAATATAGCTTTAATTAATATCTTTACCAACCTTATTAAGGATATATTTTTAATCTTATTATAACTTGCTAATATATTTTTATTCTTTATTAATATTAATATAATTATGCATTATATTAATAGTATTAATGCTAATAATTATTAATTAACCCGCTTTACTTAAAAAGTAGTAAACACCTTTATAACTCTTAATAATAATTAAAAAGCTAAGGCTAATTATTATATTAATAATATATATACTCTTAATATAAGTGCCTTTTTTATCTTTTTTTTATATTTATATTAACTTAGCCTTAAATATATTTTAATGCATTTAAGGATTATTATTATAAGAAATTTAATATAATAATTAATGCCTTAAATACCCTTATTAATTAAGTTTTTAATGCTAAGTAGTATAGTTATGATTTAAATTATTATTATACTTATAATAAGTTTAAAAAGAAAAAGTAAAAAGATAAAAAGGAGGACTTTAAGGATTTACCTTTCTTTAATTATAATGCCCCTTATTATAAGTATTAACTAGCTTAGTTTATTATTATAATTATAATAAGTTTAAATAATTAAAAGCTTTATCTTTAAATAAAAAGTTTATAAATTTAATTCTTATTATTATTAAGTTATTATAGCTTTATTATTAGCTCTTATAACTTTTAATTTTATAATTAAATATTTTTAATATATTTATTTAAATAAATAATAATAAAGGAATTTAAAAGGGTAATATGTTTAATATAATCTTGCCTTATAAAAAACTAGCTATATAATTTAATTTTCTTTTAACTTAATATATTATTTAATTTTTATAAAAAGGGGATTTAATTTATTTATTAAGTAAATATATAATAAGTTTTAATTAATTAAAAGCATTTATATATAAATAAGGTTATAGATTTAAATTCCATTATTATCGCGCCTTGCTTAAGCGTAATAAATACTTAAGGCTTACCTTGCAACCCTATTTAAATAGCTTATAATAATATAATAAGATTTTATTTATTTTTATTTTATCCTTATTTATAACCCTTATCGCCTTATATTATATCTTTAAATAAGCTTATTAAGCTTAATATAAGCCCGCCTTGTAATTATTCTAAATAAGCAATTCCTTATAAATAATAGCATTTCCCTATTATGCTTTAAATAAATTAAGAGCTATTAATCCCTATAAATTCCTAAAAAGTTTTTATATTAATATATCCTAATCTTTCCATTTAATATAAACTTACTTTTTAAAGAAACCATTTTATAAATATCTTAGCATATTCTTAACTATTAAGATTTCCTTTATAAGGTACTCTTTATTTTAACTCTTATTTACTTTATTTAAGATTAGCATAGCATTTAGCTAAGTATTTATAAATATTTAAATAAGTAATAAATCCTTTATAATATGCTTAACTTAATTAATATTAAAAGTAGGATAAATTTAGCTTAATATATTTAAAATAATTATTTAAGGCATAAAAATATTTATTATAATATATTTCTAATATAGCTAATTAAGCTTCTTTATTAATTAAATAATTTAAAAATATTTTAAGGATAGCCATACTTAATTATTAATGCAAAATCTTTCCGCCATTTAACAGCGTTTATTAACTACTCGCTTTTCTTATTACTAAGTAAAAATAATAGCGGCCTAAGCAATATCCATTTTAATTTAAAGGTAGTTTAAAAATATAGCCGCCCAGCCCTTAAGACTAGCCATAAACATTATTATATTTAAGGGGCCTGGAATTACCCATATATTAAACCTATTTATTAATTAATTTAAGCTTTAGCCAATTATTATTAAATCCTTATTATTTAACGCTATTTAGCAAGCTGGAAAGTAATTAGCCTAGTGAAAACAAGCCACCTAAACAAATAGGGAATAGGTTCTGCTAAACCCTCTTAAGGATAACTTAAGAAAGAGCTTTAATGCAATAAAGAGGGAAAATAGGAATAAAAGGAAGCTAAAGAAGGGAAAAGGTAAGTATTTTAAAAAATTTTAAGAATAAGAAAAGCTTAATTAAAGCATTAAATATATAAAAAAAGAAAAAAGTTAATTTCTTTAAAAATATTTAAAATAAGCATAAAAGCTAGCTTTTTATAGCTAGCTAAAATTTAATATAATATTATTTCTTATATATTTCCTTATATTTATTAATATACTTTTTTTAAGTATTTTATAATAAGTATTATAAAAACCGCTAAAATAAAACCTTATTACCTTTAATTAAGCCTTTAAGTTTTAAAATTTACTTTATTATAATCTTAATTATTATTGCTATTTTTAATTCCTTACTTACTTATCTTATTATAACTTTTGCTTCTTTATAAAAACTTTAAATATTCTTAAAATTTACTTAATAATATATTTATTAATTATATTTTTTTAGCTATTAAAATTTAATTTAATAATTAATATTAATATAGTTATTAAAATTTTAAATATCTTTATAAAATAAAAAGCAAATTTATTTTTTCTTTTAATTATTATATTAAGTATAATATATTAACTTTATTAACTTTTATTTTTATTTTTTATAAAGCTTTTATTTTTAAATTTTATATTTTATATTTAATTACTTAATTAGCTTATTTATAAGCCTTTTAAATTATTTTTAAGCAAACTTTATTATTATTTTAATTATTTTAAGTTAATTAATGTATTTTAAATTTTATTTATATTTATTATTAAAATAAATAAATAAAAAAGATTTTTATATATATTAAAATAAATATTCTTTGCTAACTTTAAAATATTTTATAACATAATACTTAAGTTAAAAGCTTATTTAATTAAAGTTTTATTTAGCTAATTTTAAGCTATATAAAAGTTTATATCTTATTATATATTAAATATTTAAAATTAAGT